TTATTGTTATTGTTGTTATTATTATTTTAAAATTCAATACGTCTGTTGTGTGCTGTAAAATGGATGTACTGGTGGTAAATACACCAGTTTGACTGACAAGCTGAAGTGGGGTTTATTTTTCAGTTAGGTCTTATTTTGGGGAAAACAGGGTACTATATATTTAAAGCATTTGCTTCAGATACTATATACTTAAAGCATTAGGTTTGGATATATATTGTACTTAAAGCATTGGCTTCAGATAGTAGCCTGGTTGACTCATACAACTACACTTTTTAAAAATTACTTAGTTTATGATAATGAAACCCAGTAACTCTAATCTGTAATTGCCACTAGTCTACAAAGACAAAACTACAGTAAAAAGAACACAATATGTTATAATATACACAATATACTGGGCTATCCTGCCTCCTTAGTAAGAATTAGCTTCCTCATTAGGTTTAAAAGCTCAGATGTTCTATTATTTCTTCGTACCACCATCCCAAACCCCACAATCTTCTGACACAACATTTTGATATGCTACAAAGTCTCAATGGGAATCCTGAGCATGCAGTCAAGCCCTTAGGTAAGTTAAGAGGCTAAATGGGTGGCTAGGAGAGGACGGTGGGGACACCATCCTGCTCCTTCAGTCTGCAAGAGCCCAAAGAACTGGAATTGCTGTGGAGATTGACCCCCAGAATCATGGAAGTGATCCTGGGGGTTGATCCCTACAGGGCCCACACCTGGAAAAGTCAGGACCTTACATTAAGGTATGGATCTTTCCAGTTGTTTAATTAATCTGGAGTAAACTGGGAAATTCCACTTTACTCCAGGTTAATTTGGTTTACCTGAGGCATCTTTTGGATTCCTCAGGAAAATCTAAAACAGTTGCAGGAAATCAGCTTGTCTGGAAGGGCCCATAGTTTGTTGCAGCCAGAAAAACAACATTTCTGGAGTATAATATCTACTTTCAAAGTAAGTACCACACAATTAAACAGGAAATAAAACTATGAAACAATGAACAGATTTTTTTTTCAAATTTTGGGATATAGTGTTATATAAATCTCCAATTCTCCACAGACATGAATTTATAAATAATATGTACTCATATATATATATATATATATACACACACACACACACACACATACATACACACACACGAGGGGTATTTTTTAAGTAAGCGATATGGGACATGGAACAATTGGGTTTCCACACACACACACACACACACCGAGGACCCATGAATTTGCCGCAGTGTGGGGCAAATCCATGAGCCTTAATAATGAGGTTGTAAGCGTAATGGGCTTTTCCATTAAAAAATGTATGTGGAAAGTGCATCCCATGAACTTGAGGGATCTGTCAAACCCTAATTAAGAGAAACATCTGCACAGATGTACTCCGTGGTATTCCAATGTACGAGGGGTGTTTTTTAAGTAAGGCCCGTTTTGTTGTAGACACTAGTAGTTCGTGCGCATACCGCAACGAGCGCGTGAGTCATGTACCGGCATGCCTCGGGAACAACTGTGCTCAGTTTCCGCTCTGTAGCTAACCTGTACGGTTCTGTTCTGTGCTTTAAAAATGTTTAAGACTATCAACTCACCCTCCGCATGTGAGGTTCGCTCAGTGATACGGTTTTTGTCAGCAAGGAACCTGCCTGCTGCAGAAATTCATCGACAGATTTGTGAAGTGTACGGTGATACTGTTATGAGTGAAAGCAAAGTGTGTAAGTGGGTATGACAATTCAAAGATGGCTGTGACAACGTCCATGATGAGGACCGCTCAGGTCGCCCTTCTTTGATTACCGTTACAATGATGACGACGACATGAAAACGGCAGTGAACTCTTGGTTATCGGAGCAGGCGGCAAGTTTTTATGAAGAGGGTATTTTAAAATTGGTTCAGAGGTATGATAAGTGTTTGAACAAACTTGGCAACTATGTCGAAAAATAGAGTGAAGTATGTACTTTCTGAAAATAAATTTGACTTTTTGGAAATAAACTTTCATTGTGTACTTATGTTCCAATGGACCTTACTTTAAAAATATCCTTCGTATAATCACCAGAGAAACAATGTTGTTCTAGCATATATTTATTGGCAGTTCCCAGAGCAGCCAGGAATAAAAATTGGTGGACAACAGGATGATTAAATAACATGTAGGAGCAACTGGGGGTCAGCAGATTTTTCTATGGATTTTGAAGAAGCATAAATACAAGGCAAAAAGAAATGTGCCAAGAGGAAGACGCTTCAAGCATGCCCTACTTGTGACTGCCTTCCATCTGGAAATTTATGTCTCCAATGTGTAGGGCCATGCATATACAGAATAGTCTTTGCAGTCATTTATGGATCCATCTCCAAGACCCTACCTCTGTAAGACAATCATTTTTGGCCATGAGTGATCATCCATGAATGATGAAACCAGTTGTGCTGCTATGCAGGTTGAGGGAACCATTTCCTTGTAAGAGTCATTTGTGTTGGCATAATGCCAGTGGCCTGTACAATGTGAGCTTATGATAAAAGCAGAAGTAAATACTCGGATAAAATGCTTTTGTTGTCTCAGGACTCAACATTTATAGTGTTAGGAAGTACATCCAGGAAAAGGAAAAAAGGTAAACAAAAGAATTACATTAGACCTGGTTACAAGAACACCTAAAGCTAGCTGTATGCATGAATGTAAGCCAGCATTTATTTATGCCTTTCTGGAAGAAGGAAGTAACCTTAATGGCAGGAAAGAAGCAAAGTATCCAATCATTTGATACCAACTATTCTCCTTCATAAGGGAACAGAGATGTGTGCACCCCTCATTGTGTTCCAATTATCTGAGCTTATATAGGAAACACTGCATGAATACCAAAAACAAAGTAACTGCACACAATAACATCCTGCAGAAACTTACTGGCAGCACATGGGGTGCAGACCCAAAATTCATAAGAACATCAGCCCTAGCCTTGTCTTACTCAACTGCTGAGTATGTCTGCCCTGGGAAGTTGCTGCTAACTGTGAGAGAAATAAGGTTGAACAGTGTGAAAGCCATCTACTGCATGGCTATCAGCCTCCTCCCAGTAGACTCAAAACAAGGAAAAGCTTCATGAGAACCACCACTCCTCTTAGTATTCTCCCAGCAACAGCAAGACTATCCCTCTGGGCAGCTAAACCAGGAAATCCCAATTGGATCCCCCCCCCATGAGGGTCTTCCTCCAGGGGCAAACCAAGAAGTCCCTGAACAGACTCAGAAGTGGAGTGAGCAGATCAAAAGACAACCTGGCAAAATGGGACTACCTAAAAGAATCCCCCACCTTGTGTGACTGTGGAGCAGAACAGAAAACTCCATATCTGTATGCTTGTCCACTATGGCCTGCCTTATGTACAGAGGAAGAATTGTTGGAGGGTACGGACAATGTTGTTGCTGTTGCTTGTTTTTGGTCACAAGATATTGACCCACTTGGTAGAACATAGGTAGAAGCATTCAACTAAAGGAATGGGAGACAATCTGGATGAAAAGACTCAGATACACATATGCCACAGATCTAAAAGAGAACTGGCTTAAAATGATACACCGTTGGTATTTAACATCACAAAAAATCGCAAAAATGTATAGAAAGGTAGATAATAGATGTTGGAAGTGCAAATCGAAAGAGGGTTCCTTTTATCACTTATGGTGGCTATGCCCCAAAGCTAAGGAGTACTGGAAGATGATCCACAAGGAGTGTAGAAAAATCTTAAAGCTGAACATACCCAGACCTGCTAGGAATGTATGATGTAACTCTTTTTTCTGATAATAACATGGAAAAGTTGTTTACTTTTTTTGTAACAGTGGCTAGGATGACCTTTGCTAGAAAATGGAAACAAGACTCAACACCATCAAGATCAGAATGGCTGGAAAAATTATTGGACATTCAGGAAATGGACGAATTGACCTTCTGGATTAGACAATACAACGGAAAATGAACTGTTATGACGGACTGGAGTCTGCTTAAAAGTTATATAGAAAATGAAATGTACTGAGATGAGACTAACATTAATTCTGGAAATGAGGATAGAAGATATGTAATAGAGATACTGAAAGAAGAAATATATTAGAAAGTGAATGAGATGAGAGGAAGTCTGTTTTAGACACTAGGATGGGGGGGCGGGGTGGGTAGGGGGGGAGCTTTATGTAGGGTGGTGGTGGGTTTTAGGGTTACTGTTTGGATGATTTGTCTGTCAGAATGTTTACCTGTGGTTTGGGTGTTGTTGTCCCCATGCCCCTTCCCACATGTACGTTCAATGTATATTTTATAATGCAAAATCAATAAAAAAATATTTTAAAAAAAGATATTGACCCACTTGTGCTCCTTTGATTTTTATCAGTTTTATACTCATTTATGCAATGCTTTTAATATGAAATAAATAAATCTGAGCTATCCTGCTTCCATCAGGTGTGATAGAAAATGCCATACCATCATGAGGGTTGATCCCACTACAATTAGGTCAAATTTTGTCTGTGGAATTTGGGGTGGAGGGTTATATTTCATCCCAAGGACAAAAATTGCCCTGATCACTTGCTTATTAGATTGTATTGAATGATCGCTTTCATATCAGTGGAGCAGTTCATCTATTCTGAGTTATATTCCAAAATCCCTATCCAAAGTGCAGAACCTTAATCTATATATAGACTCACTACCTTTCAACGTGGGTTTATAACTTGGAGCAGAACCAATCTTCCTTTAGAAGCCACCAGCTGCTGTTCTCTCATGATTTTTAGACTACTGATGCACAACAAAAGAAGCTATTCATAAGTTAGTATGTTTGGTAGGCAGGCTTTCTTCTTTTTATGTCCAGGTGGTAATAAAATATCAATTGCCGGAATAGCACTTTGATCATTGATTCCTGAACTGCAGCACAAAATTCAGCAACTTTACTGGAAGTTTCATCGTCACATATCAAGTTTGTGATCACACTCCCAATAACATGATGGTCAGGTTGCCAAAAACAACAGCAAATAACCAATTACATCAGGTTAGAAGATACAATAAAATCAAAGACTTTTGGAGTGCATGTGTAGTTGAAAAGAAGATCTTGTTTGACAGATCTGGGAACTCCCGTCAGGACTATGAGGAGCTGGCTGATCTGTATTGCCCTGTTTCTTCAATGGACATGCTGCATTTCCCAAGGTAGTACGTTATAAAGAGAAATGGGAATATTCCATTTAAAGAGGAAATTGTTGAGGTATTCATTATAGAAATACTGCTTTTACCAGGCTTCTAGTAAAAAGAATTAATTCAATTTTATATTGAATTATCCAACATAAAGTTAAAACATTGCTTTTCAATAAATCCAGTGGAATTTAATTTATTCCTTCAAAAATGTATGTTTTTTCACTGTTTTAACCTTTCACTCCACCTTTAATAGCTATTAAAACATCACAAGCATTTGACTGACAATGCAGTTTACTCCCCTTTTAATTCTTCTCAAAGATAGGAATGAATAATTCCAGCAGTTTTCTTCCCACTGCAAGAAAGACCTTTTAAATAAGTATTTGCATTTCAGGAGTTATTCTGTGCATTTGCACAGAAAAAAAGCATTTTCTGCTGGAAAAACAAAAACAAAAAAGGTGTGACAAATATTATTTCACTGCAGTCACATTAATTTCTGTGCAGAAAATGCTTTTTTATGCACAAAAAATTCCATGTTAGGAGAGGTGAATAGATTTGGTAGCTAAGTCGGTGTGATGGGCATTTAAAGAGCAAAGCATACTTTTTCAGAGTTTTCTTGTTTTTAATTCAGATAATTTGTTCCTTTTTAGTAACAAATTGTAAGCGAATTACATCCTGGGGCAACTGAAATATTTCTCTCTATTTATTCCTCATTCGTGATGTTTTGTGTATGGCCATGCAAAGTTTCAATTATCCCTTCTAAATGTATTGAGTTAAAAACCAAACATTCTTACATCTTTTTGTAAGTATGCATATTGGAATGATTGGACTCCCCGCTCTCAATTTCCATATATTAGGTTAGAGTCCATGGTGATTCAGATATGGTTTGCTTCAGAAGAACCTCTTCTCTGAATCTATTTGAATTAGATTGAATCAGTTTTAGTTTCATGCTTTGTTTGAATCCAGCACACTCCATATACAGACACAGCAACACATTTTTTATTTTTTATTTATTTATTTATTTATTTATTTATTGTGTCAGTGCAACCAGTCAATTATATTACATTTCCAACAGAACAAAGCAAAAAGAACAGACAAAATACAGAATTGTGAGTTTGGTAGTTGGTTAAATGTCCTTTGACCAGTATCTGGCCACTTGGAGTGCCTCTGGTGTTGCCGCAAGAAGGTCCTCCATTGTGCATGTGGCAGGGCTCAGGTTGCATTGCAGCAGGTGGCCAGTGGTTTGCTCTTCTCCACACTCACATGTCGAGGATTCCACTTTGTAGCCCCATTTCTGAAGGTTGGCTCTGCATCTCGTGGTGCCAGAGCGCAGTCTGTTCAGCGCCTTCCAAGTTGCCCAGTCCTCTGTGTGCCCGGGGGGGGGGGGGGTCTCTCATTTGGTATCAGCCATTGGTTGAGGTTCTGGTTTTGAGCCTGCAACAAATAACCCTAACCAATAACCTGACTGAAAAACACTAGATAACAAATTTTGAAAAGTTGTTCTGTTCCTGATTTGAAAGTGTTATTTCCTGTTTAATTGTTTGGTACTTACTTTGAAAGTAGTTGCTACACTCCAGAAACTTTGTTTTTGTGGTTGCCACAAACTTTGTTGAATTGGTTGAGATTCTATGAACCTAATGACATTGAGCTCGTCCACCACCTTAAGATACCTCAAGATGGGAGGAGGTCACTTTATACCAGTGGCACTTAATTTTTTAGAAGGTTAACCAATCACACAAATGCTGTATGGAGCCCAGCTTGAACCCTTTTCAATTTATGCCCCACTACAGCGTGTTCAATCAAAATTCCTAAGATCAGCTCTACAGGCTCCCAGATGTGTCTCTAACGCCAGCCTGCAATTGGAGACAGGCTTCATGAAAGTGGATGTGGGAGTATGGACAGCTACTGACTATGTTTATCCTCCTCCTGACATGGTCTTGGCCCTCTAACCATGAAGGACGACTTCCAGTCCACGTGGATTAAAACAATGGCAGTAAAGATCACAACACTAGGTTTCTCCCAAGGACAATTGCTAAGCATATGATGGGACTAAGCCAAGAAGCTCATTAAGAAACAGATCCTGGACATAGAGCACCGGTCAGACCTAGCCTGCTCCCCAGCCTTTATTGTTAGTGAAGCCAATAGATTCCTCACCGCCTCCATGGCATACCTAACAGACCTGGAGGTGACCAAACACCAAAGGCCTTTTATCCAGACAAGATGCCATGTTCTCCCATTGGCTGTACTGGAGGGGAGGTACAGGAAGATCCCCTTCAAGGAGAGATTCTATCTAAACCTTAGGAAGAACTTTGTGATGTTAAGAGCTGTTAGACAGTGGAATGAGCTACCTCGGAGTGTGTTGCAATCTCTGGAGGGTTTTAAGCAGGGACGGGATGGCCCTTGTGGCCTCTTCCAACTCTAGGGTTCTAATAACAGAAGGTTTTACTAAATAATGTTTGTTTATATTTTACAATAGAAATAACATGTGAACCACCTAATATTGCCCATGGGAGTGTAAGAAATTCAAAGACCATTTACCGGGATGGTGAACGGATACAAATTTCCTGTAATGATGGATATAGACCTGCAGATAGAGATGACGCAACATGCACACGGGATGGATGGAACACGAGAGTTGAATGTATAGGTCTGTATGTTTCTAAAGCAAAGGGCATCTATGGTTACAGTTCACACTTGCACACATTTCATTGTAAGAAGGTTCCATTGTATACAGTGGGAATTTCATACTTAATCAATGTCCACAGGACGCATTTTTAGTAAAGGAAATTGAATTAAGATAAAGGTAAAATTCTCTTGTAGGATGAAATGGAATTTGTTCAACCTTATGTTTGTTTTATTGTTAAGGAAATTGCTTAATGGCCTAAAACATTTTTCTTCTTTTTATAGTGTCTCCTCTATTGTAGAATTAATGCAGGCACCCCTTTAACTGTCACAGCTAAGTGCTATGGAATCATGGAAATTGTAGTTTCACAAGGTCTTTTAACTTCTCTGCCAAAGATTGTTGATGTTTCACCAAACCTCAAATCCCAGGATTCCACAGCTCTGAGCGTTGGTAGTTAAAGGAATATCAAACTGTGTTAATTCTATAGTCTAGAACAGGGGTCCCCAAACTAAGGCCTGGGGGACGGATACGGTCTTCCAAGGTCATTTACCCGGCCCTCGCTCAGGGTCAACCTAAGTCTGAAATGACTTGAAAGCACACAACAACAACAATCCTATCTCATAAGTCAAAAGCAGGCCTACACTTCTCATTGAAATACTAATGTTTATATTTATTAAAATTGTTCTTCATTTTTAAGTGTTTTTTTTTGCACTACAAATAAGATATGTGCAGTGAGCATAGGAATTCATTTATGTTTTTTCAAATTATAATCTAGCCCTCCAACAGTTTGAGGGACTGTGACCTGGCCCTCTGTTTAAAAAGTTTGAGGACCCCTGGTCAAGACGTACCCGTAATCTTTTTTCATAAGTATGGTCAGTTGATTAAGTTTTTAAACAGCTTTGTGACCAAATTAGGCTCCTTTAAAAAGTACCACAAATTCCATTGTTCTGTATTTAGGTTCTAAAATAGCTCCCAATTAATTTATTGCTCAGGATCCCACACTTTTAAAATCCTGTTTTGGGGGATGCTTTTTGACTCTGACAATACTTGAAGCAAAACCCGTTTCTTTAATATTAAATTGTCATCATCAGAATTCTCACATTCTATATTCTTTGGAAGCAGGGAGCATGTTCAGAAAATGTATTAGGATCACAAATGTCTTGCCTATTATGTGTAGTCAGACTTTGTAGTAATGTGATGCCACATAACAACTCCTTCTGTTGTAGTAGAGCCTGTAAGTAATGTTGCAAGCAGTAGTATGGGTGCCAGAAGCGGGAAACGGGGTAATCGTGAGCAGGAGACAGATGAAGAACAACAGAGGAAGAGGATCCGGGATGTACTTATGGCACCTACCGACGAAGACTCATTCGAAGGGTTTTCTGGAGACGAAGAGTCAATGAGTGAGGGAGAGGAAGGAGATACAATGGATGGAAATAGGGGAACAAAGAGGGTTACTCGGGAGCAGGAATTGGATGAAGAGCGACAGAGGAAGAGAATCCAGGATATACTTACTGCTCCCACAGATGAAGAATCATTTGTGGGCTTCTCTGGGAGTGATGGGTTAGAGCAGTGGTTCTCAACCTGGGGTCCCCAGATGTTTTTGGCCTTCAACTCCCAGAAATCTTAACAGCTAGTAAACTGGCTGGGATTTCTGGGAGTTGTAGGCCAAAAACATCTGGGGACCCAAGGTTGAGAACCACTGGGTTAGAGAGTGATGAAGATGGGGATGGCACGTTGGACTGGACTAAGGTACAAGAGATACAAGATGTATGTGCGGAGCCAACGTCTAATGACACATTTGTGGGGTTCTCTGGTAATGAGGATTGGCAACCAGGAAACATCTGTTGGACTGGACTAAGGTACAAGAGATACAAGATGTATGTGCAGAGCCGACGTCTAGTGACACATTTGTGTGGTTCTCTGGTAATGAGGATTGGCAACCAGGAAACACATCTGAGTCTTGGGGGGATCCAAGTCGTGACAGAAGATGGAGAACTTGGAGGGATGGAAATAGGAGTTTACGTGTGGAGTCAAGAACAGCTGTAAGAGATAATGACAGGGCAGAGGTCAGCTCATCTTCTGATGATGATGTGTAGGATAAAAGTGGGCTCTGAAATGGGGAATCTTTGCAGAAGGCAAGGTGTTGGTTTGTTCATGCTTTGGGTTCTTGCCGCTTGCTTGTTTTGTGTTGGCATTGGGTCCTGGATCTACAGGTTTCCGCTTCTGTTTGTGTGCTTTCAATTCAGCATGGATTCTCACGAGTGCAGATTTTCCCCTTCCTTGACTTTGGACCAGTTTTGACTACAACACTGCCTACCGGAGCTTTGGAACTTTGCTACCTTGAATTTGGCTTGCTACGACCTTGGACTTCATTTGACTACGCTTCCTCTTCACCAGTTCTTCTGTTTGTTAACTATTTGCTTACTCTGCTGTTTTGCATGACTTTCAGAGTGCTTTGTGTTAATCCGGTTCTTTTCTCCGGATAATCCAGAATATTGCTTTAGGTTCCTTTTTGAACCAGGACTGGTTGTTACCTTTGTGTTTTGACCAGAGGCACTGAGTTAAGTGTCTCTGAGTCCTTTTTGCTTTGTTTAATAAACTTTATTTTGGAACTAATCTTGAGTCTGGCCCTTTAAGGTGTCTGTATTCCGACACCTTTGGCCTTGTAGGTATGTGATCCATAACTCTATAAGTTCCACGATCTGAATCTAAACATTTGGAAATCATGTTTGTACCCTTCAGGAGGAAAGGGTGTACAAGCATTGGTAGTTCCATAAGGACTCATGAAGCTTTTTTTTGAGAAAGGAATACAGAACAAACTAAAAGCTGACGAACTCTGATTTAGACTGAATCTAGTTTGTGATTTCAGTTTCTTTTCAGTTCCATTTGCATTCTTAACGGCTGAATACCTTTTTATCTATTCTACTCCAAGAACCATAAAATGGGATATTTTAATTTCCCACAAGAGGCACAGTAACAATATGGCCTCTAATAAGTGATGATTAATAGAGAAACAGGTTACTAACTTTTTTATTGGTCAAGTGTCAACTGAATTTATGTTTCATTATATAGCTATTGTATGCCGACAACCACAAATTGATAATGGGGAAATTCGACCAAAGCAATTGCTGTACCAATATCAAGACCCAATTGATACATCCTGTGAGGAAGGATATCGTAACACTGATACCTCTTTCTGCACTCCTCGTGGCTGGCAACCTCCTCCAGCATGTATACGTAAGTATCTTTCTCTTTGCAGCTTTAGAACATAGATAACTGTATTTTCCAGAGGAATGATGTTTCAGGCATGCGTAAGGTCAAAGCCAATTCTTTAACTCCCTCTTGTTTCCCTTTTCTATTCCATCCAGTATCTTCTTTCATTTGCCTAGGTAAATATGCCTAGGGAGCATACCACACCCCTATAAAAGCAGCTCCACTGGCTGCTGACAAGTTTCTGATCCCAATCCAAAGTGCAGGTTATTACCTACGAAGCCCTAGATGGTTCAGGTCCAACCTATTTTCGAGACCACATATTCCCCTATGAACTGGTGTGGGCTCTAAGATCTGTCAGGAAGGCCTTCTTCTCAGTCCCACCTCCTTCTCAAGTGCGGTTGGTGGGGACAAGGGAGAGGACCTTCTCAGTGGAGCCCCCTCAGCTTTGGAATGCCCTCTCCAGAGAAATTAGGCTAGCCCCCACACTCCAATGTTTGCAGAAAACCTTGAAAACATGGCTCTTCAAGCAGGTCTTTGAACATGGTTAAACATCTGTTAAAACTTTTGGACCAAGTGAATGGTTTGACTCCAGCACTTTATGTGACTGAAATTGTTATGGCCAATTTTAATCCGTGGCTTTTGCTGCATCTTTATTGAATATTTTATTTAAATTAGTAGGGGGTTTATATTCTATTTTATGTATATCTGTTTTATGTTCTTGACATTGTTATTGTTTTATAAATGTTTGTGGATTTTATTGTACCTGCTGCACTACTATGTGCTTTTGTAAGCCACCTTGAGTCCCTTTTGGGAGATGGTGGTGGGATGCAAATAAAGTTGTTGTTGTTTTTTTGTCGTGTCAGGAGTCACTACTGTTGTGAGAGAATTGACCGTCTGCAAGGACGTTGCCCAGGGGATGCCCGGATGATTTTTGATGTTTTTATCATCCTTGTGGGAGGCTTCTCTCATGTCCCCGCATTAGGAGCTGGAGCTGATAGAGGGAGCTCATCCGCCTCTCCCCGGATTCGAACCTGCGACCTGTCGGTCTTCAATCCTGCCGGCACAGGGCTTTAACCCACTGCGCCACCGGGGGCTCCTATTGTTGTTGTTATTACTATTACTATTACTATCACTATTACTACTAGTAATAATAATAGTAGTAGTCGTCGTAAATGGGAAGAGATACACAGAGTAAATGAAACACTGCACAAGTCTAGGTCATCTTCCCTATGGGAACACAGCAGATAGTGTCACTAGTGGTATGAAATAGTCATGTTTTTTTCCACTTTCCTTGGAGAAATGCAGTTGTACTCCCCACAAGCCATACATCATTTTATTAGTATTCATTTATGTGCACTATACCTATGGACAAAAATCCACTTCTCTTGAGAGAAAAAGTGAGAGCTCGGGAAAATATGTCTGAATCTAGCTTGTGATTTCAGAAGGCTTGACTTTTTCAGCACATTTGATCTGAGTGTTTAGTGGACTCTTTGAAAATTATTTGCTCTCCCACCAGTGAAATCAGGATACAGCACAATTGTGTGGGTTAAACTTTTAATATATGTTACCAATCAATCTCTGTATGATCTACCAGCCAATTCAGGGCAGAAAACATGTACTTGAACATGACCTTGAACATGAACTTACATTTTAATTTGGTGTGCAATAAAGTGAGGCAGTGACCATCAGAGACCACCTCAACCTCCAACAATGGCTAGACACCAGGTAGCCCTTCAAGGAAATGAGTGGAGAAGTCATTCCATGACTATCTCTGGTCAAAGCCACTTCTGCTCACCCTCACATCACTTCCTTTAATAATGGATGATGTTTCCCCTTCATAGCCTCCACCAGAGAGGGGGTGCCATGGTGCACACCGATATGTACCTATCCTTATCCTTACTTGCATGAAAACCTACTTAGCACCCACAGTTTGTCATGGATTAAACAGTGTAGGGTAGGTGAAAAAAACCCTAGAGCATGGAGGGGGGGATTCCTACCCAGCTCCTTAGTGGCGCCCCTTGTAAAAATACACTGTCAGAGCAGTGGGTGGGTCAGTGACAATGAGGGAATGAGGAGGAGTGCATTTATGTACATACCCACAAGGAGTCCTCACGGAACTACTTTTCTGTAAGGGAGCAAAGTGCTTTCCTGCCCCCATGCTGAGGGCAGGAAAGGAGTTCTACTGTCTCCTTCCCTTGCTTCAAGATTAGAAGATTATTTGGAACCAGATGAGATAAAGCATTTTGGAAGACCTATGGAATGTTTTTATCTAGCACCATCTTCAGTAGAACCAATTCAACTCTAAGGAAAAGATGCTTCTCCTGTTTCTTTACCATGGCCCAAGTTATGATCTTGACCTTTATAAGGGGAAATAGGTGTGGACAATGACTTTTAGGATCAAAGGGAACATTGCTTACCTGAAGTAAACAATAATTAGGGTGGTCTGATCCTGCCTAATACCATCCTAGAAACAGTGCTTCTTTTTACAGCAGCTTTGCTGAAGGACACAATACCTCTTGTCCTTTTAAATCACAAATTGGTGACCCTTTTGCATGTATCTAGGCAGGATTAAATAAGAGTGGCAGACTATGTTATAGGGCACCTTTTCTAGCCTCTCTCCATGTGGGGTGAGCAGAGTGGATCCTAAACAGGGCTACTCAGTCATGGATATAGCTCAACTGCCTCGGACCTTGAGTTAGACTGGCTTAATCTGTCCATGTGCCAGTCCATAGGTAGGGGCTTCTAGATTTCAATCTCTATAGGACTTTTCTTGGTTTTGGTTTATCTTGAAATATTGATTTATCTTGAAAGATGTCTGTGTGTGGAGACCAGTGCACAGCGACCAACGTACAATCTTCACAGAAAAAAGTTTTTATCCAAATGCATTATTTATTTATCGTGTCATCAGCAACCATTGTATTACAATTCTAACAGAGCAAAACAAATACACAGATTAAAAAGAAAAAGGGAAAAAAACACACACAGATTTTGCAAATTTGGTATTTGGTTAAATGTCCTTTGACCAGTATCTGGCCACTTGGAGTGCCTCTGGGGTTGCTGCAAGAAGGTCCTCCATTGTGCATGTGGCAGGGCTCAGGGTGCATTGCAGCAGGTGGTCAGTGGTTTGTTCTCCGCACTCGCATGCCAAGGATTCCACCCTGTAGCCCCATTTCTGAAGGTTGGCTCTGCATCTTCTGGTGCCAGAGCGCAGTCTGTTCAGCGCCTTCCAAGTCGCCCAGTCTTCTGAGTGCCCAGGGGGGAGTCTCTCATCTGGTATCACTCATGAATTGAGGTGCTGGGTTTGGCCTGCCACTTTTGGACTCTCGCTTGCTGGGGTGTTCCAGCGAGTGTCTCTGTAGATCTAAGAAAACTATGTCTTGATTTAAGTCGTTGACATGCTGGCTGATACCCAAACAGGGGATGAGCTGGAGATGTCTCTGCCTTGGTCCTTTCACTATTGGCTGCTACTTCCCGGCGGATGTCAGGTGGTGCAATACCGGCTAAGCAGTATAATTTCTCCAGTGGTGTAGGGCGCAGACACCCTGTGATAATGCGGCATGTCTCATTAAGAGCCACATCTACTGTTACATACATCCAAATGCATGATTAGTTGCCTCTTATCTGATTCAGTTTTCATCTGCCATCAGAGCCATTGTAACATCTGCCAGAGGGAGACTGGCAGAGTGGGTGAAGGTGGTGATCAATACCTCCTTGGAACAAGGCAAAGTTCTAACTTGCCTAAAGGAGGCAGTTGTGAGACGTATAGTAAAAAAAAGCCATCTCTATACCCTTTTATAATTGGCAACTATTAGCCAGAATCCAACCTTCCCTTTCTGAGAAAGTTTTTCGAGTGTGTGATGGCCTCCCAACTCCAGGGATTTCTGGATGAAATGGATTATCTAGATCCATTTCAATCTGGTTTCAGGCCTATGGAACAGAGACAGCTTTGATTGCCTTGGTGGATGGCTTATGCAGAAAGCTAGACAGGGGGATTCTCGTTGATCTCTCAGTGGCTTTCAGTAAGCGTTTGCCATGGAATCCTTCAGGGTCACTGGGAAAAGACTGGGAGGAACTGTCTTATAGTGGCTCCGGCCTTCTTGGAGGGCCATACTCAGAAAGTGATGCCGACCGCATTCCTTTGTAGAAACCTGTCCAGGCCCATCTCTCAGTCCCCACACCCATCTCTAGCCTAGTTTGTGGAAACAAGAGGGAGAGCCTTCTCAGTAACTGCCCCTTGACTCTGGAACTCCCTTTTCCCCAGTGAAGCCGGAATGGTCCCCTCCCTCCTGTCCTTCCAGCAGCAGGCTAAACCCTTTTCATTAAGACAGTGTGTGTATATGTGTGTGTGTATATATATATATATTAGGCCTGGGTAACAACGGAAAAATTTGTTTCTAAAATCGATTTGTATTTGGGGGTTTTTTTTGTTTCGATATTTAAAATAATTACAAAATTTGCCTTTTAAAAAGTTCGATATTTACAAAATTTCGTAAATGGTAAAAAATTAACGAATCGATTTCCGAAACAATAACGAATCGATTCGTTAATGGCGGACGCGACCGCGAAATACGCTAAAAAACCTCCAAAACCTTCTGAAGCTTCCCTCTCCCTCTGTTGTTGACTGTTGGTGTGATATTATAATTTTTTTTCACTAATTAAACCATAAAACTGGCCCAGACATGCGGAAATAATAACGAAACGACCTCAAAACAATAACGAAACGAATACAATATCGAAATACGAAGCATTTACAAAACGTTTTTGAAAATTCGTTTTTTTTAATAATTGTTCCAGAATGGTTCGTTATCGTTTTGTAATTGAAAAAATTAACGAATTATTAACGAATTACGAATTAACGAAACGAAACCGCCCAGCCCTAATATATATATATATATATATATATATATATATATATATATGAAAGCAGGGGGTGCTGTGGTTTTTAATTTTGGTTTTAACTGGGAATGGTTTTAATGGTTTTAACTGGGAATTTTAAAATACCATTTATATTTAATCCTGTTTTATTGTTTGCATATTTTTATATTTTAAATTATACACTAATGCTTTTATGTTAAGCCACTTTGAGTCTGCTTCAGGAGAGATAAACAAGGGTATAAATAAATAAATACATTATCATTCGCTTGCTCCACCATTAATTTCTTGCATGATATTGTTTTCCTAATGAATAAAAATTGGGTCAATAAGCAAGGATTGGCTAATTTTCACCTCAGCTTAGATGAAATCTATTATCTTGTTTCAAAATGCAAGAAATATATCAGCTATTCATCTATCCCTAGTCTTGGCCTTGGAGTGCTAGCACAAAAGAAATAAGCACATTGAAAGAAAACAACATGTGACTGTAATATTCAATTTTTTGATGCTTAATTTTTCCCTCTCTGTTCTTTTCTAAAGCAAAGCATTGCGAATATCCCCGTGTTCAGAATGGAAGAGTGTATGAATGGCAATCATCCTTTCCAAAGCGACCAGGTTCCACAATTAACTTTGCATGCAATAAAGGTTTTCTACCAGAAGATAGAAATACAGCGATTTGGCATTTATCATACTGCACTACTCGTGGCTGGGAACCAGAACCCAAATGCTTCAGTAAGTAAAATTTTCCTTGCGTTCACCTTCCTTAGCAAGGAGAGAAATAATCATATCTAGACATAATATGTTGCATTCAAATCGGTTTTGTGAAAAGTTCATTTCCAAAAAAAGCACTAACACAGGGATGAGAAAAGTGACCATTTGTCTTCGTCAATTCACATGTTTCGTTTCTAGCTGTAAAATGCAAAATTATTGATGAGTGCAGCTGTAATGTAGAATTAATGCTGTTTGACAGCACTTTAACTGCTGTGGTTCAATATTGTAGTTTAGTGAGGCACCAGCATTCTTAGGCAGAGAAGTCTAAAGACTCCATTGAGTCCATAGTACTAAGCCTAAGTACTTTCAAGCTGGAATAATTTGACAGTCAAATATACCCAAAGTTTGCATTTACAAAACAGGAAAGTAAATTTTCATAAGGAAGTAAACTCCCGAGAGAAAATGGATTCATTTCCAGTCCCAAATTTTCTGTTGTGTAATGTGCACAACAGAAAGGTTGTAATGTGAGAAAGAGAAAAAAAGATGTCTTTTGCTTATTCTGTGCTCCCCAAAGCTGGGATTTTCCTAATATCACATGCAAATGGTACATCTATAAAGTGGACTTGATCCAGTGTCCAGGCATTAGTTCAAGTCTGCTTGGTGACCCTATAGACACTCCCTCGGCTACTTTGGAGACAACAGGTAGTCCCATTGCCCAGCCGTGCTGAACATCCCCTTTCCTCCTCCCAAGCTGTCAACCTTGACACCAAGATTGATGTCTGTGCCATAGTTGTCAACACCTGTGCCACACTGTCATGGCATATCCCCAGGCTCCTTGATCATTGGAAGTGTAGGATTGCTGACAGATCTGGTTAGGAAATGCCCCAACTGTCTTGAATATTCCTAACTTGGAGGTCCACTGAAATACTAGCTCAGGATTCAGGTTATCCCCTTAGTTAACTTAACCTGGGAGAAGCCAATGGTGTTTAGTAGGCATGGGTAACAATGGAAAAATTTGTTTCTAAAATCGATTCGTTTTTTGGGGGTTTTTGCGTTTCGATATTTAAAAGAATTCCGAAATTTTTCTTTTAAAAAGTTCAATATTTACGAAATTTCGTAAATGTTAAAAAAAATTACGAAACATTAACGAAACAAATACGAAACAATAACGAATCGATTCGTTAATGGCGGATGCGACCGCGCAATACGCTAAAAAACCTCCAAATGGGACAGGGGGAACTTCTGAAGCTTCCCTCTCCCTCTGTTGTTGACTGTTGGTGTGATATTATAATTTTTTTCACTAATTAAACAAAAATCAACTATAAAACTTGCCCCAGACATGCGGAAATAATAACGAAATGACCTCAAACCGATAATGAAACGAATACATAACGAATCCGAAGCATTTACGAAATGAATTTAAAAATTCTTTTCATTTTTAAGTTGTTCCAGAATGGTTCGTTATCGCTTCGTTATTAAAAAAAATGAATTTTTAACTAATTACGAATTAACGAAATGAAACCACCCAGCCCTAGTGTTTAGCTATCATGGGGATGATCAGACATTACACTGACCTAAGTAGTCAGTGTACATATGCTCAAGGTAGTGGAAGTCCAAACTCAGGGCAACTCATGAATTTCAGCAAACTCTGGGGCATTCCCAATTTTTTGCCAACATGGGGTAAAACAGGGTTTGCTTCATATTACAGGCTGGAAGTCCCAGGATTTTGTGTGGACATCATGTCACTATTTCTGGTCCTTTTCAACATTTGTAGCCAGGGTAGACAGGGACAGAGAAAGCATCATCAATTTGAATTCTGTCCAGACACAATCTCAAGAACCACTACAGTTGACAATCTTCAAAGGCATCTTCTTCCGTCATTTATTACAGGATTGGCAAGGCTTGCAGAACAGGTTGCAGCCAACATACCAAGCAAAGCTAAGACCACTTTGATTATCATAGTCTTCCAGGAATCTTGCATAAATGATGTAACATAATTGTTTTTTTGCTTTTAGAAAAATGTGATCCTCCTCGACGAATTCCACATGGTTCTTTTAATTATTATCAGTGGCCACTCAAAGAGGGCAATGAGATATAGATGTGATATAGGATATGTTCCTGCAAATCAGCGAACAACAACCACATGCACAAAAAATGGCTGGTTACCAACTCCAAGTTGTGTTGCAGGTAAGCAGGTTTTAGTTCAAATATCCAATCTGAGATTATTTCTTTCCTCTGTTTGCAGAGTATACTTTTTTGACTTTATTTACACAGCTGGAGGAGAAGTTGGATGCATGGCACATACAGTTGGAAACCCATGGTAATTCACCAAGAATTACCAAGAATAGGGAAGGACATCACAGAAGCTATTTATTGGCTGGCACTTTTACATTCACCATATTTTCACAGAAACATCATTGCTGACATCCTATGGGAGATGCACAGCTACATGATAAGGAATGAAGCCGTTTCTCTAAGTTGTAGCCATGGGCTCTTATGAGTCTTCATTAGAAAAGGCAACCTGATTTTTTTTCTCATGTAGTTTCCCAAACTTAGAGTAGGCAGAGTTTCAATTCTACGAGGTCCTCTAGAGGAGTGGTTCTCAATCCCAGGTGTTTTGGCCTACAACTCCCAGAAATCCCAGTCAGTTTACCAATTGTTAAGATTTCTGGGAGTTGAAGGCCAAAATATCTGGGGGCCCACAGGCTGAGAACTACTACTCAAGAGATTCTAGAGGATTTTGTCATCATGTTGTGACATGGCCTATTTCAACATAGTCAGCAATGATCTTTGGCTATCTTCTCTCTTCTCTCAACCATTACATGACCATGTTGAGGTGGGCAGGGAAAATGTGAAGCTGGGGGGGGGGGGGCAGTGTTTGAAGATATTCTTTCTACAGGGTGATAATTGATTAAATTATTCCTTATCTTCTGTAGAAGCTAACCACATGTTCATCCCTACTCTCTGCATCTAAGACCAGCACAAGAGATTGATTTTCCTTGGGCAACCAGTTCTTTCAGTTCTGTTTTTGACCTGTCCATGGCATTCCAGATATTTGTAATGTATGTGCCAGTAGTGGCTTTCATCAGTGGGAAATTATTATCCTTATAACAACACTGGACAAATCTGGCACATATGAGGACCAATTTCACTTTCTTGGGGTACATCAATACAGCAAACACAAAAAAGACCACAGATTTGTATCTGGTTTTGACCAGAGTTCTGATTTTTATAGTTTTAGCATTGTTGAAACCACTGTTCTTTGAGACTTTATGAGTAGTGAATAATTTTATTTTCTTCTTTTAAAAAAGCAGGACATTGCCAAGTTTGTCAAAGCTGAGTACAGGACCTACAGAAATGGCTCTGGGGGCTGCCTACAGTCCTTGAGCCACATTTTGTCTGCCTGGGTTCTGCTTTAACTTTTCATTTTCATGTTAAATGTGTGTAACTGAGAGCTAGAGATTTATCTCTTGCAGTCATCCCCAGCTAGATTCTTGCTGCACTAGCAGAACAATCTCAACAGCAGTGATTGAACCAGGGTCAGCTAACACCTCCCTACAAAGGATTCACTCAGGCAGGAAGCAGCCAGGTTTTGAAACTGTAAGGCCATTAAATGCTAATCAAGCTGGTGAATTGCAACATTCACACTTGCCTCTAACAGATAAGAGTTCTTTCTCCCATCCTGGGCATTCTATAGATACAAAAAACTCACTTGCTTAATTTCCAACAGACCTCACAATCTCTGAATATGCCTGCCATAGATGTGGGCAAAACATCAGGAGAGAATGCTTACGATGTATTTACAGGCGGTTCCTGAGTTACAAATATCCAACTTACAAATGACTCATAGTTAATAACTTCCAATGATATATCCTACCACATCATTTCAGTACTGTGTGTAAATAAGGTTTCTCACACAACTTTGTTGGGATACTCCTTTCCCCTTCCAGCACTGCAGCATCATGATTCTGCCTTGCAATTATTGAATATCTGGATATCATTAGCACCTACCACCATGTCTCTGGCAGGAAAAAAATGTGGATTCTGTAAGGGTAAACAGGCAGTCCCCAAGTTATAAACATTTGACTTACAAATGGGGCGTGAGACATAGGAAGTGAGATAAATCTACCCCTCAGAAGGGTACGTCAATCCAGGAAGAGATATCATGGGGAAAAGAAGTCTCCACGGAATCATTATATTTCTGGATCTCGTATAGTAAAGTGTTTAAAGAAGCAATGGTCAGAAGCACCCCAATGCAGAGGTATTTGATTCCATTCTGATATATCTTGAAAGTGAGGTACAAATTAAAATGGAAGTTTTCTCTTTTTTTCTATGTAGACTTTTGATTAGCTTCTCAAGAGTGAAAGGAAAAGTCTCCCATGATTTTTAGCAATGGCTAAAGACGACCTACCTACTTGAGGTCAGCTCATCCGACATGTAGTTCAACTTATGTGGCATAGAATGACCTATCTTCCATTTTGTCTCTTATCCAGGATTGCAAGGGCTATAAGAATGCTCAAGTCTTGCTTACCAAAATCCATAGCTAAGGTCAGCACTGATATTTCTATGCAGGAAAACACATTTTTGCAAATTATTTCGTATCCAATTACTTCTGATTTCTGCACAGAAAACAAATTTTTCCATACAGAAATTAATATTTCTGTGTTGAAATTTTATTTTCGACAGAGAAAAATATGTGTTCTGCATACAAAATGATCTTTTTGTACAATTTTTCATGTGCCTGTTGTGTGTGGCAAATTGCATGTGCAATTTTTGTAGAGAATAAATCTCTACATTAAAATTTCCATCAGTCCAGGATTCTTCTAGTCCAAGCTTCTTATAACTTGAGAAACATTTTGCCCAATAATCTCTCCTATTTCCTAGCAGGAAGGTGTTTGAAAGGCTTGGATAAATAAATGTCATTCTGTATTTTGTGATAATACTGTTTGCCTGTTTGTCTGAATTGCATGGATTGATACCAGCTCATTTTGGTGTCCATGCCTCAGAGCACAATATGGGTTAGATTACTGTTTGCCTTTTCCAGTACTGTTGGCTTTATGAGTAAATGCTCTTTCTTGCCAAACTAAAGATGAAGAATCCTGTGATTTGGTTTGTACAATTTTCAAACTGTGTTGATGCACAAATTCATTCTGTATCACTATTGATTTAAATTTTCTTGGTTAAACACTTTGCATGAATGTACACATATATTTCTCCTAATATCTGCTTTCTGTTTGCATTTCTTTAAATACATTAGATATGTATTTTAGTACAGATTTCATTTTATGTATGTATTTATTTATTTTGAGCATTTATATCCCATCCTTCTCACCTCTGAAGAGGTTTATGGGATGGCTACAACAGGCAGTCATTAGATGCCAACACAGTACATTAAAATCACAGTTACAATTAGCACAATTAAAAACAATGATAAACATTCCATATTAAAACAGTTCTTCTGTTCAAAATTATAGTCCAGGTCAATCCATTGCAGTAACTAAAACATTCTCTTCCTAGTTAATCCATCTATTGTTCAAATGCTTGATCCCATAGCCAGGTTTTGAGTTTTTTACGAAAGGTCAGGAGGGAGGGGGCAGACCTAATGTCATTGGGGAGAGAGTTCCACAGCCGAGGAGCTACCACGGAGAAGCCCCTGTCTCTCATCCCCACCCATGAAGATGGTGGGACCAAGAGCAGGACTCCCTGGATGATCTTAACGTCCTTGGTGATTTGCAGAGGGAGATACGTTTGGACAGGTAAACTGGGCCGGAACTGTTTTTAATCAGCAAACTGTTCCACTACATTTGACAAGCATGAAGTTTGGATTCTATTTCATTTCTTCATTAAGAAAATATGAGTTGAGTTGGTTTGACTTTAGTTGCATGAACAAACAAACTTGTTCCCACTGCTGCAATGAACTTTAATAAGTGTTGGAAAAAAAATGAATGATTATTTCCCCCGCATATTACAACCCAAGAAAATCCCAATGCCATGACAAAACATACATATTACTTGTAGGGCTGGGCGGTTTCGTTTAGTTAATTCGTAATTTGTTAAAAATTCGTTATTTTTTTGTTAACGAAGCGATAACGAACCATTCTGGAGCAACTTAAAAACGAAACGGATTTTTCAATTCGTTTCGTAAATGCTTTGCATTTCGTTATGTATTCGTTTCGTTATTGGTTTGAGGTCGTTTTGTTATTATTTCCGCATGTCTGGGGCAAATTTTATAGTTGTTTTTTGTTTAATTAGTGAAAAAAAATATAATATCACACCAACAGTCAACAACAGAGGGAGAGGGAAGCTTCAGAAGTTTTTTTAGCGTATTGCGCGATCGTGGCCGCCATTAATGAATCGATTTGTTATTGTTTCGTTATTGTTTTGTATTTTTTTTACCATTTACGAAATTTCGTAAATACCGAACTTTTTTTAAGGAAAATTTCGGAATTCTTTTAAATATCAAAACGCAAAAAACCCCAAAAAACGAATCGATTTTAGAAACAAATTTTTCCGTTGTTACCCAGGCCGAATTACTTGTACTTTATAGGATAATATGTATGTTGTTCATGGTTATTTTTTCATTAGCCCATTTTTATATAATCATAATGCTTTATTTATAGCTCTCCCTGTCTCCTCAAAGGGAATCAGGGTGGCTTACAACAACATAAAAATAAGTGGCAAACATTCAATGACTGAGGATAAGGTATAATAAAAACAAGCTCAATAAAAATAATAAAAAGCAATTTAAATGAACAAGACATAATACAATCCACACAATAACATCATATTAAATCCTAAAAATCTCTTAAAATTTGACTAAAATTATTGGATTGAGGATGGTAAACAACAGATTAATGAAGGTAGATGTTCAGCAATTAGGTAAGGGTGCATATAACGTCTAATTTGTCCTCCTTCTCTCCATAGGCTAAAGTGCATAGATGTGATTTTAAAAGCTTTTTAAAGGAGAGGAGATAGGGGGCATTTTTAATTTAGGGAAGGAGTACCAGAGGCGGGGAACGATCGCAGAGAAGGCCTTTTCTCTTTTCCTCATCAGCTAGGTTTGAGACAGAGGTGGGACCTAGAGCAGGGACTCTTCTGCAGACCACAGTGCTCGTGCTGATTTGTAAACACAGATGTGTTTTTTCAATAGTCTGGGTCCGAACCATTTAGGCTTTATAGGTAATAACCAGCACTGCAGACCAGCAGCCAGTGGACATGCTGTAACATAGGAGTTGTCCGCTCCTTCTACGGTGCTCCAGTTAGTAATCTGGCTGCTGATCTCTAAACCATCTGCAGCTTCCGAACCATCTTCAAAGGCAGCCCTATGTAGAGAGTGTTGTACTAGTCCAGGCGGGATGTTTCTAAGGTGAAAACTACCATAACCTGGTTGCTCAAGCCATGGGTGCAGCTGGTGCACAACTTTTAATTGTGTGAAGGCACTCCTAACCATTACCAGCACCTGCGATTCCAGGATCAGCGATGATTCCAGGATAACCCCCAGACTACAAACCTGTGTCTTCAGAGGAAGTGTGACCCCCCTCCAACACAGGCTGTAGCCCCACACCTTTGTCTGCCTTCCAACTGACCAGTAGTACCTCTGTTTTATCTGAATTTACCCTCAACTTATTAGACCTCATCCAGTCCATCACTGATGACAGGCATTGGTTTAGGGGTAGGATGGCATCTCTATAATTACTCAATTGAGTGAAATTCAGTGCCAGATTCTTCAACAAGAGTCCCTTAAATTAGTAGGCATTATGCCTTGGATCAGGGAGGCATTTACCAGCACCTTTGCCCACTCTGTCAGTCCCCCCCCCCCCGCCGATTTAATGAGTGAGGATGGTCAAGGGTCCAGAGAACAGGTGGTCGATCTCATTCCTCCAATGATCTTGTCTACATCCTTGGACTGGATAAGTTGAAAGGAATCCCTAGAATCATGACAAACAGATGCTTCAGTTACATCCACCGAGACTGCATTAATATTGATGTCAATGTCAGAGCAGATCCGAGTGGCTTTATCTGCAGAGAACCTAACAAATTCCTCACAATGAACAGTCAATTGATCAGGGATCCCTGGCTGGGCAGGGTTCAAGAGTGCCCTTGTCACTTGAAACAGCTCTCTTGGGCAGTTCATTGCAGATGCAATGTTGGTAGCAAAATATTTCTTTGCTGCCTTCATTGTCACAGAGTAGACTTTTAAATGAGCTCTAGATCATTCTTGGTCAGATTCGCTGTGAGATCTACACCAACACTGCTCTAGTCTCCATTTCAATTGCTTCATCACTGTCAGTTCCCTAGAGTACCAGGGAGTTGATGCGGCTCTGCTTTTTGAAAGATGTTTGAAAGCAATTGTGCCAACTACCCTGGCTACCTCTGTGTTCCAGAAGTCTGCCAGAGCTTCAACAAAATCACCTACCAAAGAGGCAGGAAAATCCCCAAGAGACATCAGAAATCCATCCTGATCCATAAGCCTATTGGAGCGCTCCTTCTTGATTGGCTCTCCATCCCTGCAGAGGTTTAGAGTCCCAGTGAGACTAAACCTGGCCAGGTAGTGATCAGTCCATGACAAAGGAACTGTGGACAGTTCCTTGACAATACCATCACCATCATCCCACTCTGAACAGAAGACCAGGTCTACAGTGCGTCCAGTGCTATGGGTTGGGCCAGAAGCCACTTGGGACAGACCCATGGTTGTCATGGCAGCCATGAAGTTCTGAGCCACTCCTGACAGGGAGGTCTTGGTGTGAATGTTGAACTCCTCCAGCACTACTACCATTGGGACTCCAACACCAGGCCTGAGACCACCCCAGATAGCACATGTAGGAAGACTGTTGTGTAGCAGGATGAACACCACACCAACAGAATCCCTGTTCTGTCCTGGCCACTCACCCTTAGATGGGCACACTGGAATGTGGTCAACTGTGGGACTGGACACCTGACCAGGTCAATGGAGTCTTGATTAACCACTGCGACTCCTCTTCCCCACCCCTAGATCTGGCTTGCTGCTGCACACTGAAACCTGGTGGGCAAAGTTGGGAGAGATTTGCACCCCCCCCCCCAATCCATCCAGGTCTCAGTAATACAGACTAAGTCTGCATGCTCATCCAAGATTAAATCTATTGTTTTTCCATTCACCAACCTGGCATTAAGTAGCAGCTTGGAGGGCCTGCCATCTTGGTTACCTAGACTATTTGTGGGTGGAGTCGGCCCAGGGGCTGGGAGGTGGCCCCTGGGTCACCTCCCCTTTTTCTACATCTCTGAATACTATGATGTAAATGGATGGAAAACACCGACCCCATGTAACTCCCTCTTGCCCTGGTACATGTCTTGCCTTCTATGTTATAAAATTGTTAAAGTGCTGATATGGGGAAGGCCTTAGAATAAAGTGCTAATGGGTTGTTGGCCTATTCTTGGTTGATAAATGTGTGTGGATTGAGTGTGTGTTGATTGAAAAAATTGCATTTAAGGTTAAATTTGGATATCCTAAGCAAATATGCTTGAGATGTTATATCTTAGCTGGATTATTCAAACATTTAAGTTGGAAACCTATAATTAATTGATCTGGAAGAATCAAGATGTCAAGCCTACTTCATTACTGATGCTTGACATCATATCGTGTTTTGAAACAGTTAGCTTGACTTTTCTCTTGTGCATAGAATTGGAGACTATTGATAATAGAAACTTCCTGGTTTGTTATAACACTCATGCATGAACAATTGATGCAACTGTAGGTGTAATCCAATGGCTCAAAAATTAAATATTGAGTTAGATATTTAGGGAAATTCATATTCCCTACATCTAACCTGTTCTGCTTCCCCCTCCCCCCACAAAAATGTATTTGTCAGAAATCAAATTTATAAATTGAATAAAGATTGGCTGCACTTTCATTTCCAGTCTTAGAGACCTACAAATACACACAAATTTTTATGAAAATTGGATCAGACTGAATCCTATCAGTAAGCCTTAACGGCTTTATGAAAGTGGTGGTTATATATGAAATGGCAGAGCTTAATTGTCCTGGGCAAGAATTCCAAGTGTTCTGAGCAAAATAAAAGAATGGCTAGAAAAGAAGTAGAAGTATTGCAAGCACTGATACTATTCTATGTTTTTGCTATTACTAAAAACTAATATATAATAGGTACTAAAACTAATCTTCCAACACTGGATAGGAATAAGATACACACTGGGAGTAAACAAGTGAACAAAACGCAGACTTGTTGAAATCCTATGTACACAAAAGCAACTGTGTGGTCTATTTGAACTCTTAATAATAATGTAAATCATCACTTGTTGTTGTTGTTATAATTGATTGTTCATGATTCATTAGCAAACACACATGGTTCGGTTTCCATTCTTAAAAAGGAAAAATATGTCTTTGGGCAAGTGTTTTGCCTTATTTTCCATTTTCATATTTGTAACAGTGGGAAAGGATATACATTCTCATAGTATTTGCAACCATAATGAATGTTATGAGGAAAGATGTCAGGAAAATTTGAGATAAATCACCATTCTTACCTCAACTGCCTCGACCTTGCAAGCTCTTCTTGAAGGCACAAAGTGGGAAGAACACCAGACTCATCTATTCAGCTTTCAATGAAAACTGCACTTTATTTTTATTTACAAAATATATACCCAGCAAACTCTTATCCTGTCCGTTCACATATCGGCACAATGCACGAAGTACATTGCAAGCTTCTTTTCCAGTTTGCCCAGGAAACTCCAAAAGTGACATTCTACCAATTCTACATATCTCTATTGTTTTAACCCATGCATTTCTGAAACCATACAGTTTATAAACTATAAACAATTTTCACACCAGAAAAAATTACATACTGAGGAAAAAAAAGCTGTTTTCTGATTCATTGTTCAATTCTTTTCTAAAGTTAATACAGGAAAATGTGGTCATCCACCTTCTATTGAAAATGGAGATTTTATTGAACTTGTAAAAGAAGAATATAAATCGGGTGATTGGGTGACATACAAATGCCAACGTTTCTACAACATGAAAGGAAATGCAGTAGTACGTTGTCAAGATGGCCTTTGGTCGGACACCCCAGAGTGCATAGGTATGAGAATAATCTCAAGACTTCATAAAATTTAATGGTATAGATCTTGTTTAATATAGAAAAAAATAAATTCATGTCTGTGTTGTGGCTTTAATAGATTCATCTAGTCAATAAAAAATATGAATTCTACATAATAGAAGCATATACTTATAACTATTTCATGTTACAAGTATTCAATCCAATGCATTCAGAATTATGGAGTTGGAAAAGCTGTTGCAGGTCATATACCAGTAGTAGTTTCCTTCTTGGTGTAAGACATACACAGATTAAACTGCCTTCATATGCCTTCTATATTTCTCACAAAGAGTTTTCATTACTTCTGTAATCCTGGGGAAGGTGGGATTTATACCATAGGTTTGTATTTCTCATTTGTACAGAAAGATAAATAGCAATGCGGGACTTTCTGTTAAATATTTCTTGGATTTATAGGATTTGTGTTTTTGGGTTCCCCATGTCACTGAACTATCATAATTGTAGTCCTATGTATTTCCTTATGAAGTATGTTGAACCCCTACCAGAAGGGATTCTCTCAATCTGTCTCCATTTCCATCCTCATTGGGAGTTCAGTGGGACTGAGCCAGAGAGTTTCTCCTACAGATGACACTCTTACTTCCATTGAGAAACCTGCTTTTCTTTACTACTATTGGGAATATAGGGGAAACTCCCCTTTTAGTAAAGGCTCTCATCTATATGATGAGAGGGACAAAACTGAAATGGATTTGCAGGGCTAGCACATTCCTCTTCTTTGTATTTTTATTCAGGACAATCTGCAAAGGAAAGAATGGGGTTTATATTGAAAATTGTCACAATGCCAGGGCTCTGCCGTTATTTCCAGCAGAGGTGAATCAAACAAATACCCAGTTTGTGTTAAACAGTTTAATTAAAACAGCACTTACTTTCTGGATGTTTTAATAGTCCAAAATATAAAACATAAAGATAGCACTCAGCCACAGAATAAACAAAAACTGATAGCAAATGCTGTCCTGTAGTCAAAGGGTCCGATCCATTGGTTAAACGTTGAGAGTTCAATAAACAAGGTCCAGGGATCAAGATTCTATACCGTAGTCAAAAGCCAGTCCAAGATTCAAGGTTCCAGGGTTCCAAAGGTTCAGGAGACAGGTCAAGGCACCAAAACTCCACAAACCTGGGGGAAAATCAGCAGCATCTACCACCAAGATAAAACAAATACTTTTTTCCCAAAGATCAGTCCCAAAGCTAGCTCCTTATATCCAGAAACACCCCGCTGAATCCTATCTCTTGCATATCTCCACCCTTAATTGCTTTCACCCATGAACTCTTACTTACAAATTACACAACCCTTTAAAACTAAGACTTACATTTAACCCTTCCATCATCAACTGCTAGGCCTACCACCACCAACCACCATCAATTGCAGAACATGATACATGACAAAAATTAGTCTAATGTGCAATATGCTAAAGGTCTAAAGTTAAGTAGATCAATTCCTTATCTTAATTTGCATCATTGGCCACTGACTAAAGATTTGCCTGGGAGGAATTAGGTCAGTCGGCATATATTAAGGGTTCTGAACAATTCATTGTATATTCTATCAATAGAAAGCATTTCTTTTCCTGAGCTCCCATTGTAATCCTGATGGCTACTGTAAAAAGAGGAAGGTGAGAAAGACCAAGTTCAGTTACAAGATACTATAAATGAATCAGCAGTACACATGTTCAAAAGCAGGTTTTATTTATTATTTATGCATCACAGAAATGTGGTGGAATCACCAAAGTGCATAACACTACTACCTTTATGTGTGAGGTTGATCAGGTTCTAGTACTGTATTAATCTCTATCCTTTATTTTACCGATTTGGCTAAAAAGAAAATTCTTTAGTATGGTTTATCTGTTGGTTGACAACTGAATGCCTGCAAGTTAGAATTGCAGGTTTGGGTGCACAGTATGTTCCCTTGTCCAGAATACACTTGCAAGTTGCTCACAGAGGAAGATCAATGAACATGGAGAAAATTATGCTATCATAGGATTGAGATGCAAAGAGAGTGCTGGTATTTATGCAATTCCTCCCTCTCTTCCCAGCTCAACCAAGACAGCCTTTGTTTCATTTGGCATGAAAGTTCTGCTGGTCAGTTTCAGAACTATAAAACAGCTGTCATTTGATTTATGGTTGAGCATACCAACCATACTAACGGCGCTCCATGCAGTCATGCCGGCCACATGACCTCGGAGGTGTCTACGGACAATGCTGGCTCTTTGGCTTAGAAATGGAGATGAGCACCACACCCCAGAGTCAGACATGACTGGACTTAATGTCAGGGGACTACCTTTACCTATACCAACTTGGGATTTAGCTGGGGTGGAAAGGGTTGATTTCTCTTGGGTATGTGATCCTGTAATTCATTCTGTATAGATCCAGGGCTCTGCCGGTATGCAGGCAGAGGTTAATCAAACAACACCAGACTTGTATTAGAAATATTTTACTTACAGCAGTAACTTAAACACTTTGCCATTTCCAGGTCCATGTTCAAACATAAAAATAGCACACAGCTGAAGTCACACGCTAGTTTAGGACCAAGAAGAAGCAGTAGTCAAGGTTGCAGTCCAAGAGTCAAACACCAAGCATTCAGAGTAATGATCTAAGGTTCAAGAGTACAAAGCATAGTAGTGGTAGTTCCAAAGATCAAGCCAGATAATTCAGAGCCAAAATCCATAATCAAGAGTCAGTCCAAGGATTCAAGTTACCACAAGACATAAGAGCAACAGAATTCACAATAAGATTATTACCACGGTTCAAGTTATAGCACAAGAGTTCAGAATATAGGTCAGGAATAACACCATCCACCAATTTGGGGAAAAAACTTCCAGCACCCACATCCAGATACTTTTGTATCAGATACTTTTCTCCTCAAAAAGCATCCTATAGCCAGGCTCTTTTTATGTAGCTGATCACAGCTGTATCCTATACCCTGATTGCTGCCACCTTACAGACAGATTACTCTGACCTATAGAACCTGAGGGGAGATTAACCCCTTCCATAACTTTTGCCGCATCACCACCCCACTAATCATGAGCCTATATTACCTATCACCAAGCATTATATATACTAACCACCACCAACTGCTAGGCATGGCACAATATCAACCACCATCAACTGCAAAACATGACACATTCACAGGGGAGTCCATACCCTTCTTGTTATCCTTTTTGGGAAATACAGAAATGTTAATTTTTCCCCTGACTTTTGGGGGGAAGCCCAAAATGTATTTATTTTAACAGTTGAAAAGCTAAAAGCAATCCAATATAGTAACACGGTTTTTCTCATCTCTTGAAGCAATCATTTTTGACCAATCTCAGATATCACTACATCTTTTTCTACCTTTTGGTGATTTTTTTTCCATAAAAGAACCATGCTTTTATTGTGTATTTCTGGCTATATGCTCTGAATACTTCAGTCCTGTGCTTTTATTATTTCTAAAAACTTAAAAAAACTTTTTTTTCTGCAGTTCCATGTACAGCAAGTGAGGAAGACATGGAACATAACAATATAAGGCTGAGGTGGTCATGGGCTGAAAAAATATATAACAAAGATGGTGATATAACAGAATTTATATGTAAACGGGGCTATCGTCCAGTTGTGCCTCTTTCCCAATTCAGAGTACAATGTGTCAATGGCACATTTAGATACCCACGATGTCAATGATATGTAAGTATATTGCTTTTAAAGGCAAGGTGTTCAATGAGATAGCTGTTCTGACTTTTTTTAAAAAAAAAGGGTTTTGTAAAAAAAAATTGAAATTCCCTAAAATCAGTAGATGTATGACTATTTCTGAAAGTTGGGGGGAAATGATACCCTGTCATTTTGTGTTATTGTATAGAAAATTCAAGGAGATAGCTCTTGTAGTTTTTGTTAAATACATTGTTTTAAAACTTTAAATTTTCCCCCCAAAATCCATGGATAAGTGAAATATTCTGAAATTTTATGGGCTTATAGTGGTTAATGTGTTCTACCATTGTAACAAGTTTCACCCCAATAGATGTAAAAATGAGGGAGAAAAGAGCCCCTGAAGTTTCCCCACTTGCAAAATTATTATAATGAACAAGTAACAAAATTTTGTGACTCTTTTTATAGTAATGAAATTGATACTTTAGAAACATTTTAGAAATGAAACACTGGAATTCCTAAGTTTGTAATGAATTTTAAAACATTTTTAATTGATTGCTCAGCCCTAATAGAGACATAAATAACAATGCTTATTACTTTAGTATTGTGAATAGATATATGTTTCGCCAGCGCATCTTTTGTTGATTGACTTGGCCATCCTTTTGGCATCTTAGACCTACCATAGGAATGTAAAGAAGATTAAGGAATTACCTAAAAAAAAGATACATTGGGATATTTTTTTTGGTGCATATGATATGGGGAGGGAGGGATAGAAGTAGCTGATGGCATTATTGCTGTTATCTAGATGGAAACAGTTCTAGTTAGGAATAGTTTGCATGGATTTTCCTTTGAAAATGTCTTAAACTTGAGTGAATGGTAAAGTGTGTTATACTTATTTTGCACAAGTTGCCTTCTGCATACAGATCTAGACACATTTCATTATTTTTGAATGTATCTTTTCTGATTATATACAAGATTGTTTCAAATAATTTAAAAAAAGTAAAGTAAAAAAAAGAATATTTAAGTGTTTATCCTCGGTAAAAATGATGATTTATCTGAAAACACTTCAGAAAAAAAACATCAGTTGCTTTGCAACATTTATTTATTTCCTCCTTTAGGACAGTAAACAGATTGATTTTTTTTAGAAAATCAATAACAATAATAGGAAAAAGACACAAGAGGTTTTTGGCATAGAGCTTATAGTTGTGCACAAGTTCATCTTGTTTGTTTTTGCTCAAAATTCAGGGAATTTGTACAAAACATTGTTTAGCAATGTTTTTATTAAAAGAGCCTCAATGTTAAAACTTGAACATGAAACAAAAACTTATATAATGTTCCCCAGGAAAGAGAACACTTCTGAAATATTTAATTTTTGTGTAAATGAATTAAATTAAGGGAGATTGACATTTACACACCTCTAGTCTCATTTACCTATACTACAGGCATCTGATTTTTGCATGCTACACTTAATTTGATGAGTGGGGGATAGTATGCATCACTGAGCTAAATTAATTGTTCATCAAAATAAATAAAAATATATCAAAATTTGAAAACATTTAATGTCAGCAATGATTGATTCAGGATGCTTGTGTGGCTGGGGAGTAGACTGGATGGCCCTTGTATTCTTTTCCAATTCTAAGATTCTACCTCAACCATTTAAAAATTGATGCCTTTCTTTCAAACGCTAATTTTTGTTAATAAAAAGAGAGCCCTAATATAGTTGCCTTAACACAGTGTTTCTCAACCTGGGGGTCGGGACCCCTGGAGGGGTCATGAGGGGGTGTCAGAGGGGTCACCTAAGACCATCAGAAAACACCGTATTTTCTGTTGGTCATGAGGGTTCTGTGTGGAAAGTTTGGCCCAATTCTATCATTGGTAGGGTTCATAATACTCTTTGATTGTAAGTGAACTATAAATCCCAGCAGCTACAACTCCCAAATGTCAAGTATCATTTCCCCAAACTCCACCAGCGTTCACATTTGGGCATATTGAGGATCTGTGCTAGGTTTGGTCCAGATCCATCATTGTTTGAGTCCACAGTGCTCTCTAGATGTAGGTGAACGACAACTCCCAAACTCAAGGTCAATGCCCACCAAACTCTTCCAATATTTTCTATTGGTCATGGGAGTTCGGTATGCCCAGTTTGGTTCAATTCCATTGTTGGTGGAGTTCAGAATGCTTTTGATTGTAGGTGAAGCCCAGTAACTATAACTCCCAAATGACAAAATCAACTCCATCAGTATTCAAATTTGGGCACATTAGGTATTTGTGCCAAATTTGCTCCAGTGAATGAAAACACATATTTACATTCTGATTCATAACAGGAGCAAAATTACAGTTATGAAGTAGCAACGAAATTAATGTTATGGTTGGGGGTCACCACAACATGAGGAATTGTATTTAGGGGTCGCGGCATTAGGAAGGTTGAGAAACACTGCCTTAACATGCCTAGATATTGACACTAACTTATAGTACTGTATACTAGGCTTGGGTAACCACGGAAAAATTTGGTTCTAAACTCGTTTCGTTTTTAGGGGGGCCCTTGCGTTTCGTTTTTTTAAAGAATTCTGAAATTTTCCTTTAAAAAAGTTTGAAATATACGAAATTTCGTAAAACTACGAATCGATTCATTAATGGCGGACGCAATTGCGCAATATGCTAAAAAACCCTCCAGATGGGACAGGGGGAACTTCTGAAGCTTCCCTCTCCCTCTGTTGTTGGCTGTTGGTGTGATAATTTATTTTTATCACTGATAAAACAAACAACAACTATAAAACTTGCACCAGACATACGGAAATAATTACGAAACAATTACAAAACAATTTTGAAACAATTTTGAACCAATTACGAACCAATTACGAAACAATTACGAAATACATTGGAAAAATTGTTTCGATTTTTAATTACTCCTCACAGTAGTCCTGCATGGCTCAATACTGGATCGTAAGCTAATTTAAATACGTATTAATAACGAATTACAAAATTAATGAATGAAACCGCCCAAGCCTACTGTATACTATCATTTGTGTATACAGCATTATTTTGAAACAATTTGTGAATCGCATTAAACACTGTCCTGTTTTATATTAAGAATTATCCACATAACAAATAATTACCTGTGCTTGTAATCTTACCTGTTCACTTTGTATTTTACAGGTGTGAATATAAGGAATGGGGAGAAGTGTACAAGGAAGATTTTTCATGAGCATGCCATTGTCAGAAAAGATAGCTTAATTATCTTCAATAGCTTAAAATTACTCTAGATTTTTGCAAACACATTTTTCAAAGATTATACACAGCTACTTCTAATGGACTGTGAACATTTTAACAGACATGTCATTTTTAGAAAACAGAACTCCAATATTTGTAAAGGGTGAAGTTATAGGAAGCCCATTGTCAATTTCCAAACAAGCAAATGTATTGAAAGCGGAAAAAAATAAATGCATGTACTGTGAGTATGAACTCATAATGGGGTTTAACAGACTAAAGAATACAGTAGCTGTATATAATTTCAGTAGTTACTTTTTGTTTGTAAAATGTTTGTGTATTTTGAAAAATAAAATAAAAAGCACCTATTTGCAAAAGTTGTTTTCTTTACTGCTGCAAAACTGTAAGGCCCTCCAATTCAGTTTCAGAAGAACCAGAATCTGTTTATGGACAACAAATATAGAGGGGATTTGTTTAGAGAAATAGAGACATAAGTCTGTGAGAACTTGGAAGCACAAACCAGAAGGGGTGGAGATAGAGGACAGGAAATTGATTGCTTTTGGAATTAATTGACATTGAAGAACTTTCTTTACTATTCCTCATTCCAAAGAGAAGCATACTATAAGGCTGAGTGCAATCAGAAGAATGTCAGAACTAGCTTTCTTTTTCTTTTTTTAGAGCCCCCGGTGGCACAGTGGGTTAAACCCCTGTGCCAGCAGGACTGAAGACAGACAGGACACAGGTTCGAATCTGGGGAGAGCATGGATGAGCTCCCTCTATCAGCTTCAGCTCCTTATGCGGGGACATGAGAGAAGCATCCCACAAGAATGGTAACACATCAAAACATCCGGCCGTCCCCTGGGCAACGTCCTTGCAGACGGCCAATTCTCTCACACCAGAAGTGACTTGCAGTTTGTCAAGTTGCTCCTGACACGTCAAAAGAAAGCTTTCTTTTGCTTCAATAAAGGAATGAAATAAAGACTTGGTGTATCCAGAAATCACTGTGAGCCTATCCTTCCTTATAAGTGTGCATTAAGCTAGTTCTCTTAAAAAAACCTTTCCCAGACACCTGGTGAGAGGGAAAATGCAGAGATCAAAGGAAGGAGAGGAGAAAAGAGAAACCATTTCCACTGGAGGGATGATGGTGGCCACACTGGAGCTGTACTTATCAAAAGTGGAGGGCGATGCCGAGGACCAACTCTGCCAGGGAGGCCGTTGAGCCCCACCCAGCTCCCAATCTAGGAGCAGAATCACCCTGAGGAGGAAGACACCCCGAAATCGAGACAGAAAAGTGGTTAGAGACCTCCCCTCCCCAAAAGCCCAATACTTAGGAAGAAAGTACTAGCAATGGAACATATGATACAAACCTTATCAGCGCAACTATTGCACAATTAAAACTTGTGCACCAGTTGCGCCCGTACCTTGGGAAGTCTGGGAAGTCTGACGTGGCCACGGTAGTCCACGCGCTGGTTACATCCCGTATAGATTACTGCAACGCTCTCTACGTGGGGTTGCCTTTGAAGACGGCTGGGAAGCTACAAATGGTCCAACGATCGGCAGCCAGGTTGTTAACAGGAGCGGCACTCAGGGAGCACAGCACTCCTCTGTTGCGCCAGCTCCACTGGCTGCCAATTTGCTACCGGGCACAATTCAAAGTGCTGGCTTTAGCCTTTAAAGCCCTAAACGGTTCTGGCCCGACCTATCTGTCTGAACGCATCACCCCCTATGAACCAGTTAGGACATTAAGATCGTCCGGGGAGGCCCTGCTCTCGATCCCGCCAGCCTCACAAGCACGGCTGGCGGGGACGAGAGACAGAGCCTTTTCCGTGGTGGCCCCTCGGCTGTGGAACGCCCTTCCCGCAGACGTGAGATCGGCTCCCTCCCTACTTGTGTTCAGGAGAAGAGTGAAGACCTGGCTCTTTGAACAGGCGTTCAATTAAGCAGTGCAATCAATTGACTGAATTTGGAACTGGAATAATGGATGAGGAGATCGGATTGTGATTTTACTGATGAGACGTGACGGATTAGTTATTGGATGTACTGATGTTTGTTCATTTGCTGATGTATTGTTGTATTGTTTTAACTACTTTAATGACTGTTTAGATGTTAATGCTATGCACTTTGTATATTGTCCTGTTGTAAATCGCACTGAGTCGCCTACGGGCTGAGATAGTGCGGTATACAAATAAAGTAAATAAATAAATAAATAAACTAGTAGAGATGAGGTGAGAAGTAGAAGCATCCTGGAGACCCGAGACAGAGTCCCCCAGAGTCCTAAACATACCATACAGAGAGCCATTTATAGAATCATAGCATTAGAAGAGACCTCGTGGGCCATCCAGTCTAACCCCCTACTAAGAAGCAGGAAAATCACATTCAAAGCACTCCCAATAGATGGCCATCCAGCATCTGTTTAAAATCCTAAGAAGGACTCCATCACAGTCTGGGGCAGAGAGTTCCATTGCTGAAGAGCTCTCACAGTTAGGACGTTCTTCCTCATATTCAGGTGGAATCTGTCTTCCTGTAACTTGAAGCCATTGTTCCGCATACTAGTCTCCAGGGTAGCAGAAAACAAGCTTGCTTACTCTTCCCTATGACTTCCCCTCACATCTTTCTACATGGCCATCATGTCTCCTCTCAGCCTTCTCTTCTTCAGGCTAAACATGCCAAACTCTTTAAGCCACTCCTCATAGGGCTTGTTCTCCAGACCCTTGATCATTTTAGTCACTCTCCTCTGGACACATTCCAGCTTATCAACATCTCTCTTCAATCGTGTTGCCCAGGATTGGTCACAGTATTGCAGGTGTGGTCTGACAAAGGCAGAATAAAGGGGTAGCATGACTAGATCTAGACGCTAGACTCCTATTTATGCAGGCCAAAATGCCACTGGCTTTTTAAGCTGCCGCATGACAGTGTTGGCTCATGTTTAACTTGTTGTCTATGAGGACTCCAAGATCTTTTTCATACTGTTTTCTCAGTAGATGAGACATCAGCAAACGGAGCCCCAGTAAGGGAAAAAACCAATTTCTTCAGAATGTAGAGAGAAGGGGAGACAGGACAAGAACAGTGCCTAGAGGCAAAACGGAGTTTAACAGGCTAAAGAGTACAGTAGCTGTATATAACTTAAATAGATACTTTTCTTTGTAAGATGTTTGTGTATTTTGAAAAATGAAATATAAAGTACCAATTTGCAAAAGTGATTTTCTTTACTGCTGCAAAACAACCACAGTATAATTTAGGCTTGAAACATGCGTACTTATTGGAGATAAGCATCGGAATTCATGTCTGAGTTGACATATCTCAGCTTCCGCTGTTCAATTTGCTAATATGCCTATACAAATATTTAACCCCTGGTTGGTTAAAAAACTTTATTTTTCAAACAATCATATTGCAGAAATTATATTTTTAATCAAGATCAAATAAAAATCCTTCATATGATTGCTTCCCCTACATCCCCATCCCCAAATCTATTAGACATGGTTAGGTCTAGTTGGAATCTTTGTTATTTAGATAAAGTCAAGAAAAATAGTTTTTGAAGCGATTTTGAATTTTTTAAGAAAACCAGGAAGTCCCTTTGCCCTTCCAAAGGTTTTTCGCCATTTTTGTTATGACTCATGAAATGAGTAGGAAATGATTCAATGATTCAGCCCTCCCCCCCCCGGCTTCTGGTCCCTGGCCTTTGCTCAAGCCAAAGAAATGAGTTATAAATGGGAGAAGCATGAATTTGCTCTACTTCTGTCTCAAGCCAGAAGAGCCAGCCAGTTTTAAAACTAGTCTCAAGCCAGAAGAGCCAGCCAGTTTTAAAACTAGAGAAGCGAGTTAGAAATGGGAGAAGCATGAATTTGCTCAGCTTCTGTCTCAAGCCAGAAAAGCCAGCCAGTTTTAAACCTAGAGTAGCGAGTTAGAAAAGGGAGAAGCATGAATTTGCAAATTTCCTCTGCTTGCTTTCCCCCCGCACCTGGAGTAAAACAACTACTTTCAAAGTAAAGACCATGCAATGAAACAGGAAATAACACTTTCAAACTATTAACAAAAGGATTTGGAAGTCTCGGAAGGTTCGAAAAGTTTTGAACTTTTTTCTGTGAAAATCGAAATTAACTTTAGAATCGAACCACCAGCGATTCTGAGTTTTGAACCATTTTTAAAATCAAACAAGCCTACTATCTATCCATCTATCCATCTATCCATCTATCCATCTATCCATCTATCCATCTATCCATCTATCCATCTATCCATCTATCCATCCATCCATCTCTATCTATCTATCTATCTATCCATCCATCTATCTCTCTATCCATCCATCTCTCTATCCATCTCTCTACCACTCTCTCTCTCTCTATCACTATCTCTCTCTATCACTCTCTCTCTCTCTATGTATACATAAAACACATTTACTTCAAAACAACGCCTACAATAATTGCTCCCATCACACCTTTTCCCCTCGTTACCCGCTCCCATTGCAGCTGCTATTCATCTTTTTTAAATATTTCCAGGTGTATAACCTAGGATCTGTTCTTTCCATTTCTTTGTCTGAAAAAAGGAGCGCAGAAAATGACAGTATATTTTGGCTGATCGTAATGGATAAATATTTGCTTTCTGGTATATCATTTCTTTTGATCCCCAGATTAGACATTGTACTACTTTACCAGGATGTATAGGAATACTATAATACAATTATTCCATAATCAAATATAGCATTGTAGATCTTGAAATGCAATGTGGTCACCCATCTGCCATTCAACATGGAGATATTTTGGAGCTTCTTAAAGCAGATTATTCAGCAGGTGAAATTGTGACATACAAATGCCAAAGATTCTATGTTTTGAGAGGATCACCGGAAGTACATTGTGTGAATCGTAATTGGACAGAATTGCCAGTATGTATAGGTATGGAGAAAGACTTTACTCTTCTGCTTATTTTTTTGCAGGCTGTTATAAAGGTGAAAGTACATTGATTTCATGGTATGCTGCTGAGTGATGCTCACATTGCAAAAAGGATGATTCCCCTAATTCCTTCAGGGCAGGCCCGTAGCCAGGATTTCGATTTGGGGTGTGTGTGTGTGAGTTTTTTTCAGGGGGGGGGGTTCGGGGGGGCTGAGTTTCAGAGGTGGGGCTGAGTCTGAGTGAAAGAGGGTCTACCCTAGCAAACCTTTTGTATCATTACCCCAATACCCCCATGCATATGGGATATATTGAGTATGGTGATCAGATCATGAGATGAATAAACATAACAGTTTAAATAATGCACCAGTAAGGCCTTTTTGTGAACCACCATGAGAATTTCGGGGGGGGGGGGGGAAGCCCCTCAAGCCCCCCCCCCCCCCGGCTACATGCCTGCTTCAGGGAAAGTGTTAAGTGATGTCTGGAAAAGTTCCTTCAGAATGACACAAGAGCAACAAAGGGGAATGGGAATTATTGGAGACCACCGCTTTGTCAGTGTATATTTTCATGTATGATGTGTGTTTAAATGTAATTTCATGTAGTAGAAATGTGGTTACAATAGGATTGCATTGCCAGGATGTATGTTTACACAGAAGACTGTGAGAATGTGACTCTGAGTCTCTAGCTGTGAGAAGTTTTAGGGAATGTCCGATAACTCCTAGCCAGCTGCAGTTTTGTTTTCATTTCCTACTTCCTTTGTTCTGTGTACCTCACGTCTGCTCGCTTATGGTGTATGTTGTGTTTTGGAACTGCTCTAGTAAAGTTGAAACCTGCTTTTTTACCGGTGACTCCAGAGTCCATTATTCCTACTCCTCTTAACGTTCCCCCAGCAACAGAAAGAGTATCCCTCTGGGCAGCTAAACCAGGAAATCCCAATTGGATGGCCTCCCAAGAGGGTCTTCCTCCAGGTGCAAACCAAGAATGGGCAACTTGGAAGTCCCTGAACAGACTCAGAAGTGGAGTGGGCAGATCAAAAGACAACCTGCTTCCATCAGTTGTGATAAAAAAAATGCCATACTATCACGAGGGTTGATTCCACTACAATTAGGTCAAATTTTATCTGTGGAATTTGGGGTGTGTGTGTGTGTGTGGGGGGGGGGATAATATTTCATCCCAAGGACAAAAATTGCCCCTGATCACTTGCTTATTGGATTGTATTGAATGATAGCTTTCATATCAGTGGAGCAGTTCATCTATTCTAAGTTGTAATCCAAAATCCCTATTCAAAGTGCAGAACCCTCAGCCATATGTAGGCTCACCACCTTTCTACGTGGGTTTATAACTTGGAGTAGAATCAATCTTCCTTTAGAAGTCACCAGCTGCTGTTCTCCCATGATTTCAAGACTGCTGATGCACAGCAAATGAAGCTATTCATAAGTTAGTGTGTTTGGTAGGCAAGCTTTTTTCTTTTTATGTCCAGGTGGTAATATAATATCAATTGTTGGAATAGCACTTTGATCACTGATTCCTGAACTGCAGCACAAAATTCAGCAACTTTACTGGAAGTTTCATCATCACATATCAAGCTTGTGATCGCAGTTCCAGTAACATCATGGTCAGGTTGCCAAAAACAACAGCAAATAACCAATTACATCAGGTTAGAAGATACAATAACATCAAAGACCTTTGGAGTGTATGTGTAGTTGAAAGAGAAGATCTTGTTTGGCAGATCTGGGAACTCCCTTCAGGACTATGAGGAACTGGCTGGTCTGTATTGCCCTGTTTCTTCAATGGATGTGCTGCATTTCCCAAGATGGTAAGTTATGAAGAGAAATGGGAATAGTCCATTTAAAGAGGAAATCGTTGAGGTATTCATTATAGAAATGTTGCTTTTACCAGGCTTCTAGTAAAAAGAATTAATTCAATTTTATATTGAATTTTCCAACATTAAGTTAAAACATTACTTTTCAATAAAGCCAGTGGAATTTAATTTATTCCTTCAAAAATGCATGTCTTTTCACTGTTTTAACCTTTCACTCCACCTTTAATAGCTATGAAAACATCACAAGCATTTTACTGACAATGCAGTTTACTCCCCTTTTAATTCTTCTCAAAGATAGGAATGAATAATTCCAGCAGTTTTCTTCCCACTGCAAAAAAAGACCTTTTAAATAAGTATTTGCAGTTCAGGAGTTATTCTGTGCATTTGCGCAGAAAAAAAGCTGAAAAAACAAAAACAAAAAAGGTGTGGAAAATATTATTTCACTGTAGTCACATTAATTTCTGTGCAGAAAATGCTTTTCTATGCACAAAAAATTCCATGTTAAGAGTGGTGAATAGATTTGGTAGCTAAGTCGGTGTGATGGGCATTTAAGGAGCAAAGCATACCTTTTTCAGAGTTTTTTTTGTTTTTAATTCAGATAATTTGTTCCTTTTTAGTATGGCCTGACTTGTAAGCTAATTACATCCTGAGTCAACTGAAATAGTTCTCTACATTTATTCCTCATTTGTGATGCTTTGTGTATGGCCATGCAAAGTTTCAATTATCCCTTCTAAATGTATTGGGTTAGAAACCAAACATTCTTACATCTTTCTGTAAGTATGCATATTGGAATGCACTAAATTGTTAATCCCAACTAAAATGGAAATCTTAAATTAAAAGGAACTTGATGTCCCCAAACCCTTAGTACCTATGTTTCAATCACCTCCAATTTGTTCCATTATTTAATATTGCTCATATTTATGCTTTTAAGATGTATCATCAAGTCTTACCTCCATCACTATTCATATGACCTCATCATACTTATCAATGGAAGCAATAAGTATCCAAGGATGCTTACCAGCTACTTAATTGATGGACAGGCATTTCCTGTCTCTGGTTTTGTGTCCTCTGAATCTAATATGATTCACATAAGCATAATGGTGATGAATAACCTTTTTATAATTCTAAATAGAAATGGGCCATATCAGAGGCTAGCAAAATAAAATATTCTAAATAAATTCAAATCAATAATTTTGAAGGAGCATCAAGCTCTCTCTTAAGTCAAGCAAAAAAAAAAAAGAATTAATGGAAATAAATTCAAATAATCTCTATAAGAAGTGAGAGCCAGGACTCGATTCATTTCTCTTCAGATAATAGAAGGGCCACCAAAATGATGAAAGGTTTGAAAATCAAGACTTTGAGGAATAGTTGAGGGTTGAGGGAACTGTGTATGTTTCACTTGGAGAAAAGAAGGCTGAGAGTGAACATGACAGTCATTTTTAAATATTTGAAATTACGTCACATTGAAGAGGAAGTGAACTTGTTTTCTGGTGCTCTGGAGACTAGGGCACAGTGAAGCAATGGATTCAAATTGAGGAATAAGGATTCCATCTAAACCTTAGGAAGAACTTTGTGATGTTAAGAGCTGTTAGACAGTGGAATGAGCTACCTTGGAGTGTGTTGCAATCTCCTTCTCTGGAGGGTTTTAAGCAGGGGCTGGATGGCCCTTGTGGTCTCTTCCAACTCTAGGGTTCTAATAACAGAAGGTTTTACTAAATAATGTTTGTTTATATTTTACAATAGAAATAACATGTGAACTACCTAATATTGCCCATGGGAGTGTAAGAAATTCAAAGACCATTTACCGGGATGGTGAACGGATACAAATATCCTGTAATCATGGATATAAACCTACAGATAGAGATGAAGCAACATGCACACGAGATGGATGGAACACAAGAGTTGAATGTATAGGTCTGTATGTTTCTAAAGCAAAGGGCATCTACTTAATCAATGTTCACAGGATGCATTTTTAGTAAAGGAAATTGAATTAAGATAAAGGTAAAATTCTCTTGCAGGATAAAATGGAATTTGTTCAGCCTTATGTTTGTTTTATTGTTAAGGAAATTGCTTAATGGCCTGAAACATTTTTCTTCTTCTTATAGTGCCTCTTCTATTGTAGAATTAACGCAGACACCCCTTTAACTGTCACAACTAAGTGCTGTGGAATCATGGAAATTGTAATTTCACAAGGTCTTTTAACTTCTCTGCCAAAGATTGTTGATGTTTCACCAAACCTCAAATCCCAGGATTCCACAGCTCTGAGCCTTGGTAGTTAAAGGAATATCAAACTATGTTAATTCTATAGTCTAGACATAACCGTAATCTTTTTTTCATAAGTATGGTCAGTTGATTGATTAAGTTTTTAAACAGCTATTGTGACCAAATTAGGCTCCTTTAAAAAGTCCCACAAATTCTATTGTTCTGTATTTCAGTTCTAAAATAGCGCCCAATTAATTTATTGCTTAGGATCCCACACTTTTAAAATCCTGTTTTGGGGAATGCTTTTTGACTCTGACAATATTTGAAGCAAAACCTGTTTCTTTAATATTAAATTGTCATCATCAGAATTCTCACGTTCTATATTCTTTGGAAGCAGGGAGCATGCTCAGAAAATGTGTTAGGATCACAAATGTCTTGCTTGTTATGTGTAGTCAGAGGTTGTAGTAATGTGATGCTACATAAAACTCCTTGGTCTGACAGGTATGTGATCCATAAGTCTATAAGTTTCACTATCTGAATCTAAACATTTGGAAATCATGTTTGTGCCCTTCAGGAGGAAAGGGTGTACAAGCATTGATAGTTCCACAAGGACTCACAAAGCTTTGTTTTGAGAAAGGAATACAGCACAGACTAAAAGCTGACTAACTCTGATTTAGACTGAATCTAGCATGTGATTTCAGTTTCTCTTCAGTTCCGTTTGCATTCTTAACGGCTGAATACCTTTTTATCTATTCTACTCCAAGAACCATAAAATGAAATATTTTAATTTCCCACAAGAGGCACAGTAAGAATATGGCCTCTAATAAGTGAGGATTAACAGAGAAACAAGTTCCTAACTTGTTTATTGGTCAAGTGTCAAGTGTATTTATGTTTCATTATATAGCTATTGTATGCCGACAACCACAAATCGATAATGGGAACATTCGACCAAAGCAATTGCTTTACCAATATCAAGACTCAATTGATACATCCTGTGATGAAGGATATCGTAACACTGAAACCTCTTTCTGCACTGCTCGTGGCTGGCAACCTCCTCCAGCATGTATACGTAAGTATCTTTTTCTTTGCAGGTTTAGAACATAGATAACTGTATTTTCCAAAGGAATGGTGTTTCAGGCATGCCAAGGCCAATTCTTTAACTTCCTCTTATTTCCCTTTTCTATTTCATCCAGTAACTTCTTTCATTTGCCTAGGTAAAATAGACATTTGCATCATGCAGGAAGAGAAGCATACGACCCCCCTATAAAAGCAGCTCCACTGGCTGCCGACAAGTTTCCGGTCCCAATCCAAAGTGCAAGTTATTACCTACAAAGCCCTAGATAGTTAAGGTCCAACCTATTTTTGAGACCACATGTGAACTGGTATGGGCTCTAAGATCTGTCAGGAAGGCCCTCCTTTCAGTCCCACCTCCGTCTCAAGTGTGGTGGGTGGGGACAAGAGAGAGAACCTTCTCAGTGGAGCCCCCTCACCTTTGGAACACCCTCTCCAGAGAAATTAGGCTAGCCCCCACACTCCAATGTTTGCAGAAAACCTTGAAAACATGGCTCTTCAAGACAGAAAAGTGGTTAGAGACCTCCCCTCCCAAAAGCCCAATACTTAGGAAGAAAGTACTAGCAATGGAACATATGATACAAACCTTATCAGCGCAACTATTGCACAATTAAAACTTGTGCGCCAGTTGCGCCCGTACCTTGGGAAGTCTGGGAAGTCTGACGTGGCCACGGTAGTCCACGCGCTGGTTACATCCCGTATAGATTACTGCAACGCTCTCTACGTGGGGTTGCCTTTGAAGACGGCTCGGAAGCTACAAATGGTCCAACGATCGGCAGCCAGGTTGTTAACAGGAGCGGCACTCAGGGAGCACAGCACTCCTCTGTTGCGCCAGCTCCACTGGCTGCCAATTTGCTACCGGGCACAATTCAAAGTGCTGGCTTTAGCCTTTAAAGCCCTAAACGGTTCTGGCCCGACCTATCTGTCTGAACGCATCACCCCCTATGAACCAGTTAGGACATTAAGATCGTCCGGGGAGGCCCTGCTCTCGATCCCGCCAGCCTCACAAGCATGGCTGGCGGGGACGAGAGACAGAGCCTTTTCCGTGGTGGCCCTTCGGCTGTGGAACGCCCTTCCCGCAGACGTTAGATCGGCTCCCTCCCTACTTGAGAGAAAGAGTGAGAATTCGGGAAAATATTTCTGAATCTAGCTTGTGATTTCAGAAGGCTTGGGTTTTTTTTTCAGCACATTTGATCTGAGTGTTTAGTGGACTCTTTGAAAATTATTTGCTCTCCCACCAGTGAAATCAGGATACAACACCATTGTGTGGGTTAAACTTTTATTATATGTTACCAATCAATCTCTGTATGATCTACCAGCCAATTCAGGGCAGAAAACATGTACTTGAACATGATCTTGAACATGAACATGAACTTACATTTTAATTTGGTGTGCAATAAAGTGAGGCAGTGACCACCAGAGGCCACCTCTACCTCCAACAATGGCTAGACACCACGGTCCCCCTATGCCACCCAATGTTGTTCCCAAGGTGACCCTTCAAGGAAATGAGTGGAGAATTCATTTCATGACTATCTTTGGTTAAAGCCATTTCTGCTCACCCCCACCTCAATTCCTTTAATAATGGATGATGTTTCCCCTTCGTAGCCTCTACCAGAGAGGGGATGCCATGGTGCACACCGACATGTACCTATCCTTATCCTTACTTGCATGAAAACCTATTTAGTACCCACACACCCAGTTTGTCATGGAAGCAACAGTGTAGGGTAGGCAAAAAAACCCCAACAACCCTAGAGTATGGGGGGGGGGATTCCTACCCAGCTCCTTAATGGTGATCCTTGTAAAAATACACTGTCAGAGTGGTGGGTGGGTCAGTGACGATGAGGGAATGAGGAGGAACGCATTTATGTACATGCCCACAAGGAGTCCTCGCGGAACTACTTTGCTCTCCCTTCACTGTAAGGGAGCAAAATGGAACAACAACAGGAAAGTTCTACTGTGTCCTTCCTTTTGCTTCAAGATTAGAAGATTATTTGGAAACAGATGAGATAAAGCATTTTGGAAGACCTATGGAATGTTTTTATCTAGCACCATCTTCAGTAGAACCAATTCAACTCTAAGGAAAAGATGCTTCTCCTGTTTCTTTACCATGGCCCAAGTTATGATTTTGACCTTTATAAGGGGAAATAGGTGTGGACAGTGACTTTTAGGATCAAAGGGAACATTGCTTACCTGAAGTAAACAATAAGTAGGGTGGTCTGATCCTGCCTAGTACCACCCTAGAAACAGTGCTTCTTTTTACAGCAGCATTGCTGAAGGACACAGCACCTCTTGTCTTTTGAAATCACAAATTGGTGACCCTTCTGCATGTGTCCAGTCAGGATTAAATAAGAGTGTCAGACTATGTTTAGGGCACCTTTTCTAGCCTCTCTCCATGTGGGGTGAGCAGAGTGGATCCTAAACAGGGCTACTCAGTCATGGATATAGCTCAACTGCCTCGGACCTTGAGTTAGACTGGCTGAATCTGTCTATGTTCCAATCCATAGCAAAGGGCTTCCAGATTTCACAGTTTTACTACCCGTGGCCACTTGCCAATCTCTATAGGACTTTTCTTGGTTTTGGTTTATCTTGAAAGATTGGTTTATCTTGAAAGATGTCTGTGTGTGGAGATCAGTGCACAGCGACCAACATACAATCTGCACAGAAAAAAAGTTTTGATCCAAATGCATGACTATTCGCCTCTTATCTGTTGCAGTTTTCATCTGCCATGGAGCCATTATAACATCTGCCAGAGGGAGACTGGCAGAGTGGGTGAAGGTGGTGATCAATACCTCCTTGGAACAAGGCAAAGTTCTAACTTGCCTAAAGGAGGCAGTTGTGAGACGTATAGTAAAAAAAGCCATCTCTAAACCCTTTTATAATAGGCAACTATTAGCCAGAATCCAACCTTCCCTTTCTGAGCAATTTTTTCGAGTGTGTGATGGCCTCCCAACTCCAGGGATTTCTTGATGAAATGGATTATCTAGATCCATTTCAATCTGGTTTCAGGCCTATGGAACAGAGACAGCTTTGATTGCCTTGGTGGATGGTTTATGCAGAAAGCTAGACAGGGGGGTTCTCATTGATCTCTCAGTGGCTTTCAGTAAGTGTTTGCCATGGAATCCTTCAGGGTCACTGGGAAAAGACTGGGAGGAACTGTCTTATAGTGGCTTTGGCCTACTCAGAAAGTGATGCCGACCGCATTCCTTTGTAGAAACCTGTCCAGGCCCATCTCTCAGTCCCCACACCCATCTCTAGCCTAGTTTGTGGAAACAAGAGGGAGAGCCTTCTCAGTAACTGCCCCTTGACTCTGGAACTCCCTTTTCCCCAGTGAAGCCGGAATGGTCCCCTCCCTCCTGTCCTTCCAGCAGCAGGCTAAACCCTTTTCATTAAGACAGTGTATGTATATATATATATATATATATATATATATATATATATATATGAAAGCAGGGGGTGCTGTGGTTTTTATTTTTGGTTTTAACTGGGAATGGTTTTAATGGTTTTAACTGGGAATTTTAAAATACCATTTATATTTAATCCTGTTTTGTTGTTTGCATATTTTTATATTTTAAATTATACACTAATGCTTTTATGTTAAGCCACTTTGAGTCTGCTTCAGGAGAGATAAACAAGGGTATAAATAAATAAATACATTATCATTTGCTTGCTCCACCATTGATTTCTTGCATGATATTGTTTTCCTAATGAATAAATATTGGGTCAATAAGCAAGGATTGGCTAATTTTCACCTCAGCTTAGATGAAATCTATTATCTTGTTTCAAAATGCAAGAAATATATCAGCTATTCCTCTAGCCCTAGTCTTGGCCTGGGAATGCTAGCACAAAAGAAATAAGCACAATGAAAGAAAACAACATGTGACTGTAATATTCAATTTTTTTGATGCTTAATTTTCCCCTCTCCATTCTTTTCTAAAGCAAAGCGTTGCGAATATCCCCGTGTTCAGAATGGAAGAGTGTATGAATGGCAGTATTACTTTCCAAAGAAACCAGGTTCCACAATTAACTTTAGCTGTGATAATGGTTTTCTACCAGAAGATAGAAATACAGCGACTTGGCATTTATCATACTGCACTACTCGTGGCTGGGAACCAGAACCCAAATGCTTCAGTAAGTAAAATTTTCCTTGCGTTCACCTTCCTTAACAAGGAGAGAAATAATCATATCTAGACATAATATGTTGCATTCAAATCGGTTTTGTGAAAAGTTCATTTCCAAAAAAAGCACTAACACAGGGATGAGAAAAGTGACCATTTGTCTTCGTCAATTCACATGTTTCGTTTCTAGCTGTAAAATGCAAAATTATTGATGAGTGCAGCTGTAATGTAGAATTAATGCTGTTTGACAGCACTTTAACTGCTGTGGTTCAATATTGTAGTTTAGTGAGGCACCAGCATTCTTAGGCAGAGAAGTTTAAAGACTCCATTGAGTCCATAGTACTAAGCCTAAGTACTTTCAAGCTGGAATAATTTGACAGTTAAATATACTCAAAGTTTGCACTTACAAAACAGGAAAGTAAATTTTCATAAGGAAGTAAACTCCCCAGAGAATATGGATTCATTTCCAGTCCCAAATTTTCTGTTGTGTAATGTGCAAATGATCATAAGGAGGGAAAGATTGTAATGTGAAAAAGAGAAAAAAAAAGATGTCTTTTGCTTATCCTGTGCTCCCCAAGCTTGGCTTTTCTTAATATCACATGTAAAGGGCACATCTACTGTATGAAGTGGACTTGATCCAGTGTCCAGGCACTAGTTCAAGTCAGCTTGGTGACCCTATAGACCAGGGGTCCTCAAACTAAGGCCCGGGGGGTGGATACGGCCCTCCAAGATCATTTACCCGGCCCTCGATCAGGGTCAATCTAAGTCTGAAATGACTTGAAAGCACACAACAACAATCCTATATCATTAGCCAAAAGCAGGCCTACACGTCCCACTGAAATACTAGTATGTTTATCTTTGTTAAAATTGTTCTTCATTTTAATTATTGTATTGTTTTAAAGTGGGGTTTTTTTGCACTACAAATAAGATATGTGCAGTGTGCATAGGAATTCATTCATGTTTTTTTTCAAATTGTAATCCGGCCCTCCAATAGTTTGGAGGACTGTGACCTGGCCCTCTGTTTAAAAAGTTTGAGGACCCCTGCTATAGACACTCCCTCAGCTACCTTGGAGGCAACAGGCAGTCCCATTGCCCAGCCATGCTGAACATCCCTTTCCTCCTCCCATGCTGCCAAACTTGACACCAAGGTTGATGTCTGTGCCATATTTGTCAACACCTGTGCTACACTGACAAGGCATATCCCCCAGGCTCCTTGATCCTTGGAAGGATAGGATCGCTGACAGATATGTTTAGGAAATGCCCCAGCTGTCTTGAATATTCCTAACTTGGAGGTCCAATGAAATACTAGCTCAGGATTCATGTTATTCCCTTAGTTAACTTAACCTGGGGGAAGCCAATGATGTTTAGCCATCAATGGGATGATCTGACCTTACACTGACCTAAGTAGTCAGTGTACATGTGCTCAAGGTAGTGGAAGTCCAAACTCAGGGCAACTCATGAATTTCAGCAAACTCTGGGGCATTCCCAAATTTCTGCCAACATGGGGTAAAACAGGGTTTGCTTCATATTACAGGCTGGAAGTCCCAGGATTTTGTGTGGACATCATGTCACTATTTCTGGTCCTTTTCAACATTTGTAGGCAGGGTAGACAGGGACAGAGAAAGCATCTTCAGTTTGAATTCTGTCCAGACACAGTCCCAAGAACCACTACAGTTGACAATCTTCAAAGGCATTTTCTTCTGTCATTTATTACAGGATTGGCAAGGCTATTTCTTTGCAGAACAGGTTGCAGCCAACATACCAAGCAAAGCTAAGGCCACTTTGGTTATCATGGGCTTCAACAAACTTTTCTGAACTTTCAGTGGAAATGCAACTCTGTCCTCCTGATTACGTTGAACACCCATATGTAGTGCAGAAGAAGCAGTTACTAGGCCTGTTTGATCAAGAAAAAATTTGGTTCTAAAATCGATTTGTAATTGGGGTGTTTTTTTGTTTCGATATTTAAAATAATTACAAAACTTTCCAAAAAAAGTTTTGGTATTTAAGAAATTTTGTAAATATTAACGAATTTTTAGAATATTTTTTTGTATTTCTTAAGAATAATATTAAAATAATATTAAAAAATATTTTAAAATGGAAAATTAACCAAAAAATGGCCCAAATGTGGACCAAACACAGGCAGGAGACAGCAAATGAGAGCACACACCAACAGAAGAGTCTTTTCTTTTTTAGAATATTTTTTAAAATAATATTAAAATAATAATAATAAAATAATATTAAAAATATTTTAAAATGGAAAATTAACCAAAAAATGACCAAACACAGGCAGGATACAGCAAATGAGAGCACACACCAACAGAAGAGTCTTTTCTTTTTTAGAATATTTTTTAAGAATAATATTAAAAAATAATATTAAAAAAATATTAAAAATAATATTAAAAATAATATTAAAAAATAATATTAAAAATAATATTAAAAAAATATTTTAAAATGGACAATTAACCAAAAAATGGCCCAAATGTGGACCAAACACAGGCAAGAGACAGCAAATGAAGCAAGCAGCACTCACAGCAGCAAGGAATGAATCCAATCCCAGTTCGTTGCTAGCAGGCAGCCATTGCCAAGCCAACCCAATGCAAACTCCCTCTGCAGCAAGCTACGGGCCGCGCGGAGCCGCTTTGAAAGGGCTCGCCGGCCAATCAAAAAGAGACAGCCACGGACCCATGGTGCACTGCTTGGGAGCGCCGGATTGGCTCCCATGCACCAGCACTCCAGCAGCCTCCACCCCATTAACGAAACGAGCGGAGGCTCGTTAAATACTATGGGGGCTGCTGGTTCGATATTTATAAACCCTTCCGGGTTTGGAGATTTGTTTCAATATCGCTTCGGAAATGGTAAAATTAACGAATTATTAACGAATTAACGAATTAACGAACGAAATCGCACAGGCCTAGCAGTTACCATTCACAGAACCATCTTTGTCACATCTGTATTCATCCTCAGGTTATTGTCCCTTGTGCAGTCAGTAATTGAGCTGAGACACTGGTTCCAAATTCCCATTGCTTTATTCCAGTTTAGATAGAAATAATCAGTTAGTCGTAAAGGCTTCATTGGAGGCTTCTAAATAGAGTCTGATTGGCCATCTTTTAGGGGTACTTTGTGCTTTTCCTACATGGCAGGGGGTTGAACTAGATGGCTCATGTCATTTTGAACCCTTATAATCTTGCATAAATGATGCAACATAATTGTTCTTTTGCTTTTAGAACAATGTGATCGTCCTCGACGAATTCCACATGGTGCTCTTAATGATTATCAGTGGCCACTCATAGAGGGCAATGAGATTTCATATAGATGTGATACAGGATACGTTCCTGCAAATCAGCAAACAACAATCACATGCACAAAAGATGGCTGGTTACCAATTCCAAGTTGTGTTGCAGGTTAGTTCATGTTTGAAAATATCCAATCTATTTCCTTCCTCTGTTGCAGAGTATACTTTTTTGACTTTATTTACACAGGTGGAGGAGAAATAGGATGCATTGCACATACAGCTGGAAACCCATGGTAATTCACCAAGAACAATGATACGGAAGGACATCCCAGGAGCTATTATTGGCTGGCACTTTTACATTCACCATATTTTCACAGAAACATTATTGCTGATATCCTATGGGACACAGATACTTGATAAGGAATGAAGCTGTTTCTCTAAGTTGTAGCCACGGGATCTTATGAGTCTTCATTAGAAAAGGCAACCTGCCCCCCCCCCCCCAATGGTTTTTTTCTCATGTAGTTTCCCAAACCTAGAATAGGTAGCATTTCAATTATCCTTCTTGGGAAAATTCACCTGAAAATTAAATTTGAGGAAGGAAGGAGGGAAAGTGAGAGGTGTGATGATGAGTACAGATCACCTGAATCTCAAGGCTGGAGCCGAGCTATCACCCATAAACTCATAATGGCTGGTTTTGCTCTTCCTCTTTCTTTCCTTCAATCTGAGGCAAGGGAAGAGAGACATGCTTTTAGGCAATGTTTACAATTTTTAACCCGAGGACAGCTAGCCTTCAACTTCTTCTCTCTTCCCCACAGAATAAGAAAAAAAACTAGAATGCCAGCTGAATGGCATTCCCAATATTTCCAGTCAATTGCACTTTTCTTCTAAATGATTCAACCCATGAAAATATGGGCCACACAAATATTTTAGCATGCCTTTCCTGTTGTGTTTCATTCTCAGATTTGATTTATTTCAGATTAGACATTTGGGTTATCTCCTTTGTTGATAATTTCATATGATGTATTTTTGATCTGTTCTGATAAAACTGGATTTCATCACATATAAAATCAAGGTCTTGCTTTTAAAAACTTAATTTTTTTTTTAATTTTAGAAATTCCACGTGGATGTCAAAAAACTCCTCTGCCTAATGGCTTTTTCACTGCACATAAGGAGGTGTTTTCTGTCTCTGAGAAAGTTCGCTATAAGTGTCTTGATGGCTATACAACCCCTAACAGGGTTGAGGAGGAAGAGATACAGTGTCTTCAAACAGGATGGAACCAAGAGCCCAAGTGTATCAGTAAGCAGATTTTTAAAATATATCTACATGTTTGTTGTTTTCATTTGCTGTCAAGGTGGTTTGTTTTCTGCACTCCTATGCACTAACCATTTCTTATATTGTCCAAACTCTAGGCCATGGCTTCCTTCATTGAATCAAACCATCTACAAAGTGTCTTTCCCTTTTCCTAATCTAACATATTATAATAATTTTGCAATTCTTTGTGTGTTTTTCACAAAAGTGTCCTTTAGCTCACAACACATTAAAATGCATATTTGTGATAAAGAAGATGAAATGAAATTAGTATAGAATCCCAGTGATGGCAAAAGGGAAACTAATGCTTAGGATCCTCAATAGAACAAAGTGTCTCCAAAGTGAAATGAGGATGGGTCAAATATACAGCTGAGGAGAAGCAAGCCCATCTTTTGGGGTGCTTGGTATATGATCTAGTGCAGTGGTTCTCAACCTGGGGGTCGGGACCCCTAGGAGGGTCGCGAAGGGGTGTCAGAGGGGTCGACAAAGACCAACAAAAAACACAATATTTTCTTTGGTTATGGAGTTTCTGTGCGGGAAGTTTGGCTAAATTCTATCGTTGGTGGGGTTCAGAATGCTCTTTGATTGCAGGTGAACTATAAATTCCAGCAACTACAACTCCCAAATGTCAAGGTCTGTTTTCCCCAAACTCTATCTATGTTTATATTTGGGCATATTGAGTATTTGTGCCAAGTTTGGTCCAGATCCTTCATTGTTTGAGTCCACAGTGCTCTCTGGATGCAGGTGAACTACAACTCCCAAACCCTTCCAGTATTTTCTGTTGGTCATGGGAATTCTGTATGCCAAGTTTTGTTCCATTCCATCATTGGTGGAGTTCAGACTGCTCTTTGATTGTAGGTGAGCTATAAATCCCCGCAACTACCACTCCCAAATGACAAAATCAATCCCCCCTTCAATCCCACCAGTATTCAAATGTGAGCGTATCGGGTATTTGTGCCAGATTTGGTCCAGTGAATGAAGATACATCCTGAATATCAGATATCTACATTGCAATTCATAACAGTAGCAAAATTACAGTTATGAGGTAGCAGCGATAATATTATGATTGGGGGTCACCACAGCAGGAGGACCTGTACTAAGGGGTCTTGGCATTAGGAAGGTTGAGAACTACTGATCTAGTGGGTTTTTTCTTCTCCTCAGAGGAGCTCTCAGCAGCCAAGTGTCCCTGTCTTGGCCTTCCTCTCAGCCTGGAACGTGGCATGCTGAAAGGACGGCTGAGGCAGACAAGAAATGGAAGAAAGAGCCCAATGAGCCATGTCTGGCCCATGGAACTGGCTTTATTTATGCCTGATCTACATTGTAGAATTAATTCAGTTTGATTTCACTTTAACTGCCATGGCTTAATCCTGTGAGATCCTGGGTGTTGTCATTTTACAAGATCTTTGGGATTCTCTGCCAAAGAGTTCTAGCAGCTCACCAATCTATAAACCCCAGGATTCGATAGCATTGAGCCCTGGCAGTTAAAGTGGTGTTTAAACTGTTTGCTAATCTACTTTTTTTTATGAATAATCTTTATTGTGATTTTTCTTTTAACAGTGAAAGAGGGAGAACAATTGTGGTAACAGAAAAGTAGGAAATTAGATAGAGTGTAGATAGAGGGTGTCTGGGGAGGACATCTGGGGAGGAGAGAAAAAGGGGGGGAGGGGGGGTGATGAGCCATTGTAACTTCTGTTCAGTCCACAGAGGTAATATCTTTCAATTTTTAACATCTTCTTATGGTCTAATTTTTATTCCTTGTTCTGTTTAATTCCTTTTAGCTAATATTATATATTGAGTTTGTTTTTCCCTTTTAGGTATTCTTTAAATTGGTTCCAATTAGTTTGTTTCCCCTTACTCTGGTCCTTTATTAAACACAAAAGTCTGTCCAAGTCCATAAATTCTATAGCCTTCTTAATCCAGTCCTCATTTGAAGGTATTTCTTTAGTCTTCCATCTTTGTGCAATTAATATTCTTGCTGCTGCAGATAGATAAAAGAATTTTTTTCCTCGTTGTTCTTTAAGTCAAGATTTGTTATATTCAGTAAATAATACTCTGGTTTCATGTCAAATTTTGTTTTAATTATGTTTTGTATGTGTTTATGGACCAGTGACCAGAACTTTTGAATCTCATTACAACTCCAGAATAGGTGGTAGTATGTTCCTATTTCTTTCCTACATTTCAAACATAAATTGTTGTGTTTTCTATTGAATTTGGCTAGTTGGACTGGCGTTAGATGCCATCGATAGAATACTTTATAACAGTCTCTATTATGGGGATAGCTCTTGTGATTTTTATTTTATCTTTCCAAACTTGTTCCCATTCTTTAAGCAATATGGAGCGACCTATATCTCTCGCCCACTTGGTCATATTTTCCTTTACCAAGTTTTTTTCATTGCTCCACTCCAGTAGGCTCTGGTATAGTAATTTAATCACTTTTTCTCCTTTCTCATTATAATATCCCAACAGGTGTCATTGTCATTAAAGCCAACTTTAGCATCTTCCTTAAAGTATTCTTTAGCCTGTAAGTAGCGAAACCATCCAATTTCCTCATCTATCTCTTTATGTTCTTCCATGGTTTTTATACGCCATTCATTATTGTCTTTTATCAGGAGTTGTTTATAACTGAGTCATCTTTCCCTAAGTAGCTCTCTCTTATGGAATGCCTCTGATGGTGATATCCACTTGGGTGTTCTGGTGTAGATGTAGCCCTTGTATTTGTTCCAAACTTTTAGTAAGGAAGATCTAATATAGTGATTGTTAAAAAAAAATTCTACCTTGGCCTTCCCGTACCACAAGTAGGCATGCCATCCTCTTCTGATGTCATATCCTTTGAGAGTCAGAATTCCTTTTGGCTCAAGGGTAGCCCACGCTTTGGTCCAAGACAGAGCACATGCTTCAAAATACAATTGTAGGTCAGGCATTGCCAGGCCTCCCCTGTTTCTTGTATCTGTTAAATTTTTGTATTTAATCCTTGGTTTTTTGCCATCCCAGATAAAGTTTAAGATGTTCTTATTCCATTTTTTAAAGCACACACTTGTTTTAATAATAGGGATTGCTTGAAACAGAAAAATCAGCTTGGGCAACACATTCATTTTGATAACAGAGATTCTCCCCAGTAAAGATAAATTAAGGTATTTCCAGTTTTTAAGTTTCTTTTGAATATTTCCCCATACCTTTTCGTAGTTGTCTTTGAATAGGCTTGCATTAGATGTAGAGATTGTTATTCCTAAATATATATATATATATTACTATTTCCATTCCGGTTTCTTTAGTGATCTTATCTTTTCCGTCTGCCTTTACATTTTTAGTTAGTATTTTGGTCTTACTTCTGTTTATCTTAAATCCAGCTAGTTTCCCGAATTTCTCAATTTTTATTGACGATTTCTGAGCGAGTTCAGTCGGATTTTCCATAATGCATACCACATCATCCGCAAATGCCAAGACTTTGTATTCCTCGGATCTAATCTTTGTGCCCTTTAAGTCTTTATCTGTTCTTAAGTCCTCTAGAAGAGTTTCTAATACCAGTATAAACAATAGCGGGGATAAGGGGCATCCCTGTCTCACTCCCTTTTGTATTTTAATTTTCTTGGTGCATTGACCATTCACTATGATTTTTGCCAATTGTCTGGCGTATATGGATTTAATGACATTTAATATCTGGTGGCCAGCGTCCATTTCTTTTAATGTATATGTTAAGAAATCCCAGTTCGTGTTATCGAATGCCTTCTCGGCATCAAGGAAGAGAAGGCCTACTTCTTTTTGTCTGTACTTCTCGTAGTACTCCACTATATTCAAAATTGATCTTATGTTATCCCTCAACTGTCTGTTCGGGAGGAATCCTCTCTGATCTTCCTTAACTCTTTTTCTAAGTAATTCTTTGAATCTTGCAGCAACTATGCTTGCAAAAGTCTTATAGTCACAATTTAAGAGTGATATAGGACGATAATTCTTAACATTTGTGTGGTCTGTATTCTCCTTATGTATTAATGTTATGTATGCCTCCCGCCAGGTTTCCGGCATCTCTTGTCCTTCCATTATATTATTCATAATTCCTTTTAAATGTGTAATTAGTTCTTCTTTAAATAATTTATAATATTGTGCCGTGAAGCCATCAGGTCCTGGCGCCTTGTTGTTTGCCAATTTGTTTATGGCCTCATTTACCTCGTCTACTTTTATCGGTGTATTTAGGAGCTCTCTTTCTTTATCTGAGATTTTGGATATTTTTTGGTTGGAAATAAATGTTATTATAACTTCCTTCTTCACTAATCTACTTTTAAATAACTGCTTCACTGGGGAGTTGTCCTTTCCCTCCCGGGGTGCTTGTGCCCCACTTTGTCAGTGGGGTCAGTGACCATAATAAAGTTTTGTTGTTGTTGTTAAAGTGGTGTTAAACTGTATTAATTCTACAGTGAAGATACATTCTATGACAGTTCTTCATATTAGGAAGCTGGAAAAGCCCTGCTGCATGGGCTTCATGGAAGAAGAGATATATGAGAAGACTACCATGTTGGTAAGAACTACTTCCAGGTAAGGCTCAAACTCAAGAAACCATGCTCATGAAACTGTTATTTGGAAGTTACATAGATCATTTTGGATGTTTGGCAGCTGATATCTTTTTCCTTCTACATTCTCCATTTAGGAAGCCACTCTTTATAGTGACATTTAGACCATATGAATTAGAATAGAGCAGTTGATAATGAATAATACTTATTCTTCTGTTTCTTCAGAGACATGCCAAAAGCCATATGGAGCAAATGTGGATTTTGATGAAAACCAATCATTTTTCTTGTCCCAAGAGACACTTCACTACAAATGTAAAGAAGGCTTTCAAGTGAGTAAAACAGCTGTTGATGGCCACATACAATGCACAGAAAATGGATGGGATTCAGTGCCTGTATGTGTTGGTAAGTTAATGCAATATTATTTTTGTTAATTTTTCAAATCTGCTGCATCAACAAAACATGAAGATGACATTATTGGTGATTTCCCTAACATTGTATGCACATGTCATGGCTTGAAAAAGGTCCATGTAAAAGGGATTTGGGAGTCTTCGTAGATGACAAGCAAAACATAAGTCAACAGTGTGATGCAGTAGCTAAAAAAGTCAATGCAATTCTACACTGCCTCAATAGGAATATAGTGTTGAAACTGAGGGAAGTTGGGAGAGATCATCTGGAGTTTCGGGGTGCGGTGTCATCTGTACGCAGATGATGTCCAACTCTGTTACTCTTTTCCACCTGCTACTAAGGAGGCTGTTCAGGTCCTGAACCGGTGCTTGGCCGCTGTAACGGACTGGATGAGGGACAACAGATTGAAACTAAATCCAGAAAAGACAGAGGTACTCCTGGTCAGTCGAAAGGCCGAACAGGGCATAGGGTTACAGCCTGTGCTTGATGGGGTTACACTCCCCCTGAAGGCGCAGGTTTGCAGCTTGGGAGTGATCCTGGACTCATTGCTGAGCCTGTAACCCCAGGTCTCGGCGGTGGTCAGGGGAGCTTTCGCACAATTAAAGCTTGTGCGCCAGCTGCGCCCGTACCTTGGGAAGTCTGACTTGGCCACGGTAGTCCACGCTTTGGTTACATCCCATTTAGACTACTGCAACGCTCTCTACGTGGGGTTGCCTCTGAAGACTGCCCGGAAGCTTCAATTAGTCCAGCGAGCGGCAGCCAGATTGCTAACAGGAGCAGGGTACAGAGACCATACGACCCCTCTGTTACGCCAGCTCCACTGGCTGCCGATTAGCTTCCGAGCACAATTCAAAGTGCTGGTTTTGACCTATAAAGCCCTAAACGACTCCGGCCCAGTCTACCTGTCCAAACGGATTCTCCCCTATGAACCATCAAGGTTATTAAGATCTTCCGGAGGGGCCCTGCTCTCGGTCCCACCACCCTCGCAGTTGCGCTTGGTGGGGATGAGAGACAGGGCCTTCTCGGTGGTGGCTCCCTGGCTTTGGAACTCCCTTCCATTAGAGATCCGATCTGCCCCCTCCCTCCTTACTTTCAGGAAATTACTAAAGACCTGGCTCTGGAATGTGGCTTTTGAGGACTGAATCTTTGATGAACTGTGACTACGACTGCGATTGTATTGACGTTCTGGCCTGGGTAATTGTAATGATGATGTTTTATTGTATTTTATTGTTTTGTTTTAATCTTTAATGATGTTGCACTCGGTTGTATTTGTATATTTTGTAATTGCATATATGCTGTAAACCGACCTGAATCCCTCATTTGAGGTGAGAAGACCGGTGTAGAAAACTTCCAAATAAATAAATAATAAATAAGTCACAGTCCCATTCTATTTTGCTTTGGTCAGGCCTCATCTGGAATAATGTATTCAGTTCTGGGGATTACACTTCAAGAAGGATATTGACAAGCTAGACCTTCTCTGCGAAGGGCAACCAAAATGATCAAAGGTTTAGAAGACAGGTCCTATGAGGAGCTTGGACAAAATAATATATAATATAACAACAACAACAACAACAACAACAACACTTTATTTATATTCCATCCTTCTCCTCGAGAGGATTCAGAGCAGATTACAGCATATGAAAGAGGGTTGAGAGGGGACATAATGGCCATGTCGTGATCCAGAAGCCTTAAGTAGAGCCAAACACAAGATAAAGAGTTCAAACACAGCTTTATTATACAAAAATAGTCTTTTAAAGCACTTAACTTCAGTGCAGAGAGTCAGAGCAGCAAATTGGCATCAAAAGCAAAGTGATACCAGCAACAAAAATATAACCCGGATTATAACGCTGTTTAATCCGGGTTAAACACAAAGTTCAGCAATCTGCTTCAAAATGCACACAGTTCAAAAATGCAGTCACAGAAAAAGGAAAACGAAGTCTCAAGATGATGCAAAGTTCACACAAGAAATTAGCAATGTTTAAAGCCCAAAAGCCCAAAAATGTTGGTCAAACCGAGTAATGTAAACACTGGAACACAGGAATCACAGGAACACAGGAATCTGGAGCCCAAGGACCCAATCTCAAAAGTTGGCAGTAACAAAGATTTATGTCCCATAAAGACACTTTGCCTTCTGCAAAGAGCCATACATTTCAAACCCACTTTTATCCTACAGCTCCTCATTAGAGGATGATGAGCTCCCCTCCCTTTCCTCATCGCTCTCAGCTGCCTCCATCCCCGCAGCTGAACCCAAGCGCCCATCTCTCCACCTCTGCCAGCGTCTGCTAAGACTTAGATCTTGCCAAGAACTCCCTGGTTGCCAATCCCCTGTGAACCCCTCAAATTCATCACTGGAAGTGGGTTGGTTACAAATGTCTCTAATCTGTTGAACATGGGTCCAATACAGCCCATCCTCCTCTCCCATATCACTCCCAGACCCATCACTCCTTTCAAACCCCGGATGCGCTTCCTCTGAAGCTCTTCATTGGACTCTGGATCGTGAGTAACCCTTTTTACTCCTCTGCTTTCTTCCTCATCCCCCATCTCGCAATCGGAGAAGCCCTCAAACATCTCAGAATCACTTGGAGCCATAATTATCTCCCTAATGCACTTTCGCTGTTGTTCCTCCTCCAACTCCTGCGCAGACCTCTTCTCCCTTCTACCAGTAGTAGTAACATTATCAACAAGCTGAACTACAACAGGCCAGCTTTAAATATTTAAAGGGTGTCATATTGAGAAGGGGGCACAATTTTTTTGTTGCTCTGGAGAGTAGGAATGGATTCAAATGGTATGAAAAAAGATTTCTCCTAAACATTAGGAAGATCTTCCTAATGGTTGGATCTGTTCGGCAGTGAAAGATTCTGCCGTGAAACATGGTGAAGTCTCCTTCCCTTAAAGTTTTTAAACAGAGGTTGGATGACCATCTGACAGGAGTGCTTCGTTTATATTTTCCTGCATGGCAGAGAATTGGACTTGATGGCCCTTGTGGTATCTTCCAACTTTATATTTTCAAGTGGATTTCTTCATATCTGCTCCCTTCCACAAAAAAAGTCTCAAAGCCTTCTAGAGGGTATAGAAGACATTATTTGTCATGTTTTAAGGTGCCTCAGGCCAGGGTAAAAAAAAAAAAGAGAGAGAGAGAGAGAGTGACTTAAAACCACTCCTTATTTATTTCCCCTTTTTAATTTTTTTCTGCACCCTCCCTCCATGCAGAGTTTTGGGCATTTCAAAGCAAAATTATCTGGCACCCAGATACCCTGAGGAACACTTTAAATAGATTTTCTGTCCATGTGAACTATATAACATTTTAAAAAACCCAGTTTTTCCAAACCACAAGTGGGCTTCTGCTACTCATGAACTCTTGTTTTAATTCATATTTTCCTTTTAATTTATGTGCCCCTTAGAGAGTCTTTGGACTGGGAATTTGTCCACAGACTCAGCATAGCAGTTCACCCATTGATCATATCAAGAATGTCCAAAGGGTTACACTTTATAATATCAATCCTCATATATGGGAGAAATAAATGTTTCCAGAAATGCTTATTTCCATACAGGTATAAGAGCAAAATTTGGAAAGGAGGCTTCTTAAATATTGAAATCCCAGAGGAGATCTGCACCAGTTACCAGAATATAGACAATGATTATACTGATTTGACTGCCCAGCCCTTCAATGGCTGCTCAACACTATCTCTGGGGTCCTCTAGAGCAGTGGTTCTCAACCCCAGGTTTTTGGCCTACAACTTCCAGTAATCCCAGTCAGTTTACCCATTGTTAGGATTTCTGGGAGTTGAAGGCCAAAACATCTGGGGACCCACAGGTTGAGAACCACTGCTCTAGAGATTCTGGAGGATTTTGTTATGTTGTGACATAGCCTATTTATTTATTTACTGTATTTGTATACCGCCCTCTCAGCCTTCCGGCGACTCGATGCGGTTTACAAGGCAACATTCAATACCACAGAAATACAAGTACAATATAAAAAAAATTAACATCCATAAAATCATAATAATAACAATACAACATAAATCAATAAATTCTCATTAAAAAAAAACATTGCCCAGTCTCATTGTGTTGTTCCAATTCCTATTCCTATGTCCATTACTCATTATTTGCAAATGCTTGCTCAAATAGCCATGTCATGAGTTTTTTCCAAAATGTTAGGAGCAAAGAAGCTGACCTGATCTCCCTTGGGAGAGTTTTCCATAGCTGAGGGGCCACCACTGAGAAGGCCCTGTCTCTCGTCCCCGCCAAATGTACTTGTGACGAAGGTGGGACCGAGAGCAGGGCCTCCCCAGACGATCTTAAAGTCCTCGATGGTTCATAAGGGGTGATGCGTTCGGACAGGTAAGTTGGGCCATAACCGTTTAGGGCTTTATAGGCCAAAGCCAGCACTTTGAATTGTGCCTGGTATTGCAACATAGTCAGCAATGATCCTTGGTTATCTTCACTCTTCCCTCAGCCATTACATGACCATGTTGAGACGGGCAGGGAAAATATGATGCTAGGGGGGAGAGAGACAGCGTTTGAAGATATTCCTTCTATAGGGTGATAATTGACTAAATTTTCCTTATCTCCCTATCATAATATGCTACTCTAAATATATATTATAGCTGCCTAATCTCACAGGTTTATATGCTGTGCATTTTTGTAATAAGATTTCCTATCATTAGCTCCTTTTTATAAAAGTATTTCACTAAATTTAACATTTTGCAATGTTTTCTTTAGCCATAGAATGTGATGTCCCCATTCTGGGGAATGGAAACATTGAAGGAAAAGAACAATTTGCCAATGGAGACGTGGTGAAATTTTCCTGTAAGAAAGGATACAGCAGAGTTGGGCCTGACTCTGCCCAGTGTTATTATTTTGGATGGTCTCCCCTGCCTCCCGTTTGTAAAGGTATGCATTTTGCGAAATATTGTTTAAGATATAGTTAGCTATGTACTTGGGAAGTGATGTTCTATGATAAGGGACTCTTTTGTGGCACCCACACTGTAGAATGCAGTTTGACAGCATGCCATGACTCAATGTAATTTTAAAAGATTTTTTATCCTAAAAATCCTGGCTTCCACTACCTATCTAACAGCCACATTTCCTTTGGTTTTATGTAAGTACAGACCGTCCCCAAGTTGCAAATATCTGACTTACAAATGACTCGTAAGAATGGGGTGAGACAACAGGAAACAAGAAGGGGACATTCACTCCTAGAAGAGTTATCATGAAGAAAAGGTGTCATTACTGAAGCTTTAGCATCAATCCTTGTTTCAACAAAAATTCATTTTTTCTTGCTTTCTTCTTTTTTTCCTTCTTTCTATCTTTCCCATCCTTTCCTCCCCTTACCTCTTTCCCTTTTACCCATGATCCTTATCTCCTTTCTTATGCAATATACTACTACTTTTTTCTTTTCTTTTCTTTTCTTTTCTTTTCTTCTCTTTTCCTTCTTTCTTCTTCTTTTTCTTTCTTCTCTTTTTCTTTATACAATTTTATAGCTTTTATTATGTATTATGAAAAATATTCAATAAAGACTATTTTTTTAAAAAAAGCCAAATTTTTCAAAATCCAATGATCTCAGGGGCAGAAAGTGAGGTGAAATCTTCTGAACACAGCGGTGCATGGATAATGCTTATTCCCTGGCTTCTTCCACTGTGCCATTGGTAATACGGGAAATTAACAACCAAGTGAAAAGTGTCCATTTTAAAAGGCTTTTCTGATCAAATGTCATAATCTAATCTGTGTTGATGTCTGCATTCAAGAGTTACAGTGTCTAAGATGGTATATAGTCCATGGCCCTCAGCTGTAATGGTGACTAAATGGATATAGATCCTATTAGGAGTTTCTTGGAGCAAATAAGTTCCATGTGCTTTTCTCTTTTTTCTAGAAACAGTCAAGAGTTGTCAGCAACCACCCAGCATTTCCAATGGCACTGTTGCTGGTGATCTTCTAGACGAATATCAGCATGGTGAGAAGCTGTTTTATGAGTGTGATATTGGATTTGTAATGTCTGGATCAAATACAGTAGAATGTGTTGATGGAGAATGGACGTCTCTGCCATCATGCACAGGTAATAATATTGCATGTATTTGTAACTCACTCATTTCTAGACTTTTAAAAAAAAGGTTGCTTTGCTTTGCACATATGAATTTGTCATATCTGAAGGTGAAAAACTTCAAAGTAAAAGTGTTGGAGTGAAACTTTAAAAATAAGAGAAGATGTGAATTTATTGTAAGCAGAACTGAAAGTCGATTTTATTGAAATATAATGAAAGAATCTCCAAAATCTTTCTGCAGCAAGGGATGACTAAACTTCTGCTATTGCCAGAGGGGCAAGAGATCTCATGATGCAGGCAAAGCAAATGTAATTACCCAACGTTTTGCCTTCTCCTTCGGTTCTTTTTATTTTTAGCTCTGGTTAGATTGGTCAGTTGTTTCTCCCATTCTGGATTTTGATCTACTGCAGGAATGTTGATACGCCTGTCTAGGATAATTTTCCTGTATCTTTCATCTTTTTAGTCTTCATTAAAAAAAAATTCTCCTGATGTTTCACCTGCATTTGTGGCAGAGGATCCTCTGAAGATACCAGCCGCAGATGCAGGTGAAATATCAGGAGAAAATGCTACTAGAACATGGACATACAGTCTGGAAACCACAACATCCAACATTTATTATGATTATTGTTGTTACAATACATTTTATTCACCCACTTTATTTCTGTTATTTCTCATTCTGCACCAGAAGTTTTCATTTGAAGGAATGTTCTCTTCATTTTCTTGTGTTGTGTATCCACGGTATGGAGAAATTTTGAACAAATTAGACTTTCTTTCTTGGAGTATAATTGAGCTTTATGTGTGATACATTCAATGTACAAATTACAGGGTATTATGTATAATGAAGCCCTATCTGATCCTCTTATGTATACTCATGACAAGAGGCCCTAGTGGTAGCCTCTTGTCATGAGTATAGGACATTTGAATGTTGCTGTATACTCATTTCTTTAATTTTTCATACTTTACACAATTAAATATTTTATTATAATATTTAGTGTACAGACTGATTTTCTTCTGAAATATTGTTGCACTCCAGTATTTAATGTATGCTTTCAATATAGCCCCTCATTCCCTCTTTCTTGACGTCTGATATTGATCACTCCATATAGGGGGACAGTCAGGTTTTTTTTAAAATAAGTGCATCATATTGTTTTCTTGGAATGGTCCAATTGTGAACTACAAATCTACGTGTCCAGTTTCTTGGGTGTTGGAATTTACGTTGAATTATTTTGTTTGCCATGTTTGTTGACAGATTTAAATTATAATTCGAGTGTGTTCTGTATCTGTAGCCTGAAGCTTTGAGTCTGGCTTTCACTTTCTATATTTTCACATTAGCTGGTGTTAAAATCTTATACTTTAAAGAGTAGGAAATTTTAGGATCTCCTTAACCAATTTTAAATGACAGTTCACACATTCAGCAGTGACTTTGGTCACTTTTTAATGGATCTACCAGTCTTCCTCTCAAGAAATTCTGTATGGTAGCCACTCGGCCCCATCTATATTGAATATTTTATGTAGTTTGAAGTTGGCCTCAAATTATAGTGGCCACACAACAAATTCCTACAAAAGCATATAAGAAACAGCCCTTAATGTGCACCAGATCTCTGCGGTTATGTATTCATCATCTAGGACTCAAATTGGCTCTAGAATTTCCTATGTAATCATCTACACAGTTGAAACCACTGCCTTCAATGCTGGTTTGAAACTGCATTAAATGGTCAGTGGAGATGGGACCTTGGCATAATCTTTATGAATTGCATAGATTTGCTTCCTCTAAATCAGGTTTTACAGAATACATTAGATGTTATTTTTGGTTAATGTTAACTGGCGCTCCTTTCAGAGAGAGGTCAACTCTCCTGTTTAAGGAGCTCCATTGGCTGCCGTTTACTTTCCGAACCCAATTCAAGGTGCAGGTGCTTATCTACAAAGCCCTAAACAGTTTGGGACCTGCCTACTTGCATGACCGCATCTCCGTCTATGAACCCACATGCTCCCTTCGCTCATCAGGGGAGGCCCTGCTTGCGATCCCACCTGCGTCCCAGGCGCGGTTGGTGGGGATGAGGGACAGGGCCTTTTCTGTGGTTGCCCCCCGACTCTGGAACACCCTCCCAAAAGACATCAGATTAGCTTCCACGTTGGCAGTCTTCAGGAAGAACTTGAAAACTTGGCTATTCTGATGTGCCTTCCCAGAATAGGATAATCTCCAGCACTCTGTCCCAGAAGCACTTTATTAGAGTTTAATACTCTCTGCTAGGGCTGGGTGGTTTCGTTTCGTTAATTCGTAATTCGTTAAAAATTCGTGGTTTTTTTGAAAACGAAGTTATAACGAACCATTCTGGAGCAACTTAAAAACGAAATGAATTTTTAAATTCATTTCGTAAATGCTTCGGATTCGTTATGTATTCGTTTCGTTATCGGTTTGAGGTTGTTTCGTTATTATTTCCGCATGTCTGGGGCAAGTTTTATAGTTGTTTTTTGTTTAATTAGTGAAAAAAAATAAATTATCACACCAACAGTCAACAACAGAGGGAGAGAGAAGCTTCAGAAGTCCCCCCTGTTCCATTTGGAGGGGTTTTTTTTGCATATTGCGCAATCGCGTCCGCCATTAACGAATCGATTCGTAATTGTTTCGCAATTGTTTCGTAATTTACGAAATGTTGTATATTTCGAACTTTCGTAAATATCGAACTTTTTTTTAAAAAAAAATTCGGAATTCTTTTAAATATCGAAACGCAAAAAACCCCCAAAAAACGAATCGATTTTAGAAACAATTTTTTCCATTGTTACCCAGGCCTACTCTCTGCATGTTGCACTTGCCCTAAAATCCAACATGCCCCCTATCACTCCCAGCACTTTTTAACCTGTACCCATTACTTGGCCCAGCCTGGTTTTTTGTGAATGTTTGTTGACATTGCCTTTATGTTTTTATTTTATTTGCTTTGAGTTGTATTGTTTTGTTGTTGTAATACTGTTGTTGTGTTGAAGCCTTGGCTTATGTAAGCCGCATCGAGTCCTTTGGGAAATGCTAGCGGGGTACAAATAAAGTTTAATAATAAATAATATTTTTGGTTAATGCTTCATCCTCTTGCTGTTGCTTCCTGCTTGGGTCTATAATATCCCTGCCTCATTTCTTTTAACTCAGTTAGAAAACAGTTTATTGAATATTCATCATTAAGGTATATACTTGTGTCTAGCGAAGGAGTTATCCTGAGCAAACTTTCTCTATTGGTTGTCTTGGAATCCAGCCTGCTCCATCACCCTGCTCCTGGAATGCCTCATTTCAGCATCTGAAAATGGATAAACACGAATGGTACAAATGTGGACTCCTATACCAATCCACCCATTTTTGCCATCTGGCATTTCTTTCATGTCAGTGATATTGGAAAGGAGGGGAAAATATCTGTTTCATTTTAATTCTTCTAAATATCTGTCCAGATGCTTTGCTAATGAATTGTTTATCAAATGGATATCTTAATCATCTGTTAGCATTTTCGAAGTATTAACAGAATTATAACAATGGTGACTCAGTGTACCTTTTGTTTTCTCAGTAATATAAAAGAGGATGAGGAAAGTAGAGTTACAATAGGTATTAGAAATAAAGGGTACCTTCATTTGAAAAGAAGCCATATAAAATCCAGATTATCTGTTTTGAACTGGATTATATGGAAGTGTAAACTCATATAGTTCAGTTAGAAGCAGATAATGCTGCTTTTATGATTTGGATTATATGGCAATGTAGAAGGGGCCTAAGTACGTCTGTTCTCCTTCACATCCTTTTATGTTGTTTTCAACAGAGGAAGTGAAATTCTGTGGAAAACCTCCAGCAATCAGACATGGAAGAACTGTTGGTGTTGATTCAAACTCAGACAGATATGCACATTATGAAACAGTAAAATATGAATGCTCTCCAACTTACTTCCTTGTTGGAACCAATCCTGCCAGATGTCTTCATGGAAAGTGGAAATTACCCGAGTGCAGTAGTAAGCTACAACATTTCAAATAAACTATTTAACATTTAAGCAGGTACTTCTTGAAATTGTAAACAGATGCAGAAACGAAGAGTCTTGTAATATCTTAAAGACTAATTTCTTAAGGCAAACATGTGCACTGATGAAAGCTTCTATCAAATAAGGTTGCATCAGATTAAGTGAGCTACAGTCTATGAAAAGTACAGTCTATAAAAGGTACCGTCTATGAAAAGTACAGTCTATGAAAAGTACAGTCTATGAAAAGTACCATAACAGTGTCTGTTATTTTCACTGCATCAAACTAAAACAGTTGTCCCACCACTCAGAAATCGTAATGCTAAATACTTATTACTACTGGCAGCTTAATTACTGAAAAGAAGTCCCCCCCCTCCCCCAAATCAAATCTTAGAATTTTAGTCAGGACACAGAAGAATTAAATAATTAATTCTTAGCAATTGTTTTGTTGTCGTCGTGTGCTTTCAATTTATTTCTGGCTTATGGTGGTCCCTAATTCAATCCATCAAGGGGGTTTCCTCAGCAAGAATTTGTTCACAAGAAAATTTGTTCCTTTGAGGCTGAGGGAGTTTGACTTGCCCAAAGGCATTCAGTTAGTTTCCACAGTTGACCAGGGATTTAAACCCACTTTGAGCCCTTCCAGACAGCCTCATAATCTGGGACAAATACTTGGGTTTGAACATTGTGGGAACTTAAAGAGAGTCCAGACACGAAGCTGTTAGTTCTAATAAATTATCCCTTGGCGCCCTGACATGTTCAAGATGGACATGGGACATCCGCTGGAAATTTACTATTTTTTTTAATTGACTCTCCAAGATGTGCTGGACCTCGTAAGGGCTGATATGGATATACTAATGTGCACGCAAGCAGGTTTCTTGTCATTATCTCTTCTCACCCTCCTACTGCCTTTATGTTTGCCCTCTTGAACTCTGCTTCCATTTGGGGTCATTTGCCTGCCATACTGGTACTCACTGTGTAAATTCAAGCTCTGTTTAATTTCGTAAACATGAGAACAAAGGAATACTTGCAGAGCATTCTCATGGGAATTGCTTTCCAATGGTGTTTCCATTTAGCCATCTATGTGTCTGTGGCTCTATTTGTTTACAGCCCTCATCAGCTGTTTCAGGATTTTAAAATGTGCACATGCTCTGGATCAGACCACACCAGCCTATAGCAATGAAGTCCCATGTTTTTTCTTGACTGTAGGGATATACAATGATATGAATATGCATATTTTTAGGCTGAAAATAGATTTTAAGTGTCCCTTTTTAACACATGTTTTCCAGACGTTAGTGCAACCCAGCCCACATTTTTGGCCCAAGTAATCTAGCCACCTAGTTGTAAAGTCTGTGCAGAATGCATTCTGAACACTAAATAGTCCTCAAAAGCTGCAAAGTTTCTCAAGGCTCTTTTGCAATAGGAAGAAAAATGCTAAAATTATTCACTCCTGCCCTGAAGAATGAACTTAGTGAAGGCCCCAATCCCCAGAAAGAGGACTCATGAGATCCATCTCCAAATATCTTTCCCATCAGCAATAAGAGGTTTCCAATAATATGCCAATTGGTTGTACAGTGGGTCTTCAAGGGCATGGCTGTATTGGAAAGCAGGGCATACAGGAATTACTCTGCATATACTCATTCCCATCAAGACATGATGCCATTGCCTGACACTCCCATTATTCCATGATGAATGTGTGCATTGAGAATAATACTTTGGTACCTTTTTCATATGGATTACTATTTACTTCTACAGTGACATATAAAATCCAGGTTATCTGCTTTGAACTCAATTATATGGCAGTGTAGAGTCATATAATCCAGTTCAAAGCAGATAATGTGGATTATTTCCTTTGATAATCTGGATTATATGGCATTGTAGAAGGGGCCTTTGATGTAACCTCTGGACTTCCTCTCAGCATTATTTGGTACCAGAAATATATAGCATTTCAAAACTAAAAGTTTCAAGTTACATATTTTTTCATTGTAAATGGCTGACAATATTTGTTACTTGAAAAATCTCTGGTTGAATATTGCTTGATGATATCATTTTGCAGAAAAATGTAAAAGGCCAACAGATATAAAGTTTGGACCAAGTGTTTCCCGTTCAATGTATTTTGACAACAACACAGTTATAAGCTACAGCTGTGGTGTCAGCTTGCATGAGACAAAGTGTGTTAATGGAAAATGGTTTCCTGAACCTGAATGCACAGGTATGTTTTGTATGATTTTAACAAGTTCTTGACTTTTATCAATATATTTCAACCTGTTCTTTGATACAATGCATCTTTTATAATACTTTTGAATCATTCAGTTATATCTAAAATATTTAATTTATTTTTGTTAAAGAACTCTGCCCGCCGCCACCACAGCTTCCAAATGCTATCAATATAATAGAAACAAGAAACTATAAAAATGGTGAAGAGGTTGGCTTCACTTGCATGAAACATTTTCTTCTTCAAGGGCCTCCAAAAATACCATGTGAATATGGACGTTGGCAGACACCACCACGCTGTATTGGTTTGTATTGCTTCACTTTTGATGTCTGCCTTTGCTTGAAGAAACTGAATGGCAAGAGAAAAACTATAAGGGAGAATTTGACAAAGTAGGATAATATCTCTGTAAGAATTCTATGTTATCTTTTATTTCATTAATAATTTCTATGTCTAGCCATGTGTGAATTATCTGTTATTGGTCAAAATATTTTTGCTCAAAACTAAATAGTACAACATATTTATAGACATGTTACAAAATGTTATTTTTGCCCCATTCTACCCATGGCAAGGTTTTCTAGTAGATAGGAATTTCTGATGGAAAACCAAGAAAGAAAACATGATGAGGTCTATCCAAAGAGATCCCCTTAGAGAGGTTCACCTGAACCAGTTTGGGTCTGTTGGCATATCTTTTAGTCCATTACTTGCTGTGTGTGTAGATCTGTGTGGTGCATTTGTGAAGCATCAGACTCTCCACTGCTTTGTCATCTCCCTTTTCTAAATGTAATCTAACAAGGCTGTGGATGGTAACACATCTGCCAAATTCCTTTCTCTCAGTCCAGCTCTAACCAATTACACTATGTAGCATAACTTTTGTTCCTGGGTTATAAATGCTATTTCCTAATTCAACCTAACATAAAAACAAGGAAAACATTTATCAAACTGCAAAAACTTTGTTTTAGTTGGAGATCTTCTAGCACATGTTGCTATATTTTTTTCAAGGGACATCTCATAGAGTTTCAACCAATTCAAAATAGTTTTTGGCAGTCACAATAATAAAGTTTCAGGAGAATAACAACTACTTTCAAAGTAAGTGCCACACAATTAAAAAGGATATAACACTTTCAATCCAGGAACAGAATTTGTTTACAATTTTTTTAACTTAGTGTTGAGAAGGTGCTGCCGCCAATTGAGAGGATTTGAACCTACTGCCAATTGCACAGATGTGTGTTGCTGAATTGTACAGGTGTTGCCACACTATCACCAATGTGGATGTTATGTAGGGAATTTATCCCAGGCCTCAATTGTTTAGATGAGTATGTTATGGAGGAGGCCAATTATTATTTATAAATTAAGGTAACTGCCACCAACGTGAGGTAATTGAGATCTGACTCCACAGACGCAAATGAGATGAGATGAGACAGTTTCCAACAAAAGATAAGTTTATTGTGTACAAAGCGTATGGTTGCAGGCTGTTAAATAACTTATAGAACTTTAAATATCACTTGGTTAACAATACAGTCCACTCTTCCCTATCACACAGCTTGTGGCTAACTTCCACTGAGGTGAAGCGCTTTAGTGAACAATGTCTCCTACTATGAATAGCCTTTCAATTTGATCTTTCCTTGATCAAACCTCCGATCTCTAGTCCCTCTGTGACTAGGGATCTTAACAGGCTTCCTCTAGTCTTCCTTGACTAAAGAAACTCTCCAGGTTTCTTTATTCAGCCCTCCTAGACTGAAAAACCCCAGGTGCTCACACACACCTCTCTCCCAGGCTTTCCAAGCCTCACTCACTCCCTTTTTTAAAATGCACATAACTTTTCCTGCTTGGCTCCACCCACTTCTCACTCTCATGAGCCAGCCAGCTTCGTATCCATGGCAACGCTCACTGTGGATTCTATCCAGATGGCTCCAGCTTTAGCTACTGTTGCAAACCAAATATATACTATAACAGTTTAACATAAACATAATATCAATTGACTTCTGCACAGTGTTATTATTTTCAAATATGTATTTCCGAATAAATTTTCTCTCAAAAGAAAAATGTTAAGATTTTTTATCGTGTCAGAAGTGAATTGAGAATACAGTTATCATGTATAGAAAAGCCACAAACAAATTAAAAACATGATGTAATACTAAATTTCATTTGACCAGAAGCTGGCCACTTCAGGTGCCTCTGATGTCACTGTAAGAAAGTCCTCCATTGTGCATGTGGGAGGGCTCTGACTGCATTGTACTAAGTGGTCTGTGGTTTTATCTTCTCCACATTTCCATGTTGTGGAATCACTTTGTAGCCCCATTTCTTAAGATTAACTCTGCATTTTGTGGTGCCAGAGCGCAGTATGTTCAATGCCTTCCAAGTCACCCAGTCTTCTCTGTGCCAAAGGGGGAGTTTCTCATCTGGTATCAGCCACTGATTGAGGTTCTGGGTTTTAATCTGCCACTTTTGGACTCTCGCTTGTTGAGGTGTTCCTGTGAGTATCTATGTAGATCTTAGGAAGTGATTTCTTGATTTAAGATGTTGGCTTGCTGGCTGATATCCTAACAGAGGATGGGCCAAAGATGTCAATGCTTTGGTCCTTTCATTACAGGCTGCTACTTCCCAATGGATGCCAGGTGGTGCAGTACTGGCTAAACAGTATAATTTCTCCAGTGGTGTAGGGCATAGACATCCTGTGATAATGCGGCATGTGTCATTAGAGCCACATCTACTGTTTTAATATGGTAAGATGTATTCCACACTGGGCCTGCGTATTCAGTAGCAGAGTAGGAAAGCTCAAGGGCAGATGCCTTCACTGTATTTGGTTATGATTCCCAGGTTGTGCCAGTCAGCTTTTGTATGATATTATTTCTAGCACCCACACTTTGCTTGATATTCAAGCAGTAATCCTGTAAGTAAGTGCATGTTCAAGAGCAACTCCCAGGTATTTTGGTTTGCTGCAATGCTCCAGTGGGATTTCTTCCCAGGGAATACTCAGAGCTCAAGATGTTTGTTTGTTCTTAAGATGAAAAGCACATCTTTTCATCTTAAGAACATCTTTTCACACATAAAAAGACACCTGTAAAAGGACTGAAGGAGTGAAAAGTCGTCCCATGTATAAAATGATGTTGAATGTAAGACTCAAGACTGTAACAGAACAAACAAATGTAACCATAAGCGTTGGAGCCAGAAGCTATAAATAAACTTTGTTACTTTGTTTACTACAAGAGTGTCTCAAGCCTGTAATATAAAACCCTCAATGTAAAAGCTCACAAGACAGCCCCAGCCAATTTTAAAAGAAGAAAATACATCAAACAAGGCAGTAAAAAGATTTAAAAGAAAATATTTTTCCCCTCACATCGTCACACATAAAAGGACACCTGTAAAAGGACTGAAGGAGCGAAAAGTCATCCCACACACGTATTCATTTCAGATGGATTAGGAGTCCGCTGGTTTTCCCTGTAATAGGCAGTAAGAGCACCTAAAGCTTTGACGAGCTTCTGTTCAACCATTTCAAAGCTCCCTGCTTGAGCAGTGATGACATAATCATCAGCATAGATGAAACTCTTTGTCCTATCTGGCAGTGGCTGATCATTTATAAATGTTATGATATCTCTGGGGAGGGGGTGGGAGAAATACCACGTGCCTTGTGTATTTTATCCCTATAAAGTAAAAAAAAACATTTAAAAGTCCTGCTAATCAGTCTGAATACCTATCTAGTTCAGCAGTCTTTTCCCAACAGTGAATATTGAGAGATCAAAGGCAAATCCATAAGCAGAATATGAATTCAGTTTTATCCTCTGGCTTGTGTTTTGCAACAACTAGTATCCAAAGAAACACTGTTGCTAATCTTGTAGGTAATACAGAGTCATCATGATTAGAAGTCATTGATAGTTTTCTCCAGGACAGTAGGTTTTACCTACTTGCACTTCTGTTCCATTTGGTGGCATGGTTTCTCCTTTATTTGATGTTTATAGACATTTTGATCATCTGTTCAATTACTAGAGGCAGGGAAGTATGTCAGACAATGTGAATCCATAGAATTGTGTGACCATGTGATCACTAATGCTGCCAATTATCATGTTCCCAAATAAGAGGAACAGAGTCCTCCACACATATTGCTTTTTGTCTTGGTTAAGCATGGCAGTTGCACAGCTTCAGGTTTTGTTCAACAGCAGTGCCAGCTAACATTACCAAATGATGAAAACAACGAAAACAGTAGAAGAGAAGCAATTGGAGGGCTGTAAAATTCCCAGTCTTGATTTATGCTCTCAGAAGAAAATTGAACTAGGCAGCATTCCTATGTACACAATGAATAACCTGAGTGTTTTAATGGTGGTGTTTTTTTATTTAACAGTGTTTGTACTTCAGCATCCATTTCACTTGCTGTTGCTTCTATAAGTAGGGAAATGTGCAACAGAAAACATATTTCCTTAGTATGTCGTAATGGATAGAGGGAGAGAATGAGGTACCAAGGTTTGTCAACTAGTCTCTTCTATGCAAAATTCATCCAAGTACAGTTAGGATTATGGCCATAGTTGGAAATAATGAAGGAATGCAAATTAACAATTTGATTCTGAGCGAACTTTCTTATTGGAACAAGTCCCATTGAAGTATCTTGAACTTGCTTTTGGGTATATCTACTCAGTCCTATTTTAACATAAATTGATCCTACATTCATTCTGATTTATAATCCTTATTGTGAACATTGGTCACTAGATAAACATCATAGAAAGAATATATGCCTTCCAATTTCTTAAAAATACATTCACTTCATCAAGGCTTGTGAATGCCCTACTATGTGAATATGGGAAGACTGGTTTAATAAACTGATGTGTTCTTTATGTGGTTACATTCACTATGCTGTAAATTCATTTTTTTTTCAGATCAAAGATGTGAAAATCCCCCTTCAATTGACAATGGTGAAGTAGAAATTATTTCCCAGAACAAATATATTCCTGGTCAAACTGTGGAATATCACTGCCTTGAAGGTTTTGAAATCAGTGGATCTTCATTTGCCATATGTGAAAATGCTAAATGGCATCATGTGCCAGCTTGCAAAGGTAAGAAAATGTACTTCTTTTCAAAGATGAAAAGTACTGCATAGTTTTACACAATGCTTGTTAGCCCTGTGCCAGGAAGATATGTGAGAAGGAACTTCAAGGAGTTCATAGAATTAGTGATAATTCACAGATATATATTTGACTAGAGTTATATATAACACATGGTTTGCAGAGACTTCAGGAAAAAACATATCTATAGATCTATAGGGTTTGCAAAAGCCAATGAACAATTCCAAGAGAACAAAGTTAATATAAAGTTAATACATTTAGACAGCCAATTATCTCACACCAGAAGAAAAGATTAACAAAATAAAGCCAGGAAATTGGGTAGTTTTGAAAGTGAGCCATACAAACAAGGAGGAAATGAAATATATCTAATTTTTGACTCAAACGGTTCTTGCAATTGTAGAAATAGTAATAATAAATCCTGCAAATTTGCAATATTCACTTTTTTCTTCCCCTTCAACCCATGCAATCTTTTTCTTCTTCTGGACTTGCAAGGGCTTCTCTCCCTCTCCTTTCTCTTGTCCTTTTCTTCTTGGAAAAGAAAACACACTGTTAAGGGAGGGGAAGAGGAGAGAGAAATATATTATATATTGCAAGCACTGGCCTCCAGGCACCGCTGCTTGGAGGCCATTATAAACTGAGGAATGAAAACTCAGCTTATATTTCAGTATATACAGCAATACAGAGAAAACTGGGATCTTCCAGTTTGCTCCAGATTAATAAAACACCTGGAAAGATCCAGATCTTAAACCAAGGTCTGAATCTTTCCAGGTGAGAGCGTTATGGGGATTCATTTATTTCAAACATTTATATCCCATCCTTCTCACCCCCGGAGGGGGACTTAGGACAGCTCAAAACCAAATTGATTCCCAGGACCATGTCTGTGGTCGCAGGGGTCAATCCCTGCAGTGAACACAGATCTTTGGGCTCTACGAGCCTGAAGGAATGGTATGGAATCCCCAGCCCCTCAAAAAACAACTTACCTGAGGGGCTGGGATTATATGCCTCTCTGGAGAGCTCCCCTGGTACTTAAAAAAGATGTGTCACGAAGGGTGGAGGAGGGCCTCCTCTCTCACACCTCCTGACCCATCATTTTCAGGCACCAGGAAAACTCTCTAGAGTGGCATATAAAACAATATGAGAAGAATCCTGTATTGATGAAAATTTTCATACTTTTTCTTGCACATTTTACAATTCTTTTTTGCACAGAAAACATTTTCTGCATAGAAAAAATGTTTTTGTATGGAAATGTTGTGTAGAATAAATCCACACCAATATCATTTTCTGCACAAAAGCTCTATTTTGTGTGAAAAATACTGTTCTAAATTTAAGTGAAAATGTAATCCAAAGTAAGTCCCAGATGGCAGCTTTCAAATGTGGCTAAAATTATTCATCCCATTCTCTCAGAATGAATTATTGAAATATAGCATCACCATGTCTCTTTTCAAAACAAAAGAAAAATTCAGTATTGAATTGCAACTTGGTTCAATGTTCTGGTGATCATTTCTCAACTTTTTCAGCTAAGATCAAGTGTAGCATCTGTCAATAGCCCTCGTTTCAGGTCAATGCCAATATGAGGAGTCAGCTACTACATCTTTAGAGACGAAACCATGATAAACTTAGAAACTGCTTCCCTGCCACCATACAAGAAATTATTTTATAGTATAGTTTATATATGGTGAGCCACCCTTTGGATATATTTGTTATCATTTATGTGTGATCTAAAAGTAAAATATCTTCTTTAGAATGCTCCTAATCTTAATCTGTTCTAATAATGAAATTTGCTTTCTTTCCACTATTAATATATTATATTTCTATTTTCATTTGTTTTGTTTGTATTACTTATTGTGTCTGTCAAATTGCGTTTATAAATATATTTTTAAAAGATTAATCTATCTGTGTTGTCTTGGGAAAATCTTGTCACAGGCATAGTAACTTGTTCATAATGTTGCATTTTCACTTTCCTAACCTCTCAGAAAAGACATGTGGCCAGCCCCCTCTCATTGACTATGCTTCATTCACTAAAAATGTGAAAAACAGATATCAATCTGGGGAAACAGTGAATTATGAGTGCCATCCTGGTTTTGCTGCTGAAGGACCACTGATTCTGACATGCCAAAGAGGTGAATGGTCAGAGCCTTCCACCTGTGAAGGTATGTCTCTTATTTATTTATTTATTTTGGTCTGGCTGACACTTCTGAAACTACTTATGTGCTGCCATACTGAAGTTGAATAGCTAAGGTGAAAGGTAGGGTGTCCCATGAATGTCCCTTCTATGTTCCTTTGTGTAAGTGTTCATGTTCACAACATGTGTTGCCTGATATTCTACAAACTGCATTGTTCTTCCGATCCAAGTGGTAAAGCTTAGAGAAATCCTAACTCATTTTGGTGCCACACATGTTAGCCCTGTTTCTGGGTGTATTTGACCTGTTGATTTCAGAAATAGCACCAGTTTTCCCTTATCATCTCTAGTTTTTGAGATATAGAGCATATGGCATCTACCAATTATTATAGGCTCACCTATAGAGATCAATGATAACCATATCTAAAAAATGAGAACTGATGCAGTTTATCCAATGCAGTTTTCTGAATCAGCACCCCAAAATCCCCCATGAGCTGACCTAAAAACAGAATATCAAGGATCTTTTTTGTTGGGCTGTGCCATCATTACTCTAAAGTGAAAGGCTGACTGTCTTATCATAAAAGTGGTATATTAAACGTTTTAATGCTATAGCCACTGTCCAATCACAGTCTAAAATGATATAATAACCCATCCACATTTCACATACCACTCAGCATCCTAATTCAGACCATGCGTTTTCTATTTTTATTTCATGAGATGTCTTTGTAACAGTTGCCCTTTCCAAGCAATTTTTAAATGTGTAAATGGGACATAAAATGCACCCCTATTCTCTTAATCTGCCCATATGCAAAAGTCCATACCCCCAAACTTAAAATGTATGTACACCAAAGAATGGTAGAATCTGGTCATTGGAATCCTAATTGCATTGCTACATATTGACATTCAGGCATTGTAGGCATTTTGTCTGGAAAGTCTTGGAATCTTTATTTTTCTCCATTATAACGAGACAGCAATGAATAAGTATTTTTTTATATAAAACTTTAATAAAAGTCTTTCTTCTTCGTATCATTTCCCAATTTAGATATAACCTGCGGAGAACCCCCTGTAGTTGCTAATGGTGATATTGTGGTGAACAGAGACAACATTTATCTTCCTGGCCAAATACTGCATTATCAATGCCAAAAAGATTTTGAAACAATTGGACCAAATACTATAAGGTGTGAAAATCAGGCATGGTCAGAACCACCGACATGTGAAGGTATGGATGAATATTTCCAAATTCTCTTGCAAAGTTTCAGTGGTCAAAAGGGAAATGAAAGGAACTGGAAGGAAAGAGACACAGGGTTCTCCAAACTCCTAATCCATGTTTAACAATTTCTGAAGTAAAGGTAGAAACACATTTCACAATTATAGGCTCTGAAGTATAATTTGAAACCTTTTTTTTTTTTAAAAAAAAGGCCATGAAGCTATCCCCTTGAATCTCAATCTCAATCTCTCAATCTTTCACCCCCCTCCTCTGACTCAACACACCGAATTGGATTGCATGAGTCTACACTGCACTTAATTAAATTCAAAACAGATAATCTGGATTTTATATTGCAGTGTAGAATGGCCCTTAGAAAGCAGTTAAGTGTTGTTTCTACTCTCTTCCACAAGAAACCTCTAATATTACAGGCAAATCCAAATTCTCTTTCGCATATAATCTTTGCACCAGACTGCATATGTATAAATTGCATATGTATGGAGAGGAAGTGCAAATTAGGCTTGTGCATTACGGGTAAACCATGATCCTTTTGGTGTCCCGGATTTCGGTGGGGGCCCTGATCCATTTTGTGAGAGCCTCCTGAATTTGGGAGGGCAGATATCTGTTTTTGCTCTGGGGTGCCAAAAGATGCATTTTCCCACACAACCCCCACAAAAGAAGAGGCCACACACATGATTGGGTTAACTAAGGATAACTTTTATTAATTTTACCCAATTAGAAATAATAATTCCACCCCCAGCCCCAATGTGATCACTCAATACACACTGGACCTGACCATGAACTTGGCTGTGAACTTGGCGAGGGTAATCTTATTCACAGATTTATTAATGTCATGTTGTTGTTCATTTGTTCAGTCATCTCTGACTCTTCGTGACCTCATGGACCAGCCCACGCCAGAGCTCCCTGTCGGCGTCACAATCCCCAGCTCCTTCAAGGTCAGTCCAGTCACTTCAAGGATGCCATCCATCCATCTTGTCCTTGGTCACCCCCTCTTCCTTTTACCTTCCACTTTCCCCAGCATAATTGTCTTCTTTAGGCTTTGCTGTCTCCTCATGATGTGGCCAAAGTACTTTGTCTCTAGGATCCTTCCCTCCAGTGAGCAGTCGGGCTTTATTTCCTGGAGGATGGACTGGTTGGATCTTCTCGCAGTCCAAGGCACTCTCTTCCTTCGCTCAGCCTTCCCTAAGGTCCAGCTCTCACATCCGTAGGTTACTAGAGGGAATACCATGGCTTTGACTATGCGGATCTTTGTTGCCAGTGTGATGTCTCTACTCTTTACTATTTTATCGAGATTGGACATTGCTCCCCTCCCTGGTGAGATGTCAAGACTAAAGATAGACATTCTGGGGGTCAGCGAACTGAAATGGACTGGAATGGGCCACTTCACATCAGATGACCACCAGATCTACTACTGCGGACAAGAGGAACATCAAAGAAATGGAGTAGTCTTCATAATTAATAAGAAAGTCGCTAAAGCAGTGCTTGGATACAACCCAAAAAATGACAGAATGATCTCAATTCGAGTGCAAGGAAAGCCTTTCAACATTACAGTGATCCAAATATATGCCCCAACCACAGCTGCTGAAGAAGCAGAAGTAGATCAGTTCTATAAGGATCTGCAAGACCTACTGGATAATAGACCAAAAAGAGACATTATTTTCATTACAGGAGACTGGAATGCCAAGGTGGGAAGTCAAATGACAACTGGGATCACAGGCAAGCATGGTCTGGGAGAACAAAATGAAGCGGGACGCAGGCTGATAGAATTTTGCCAGGAAAACTCGCTGTGTATAACGAATACTCTCTTCCAACAACCTAAAAGACGGCTTTATACATGGACATCACCAGATGGTCAGCACCGAAATCAGATTGACTACATCCTTTGCAGCCAAAGGTGGCGGACATCCATCCAGTCGGTGAAAACAAGACCTGGGGCTGACTGTAGCTCAGATCACGAACTTCTTATTGCTCAATTTAGAATAAAACTAAAGAGATCAGGGAAAATACACAGACCAGTTGGTTATGATCTCACTAACATTCCTAGCGAATATACAGTGGAAGTGAAGAACAGGCTTGAAGGACTAGATTTAGTAAACAGAGTCCCAGAAGAACTATGGACAGAAGTCCGAGACATGGTTCAGGAGGCGGCAACAAAGTACGTCCCAAAGAAAAAGAAAACCAAGAAGGCAAAATGGTTGTCTGCTGAGACACTGGAAGTAGCCCAAGAAAGGAGGAAAGCAAAAGGAAACAGTGAAAAGGGGAGATATGCCCAGTTAAATGCGCAATTCCAGAGGTTAGTCAGAAGAGATAAGGAACTATTTTTAAATAAGCAATGCATGGAAGTGGAAGAAGACAACAGAATAGGAAGGACAAGAGACCTCTTCCAGAAAATTAGAAACATTGGAGGTAAATTTCAGGCAAAAATTGGTATGATAAGAAACAAAGATGGCAGGGACCTAACAGAAGCTGAAGAGATCAAGAGAAGGTGGCGAAACTATACAGAAGATCTGTATAGGAAGGATAATAATATTGAGGATAGTTTTGACGGTGTGGTGAATGAATTAGAACCAGACATCCTGAGGAGTGAGGTTGAATGGGCCTTAAGAAGCATTGCTAACAACAAGGCAGCAGGAGACGACGGGATCCCAGCAGAACTGTTTAAAATCTTAAAAGATGATGCTGTCAAGGTGATGCATGCCATTTGCCAGCAAATATGGAAAACACAAGAATGGCCATCAGACTGGAAAAAATCAACTCATATCCCCATACCAAAAAAGGGAAATGCGAAAGACTGCTCAAACTTCCGTACAGTGGCCCTTATTTCTCATGCCAGTAAGGTAATGCTCAAGATCCTGCAAGGAAGACTCCAGCAATACATGGAGAGAGAGCTGCCAGATGTTCAAGCTGGGTTTAGAAAAGGCAGAGGAACGAGAGACCAAATTGCCAATATCCGCTGGATAATGGAGAAAGGCAGGGAGTTTCAGAAAAACATCTACTTGCTTCATTGACTATTCTAAAGCCTTTGACTGTGTGGATCATAATAAATTGTGGCAAGTTCTTGGTGGGATGGGCATCCCAAGCCACCTTGTCTCTCTCCTGAGGAATCTGTACAAGGACCAAGTAGCAACAGTCAGAACTGACCACGGAACAACAGACTGGTTCAAGATTGGAAAGGCGTACGGCAAGGCTGCATACTCTCACCCAACCTTTTTAACTTGTATGCAGAACACATCATGCGATGTGCGGGGCTTGATGAATGCAAAGCTGGGGTGAAAATTGCTGAAAGAAACATTAACAACCTCAGATATGCAGATGACACCACTCTGATGGCCGAAAGCGAGGAGGAGCTGAGGAGCCTTCTAATCAAGGTGAAAGAAGAAAGCGCAAAAGCTGGGTTGCAGCTAAACAAAAAAAAAAACCAAGATTATGGCAACAAGAATGATTGACAACTGGGAAATAGAGGGAGAAAATGTGGAGGCCGTGACAGACTTTGTATTTCTAGGTGCAAAGATTAATGTCATATTAATGCCATATTTCCAATTCCTGTGACTCCGTCCTCCCTGAAAGTAGTTCCTGAGGGACTACTTTCAGACATGCCTCTTCAGCGGAGGAGGCAGCAAAAATCCCCCTCCCCCCACACCACACAAAGGAGGCAAATTCTTGAAGATGTTTTTTAGTTTAGAGGAGAGGTGCTACAGGCAGACGTGCACACTTTATCTTCTTACCTGTTTCTTCTCTAGAGAAGAGGTACTTGGATGCAGACAGGCATGCACACTTTTTTTGGGTTTAATGCTTCATTACAGCTGTTTCTGCTTTCTACTATAGTAGAAAGTAGAGTAAGCAGAGGTAACTAGTAGTAGTTTTCAGAGAATTAGGGTTTTCTTTTTGTTTGCTGGGGGGCTTAATATAAAGATTAGACTGTAATGTCAAAAAGCAGAGGAGGAACTGATGAAGGGGTTTTTTTTGTATCAGAAGGGCCTTTACTGTTACAAGCTCCTGAAGTACTGAAGGTACAGAAGGAAATGGAGGCAGTGAAATTCGCACACAAGTCTAGTGTAAATATCTGTCAGTTGCTTTCTAATCTCTTCAAACAGTGGCAGCTGCCCTGTACATGGCATATGAAAAGCTTTCCTGTCTCCAGAAATGGGGAATGCATAGGAATCATGAGTATGAAACAGCTGTGAGTTCATAACTCAAAGTTAAATACTTATAACTGTCAAATAGGATTCCAGACATTATATCAGCATCCTGATGTCAACTAGGCTGTCTATATCCAGATTTTGGTTGTGATACATCCAGGATCGGATTTTGTACCAATGATCTTGATCTTGACTTTTGAACTCTTTAGTCTTTATTTTACATCAGTTGGTCAGAAGTGATATCGCAATTGTCAGGAATTTCATTCTACCTTATGGAGTCAAAAGCCCTATTTCTGGAAGAAATATAACATTTATAGTTTGAAGAGGTGGTTGCAGTTTGTTTTTTGCTGAATCTTCAAGGGAAGAGCAAGATTCCACCCTTGCTGAACTAAGGGAGTGCAAGTTACTTTTGCACTATAAACTACATTTGCAGCAATTGAAGTAAGCGGAAGATGAGTGGAAAAATGGAAGGAGAAACAGACATTTTAAAAGCAGCTGAAGAAGTGGGATGGCACAGGATTAACAGGATATGTTCTTTTCAGATTGGGATAGTTGAAAGATGTGTTTAATAGATCTGAAAACAAAATCCAATTCTGTTAAAGGAAGGAGGAGGTTTGCTGATACGAGGCTTCAGAAAAACAGTTATTACACATGTATAGATATTGCTTTTGTTTTTCGAATCATCTTTCAAGGATTGTTTTATCTTTCATTTTAGATGTAAGATGTCCTCCTCCACCTGACATTCTTCACGGTCGCCTTCAAGGAAATGTAAAGCAAAAGTATTCGCCTAATGAAAGTGTGATGTATCAGTGTGACCACGGATACGTTATATTTGGATCTCATATAATAACATGTTTAAAGAAGCAATGGTCAGAAGCACCCCAATGCAGAGGTATTTGATCCCATTCTGATATATCTTGAAAGATATATCAAATTGAACTTTTTTTTTCTATGTAGACTTGAATAGCTTCTCAGAAGTGATAGGAAAAGTCTCCCATAATTTTTAGCTGTTGGCTAAAGTCAGCCTTTGACCCACCAACTTGAGGTCAGCTCATCCAACATGTAGTTTAACTTATGTGGTATATAATGACTTACCATTTTGTCTCTGATCCAGGATTGCAAGGGCTACTGATAAGTTTTTGGCTTTACCCAGAAAGAAACAAGATAGGAAGATGAAACTTTACATTTATTCCACATACTCTCCAGTGATATCAACACACTTATTACATTGGAATTCCAAGTTCTGTAAGCCTTGCAAAAAGAAGGATTTCGGTTGTGCCTCATCTGTAGCAGCCATGGCATCAGAAATAGTGTGAAATTTGGTACACTTGAGGTGTTTCTTCAGGTTTGGAAACAGATGACAGTTGGAGGGAGCTAGATTCGGTGAATAAGGTGGGTGGTCAACCAGCTGGAAACCTAGCTCCACCAGTTTTGCCATAGTCGCTTGTGCAGTGTGAGCAGAGGCATTCTCTTGCAAGAACAAGATTCCTTTGGACAGCTTACCACAACTTTTGGCCTTCAGAACTGCCTTCAGTTGGTCCAAAATTTCAGTGTAATACATTGCATTGATGATGGAACCATTTTGAAGCAGTATGACCTCCTTATCCCTGAACACAGAAACCATCACCTCAGTGGCCTATTTTTGCACCCTGAACTTCTTTGGACGAGGAGAACCACTGTGCCTCCACTCTTTTGACTGTGCCTTGGTTTCAGAGTCATACAAATAAATCCAGGTCTCATCCATAATGGCCAGTCAATCCAGAAAGTTCTTATCAGTCCGGAAACGCTGACAAATAGACTGGGAAGTTTTCACTTGCATGCTTTTCTGATCTGCTGTCAAAATGTGGGGACCAACTTTGCAGAGAGCTTCTTCATGTTCAAATGTTCATGGATAATGACAGAAACACGTTCATGAGAAATCCTCTTGATGTCTATTGCCTTTAGCTGAAATTCGCTGATTCTCCAGTATGAGGTTGTGCACAGCATCAACGATCTCCAGAACAACAACCACTCTTGGTCGTCCAGGACGTTCCTCATCACTAGTGCTGAAGTGGCCCATTTAAAATTTGGCAACCCAGTTCTTAACTGTAGAATATGGAAGGGCATTGATCCCCCAATGTCTGCGACATATCACTATGAATATCCTCGCGGACCTTCCTTGAAGAAACAAGAATTTTATCACTCCTCTGCTCTCATTTGCTGTGAACATCGCCTTAGACTCCGCCGTTTTGTTTTCCCATGTGCCTAGATCACTGTTGCCATGATAGTTGGAGGGAGCTAGATTCGGTGAATAAGCTACAAACACAAAACTTTGAAAACATATATTAGATACATAAGGCTTTCATGTGATGTAACATTTGTTACCATAGAAACAAAACAAGAACACAAAGCCAAAGACTTATCAGCAGCCCCTCGTATAAGAATGCTCAAGTCTTGCTTGCCAAATCCATAGCTGAGGTCAGTATTCATATTTCTGTGCAGAAAAACACATTTTTGCATATGAATTAATTTTGTTACTTTGAAATAATATTTTCTATGCAGAAAACACTTATATCATGTCCAATTATGTCTTATTTCTGCACAGAAAGGAATCAATATTTCTCTGTTGAAATATTATTTTTGACAGAGAAAATATGTCTTGTTTACAAAATGATCTTTTTTGTGTATTTTTTTCTGTGTTGCATGTGAAAAATTGCACATGCAACTTTTGTAGAGAATAAATCTCTAACAGTTAACATTCCTATCAGTCCAGGATTCTTCTAGACCAGGTTGCTTACAACTTGAGAAACATTTTCCCCAATCATCTCTCCTAGCATGAAGGTGTTTGAAAGGTTTAGATGAACCACGCCTTGTATTTTGTGATAATACTGTATATTTATGGTCTGTTTGTCTGAATTGCATGGATTGATACAAACCCATTTTGGCAGTTCAAATCTATGAGATGGGGTGAGTTCCCATCTTTCATCCCTAGCTTCCCATGTGAAGGAAGTCTCCCAGCAGGATGGTAACACTTCTGGGCATCCCCTGGGCAATGTCCTTGTAGACAGCTGATTCTCTCACACCAGAAGCAACTTGCAGTATGTTAGCTGCTGACATGATAAAAAATTGGTATCAATGCATCAAAGCACAATATGGGTTAGATTACTGATTGCCTTTTCCAGTGCTATTGAATTTACTAGTAAATGCTCTTTCTTGCTGAACTAGAGATGAAGAATCCTGTGATTTGGTTTCTACTATTTTCAAACTGTGTTGATGCACAAATTGATTCTGTATCACTACTGTTTGAAAAGTTTTTGCTTAAAAACTTTACATAAATGTACTCATGTATTTCTCCTAATATATGCTTTCTGTTTGTACTTAAAATACATTAGATGTGTATTTTAGGACCAATCTCATGTTAAACAGCAAATTGTTCCACTACATTTGACAAGCATGAAGTTTGGATTCTATATTGCTTCTTCATTAAGAAAATAGGAGTTGATTTGGTCTGAATTTAGTTGTATGAACCAAACGAACATAGTTCCATTGCTGCAGTGAACTATAATGAGTGTTGGGGAAAAATGAATTATCCTTTTTTCTTTCCATACTACAACCCAATAAAACCCCAATGCCATGACAAAAGGTACGTATTTTAGTTGCAATTTATGGGATGATATGTAGGTTGTTCATGGTTATCTTTTCATTAGACCATTTTTGGTTAATGAATATGTGTGAATTGAATGTGTGTTGATTGAAAAAATTGTATTTAAGGTTAAATTTGGATATCCTAAGCAAATGTCTTTAAGATATTATGTCTTGGCTGGATAATTCAAATACTGAAGTTGTAAACATATAATCAATGGATCTGGAAGAATCCAAGGTGTCAAGCCTACTTCATTACTGATGCTTGACATCATATCATGTTCTGAAACAGAAACTTCCTGGTTAGTTATAACACTCATGCATGGACAATTCATGCAACTCTACATGTAATCCAAAGGCTCAAAAAATTAAACATTAAGTTAGATATTTTGGAAAATACGAGCGGTATTTCTTAAGTAAGGTCCGTTGGATCATAAATACACAACGAAAGTTTATTTCAAAAAAAGTAAATTTATTTTCAGAAAGTACATACTTTACTCTATTTTTTGACATAGTTGCCAAGTTTGTTCAAACACTTATCATACCTCTGAAGAAATTTTAAAATACCCTCTTCATAAATCCTCACTTCAACTGAAGCCACCAAATCATCTGTAATCAAAGAAGGGCGACCGGAGCGGTCCTCATCATGGACGTTGTCATGGCTATCTTTGAATTGTCATACCCACTTACGCACTTTGCTTTCACTCATAACAGTATCACTGTACACTTCACAAATCTGTCGATGAATTTCTGCAGCAGGCAGGTTCTTTGCTGACAAAAACCGTATCACTGAGTGAACTTCACATGCGGCGGGTGAGTTGATAGTCTTAAACATTTTTAAAGCACAGAACAGAACCGTACAGGTTAGCTACAGAGCGGAAACTGAGCACAGTTGTTCCCGGGGCATGTTGGTACACGACGCACGCGCTCGTTGCAGTATGCGTCTACAACAAAACGGACCTTACTTAAAAAATACCCTTCGTACATATTCCCTACATCTAACCTGTTCATCTCTCAGAAATCAAATTTATAAATTAAATACAGAATGCCTGCGCTTTAATTTCCAGAGACCTACAAATACACACAAGTTTTATGAAAACTGGATTGGGCTGAATCCTATCAGTGAGCCTTAAAGGCATTATGAAAGTGAAGGTTAAAGATGAAATGGCAGTGCTTAATTGTCCTGGGCAAGAATTTCAAGTATTCTGAGAAAAAAAAAAGAATGGCCAAAAAAGAATTCGGAGTCTTTCAAGCACTGATATGAAACCTATTCTAGGTTTTTGCAGAAGCTCCTACTTAAAATTAATATATAATAGGTACTAAAAGTAATCTTCAAACGTTGGTAGGGATAAAATAAACACTAGAAGTAAACAGATGGGGAAAATGCAGACTTGTTGACATCCTATTCACACAAGAACAACTGTGTGGTCTGTTTGAATTCTTAACCAAAGGATAGATAAATACTAGGGCTGGGCGGTTTCGTTCGTTAATTTTGTAATTCGTTAATTATTCGTTATTTTTAACATTTACAAAACGATTACAAAACTTATTTTCAAACCCGGAAGTGTTTTTAAATATCGAAACGGCATCCTCCATCTTTTTTACGAGCTTCCGCCCGTTTCGGAAATGAGGTTTAAGGATGGAGGATGCTGGGTGCGCCGGAGTCAATCCGGCGCTCCCAAGCACCGTGTTTCCCTCCCCGGTAGCAAGCTAGCAAGCGGCGCATTTGTCCCACTTCCAGTCTCTCCCCTCCTGCCAGCCACCTTTGCTCTGCTGCTTCCCTTTCCTCTTTCCTGGGCAGCAGCTTCAAACTATTATTTATTACTATATATCAGGGGTCTTCAAACTTTTTAAACGGGGGGGGGGGAAGAGATTACTGTCACAGAATGGGTAAGAGTCTTAATATAACAGCAGGAAATTCATGAATATGTTTGTTTACTGATCAGCCGATCAGCCGAACTATCAGGAATGTGGCCTCACATAACCCAGCTTTCCACACAGCCATATAACTCAGAATCTCAAAGCACAAAATCCCCCAAAACGTGCTTTAAACTGGATTATATGGCAGTGTGGCCTCACATAACCCAGCTTTCCACACAGCCATATAACTCAGAATCTCAAAGCACAAAATCCCCCAAAACGTGCTTTAAACTGGATTATATGGCAGTGTGGCCTCACATAACCCAGCTTTCCACACAGCCATATAACTCAGAATCCTGCAGCCAGCTGGAGGAGAAGAATCAGGAGGAGGAGGATTAGGAGGAACAGCTTAATTATAATATAGTATAATAATATAATATAATATAATATAATATAATATAATATAATATAATATAATATAATATATATTATAATATATTATATATAATATAATATAATATACAATAATAATATTATATTATATTATATTATATGTTATATATTATATTATAATTGTATATATTATATTATAATATATCATATATGTCCCAAGCCCACAGCATGTCCAAAAGCAGAAGATTAAGTCAGAAGGAAACATCCAAAAACAATCCGAAGTAAGAATCCAGTCTTTAAACCGCTTTGAAACGGTTTAATGTAATATAATGTAATATAATAATAATATAATATAATATACAATAATAATATACTATAATAATATTATATTATATTATTACAATATATTATTATTGTATATTATATTATGTTATTATATATTATATTACTATATTATATATATTATATTATATTATATTATATTATATTATATTATGTTATTATATATTATATTACTATATTATATTATATTATATTATATTATTATTGTATATTGTATTATATTAATATAATTGTATATTAAAGCACCCCTGACTGGTCCATCCATTCTTAATAATATATTATATTATATTATATTATATTATATTATATTATATTATATTATATTAGAATAGTTTTAAGCTGCTGGCCAAGGAAGACTTTTAGCTGGGTTGAGACAAGCCGTTTCAAAGCGGTTTAAAGACTGGATTTTTACATCGGATTGTTTTTGGATGTTTCCTTCTGACTTAATCTGCTTTTGGGCATGCTGTGGGCTTGGGACAGTTTTTTGAGAACACTTTTCCTTGCTTCCACCCAATGTTTTCTAACCCTGTGATTCTGAAGCAGTTTGCTTGAACTGCTCTTATCCCAGATTATATACAGGATAATCTGGATTATTTGCTAAATTATGTTTTTGGCACAGCAATTTGCTACAGACTTTAGTTCTTGATACTAGAAGTAGATCACTAAATTAAGTGCTTCTAGCTATTTTTGTTGTTATAATAATAATATAATAATATATAATATAATATAATGTGTATAATATATTATAATATATAAAATAATATACTATAATATAATATAATAATAGTATAATAATATTATATAATAATATATAATATAATATAATATAATATGTATAATATAATATACAATAATAATATAATATAATATAATAATATTATTATATAATAATATATAAATATATAATATAATAATAATAATACAATATAATATAATAATAATATAATATACAATAATATAACATAATAATATATAATATAATATACAAATAATATATAATATAATATAATATAATATAATATAATATATAATATAATAATATAATATAATATAATATAGTTGTTGTTTGTTTTATCACACCAACAGTCAACAACAGAGGGAGGGGGAAGCTTCAGAAGTTCCCCCTGTCCCATTTGGAGGATTTTTTAGCATATTGCGCAATCGCGTCCGCCATTAACGAATCGATTCGTAATTTACGAAATTTCGGAAATTTCGAAATTTTTGAAATTTTAAATTTCATTTTAAATAACGAAACGCAAAAAACCCCAAAAAAAACGAATCGATTTTAGAAACAAAATTTTCCGTTGTTACCCAGGCCTAATAAATACCATCCATACTTGGAAAAGAATAATAATGAGAAACATCACTATTAATTGCTGTTGTTTATTTATTTATTTATTTATTTATTTATTTATTTCGCCCTTTTCCCCACAAGGGGGACTCAGATTGTCCATAATTAATTAACAAACCCGAATGGTTTGGTTTCCATTCTTAAAAATGAATAGTATTTCATTGGACAAATATTTTCCCTTATTTTCCATTTTCATATTTGTAATAGTGGGGAAGGATATGCATTCACACAGCATTTGCAATCATAATGAATGTTATGAGGCAAAGTGCTGTTTTCTGATTCAGTGTTCAATTCTTTTCTAAAGTTTATACAGGAAAATGTAGTCGTCCACCTTCTATTGAAAATGGAGATATTATTGATCTTTTAAAACAAGAATATAAATCAGGTGAAAGTGTGACATACAAATGCCAACGTTTCTACGCCATGGAAGGAACTGCAGTAGTAAGTTGTCAAGATGGCCATTGGTCGGAACCCCCAGAGTGCAAAGGTATGAGAATAATCTCAAGATTTCAGACTACATAAAATTTAATGGTATAGATCTTGTAAATATAGAAAAAAGTAAAATTCATGTCTATGTCAGGGCTTTAATAGATTTATCTAGTCACTGAAAAAAATGTATGAATTCTGCATAATATAAACATACACTTATAACTATTTCATGTTACAAGTATTCAAAACAATGCCTTCAGAATGATGGAGTTGGAAAAACTGTTGCAGGTCATATACTGGTAATGAAGTTGCCTTCTTAGTGTAAGACATACACAGATAAAACTGCCTTCATGTGCCTTCTATATTTTTCACAAAGAGTTTTGATTACTTCTGTAATCCTGGTTTGTGTGCGGAGGGGGAACCACACCTTAGCTTGGTATTTCTCATTAGTGCAGAAAGATAGACAGCAATGAGGAACTTCCTTTTAAATCACTTTTGGATTCATACGATTTGTGTTTTTGGCTTCCCCATGTCACTGAACTATCATAATTGTAGCCCTATGTATTTTCTTGTGAAGCGAATTGAATCCCTACCAGAAAGGATTATCTCATTCTATCTCAATTTCCATCCTCATTGGGAGAACTGTGGGACTGAACCAGAGAGTTTCTCCTACAGATGGCACTCTTACTTCCATTGGGAAACCTGTTTTGTTTAATACGATTGGGAATATAGGGGAAGCTCTCCTTTCAGTAAAGACCCTCTTCTACATGATGAAAGCAACAAAACTGAAATAAATTTGCAGGGTCAGCACATTCCTCTTCTTTGTATTTTTTATTCAGGACACTGCAAAGGAAAGAATGGAGCTTATACTGAAAATTAGTCTAATGTCTAATATGCTTAAGTTTAGTACAACAGTTCCTAATCTTAGTTTGTATTATTGGCCACTTAGTAAAGAAGTTTTGCCTTGGAGGAATTAGGTCCGCGGGCATATATTAAGGGCTGGGCTTTAGCACAGATGGTTAAACCACCAGCTGTAGTAAATATTCTCAATCAAAGGTTGACAGTTTGAAGCTTTGGTCAGTGGGAACTCCTGGCCTTTAGCCCAGCTTCTGCCTACCTAGCAGATTTAAAACAAAATGCGAATAAATAGGGACTCATAAGAAAATGCATAGTTCAACAATTATGATAGTTCAGTGACATGGGGAATCTAAACCACAAATCCTATTAATCCAAAAACAATTTAAAAGAAAATTCCTAATTGCTGTCCCATCTTTTTCAGAGACCATGCAAATGCTTCAAAATCACTTTTCGATCATAAAAAACACCTTTCTCTTTTGTCACCAACTGGAAATTCAATCATGCACATATAGGCTATTTTCTGACTCTAGTTTTTTTGTTTTCTCCAGCACCTCAACCATACTTTTCACAACTCAGTTGCAATTTTGTTTGTATGTCTCCATGCACTCTGCGAGTAACTTTTAAAATTCACTACTCTCATGTCTTATAAACATGCAATCTTTTACGTTCTTCATTCAGTCAAGCTTGTGTTACTAGCAACTTTAACATTGTTTTTGTCATTGAAACACTTGACCACACCTAGGTCTATGGGTACATTTGTCTCACATTGTTTCTAATCACCTCTACTCTCGTTTTTGAAGGGTTTTTTTGCACTCTCTTTCACATTTGACACTCAGACACTGTCTCTCTGAGCATTCGGCCTCCTCCATTCTTCACTACAACACAATTTATTTGCATCATTAAAAAATAATCAGACTCCCCCTTTTTACCTTTAGTCAGTCTTGGGATTTTAAGTAGTGGCAAATCTGCTTTGTTCATCATTGTGGACACTCCAGATAGCCCCCTCCATTTCTGGCTCTCTCTTTACTGAAGACTTGGTAGTTGTCACTTTCTGTGTCTTTCTTTTGTGGTGCCATGTGTTTTGTGTGTGTTTATTAGGCCTGGGCGGTTTCGTTCGTTAATTCGTTATTTTTAGCAATTACAAAATGAATACAAAACATTTTTCAAACCCGGAAGGGTTTTTCAATAACGAAACGGCATCCTCCATCCTTTTTACGAGCTTCTGCCCGTTTCGGAAATGGGATGGAGGATGCTGGTGCCTGGGAGCCAATCCGGCGCTCCCAAGCACCCAAGCAGTGCACCGTGGCTGATTTTGATTGGCCGGGAAGCCCTTTAAAAGCGGCTCCGCGTGGCCGCTTTGCTCATTGTTGCGGAGGCGAGGGAGAAGGGAGGTCCGGGAGGGCGGCTTGCATTGGCTTGCATTGGCTTGCATTGGCTTGGTTGGCTGGCTAAGCTGGATTTCCTTGCATTGATTCCTTAATTCCTTAATTCTGTTGTTGGGAGAGCGAGGGCGGTTTTTGTTAATTTGTTAATTTTCCATTTTTAAATATTTTTGAAAAATACCTTTCTTTTATTCTTAAAAAAAATCAAAAAATATTCTTAAAAAAGGAAAGAATCTTGTGTGCCTGTGTGTGTGTTTCCCCCTGTCTTGTGGCTGTTGGCTCCACAGCGGGGAGAGCATTTTGTTAAGTTTCCATTTTTAAATATTTTTGAAAAATACCTTTCTTTTATTCTTAAAAAAATCAAAAAATATTCTAAAAAAAGGAAAAAGAATCTTGTGTGCCTGTGTGTGCGTTTGTCATTTGTGTAGTTCCAACCAGTGCGCTCCTTTTGCCAACAGAAAGTGCTATAATACAGTGCTCGCTCATTATTTGTGTAGTTCCAACCAGTGCGCTCCTTTTGCCAACACAAAGTGCTATATAATACAGTGCTCGCTCATTATTTGTGTAGTTCCAACCAGTGCGCTCCTTTTGCCAACACAAAGTGCTATATAATATAATACAGTGCAATTAGCACGAATAACGAAATTTCGTAAATGCCTTTTGCGCATGCGCTAACGCGGTGCGCCATCTTAACGAATCGATTCGTTATTAGCGATGCATACAAATAACGAAATTTCGTAAATGCTTTGCGCATGCGCCAACGCGGGCGCCATTTTAACGAATCGATTCGTAAATATTTACGAAATTTCGTAAATACCGAACTTTTTTAAGGGAAAATTTTGTAATTATTTTAAATATCGAAACAAAAAAACCCCCCAATTACAAATCGATTTTAGAAACAAATTTTTCCGTTGTTACCCAGGCCTAGTGTTTATGTCTTTCCTTTCTCAGGAGTTAAAGAGGTTTCTTCTTGAACTAACTGTTTTTGAGCTTTTGCTTCTTGAATATTCACCCCTCCAGTTGCAGAGCTTTCTCCTATTTCTGTCCTTTCTTTGACATTATTAAGAACCTCTATCCCGTACCAAGGAAGTCCAAAATCAAACCAAATGAATTGTTTGGTGTAGTACATATATAGCTATCTGACCCATTTCAAAAGAGTGAATTTATTTTATTTATTTATTTCTTGTACTTATTGACCGCCACTCTCAGCCCTAGGGGCGACTCGTGGCGGTGAACAGCAACATAGAAAGACAGCATACAAAAATCATAACAATACATAACAAACTACTACTACGACATATACTTATACTAAAAATCCGCTTCGTCTAATCCTAGGGTCATAGCCAGGTTCGTAGTCGTAGTCCATTCTAACGTCGTTCCACAGATACACTTAGTTGAAGGCCTGCTCGCAGAGCCAAGTTTTCAGGCTCCTACGAAAGGCCATCAGGGAGGGCGCCTGTCTGATTCAACAGGGAGGGTGTTCCACAGCCGGGGGGCCACCACCGAGAAGGCCCGCTCTCGTCCCCGCCAGACGTGCCTGTGAGGCAGGCGGGACCGAGAGAAGGGCCTCCCCGGATGATCTCAAGGCCCTCGTGGGCTCGTAGGCCGAGATGCGGTCTGCAAGGTATTTTGGGCCGGAACCGTTTAGGGCTTTGTAGGATAACACCAGCACCTTAAATTGGGCCCGGTAGCAGATCGGCAGCCAGTGGAGCTGGGACAGCAGGGGCGTTGTATGCTCTCTGCGCCCTGCTCCTGTTAACAACATGGCTGCCGCGCGTTGGACTAGCTGAAGCTTCCGGGCCGTCTTCAAGGGCAGCCCCACGTAGAGAGCGTTGCAGTAGTCGAGGCGGGATGTGACCAAAGCATGTACCACCGTGGCCAAGTCAGACTTCCCAAGATACGGGCGCAGCTGGCGCACGAGCCTAAGCTGTGCAAATGCTCCCCTGGTCACCGCTGAAACCTGGGGATCCAGGCTCAGCGATGAGTCCAGGGTCACACCCAAGCTGCGAACCTGCGCCTTCAAGGGGAGTGCGACCCCGTCCAGCACAGGCTGTAACCCTATACCCTGCTCGGCCTTGCGACTGACCAGGAGTACCTCTGTCTTGTCTGGATTTAATTTCAGTTTGTTCGCCCTCATCCAGACCATTACAGCGGCCAGGCACCGGTTCAGGACCTCGACAGCCTCCTTAGTAGCAGGTGGAAAGGAGTGACAGAGTTGGACATCATCTGCGTACAGATGACACCGCACCCCGAAACTCCGGATGATCTCACCCAGCGGCTTCATGTAGATGTTAAACAGCATGGGGGACAATATGGAGCCCTGAGGAACGCCACAGGTCAACGGCCGTGGCGCTGAGCAGGAGTCCCCCATAACACCTTCTGGGTACGACCCTCCAGAAATGATCGGAGCCACTGCAACGCAGTGCCCCCGAGACCCATCTCTGCAAGGCGCCCCAGAAGAATACCGTGGTCGACGGTATCGAAGGCCGCTGAGAGGTCCAGAAGCACCAACAGGGACACACTCCCCCTGTCTAGCTCCCGGGGGAGTTGATATTTGAAGGGGGAGTTGATATTTGCTTTGGTCCTGGTGGAATGTTTTACCAGGTTTTCATGCATCTCCCCAATGGGGACTTGGGGCGACTAACATGAGGCTGAGCCCAACAGAATAATATACAAAACAATAAAAAATTAAACACAACCAAAAATATAATGCAACAAAATGAAATAAACAATACAGTATAACATAATAAAATCAATCACAGAGGGCAGGCCAAATGTGTAGGATAAAATGTTAAAAACGTTAAAACCCTGGGTGAGGTAGGAAGTAGAGGAAGTGTGTTTGTAAAGGAGGAGCCCAAGGACATGACACATTCACAAAGGAGTCCATACCCTTCTTGTCATACTTTTTGGGAAATACAGAAATGTTAATTTTCACCCTGACATTTTGGGGGAGGCCAAGCTAAAACAATCCAATATAGTGACACAATTTTTCTTATCACTTGAAGCAATCAATCTTGAACAATCTCAGATATCACTACATCTCTTTCTACTCTTCACTGATTTTTTCATAAAAGAACCATGCTTTTATTGTGTATTTCTGGCTATATGCTCAGAATTTTTCTGTCCTGTGTTTTTACTATTTATAAAAACTTTAATAACCTGTGTTTTTCTGCAGTTCCATGTACAGCAAGTGAGGAAGACATGGAACGTAACAATATAAGGCTGAAGTGGTCACGGGCTGAAAAATTATATTCCCAAGATGGGGATATAACAGAATTTATTTGTAGACGGGGCTATAGTCCAGTTGTGCCTCTTTCCCAATTCAGAGTACGATGTGTCAATGGCGCATTTGAATACCCACTATGCGAATGATATGTAAGTATATTGCGATTTCACCATAATACTGGAATATCCATGACACAAGAGTTCACCTTTTTGTTTATTCTATAGAAAGCAAAGCCTTTGATTATATAACTCTTGAAGAACTATGGATTTGTATTGTTGAAAGCTTTCAGGGCCAGAATCACTGGGTTGCTGTGAATTTTTCAGGCCGTATGGCCATGTTCCAGTAGCATTCTCTCCTATAGAAATATGCCCATATGGCCCCAAAAAACTCACAGCAACCCAACTATTGAAGACCAAACTGTAGGGCCAGCGTCATCTCATTAATACAGAATGTATGGTGAACCACCCACTTTTATAAAGAAGACGAAATCCTGAAGAAGGGGAAGTACCCCGAAACAAGGCAACCTCAATCCGGGGATCCTTGTCACATTATAATTTAGATATTATTTTGAACTGGACAGCATTTTGAACTATTTGGACTTAATTTGGACTGTATTTTGAAAACAGTTTACTTTCTCAAGGACTACGAGATAACCAAGCAGCAGTCAGACTTGTTATGAATATTCTTATACCTGACAAACTATATGGGATCAGTCAGTGAGCATATTTTTTTCTTGGCATCTACTTCTCTATGATGTTCTGCTCTGACTTTCCTTTTTTAAAATCACATTCCCCAAAATATTTTCTCTGTTTCTTAATAGCATAAACAGAATGGTGGAGAGTTTAAAATATTTATGATACATCAGTGAGACTAAATAAGTTTATGGTACAACTTAGTATTATAGGTCAATAGATTTCTTTGAAATAAAAAAATGGCTCCTCATGGCATTCTTACAACATACCCACCAAAGCCAAAAAAGCTGGTAGTCCCATTTGTCAACAGTCAGCACATTTTGGTACACTTTTTGAAATCAGTGAATTAGTGGAGTTCCAATGCATTTCTAGTCTCTTTCCATTTAGATGACATTAGACCAAGCAAATTTTGGTTTACACATGATTTCCAAATAAAAGCTTTTATCCAAAACAGATCATGTTGTTAAATACAGAAAAAGAAAACAACCAGCAAAGGCACGAACTTGTGACTCTCTGGAACTTGTTGGACTCCAGTTTTTATCATCTTTGGCTATACCAACAAAAACTAATGGCAACCTGAATTTGTCAACAGAAATGGCACAAGTTTCCCATTTCTGTTCCACAGATCTCCAAAAATAATGATAACATATCCCAACAACAGCAAGACATTTTAAAAGAGCAATCCTTGACTATAAAAATAAAACACTCAGGTTGACATCTTGTTGATCTGATCCAGATCAATTCAATAATTATTGAATAGTGAGTCAACATATAGATAATTCAAATTGATTAAAGGGTCTACTTTACTTAAGACTAATAATAGAATGTATGGTCCAATTTGTAAATTTTGATGCATGAGCATAAAGATTCAGGTTGACACTCATTTGACTCCTGATTGTCTTCATGATGTTCCAGCGAATATCACAGGTTAAATCATGTTAATCTGGCTTTGCTCTGCTTCAGTAAAATTTGAAGCTTTGCTCAATACACTGAAGTTTCCTGTGGGTTTAGGTCATTGTGGACAGCTGGATCTGATCTGATTTTGACATGTCTATTGTCTATATGAGACACAACTGTCACCATGTGTTTCCTGTGCTCATTAGCATTATATAAAGAGAACAGATCATGCCTGTGGCACTGATCACTGCTGTCATGGAGACTCCATGTTGACATTAATAGAGTTGTCTGCATAACCAGGAAAAAGAAGGGACTCATCTTCCTTCAAGTCATGCAGGTGCCTCTGTTGATTTCCACATGAGAACCCATGATGGCCAGGACTCAACACAGAGCTCTGCAACTATCTTGGAGTAGTGAAAGCAACAGAGAAAGTGAGATGGCCCTATAGATATAGGGCTGATGGGATTTTGGACCAACTGGGCCATTTAGATTCCAAATCATCAGCGGAGTAAGGCCATTAGGAAAATAGAGCAGAAATTATTGTATATTGGAAATCTTTCTTGTCTAGCTTGATTTAGCCTTAATTAAAAGGGAAAGCTAAACTTCAAAGAAGCTGCACCTATTTAGCCTTTTGTGGGCATTTAGTTTTCTGAGATGATCTCAGATTTCAATATCAGCAAGGATCTTTTTTGGAAAAAAATGCAAGATATGTTGAACATCACAGGAGATAAATGTTTGGAGGAATTTCGGGAAGCCCCAATTCATGCTTTCTTGATCAGAAAAGAAAACCTAGAGTGAGGGCCTTATGATCTATCATCTCAGAAAATTCTCAGGGGCACACATTCTTTGCTACAACCTACTATTGGTGGGTATAGAGACATAAATAACAACACTCATTTTCTCTGATTACTTTAGCATTGTCAATAGGATATATGTTTTGTCAGTCAGTCTCTTCTTGGACTTTTTATTTTCACATAAAATAAACATTGTCCACTACGACAGGTTTGTTTGTGTCTCTTAGGACACTTTCAACCTTGTCAGACAGAGGAAAAGTTTTGGCATACTCCATGTTGCTGCCCCTTTATGCACAGAGTGTGCCAGCTCCCTCAAAGTGGAGTCTGCTGCCACAGAGGCAACACGGGATGTTTCCCATGTTGCCCTGGAGTAATGGGGGGGGGGGAATCCAGGATAATAATGCTTCCCCTGTGGTATCGCCATCTATTGGGAGTGCTTTGATTGTGTCTTCCTGGGTGGTAGGGGACTGGACTGAATGACTGTTATGTTCTCTTCCAACGCGATGAGTCTACCCTAACCATTTAAATGGTGAAAATAGAGCAATAATAGTTGCCTCAGCATGTCTAGATATTGAAACCAACTTATAGTACTTCGATACTATATTGAAGCAATTTGTGAATCACATTAAACAATGTCCTGTTTTATATTAAAAACTAGCCACATAAATAATAGTTATTCAAAAACTATGCTTGTAATCTTACCTTTTCACTTTGTATTTTACAGGTGTAAATATGAGGAATGGGGAGAAGTGTACAAGGAAGATTTTTTAATGAGCATGTAATCATCAGAAAGTATAGATCAATTATCTTCAATTGCTTAAAATTGCTGTAGATTTTTTACAAATACATTTTCATAGATTATGCACAGCTACTTTTAATGGACTGCAAACCTTAATAGAACTCCAATATTTGTAAAGGTGAAGTTATAGGAAGCATAGGAATATCCATTTTAACTGTAATTCAGTTTCCAAACAAGCAAGTCTATTAAAAGGGGGAAAATACACCAGAAGCTGAAAATGCATGTACTGAAGTGTGAATTGGTAATAGGGACTATCAGGCTAAAGAATACAGTAGCTGTGTATAATTTCAGATGTTACTTTGTTTGTAAGATGTTTGTGCATTTTGAAAAATAAAATAAAAAGTACGCTTTGGCAAAAGTGATTTTCTTTACTGAAGTAAAACAACCACAGAGGTCAACAGACCTCTGAACATACCTCTGAGGATGCTTGTCACAGATGCAGGTGAAACATCTGGAGAAAATGCTATATGGCAGTGGTTCTCAACCTGGGGTCCCCAGATGTTTTTGGCCTTCAACTCCCAGAAATCCTAACCGCTGGTAACTGGCTGGGATTTCTGGGAGTTGTAGGCCAAAAACATCTGGGGACCCCAGGTTGAGAACCACTGCTATATGGCTATACAGCCCGAAAAACTCACGACAACCGATTCAAAGTATCAGTGAGGCTTAAAACATGTAACTTATTGGAGATAAGCATCAAAGTTCATGTCTGAGTTGATATACCCCAACTTTTGCTGTTCAATTTGCTTTCCAATGTGCCCATACAAATATTTGATTGGTTGACATTTTTGTGTTACATCCAATTATGGATTTAACTGAACATCTGATACAAGGAAGAAATTCAACAATATAAAAGTGGGCTGAAGGGTTATTGCTATTTTGTACAAAGGGGATTTTAACAACCACTGTATTGGATCATAAGCTTCATTCTTGGTGGGACCAAGAGTAGGTCCTCTCCCATCGATCTTAAACTTGGTGATGGTGCATAGCAGGTAAGCTTTTATATAACATTTTCAGGGTGGTTTTACTTCAACGTTTTCTCAGATGAATTATCTGGGTGCCGGGTAGGACACATGAAACCATGGAAGTTTTGGGACCATGTGGCCTGAGCCATTGCCAGCACAGCTGGGGAATGCAGAAGTGAGGAGAGAGAAAAGACTCCATGTAATGAAAAAGGCAGAGAAGCAAAAGTTAAAAGTAACTTCATTTATTAAAATTAAAAGGAATAAGGAGGATAGAAGTGTTCTCTGGGTGCTGTTGGCTGCTGTTGAATCTGCTCGGACCGTCATAGGTTGGCATAATTCATTTGGATAATATAAAAACTATGTTAACCTGCGAAATGCTTCGCCACAGTATCAAGTTCATACAATTTGATCATTTGATTGGGGGGGGGGGCGCGTTCAATATCAAATCCATGTTGTGTTTCATGAAAGCTACTCTTAAACTTTGTGGAAGCTGTTCAAGATGCCAAATTCTATTTCCGAAATAAATTCAGCACATTGGTCAGATCCTGTAAAACCTAGAGTAGTTCTTGCAAAAACTCTGCATGGATAAATTAACCCAAAGCAACAGTGTCACCAACTTCTTCAACATTTATCTATTAACTATTGAAAATATAACTACAACAATAGATACATATGGCATTTTGAAAAAAAAGATGTTTGGAAAATTGTGATGTTTCCAAGTAGCAGCTGTATGCTTCTTCGGATTCACTCAATCTGCCTGTTAAAGACAAAAGAAGTAATGAAGATATAAATTCTCATGCATAGACTTCATGAAACCTACATTTGCATGGCTACAGTTTAATTTGTAATCCAGTAAGGTTTCTGGGGTATTTAGAACATGTGACTGTTTCCATAAACAAACCATAGTATGATTTATATATATACTATTTGGATGAGAATCTAGAGTTGCCAATCACAAAACCGCTACTCCTCCTCCCTACTTTTTTTTAACCATACTGCTTTCCATATATGGAGATTTTGTTGTTCATTCATTCAGTCGTTTCCGACTCTTTGTGACTTCATGGACCAATCCACGCCAGAGCTCCCTGTCGGTCGTCACCACCCCCAGCTCCTTCAAGGATACCATCCATCTTGCCCTTGGTCGGCCCCTCTTCCTTTTTCCTTCCATTTTCCCCAGCATAATTTTCTTCTCTAAGCTTTCCTTTCTTTTCATGATGTGGCCAAAGTACTTCATCTTGGCCTCTACTATTCTTCCCTCCATACTTCTTCTTGAAGTATGGACTGGTTGGATCTTCTCACTGTCCAAGGCACTCTAAGCACTTTCCTTCAACACCACAGTTCAAAAGCATCTATCTTCCTTCACTCAGCCTTCCCTAAGGTCCAGCTCTCACATCCGTAGGTGACTATGGGGAATACCATTGCTTTAACTATGCGGATCTTTGTTGCCAGTGTGATGTCTCTACTCTTCACTATTTTATCAAGATTGGTCATTGCTCTCCTCCCAAGAAGTAAGCATCTCCTAATTTCCTGACTGCAGTCTGTGTCTGCAGTCATCTTTGCACCTAGAAATACAAAATCTGTCACTGCCTCCACGTTTTCTCCCTCTATTTCCCAGTTGTCAATCATTCTTGTTGCCATAATCTTGGTTTTTTTGATGTTTAACTGCAACCGAGCTTTTGCGCTTTCTTCTTTCACATTAACAACCTTAGATATGCAGATGACACCACTTTGATGGCCGAAAGCGAGAAGGAGCTGAGGAGCCTTCTAATCAAGGTGAAAGAAGAAAGCGCAAAAAGCTGGGTTGCAGTTAAACATAATAAAAAAAACCCCAAGATTATGGCAACAAGAATATATGGAGATACTATATTAAATTGGTCAGGTAAAAAATTTCTAATGGGACAAGTCACGTAATTGTAAAATTAGCCACAAGCATTTCTAATAAATAAATGTTTGTCCTGCGTGAGTCACATTCTCATGGCCTTGTGTCACACACTCAGCCTCACAGGAAAATATAGACAACTCCCTTTGAAATGCTTTCTTAAATGGTTGCATTGAGCACATTACACTCTTTTGATCTTGAGCCACACTATCCCAGGCCCAAATTAAGTTTCGTAATCTCCTTCCAATTTAAAATATTTTTGAATACACTGATTGCTTCTTTGACTGGTGAGTTTAAATACTTTTAAAACTTGAGTTTAAAAGGATTTAAACTCATCAGTCAAAGAAACAATTCAGTTTTTTTGCAACATGTTAAATCTCACAGTGTGGCTTTTCTAGAGAAAACCATTTTGTCTACCATCTAATCCAATCCCTTCTCTATATTTATACTGCTTTCTTGTGCTTGCATCTGAGCCATGGCATAGAAACATACCAGTGGCCACAGTTAATTTTTCTAACAATATTTAGGCAGTCCCTGAATCACAAACATCCAACTTACAAACAGCTAATCTGCAAGAATGGGGATGAGACAACGAGAAGTGATAAAAATCTACCCCTCAGAAAGGTAATTCACTCCTGAAAGAGTTATCATGGAGAAAAGTTGTCTCTAGGCCCGTAAGCCAGGATTTCGATTGGGGGGAGGGGTGAGTTTGTTTCGGGGGGGGGGGGCTAAGTCTGAGTGAAAGAGGGTCTACCCTAGCAAACCTTTTGTATCGTTACCCCAATACCCCCATGCATATGGGATATATTGAGTATGGTGATCAGATCATGATATGAATAAACATAACGGTTTAAATAATGCACCAGTAAGGCCTTTTCACGAACCACCATTAGAATTTTTTTTTGGGGGGGGGCTGAAGCCCCTCAAGCCCCCCCCCCCCCCTGGCTACATGCCTGGTTTACTCAACTAAAGTATTCTCACTAATCCTTGTTTCCACAACAATATACATTTTTCAAAATCCAATTATCATGGAGACAGAAAGTGAGGTGAAATCTCCCAAATGGGCACAGAAAGCAAAATAAACACCACGTGGCTGTAGTGTTAACCCTGGCCAAAGTTACACTGAAAAAAAAATGTATCTGTTCCGACTTACAAACAAACTCAACTTAAAGACAAACTTAGATGTTCATAACCTTTGGACTGCCTGTATCCTCCTCTTATCATTACATCTGAGCATTACATACATATTTTTTATTTGGACCTTGCCACAAAACAGGGCTTTTGGGGAGGTTGAAATCACAAATTACATTAAGATGAGTAATGAAGGGTATGTGTTCTAAGTTTGGTTCAGATCCATCAAACTATGTAGGAGCCTTTGTGGTACAAACATACCACACATGATTGTGCACACATCTAAACATATTAGATGTGTGCACAACTCCAAAAATCTGCTTCATTTGTATTTACAAAACTTGTGTGATCCCTGTTTTGATTCTAAGGTGTTTTGAACAATTCCTAAGGTGTCCAGGTCATATCTAATATGAAGTGATGAGAAATTTCTTATTTCTTTCCTTTGATTATTAAAAAGACCTACAAGAGCTAAGCTACATCTGGTGGAGAAAGAGCCCCCATGGAGATTGGGTTGGCTCTTTTCCGTCCATCGCTTGGCTTTACATGAGCAGATCCTTCCCTGCCCCTGGCAGAATAGGATGCCTCTCCCCCCCCCCACTTTCCATCAGCCCCCCCTTGCAGTGAGCCATGAGTTTGGCAGAAGATGATACCCTGTCAAAGGCCACTGGCCATCCCCATTAGGCACATGGCTTGCCCCAAGGGCAGGATCTGCTTGTAGCCCTTCCCAGGGCCTTGTCCTTCACCAGGTGAGTGGCTCACCACAAAAGGGAGGCTGATGGAGGGGGGGGGGAGAGCAGCCCTGCCACTGCCGTGAGGACACAAGAAGGGAGAGGGAGGCAGATGAAGAGAGAGAGAGGACATATAAAAACAAATTTCTTTACAAAAACCCAAAGGTTGGTGTTTTAATTAATTTGTGCCCAATTGAGTGGTTCTGTGTATGTGTGTGTGTGTGTGTGTCTTAAATCAGGTTGTAAATATGGATTTAACAAAACACTTATGATTTGCAATCCTCTTAGTATTTTTTACACATTCCTAATACATATATCCATACATATTTTGATTTCTGTATAGAAATGGGAGAGAAATGTACCTTCTGGGGTGTTTGTTCTTAACTTGAATTTGTGTGTAAGTCAGAACAGTGATTCCAGCCATTAAAGCCTTCAACAATACAATGTGTCATCTGTTTGCTTGTTTTTGCAAGCATAATTTATATTGACATTTGGGTTTTGAATTTATTTATTTATTTCACTTACTTATACCCCGCCCTTCTCACCCCGGGGGGGGGGGGACTCAGGGCGGCTTACAGAGGAGGCACAGTTAGATGCCCAAATCAATTGACAAGCAATGTAAAATACAAACAATTCAACAGTTAAATTAAAACATAATACATAATAAAATAATAAAACGATCTCATGCTCAGGGTTCAGAGTCCATATATCCATTCCATTCCATTTGTCCTTGTCTATCGTTAGAACCTTAAGTTAGTTGTCAGAATGACCAAAGGCTTGGTCCCACACCCAGGTCTTCAGTTTTTTCCTAAACGTCAGAAGGGAAGTCTAATCTAATCTCCCTGGGGAGTGAGTTCCACAGGTGGGGGGCCACCACTGAGAAGGCCCTGCTCCTCGTCCCCGCCAGCCTCACTTGTGACAGTGGCGGGGTCGAGAGCAGGGCCTCCCCAGAAGATCTTAAACCTCGAGATGGGGTGTAGAGGGAGATCCATTCGGACAAATACACTGGGCCGGAACCGTATAGGGTTTTGTAGGTCAAAACCAGCACTTTGAATTGTGCTCAGAATTGGATCGGCAGCCAGTGGAGCTGACGCAACAGGGGGGTGGTGTGCTCCCTGTACGCCGCTCCGGTGAGCAATCTGGCTGCTTCTCGCTGGACTAGTTGAAGTTTCCGAGCAGTCTTCAAAGGCAACCCCACGTAGAGTTCGTTGCAGTAATCCAACCGGGATGTAATAAGAGCGTGGACCACCGTGGCCAGATCTGACTTCCCAAGGCCCCTCCAGAAGATCTTAACAACCTTGATGGTTCATAGGGGAGAATGCGTTCGAACAGGTAAACTGGGCCGGAGTCGTTTAGAGATTTATAGGTCAACACCAGCACTTTGAATTGTGCTTGGAAGCTAATTGGCAGCCAGTGGAGCTGGCACAACAGAGGAGTAGTATGCTCCTGTTAGTAATCTGGCTGCCGCTCGTTGGACTAGTTGAAGCTTCCGGGCAGTCTTCAGAGGCAACCTCATGTAGAGAGTGTTGCAGTAGTCTATACGGGATGTAACCAGAGCGTGGACCACCGTGGCCAAGTCAGACTTCCCAAAGTACGGGTGCAGCTGGCGCACAAGTTTTAATTGTGCAAAAGCTCCCCTGACCACCGCCGAGACCTGCATTTATTTGCTGCATTTATTGACCGCCGCTCTCAGCCCTAGGGCGAGACCTGGGGTTCCAGGCTCAGCGATGAGTCCAGGATCACTCCCAAGCTGCGAACCTGCGTCTTCAGGGGGAGTGTAACCCCGTCTAACACAGGCTGTAACCCTATACCCTGTTCGGCCTTCCGACTGACCAGCAGGACCTCTGTCTTGTCTGGATTCAATTTCAATTTGTTAGCTCTCATCCAGTTCAATACAGCAGTTAAACACCGGTTCAAGGTCTGGACAGCCTCCTTGGTGACAGGTGAGAAGGAGTGACAGATTTGGACGTCATCTGCATAGAGATAACATCTTAGTCCGAAACGCCAAATGATCTCTCCCAGCGGCTTCATGTAGATGTTAAATAACATCGGGGACAGGATTGAACCCTGTGGGACTCCACACAGCAACGGTTGCGGAGCCGAACAGGTGTCACCCAATAACACCTTCTGGGTCCGTCCCTCAAGGAAGGATCGGAGCCACCGCAGAGCAGTGCCTCCGAGCCCCATGTCCATGAGGCGCCCCAGAAGGATACCGTGATCGACGGTATCGAAGGCCGCTGAGAGGTCCAGCAGAACTAACAGGGACACACTCCCCCTGTCTAGCTCCCTGCGTAGACCATCTACCAAGGCAACCAAGGCTGTCTCAGTTCCATGTCCCGGCCTAAGGCCAGACTGTGCCGGGTCTAGATAATCAGTGTCTACCAGAAACCCCTGGAGTTGTGTTGCCACCACACGTTCCATGACCTTGCCCAAATAGGGGAGATTGGAAACTGGCCGATAGTTGTCGAATTGAGTGGGATCCAGTAATGGTTTCTTCAACAGCGGTTTTATAATAGCTTGTTTTAAGCTCGCTGGAAATTTTCCTTCCTGTAAGGAGGTATTAACCATCACCTTCACCCACTCTGCCAAACCCCCTCTGGCTTCCTTGATCAGCCAGGAAGGGCAGGGGTCTAGGATGCATGTGGTGGGTCGCACCTCTCCAAGGATCCTGTCCACATCCTCAAGCTGAACCAATTGAAAAGAATCCAACAAAACTGGACAAGCAGATGCTCTCGCTACATCCCCAGAGACTGCCGTTAACATGACGTCGAAAACTGACCGAATCCGCTCAATTTTATCCGCGAAGGATCGAGCAAATGCTTCACAGCGAGCCACCGAGTTATCCGAGGCCTCGCTTTTTGGCGGATTTAACAGGCCCCTGACAACTCGGAAAAGCTCCGCTGGACGATTCTTCGCTGATGCAATATTGGCTGTGATGAATATTTTCTGAGCTGCCGTTATTGCCACACCGTAGGACCTTAAAAAGGCATTCAGGTGTGTTTGGGCTGGATTGGTGGGATTCTGGCGCCACACGCGCTCTAACCTCCTCTTCTTTCGCTTCATTGCTGCCAGCTCCTCAGTGAACCAAGAGGCTGGTTTAGCTCGGTTACTCGAGAGGGGGCGTTCCGGAGCGATGGTGTCGATTGCCCTGGTCAACTCACTATTCCAGCCAGAGACCAGAGCATCGACAGTGTCGCTAGCCAAGGAGGTGGAAAAATCCCCAAGAGCCATCAGGAAACCATTTGGATCCATCAGTCTCCTGGGGCGGACCATTCTAATGGGTCCACCACCCCTGCGAAGGTTAGAAGGCACAGTTAGTCTAAAACTGATCAGGTGGTGATCGGTCCATGGCAAAGGGGCGATGGTCGGCTCCTCCATTCCGTCACCCTCATCCCATCCCTGAATGAAGACCAAATCCAAGGTGTGTCCGGCACTATGGGTGGGACCAGATATTAGCTGGGACAGGCCCATGGTTGCCATGGCGGCCATGAAGTCCTGAGCCGCACCGGAGAGAGAGGCCTCGGCATGGATGTTGAAATCTCCCAGGACCAAAAGCCGTTGGGAGTTCAACGCCATGTCCGAGACCACTCCCGCTAGCTCAGGTAAGGAGACTGTAGTGCAGCGGGGTGGTCGGTACACTAACAGAATCCCTATCCTGTCCCGGTCACCTATCCTAAAGCCGGCACACTCAAAAGAAGATGATTGTGGGATGGGACACCTGATCAGTGGAATAAAGTCCTTATAGACCACTGCGACTCCGCCTCCCCGCCCTCCAAGCCTTGGTTGGTGCTGAACAGAATAGCCTGGTGGACAGAGTTGGGAGAGATTAACCCCTCCCCCCTCGTCCAACCAGGTTTCTGTTATACAAGCCAGGTCGGCTCGTTCTTCTTGGATTAGATCTTGAATGATGGAAGTTTTTCCGTTTACCGACCTGGCATTGAACAGCACCACCTTTAGCTTGGAGGGGCCACCGTCCTGGCACCTCAGTTGTATTTTGTCGGGAGTAGGTTTTGGAATTGCCAATCTATTTTTATTAATTTCGGGCCGAATAGTAGCGTTTATTTTTGGAGTTGCCAATGTCCTATTGAAAATTTTGGGCAGAATTTGCTTCTGTCTTTGATTTCTAACATCTTATATAGCTTCATTATTGAATCAAGGAAACTGTCTTGAACTGTAAACTACTATGACTGACTGTTGTATACATACCTCTATGCATACTGGATACTCCATCCTGCCTGCAGTACAGAGTGCTTTGAATGGAGAGGAGGTTGGATTTGCCTGATAGCCCTTTTTGCAGATAAACTCTACTGTTTCTCCAGATTCGATATACAGTTTTGGACCCACTGCCAACTTCAAGCTTATATTGTTATAACTCATATCTTCTTCAGTTATTGTACAAGCCTCTGGTGAAAAAAAATACCACTTGATTAGATACAAAAGTTCATCGTAAATTCATGTGACCTGAATAACTCAGTGGATTTAGTAATAAAAATAAATCTCAGACATAATTTTTCGACTTTCAAAATTACCTGAGATATTTTTTTTTGCTTGAAGTGCTAAGGACTATACAGTATTGTGTATAAACATTCTGTTCTCACCAACTGATAATTCTATTTCAAAATCAGTTCATTTTCTTTGTATCATGTTTTCCTTATACGGACTTGGGGACAGATAATTGACCTGCATTACTGTACTTCCTTCAGATACAAACGGTTAAAAAAACTTTAGGAGTGTTCAGATTCAGATATGGTTTGGTTCAAAAAAATCTCTTATCTGAGGACCTCATCACATTAAGAGTGGGAATTGCCATGCATCGTGGCAAATCTGTTGGAGCCAGGTGTAGTAGCATGGGTAACCTGTTCTCCTGCACCTTGCATAGCCCAACTTCACCCTCACTCCATCCCAAGGAGGGGGGGGGGAAGTGTCCACCTCTCAACTTCCCCACGTTGTTGGCTATGCAACATGGGAAGCCTCCTGCATTGCTGTGGTGGCAGAATACGATGCTCCCACTTAACGTATGGCACGGGGCCCAACCAGAAGTTTTCCTTATATGCACTTGAGGTTAGATAATCAATCTACATTATATATATTCCTCCAGATACAAACCATCAATAATACTTTAGGAGTGTTCAGATATGGTTTGCTTTAGATGAATCACTTATCTGATGACCTCATCACATTAAGTGTGAGAATTGCCATGCATCATAGCAAATCTGTTGGGGTCAGATATAGGGCATGGGTAACCTGTTGCCCTGCATTCTGCATTGCCCAGCTTCCCCCTCACCCCATCCCAAGGTGGGGGGAAGTGTCCACCTCCTGGCTTCCCCACATTGTTGGCTATACATTATGGGAAGCCTCCTGCATTGCTGTGGTGGAAGAATACAATGCTCTGACTTAACCTATGGCATGGGGCCCCGCCAGAAGTTTTCCTTATATGCATTTGAGGATAGATAATTGATCTCCATTATGCATCTTCCTCCAGAAACAAACTGTCCATAAATCTTTAAGAATGTTCAGATTCAGATATGGTTTGTTTCAGAAGAATCTCTTACCTGAATCAGTTTGAATTAGCCCAATCCAGTTTTGGTTTCATGCTTTGTTTGAATCCAATGAACATTCCATACACAGCAACTAATAAACACAACCAATAACCTGACTGAACTGGTTGATGTCACTAACTGACTAACAACATTCTGATTGTTTATTTAGTCATTGTGAAAAAACAGCCAATGGCTGAGAGAAAAACATTGCAGATGGAATAAAGAGGCTATATTAACTAATTGTTTTTTTTAATTGATTAAAAAGAATGATTTGATCAATAACATTAACGAAAACATGAGTGTATCTTTCAGTTTCTCATCAGGAAGAAATGAGAAGCATCAAGATTCCTCTTTTTCTTTTTCAAATTACACAAGAATAAATATGAACAAACATGTGTTGTGTGTGTGAAATTGCACACAAACATTTCAATCAATATGATTACAAACAGGGGTGGCTCAACCCATTACGCAAAGTAAGCATTTGCAGTATAGTTGATTTTGCCCAGGGGCACTCTTGAGGCACTCTTGGGGGAAAATAGACTTTGACATATACGAGTTGTAGTTACTGGGATGTATAGTTCACCTACAATTAAAGAGCATTCTGAACTCCACCAATAATGAAATTGAACCAAATATGGCACACAGAACTCCCACAACAAACAGAAAATATATATCAATGATTGGTTGGGGTGTGTGTGTGTGTGCCAAAATACTGTTTGCTTACCGCTGAAAATTACCTAGGGCCACCTCTGATTACAAATACAAGGAGAATTTAAGGAAGTGGGGAGAAGTGATACATTTTGGTAAATTCTTTTTCCCTCTTCTTTTTGGTCATTGAGGTTGGCAGCTAAGGCTTGTCCATGTCATCCCATAAGACATTAAAGGGCAAGCAGTTCCCCACTGGAAGACTGGCAATATGGTGAGTTACAATTCCAAAAAGAAAGCCAAGCTCAGTCTGTGAGAAGAACTGACTTTGATCCCATCAAGCCCTTAAGCCCAAGAATGGCCCCCTTTGTCACAGTCCTATTTTTTTTTTTAGGGCTGAATACTTTCATATATTGAGTAGTTTTTTTTCTTTCCTAAAATTTTAAATTTCCCAAGAAAATAAACTGACTAATGGAGGTGGGAGTGAGTGGAAATAAATTTTGGTGAATTTTGTCTGAAGAAGGAAAAACCTCAATTTTTTTGACATTAAACCTATGCGTCAGATCTATTTGCTTATGCATTTAAATATTCTGGACATACAGTTTGCTATTTGTAGTGGCAGAAGAAATTTTGTCAGTAAGAGTTTGATTATTCTCTACTAAAATTTGCAGAATTAGAATTGGGGATAGTTTGCCTAGTGATGACTTTCCTTTGTTTCCATAATCTAGTTGTTTCCATTTATAATGATATGAAACCAACTTTGCTTTATAAAAGTATTTTGGCATTTTCAACAAAAATACATAGCAAAATATTTTGGCATTTTCAACATACAACAATAATGAATATCTATTCAATTTATACCTGTGCACCTTGGCCTTTCTGTCCAGGTACCATTGTGACAATGTACTGTTGGGACTCCTTCCATTCGGTAGAACAGTAAACATTTATAGTGCACTGTTGCACCTGACATATAGTCTGTCATTAGAGTGTCTGAAATATCTCCATTTTCTATAGAAGGTGGGCGACCACATCTTCCTTCTGCATCTACAGTCAATGAACCAACAAAGTGAAACTATTAGATTATTTCTATTGCAGTTACAAATCCTCTAACATGAACACACATTCACAAGAAGCTTAAATCCTGGCTATGGGAGCAAGTATTTGTAGAATAGACAGATTTTATTGGTGAAGTTGAGATTTTATGGATCATAATTTGGACTGATTTGGAGGATGTTTTAAACCTGGAGAACTGTTTTTAATGTATATTTTATGTAATTGTGTATTTTATTGCTGTTTTTATATTGTATTGGCATCGAATTGTTGCCTGCCGGTAGTCGCCCCGAGTCCCTTTTTGGAGGTCAGGAATAGGATGGGATATACGAGGGGTATTTTTTAAGTAAGGTCCATTTTGTTGTAGACACTAGTAGTTTGCGCGCATACCGCAACGAGCGTGTGCGTCGTGTACTGGCATGCCTCGGGAACAACTGTGCTCAGTTTCCGCTCTGTAGCTAACCTGTATGGTTCTGTTCTGTGTTTTAAAAACGTTTAAGACTATCAACTCACTCTCCGCATGTGAGGTTTGCTCAGTGATACGGTTTTTGTCAGCAAGGAACCTGCCTGCTGCAGAAATTCATCGACAGATTTGTGAAGTGTACGGTGATACTGTTATGAGTGAAAGCAAAGTGCATAAGTGGGTACAACAATTCAAAGATGGCCATGACAACATCCATGATGAGGACCGCTCTGGTCGCCCTTCTTTGATTACAGACTTAGGTTATCGGAGCAGGCGGCAAGTTTTTATGAAGAGGGTATTTTAAAATTGGTTCAGAGGTATGATAAATGTTTGAACAAACTTGGCAACTATGTTGAAAAATAGAGTGAAGTATGTACTTTCTGAAAATAAATTTACTTTTTTGAAATAAACTTTTGTTGTGTACTTATGTTCCAATGGACCTTACTTAAAAAATACCTCTCGTAAATATTCTAAATAAATAAATTAAAAACAAAAGATGATTATCTCAGGCCCCTCAGATGAGTTGTACTACAACTCATATCCATCCTAGCCAGCATATGGGTTGTGTCCAACAACACCTGGACAACCAAAATTACACTTCCTCGCTAGAAATGTACTTTTGTGAAGCAAGAACATCAAGATTTCACCTTTAATTCTGTTACAGCGAAGAAAAAACCCCATAAATTATATGTAGTGGTATGACATGAATTAGATTTAATTAGAGATCTAGAAAGTGGGTTTCTTGTTTTAATATTAGTATTTTTTCAGTGTCTGGCAACATTGAAAGCATGATATAAGTATATACAGAATTTTATTTTCTGTAGAAAGGAAGAAAATCTGTAGGTATCTTATTTTGTTCAACATGCTGGTGCCCAAAATGGTGTACCTCACTATCTGCATCACTCAAGTTGGCTTGCTGTGCCAATACCTGAAATTCCTACCCACAACATTCTAGTTGATGTCAGTACTCTTGCAAAAAATTTGCCTGAATTCACCCCAGTGTCCAAAGTAATCTGACAAAAATAGTTTCAAAGGAGACAAATGAAGGAAAATGATGGCTAGTTAAGTCTCTGGCTATTTTTTGTCAGGGTTTGGGGGTGCGCAGCAGAAGGATTGCTAGATCAGCAGACACTGTGTTGTAAAATAAGGACTCTGCAAATTTTGAGTTACAAAAGAAACTAAGTTTTACTAAGCACATTCAAAAGACATGTCTTACTATAGCGAGCTACAATTCAGGAACTAGTAAAAATGAAATTCTCTTTACATCTGCTTATCTCTTCTTGCTGAGACTACTTACTCCCTTCTGTTCCCAGCAAGAGCAAACATTATCTCACTTCTCTCAAGGTTACATAATCACAGTCTCATAGAATAAACATTCTGCATAGCATTTCTAATACACAGTGGAATCCATCTTGGAAATACATAGAAGCACATTTAAAACACATGCATAACTAAATTAATCCTGACATTTTTCCTGCCTAAAAAGAAGTTGGTTGCTCATAGGTCAAGTCTTTCTGGAATCAAACACACTTCAAACTCAGATTCTCACTCCAGTTAAAATGAAAAAAGTTCCAAGTATATATTTGTTAAGACTTCCTCAGCATTGCTTTTTTATTCCACTACTGCTTTCTCTTTTTGTTTGTTTCAGCCAGTTTTCATACTTGGTTTCCTTTTTTCTAAAAATGGCTCTGCTCTTGAGATTTAAATGGTAAATCTTACAACCTCATCAGATGGGCTACTTGTCCCCTCCTACGCCTCTTGTTCTTTCCTTTTAGGGTGGAGCCCATCACATGATGTATGTATAGTTTTGGTCAGACTCTATCCGGATAAGGGAAAGCAATCAGTGTGTGTTGCCACTGTGGCAACACAGGAGCCTTACAGTGTTGCCTTACCAGGGAAGCTGAGTGGCGACACTTCCCCCATGGAAGCCTATGGAATTGCCACACATCATGGTGAATCCAAGGGCCTTTGTGATGAGGTCCTAGATAGATAGGCATGAAGATTTTTATCCACCATGTTTTCAGTGATATTCACAAGGTTCTTCATGTTGAAGGTACACAATATTTAACCTTTAAATGTATCTGGCAAAAAAGCTAAACTATTCACAGGGCTTTAACTCTATAACTTTTAACTCTGTAATTTTTATCTACATGTGGTTGGTTCTTGGGTGTAAATCTGGCCCAGGACAGCCCCAGACCAACATATATACTGAATCCAAGGACATTGTCCAAACAGGCCAGGGCCATATTGGCATCCTGCTGGACATGGAAGTTTTGGTGTAGAGTCCATAGGGACACAAAGTTTGTCTAAAATAGACCAAACAAGCTGTCCAGGCTACTATTAAAGTGTGGAAAAGCTGTCCAGGCTGCTATTGGAAGTTTCTATGGACAACACTGGTTCTTTGGTTTAGAAATGGAGATGAGCAAGGCCATAGCCGGGGGGGGGGTAAGGGTTCTAACCCCCCTGAAAGGTTTCTAACCCCCCCCCCCCAAACCTGGTTTATTCAAGAATTTTAACTGGTTAACCAAGTTATAAGAAAAACAGGTTTCTTTTTTAACCGGACACATTTCGGGGCAGGATTGAACTCCCCCCCCCCCCGGCTACAGCCCCGGAGATGAGTGCTCCAGAATCGGACACAACTAGACTCAATTACAACCTTTACTTTTACCTTAATGGATAGTATCAATCAAAGATGCTTCTTCAGGTTTAGTCACAGGCAACTTATAGGAGTGTGTTTATCACTGGGTTCCAATTTCATCAAGCATTTAAGTGCATGCATATATAGTACATTTTTTTTTGTCGTGTCAGGAGCAACCACTCCTGTTGTGAGAGAATTGGCCGTCTGCAAGGACATTGCCCAGGGGACGCCCGGATGATTTCTGATGTTTTATCATCCTTGTGGGAGGCTTCTCTCATGTCCCCGCATGAGGAGCTGGAGCCGATAGAGGGAGCTCATCCGCCTCTCCCGGGATTCGAACCTGCGACCTGTCGGTCTTCAGTCCTGCCAGCACAAGGCTTTAACCCACTGAGCCACCGGGGGCTCTATATAGTACATGAAAGACATTTTTGTCACATTGTCATTTGTATTTTTCTCTTCACAGTTTTTATAAATGAAAGCAAACATAACTAATACAAACCAACACAGCGTGGGGGCGTCTGCCAACTTCCATCTTTACACAATATTTTTTGGGGACCTTGAAGACGAAAATGCTCCTTACACGTGAAGCTTATCTCTTCACCACTTCTGTAGTTTTTCATCTCAATTTCATTGATAGCATTAGGAAGCTGAGGGCGTGGTGGACAAAGTTCTTTAACTAAAAGCCAAGCAAAAGAGATTATGAGAAAATACTTGAAGAACAGAATAGCTCACTACTTTTAATTCATTAATATGATGCCATGGACTCTGAGTTAACTGGCATCCATGGGGATTGCCAGTTAACTTGTTATTAAGGAACTACTATTAAAATAGATTTAACAAATACTATACCTCATACTGTACCATACCATAAATTCTATATTGATTCAATATTAATATTGAAATATATTAATTAAAAAAGGTTTTTAAAAGTGCCAACTTAATGTAACATTTGTGATAAAATTGATTTCATTTCAATTTTTATTTTGTAAAGTATTATTTCTTCCATTTTTAAGCAGTTGCTTGAGAATTCTAGTTAACTGATAGTCTACTGCATATGCAATTAATATATTTCCTAGGTTTCACATCTTTATGATTTGATTCAAATCATAAAGGCATCTCCTTGATCCAAATAGCTTCCTCTGTAATTCTGCACGAGTTCTGTTTCAAAAATCATCTGGATTATTTCCTTAGAATTTAATGTAGTGAGGATGTTTGTCTAGTAAAAGTTTAAGAAAAATCTCTGGAATTTATCTACCCTTCACCTGGCTTGCTGTTCTTTCCCATGCATAAGACAGCCCAAATTTACAGGATGTACATAATGTCACACCATCAGCCAAGAACTAATGGATACAGTTCTTTCTGGCAACCTTAAGGTGTAAAATCCATTGATTAAAATTAGTTTATTTGCTACTTGGATCACAACTGTGCCATGTATTAGATGATCTTTAAGAAGGATATGTGTATCGGAGAGTCAACTCTGTAACTGTTTTTGTACTGCATGAGCAAAGACAATGGGAGGTATGTAGTACCCTTATCACATGGAAGTCTTTGATTTGGAGAATCCATAGGACAGTGAGGCAAATTATGGAGCAGCGGGGTGAATCTGTCACCCACTGACCCGCATCACCCGCATCACCTGCTTGCCCATCATACGCCAGAAACTGTACCTTCCCAGCATGCTCCTGCATTGTCCCCAGTGTTTTTTAATCTGAATATGGATAGTCTCCTGTGTTCAGATTTCCCCATTGTAGAACACTTCGCCAACTCAGCCAGCACAAAGCCCCATCGGAAGTAGCTGTGCATCATGTGATGAGATCTGTGGGACTCTATGCTGGCTGCATTGGCGAAGTGTTCTGCAACTCTGAAATTTAACAATGTGATGAGGTCGTAAGAAGGTAATACCTAACTATAATGTTAGTAGCTTTGCAAGCTGTTGCTCTGGTCCCTGTGTGACTATATTGTCTTTTTCCCCTTTAGGACAGATATAAATATCCTCCAAAAAAAAAAAAAAAAGAATATATCAGACACTTTTAAATGACCTCATTTTTGACAAAACTGTGCCTCAACAGGCAATCAATCAAGATGACACCCCGAAGTATTCTGTTTCCTTTTTTTTACTCCTGGTGGCCCCATCTCTCACTCTGCTTTAGAAACTTGTGATTCAGAACATGCAAAACCATACCATTGCATTCTGGTTCAGGTGACCATTTTCCATGATTACATTGTGTTGTATGAAGACTGGAACCACACATATAGTTTGCAGCTGTGCCATTGTCAAACATCTTTGTAAGAGGAGCATATGGTACAAATTTTGCATTCTTTGGACGTCTACATTTTGCTGCACCATCTAAAGATTCAAATGCAGGAAGAAGTCAGCTTGAAAGTCTCTGGTCTAGGATATCTAGTTGGTTTTTAAGTAGTAAGCTTACCTGTACATGAAGGTACCTCCCACTGTCCATGAAGGCACCTGGCTACATTGGTCCCAAGAATGACAAAGGTTTGGTCACAAACATATTGCACAGTTTCACCATGCCAGTATTTGTTTTTGTTGTCAACAATGACAGGATGCCCATTTGTGATATTGGGAGGTGGTCCACATGATTTTTCTTCCTCTGTTGAAAACAACAGACAATCAATCAAAACATTAACTCTTTGTTATTATTAGTCACAAATTATTGACTGGTCTTTTCAAATGAGATCTGGAAATTGACTGAGTAAATAACTGAACATTATTTAGTCTCAGTCTCACTGAGATTTACCGGCTCTAACATTTTTCTTTTCCAGCACATTTCTCAATTAATTGAGAAAACAATATTTTCATGCATCAACTGCCAGTCCCAGTTTATCAGAGTACTCAAATTTATCATAAAATATATATATTTATTTTTATTATGAAAATCTGGGAATTTTGTCCTGAGAAAGTTAAATGGCTATAAAAATATATATATTTAATTAGTAAATGGTTCAACCTTGGACAAAGCACAATCTGTTTGAATAAATCTGGCCACAAACCTTATGGGTTGCCATAAGTCAGAGGTGATTTAAGAACATAAATCCCTCTTGTGTTTTTTCTTAATATCTTCAAACTTATTTCAACAGTTTAGACCAGGAATCCTCAAACTAAGGCCTGAGGGCCGGATACGGCCCTCCAAGGTCATTTACCCAGCCCTCGCTCAGGGTCAACCTAAGTCTGAAATGATTTGAAAGCAAACAACAACAACAACAATAACAATAACAATTCTTGGCAGGGGGTTGGACTGGATGGCCCATGAGGTCTCTTCCAACTCTTTGATTCTATGATTCTATGATTCTATCTCATCAGCCAAAAGCAGGCCCACACTTCCTACAGAAATACTAATAAGTTTATATTTGTTAGAATTGTTTTTCACTTTAATTATTGTACTGTTTTAAAGTGGGGTTTTTTGCACTACAAATAAGATATGTGCAGTATGCATAGGAATTTATTCATATTTTTTGAAATTATAATCTGGCCCTCCAACAGCTCGAGGGACTGTGACCTGGCCCTCTGTTTAAAAAGGTTGAGGACCCCTGGTCTAGACTATCTTCTAGATGGACTAAAAGGTGTTTAGTAGGACCCTTTGGGAGTGGTTAAACATAATTTGGCTTGTTGTTGCCTTAATGTTTTAAAGCATAAGTGCTAACATGTGTATTTTATGTATTTTTAAAATGTCTTTCTATTCCAGAATTTAAATAGATACAAACCTCCTCCCCAAATATGCAAAAATATTTCAGTGCAAAAACTTGTAACAGAAGCCTTCATGCTTTTATTTAATCAACACATAAAATCTTCATCTATGTAGAAACAAATGCTCTCTGGCAATGCTTAATAAGAAATGTACATCCTACCAATAATTTATTGTGTGTTTGTTTTCCTTCCCCGTTCACTTTTAATTAGCCGGTTTTGACTGAACTGCAGAGCTAATAGACAAGATTCAGTGGCCTCTGGACTATAACCTATGGGACATCTACCTATGCATGATGGCAAAAACATCCATTCTCCATCAACACATTCTACAGTGCTTGATCCAACCATTCCAAAACGGATGTCACACTCATAAGCCACCTTCTCCCCATGCTGATATTCTTCGTGAAGGTCACCAATAAGATTGCCATGTGAAATCCTGGGTGGTTGCTGACAAGGGGTAACATTTTCTAGAAAGAAGAAATATTGTGTTAAGTTTGTAGGTATTGGAGTGCATGATAGGGGAACATTATCCTATTTCTGTACCTAAACAAACATGTAGAGAAACAATGGAAAACAAAACCTGCCCTTGTACTCAAGAGTTGTTGTTATTATTATTATTATTATTATTATTATTATTATTATTATTAAACATATACATGAAGCCGTTGGGAGAGATCATCTGGAGTTTTGGGGTTCGGTGTCATCTGTACGCAGATGATGTCCAACTCTGTTACTTCTTTCCACCTGCTACTAAGGAGGCTGTTCAAGTCCTGAACCGGTGCTTGGCCGCTGTAACGGACTGGATGAGGGCCAACAGATTGAAACTAAATCCAGACAAGACAGAGGTACTCCTGGTCAGTCGAAAGGCCGAACAGGGCATAGGGTTACAGTCTGCTCGACGGGGTTACACTCCCCCTGAAGGCACAGGTTGGCAGTTTGGGAGTGATCCTGGACTCATCGCTGAGCCTGGAACCCCAGGTCTCGGCGGTGGTCAGGGGAGCTTTTGCACAATTAAAACTTGTGCGCCAGCTGCGCCCGTACCTTGGGAAGTCTGACTTGGCCACGGTGGTCCACGCTCTGGTTACATCCCGTATAGACTACTGCAACACTCTCTACGTGAGGTTGCCTCTGAAGACTGCCCGGAAGCTTCAACTAGTCCAACGAGCGGCAGCCAGATTACTAACAGGAGCATACTACTCCTCTGTTGTGCCAGCTCCACTGGCTGCCAATTAGCTTCCAAGCACAATTCAAAGTGCTGGTGTTGACCTATAAATCTCTAAACGACTCCGGCCCAGTTTACCTGTTCGAACGGATTCTCCCCTATGAACCATCAAGGTTGTTAAGATCTTCTGGAGGGGCCCTGCTCTCGGTCCCACCATCCTCGCAGGTGTGTCTGGTGGGGACGAGGGACAGGGCCTTCTCAGTGGTGGTCCCTCGGCTCTGGAACTCTCTCCCACTGGAGATTAAAACTGCCCCTTCTCTCCTGACTTTTAGAAAAATGGTGAAAACTTGGCTCTGGAATTTAGCATTTGATGAGTGAGTCAAGAACTTCTGGCCACACAGACGGATGGTAATGAATTGTGATTTCATTGGGACGACTTGGCTTTATGTAATTATATGATTGCTTTTAATGTATTTTATGTATTAGTGTGTTATATGGTGTGATGTTTTTAAACTACTGTTTATGAATCGTGTTGTAAACTGACCTGAGTCCCTCTCGAGAGGTCGAGAAGACCGGTATATAAAAGTTCTAAATAAATAAAAAATAAATAAAAAATAAATAAATTATTATTTGAAACACAACAAGATGAGTCCACGGCAGACAAGATCACTCTGCTGGCTGTTGTATTGGATCACACGTCGGACACTTCTCAAGTCTCTAGGACTGTGTGATGTATTGGCAAATAATGTGTGCAGATCCCAGTAAGGTGTCCTTCTGCAGCTGGCAGATGGTAATTTTGTCAGCGCTGATTGTATTTAAGTGCAAGCCAAGGTCTTTATGCACTGCACCCAGTGTGCCGATCACCATTGGGACCACCTTTACTGACTTGTGCCAGAGTTTTTGTAGCTCAATCTTTAAAATTTGTATCATGTCAGCTTTTCCAGTTGTTTCTCTTCAATCCTGCTGTCACCTGGGATTGCAACATCGATGATGCATACCTGGGTTTTTAACACGATTGTGAGGTCAGGAGTATTGTCCTCCAAAACTCTGTCAGTCTGAATTCGGAAGTCCCAGAGTAGTTTGACATGTTCATTTTCTGTAACTTTTTTTCAGGCTTGTGATCCCACCAGTTCTTTGTCACAGGCAGATGGTATTTGTGGCACAAGTGCCAATGAATCTTCTGAGCAACGGTGTTATGTCTCTGCTTGTAGTCTGTCTGGATGATCTTCTTGCAGCAGCTGAGAATGTGATCTATTGTTTCATTTGCTTCCTTGCAGAGTCTACACTTGGGATCTGTTTTCAACTTTTCAGTTTTGGCTTTGATGGCATTTGTTCTAATGTCTTGTTCTTGGTCTGCCAGAATCAGGCCCTCCATCTCCTTTTTCATAGTTCCATTTGTGAGCAACATCTATGCTTTTCCTTTATCAGATTTACTCTCAGTTTCCCCCAGGAACTGTCCATGGAGAGCCTTCTTTTGTCAGTTTTCTCTTCTGCTCTGCATTGTATTTTTATGGTATTCACTCTTTATTTTTTGCATTATTATTATTATTATTATTATTATTATTATTATTATTATTATATTTTTATTATTATTATTTTGATTAATTTATTTTATTTCTTACTCACCTATCCTCATGGCTTAAGACAGGTTACATAATAACTAAAATACATAAACATTGTAAAAATATCACATATACACATATTAAAATGCATTTGTTTAAAATATTTATTTATTTATTTATTTACTTCATTTATATACCGCTTTTCTCAGGCGACTCAAAGCGGTTAACAACAGCAAAATTCAATGCAACATCATAAAACGATTATGGGACAGTTAAAACAATAGCATCATCATTGTATTGTGTTATATTGTACTGTATTAATTGTCTGTTTTTAATCTACTGTGTTATTGTTATTGTATTTTATTGTAATTGTAATTGTGGGCATCGAATTGTGCCAGATGTAAGCCGCCTTGAGTCCCCCTTAGGGGGTGAGAAAGGTGGGGTAGAAATGACCGAAATAAATAAATAATAAAATCATCAACAATTAAACATCAATATAACCATCATTAGCATCTCATCAGTAAAATCAGAATCCAATCTCATCATCCGTTAATCCATGTTCCTATATTCATTACACTGCCTAATCAAGTGCTTGTTTGAACAGCCAGGTCTTCACTTTCCTCTGAAACGCCAATAGGGATGGGGCCGATCTGATATCTATAGGAAGGGCGTTCCACAGCCGAGGGGCCACCACTGAGAAGGCCCTGTCTCTCGTTCCCCCCAGGTGCACCTGTGATGCAGGTGGGACTGAGAGCAGGAACTCTCCGGATGATCTTAATGTCCTAGTTGGTTCATAGGAGAAGATGCGTTCGGAGAGGTAAATAGGGCCAGAACCGTTTAGGGCTAACGCCAGCACTTTGAATTGTGCCTGGTAGCAAACTGGCAGCCAGTGGAGCTGTCGCAACAGAGGAGTTGTATGCTCCCTGAGTGCCACTCCTGTTAGTAACCTGGCTGCCGAGCGTTGGACCATTTGAAGTTTCCGAGCAGTCTTCAAAGGCAACCCCACGTAGAGAGCGTTGCAGTAGTCTATACGGGATGTAACCAGAGCGTGGACTACTGTGGCAAACAAAACAAAGATTGAACAAATGAGACTTGCTTAAAAACTGGCTGGAAAAGATAGGTCTTTAGATAGTTTTAAAATTCCAACAGCTCATTTAACCTGTCAGAGCTCTTCTGGCAGGTTGTTCCACAGTCTTGAGGCAGCCAATGAAAATGTCTTCTGGGTGATCATCACCAGTCTGGTTTGGTTGGTTGGAGTAACTGCCCTCCAGAGAACATAATTGTTTGAGGTGGATTGTATGAGAGAAGGTGATCCTTTAGGTAACCTGGACCCAAACCACATAGGGCTTTAAAGGTGAAAACCAATACCTTGTACCTTGCCCAGAAACTAATGAGCAGCCAGTGGAATGACTTTAGGATAGGTGTAATACACTCACTTCTAGATGTTCCTGTAACCAATAGGGCTGCTGTACTTTGAACCAACTGGAGTTTCCAAACTTGGTACAAAACAAGGGAGTTTTGTCTATGGCGTCTTAGAAATTAAGTCAAAGGCATCTGGAGGACCAAATGTCTTTTACTCTAATCTAGCATGAGAAGGATCTTGGAATAGCTGAAGGCGTGTATTCTCCAAGTAGTATTTTGATGCAAATATGTGACATACATATAGAAAGATAAATCTGGGTAAAACCTGGAAAGCAGGTCACAAAAATGAGGAGGGATATGCAGCCTAAGAAGAAATGTGTACCTTTACAAGTTGGAGGCGGTGGGGACCATCCAAAGTGATAACACTGTGCAGAGTCAGAACCCACTCTTGTGTATCCTCTGATACAGGAAAATTTCACCACATCTCTGTTCACATATTGATCTTTTCTTGGATGAATGCTTCCATGCTCCAGAATGGGTATTTCACATTCTATAGCTGAAGAAAATGTACAGCAAGATATTTTAATTTTGTGAACTGTGTTTTAGAAAAGGGGGCTTAACATCCACCTGCAATGTTTGCAAATAATAATAAATCTGATTCCAAAAGAGTTCAGCATATGACCTCCCTTAAGGTGAATGCATATGTAAAATAGTAAGAAACTACATACATGATGCATGAATGTACACTTTATAATTGATGAAGTTTGACTCTTCTTTAACTGCCTTGGATCAATTCTATGGAATAATGGAAGCTGTGTTCTCATAACTTCTTTAGTCTTCTTTGTCCAAAAGTGCAGGTGACTCACCAAACTACAGTTCCCATGATTCCATAACCCTTGGCCATGACAGCTAAAATGCCATCAAATAGCATTAAGTCTACTTCCTCACATTTCTGCCTGCCTATGTATATAAATATGAAAGAAAAGAAATGTAAATAAGAACATTTATATAGAAAAGAAACATGCCACCAATAAGATAACTGAAAACTGAGGCACCATCTGAAAATTCTAGACTTTTTGGCAACCACATGTTTAAAACAATTAACCAAAACTTGCAATTATATTACACAACAAGAATATTGTGTCACTGGGTTGTTGTAGGTCTTTTCGGGCTATATGGCCATGTTCTAGAGGCATTCTCTCCTGACATTTTGCCTGCATTTATGGCAAGCATCCTCAGAGGTTGTGAGGTCTCATAACCTCTGAGAATGCTTGCCATAGATGCAGACAAAACATCAGGAGAGAATGCCTCTAGAACATGGCCATATAGCCCGAAAAAACCTACAACAACCCAGTGATTCTGGCCATGAAAATCTTCAACAATACATTGATATTGTGTCAATTTACATAGGCACTGAGGCTTTGGACTCCATCCTGTCAGTGTGCATACTGCTTGGCCACCTCTTTTCTTATTAATGGTTTCATGTCCATCTGTACATTCAAAGATCAGTTTTTCCTCCAGTAATGCAGCTGGTTTAGTTGTGCTAAAGATAATGTTCTCGTCCATTGGCTTTGGGCACGTCTCTAAGAAAACAAAATGCAGATCTTATTAATACAAGAAGTAATCATCATCATCATCATCATCATCACACAGACTTAAATGCTTGGGAAGTGTTTGACTTGCGATTTTGTGATATGAAATCCAGCATATATATCTTGTTTGCTGTGACATACTGTTTTTTTGTGTCAATAATAATAATAATAATAATAATAATAATAATAATAATAATAATAATAACAGCAGCAGAGCTGACAGCTGGCACAACAAAGCATTGCAAGAGGAAGTGGATTTTGCTAAGCTTTCCTACTGAGTGAAGTGACATGAGTCAGGTAGCATATGTCAGAAGCAGAATTGGCATTTGACTGGCAAAAATGTATTAGGCTTAAAAAAAGTCTTGATCTAATCAGGGAGGAGCTTCAATAGGGTCAACTGAAATTCACATAAGTCTTTGACTAGAACTAAACCCATGGTGAGATAGTCAGAAACATATCTGAAATTATCACACAGTGCACAAGTGCACTATGCGAGCAATTTATAAATGTCTACAACATGTTGATCTGATGTCATTAATACACATCACAGTGAAGCGCCAGTTAAAACGTTTATGGCATACACCTCTTTGATGATTTCTAGGACTTGTTGTGACAGCTCAGAGTAGAGTCACCTTGCTCCAAACACCAAACCACACAAAGGCTGAAGATTTTGTAGTTTATTAAAGAAAGGAAAAAAGTCTTAAATGCAAAAGTAAGCTTCAAAAGTTCAATAGCAAATAGCATGAAGCATAATCCAAAGAACATAGATCAAACAAGATTACATGACAGCATGACAGAGTTCCAGGATGCCAAGAACATTGCCCAAAAGCCAAGGCAATCCAAAGAAGTTACCAGGTTGTTCGCAGAAGTTGCACTGACAAAGATTGGCCTTCAAACACCCCGTTTAATATACTTTCCCAGCATGAACGCATTCTGTTGACCCCTAACCTCCCTCTTGTTAGCAAGCCTCGCACTGCGGCGAACTTTGAATTGTAAGCGATCCTCCCTATCTAAATCTTCATAGCTCTCAAAGTCAGATAGCTCGTTAGGTGCCTGAGAATTGTCAGGCTGGGAGCTATCCTCAGTCTGCACCTGGCTAGTTTCACCAACATCAGAAACATCATCTGAAACATTTCTTGCCATGTGTTGGGGTTCAGCCTGAGTTTGAACTTGAACCTGATTCTCTGTTTGTTCCTCCTGATGCTAATGAAAATATATTTACTGATGCTAATGAAAATATACCTCTTGATGCCAATGCTCCTGAAATTAGTGAGGAAGAAACTTCTGTAGGTTTGGAAAATGCCAATGTTCCTGAAATTAGTGAGGAAGGAACTTCTGTAGATTTGGAAAATGAAAGTACCAGTGTTCATGAGAATGTTTCAGAGGGAAGCCATGACCTTTTACTCCCTTCTGCACCTGATAACTTTAATGAGAACAGAAGGGGCCAGATTTGGCAAGACAGAAGTAAATCACTCAGCTTGCGTAGGTCTTCCCGATTAAAAGAAATACAAACAATGGCTTCAAAGCAGAGGGGCGGTTCACAGAACCAATTCTTAGGCTTTAAGTGCCTTCCGCTGGGCTGACTTTCTCAGTTCAGACATCGTTTCAGATTGATGAAGACCTTGGCAGTTCTCCCGGTTTCCCTGGCCATGGGCTTGAAAGATTTCTAGGATATCAAGCACGGTTAGTGGATTGCTAACAGGTTCCAGTATTTTACAGTGTGGCTTTGGGTTTTGTTTTGTCCATTTCAATTCATGTTTGCTGATTTTGCTGTTGCTTTTGACTTGCATTTTTCCTTTATTTTATAACCATTTTTCTTCAATAAAAAAAGATTGTTTTTCACAGTCAAGTGCGGTGGATAGTTATCTTAGGGCCTCGTTCCCTGCTCTGGATTGCAACACCATGGGAAACTGAATCTCCTCAGATTCGTCTTCAAAAACAACAGGAACATCTTCATGAATCTGAATCCCATCATCTCTTGCCTGAGGCTCCAGCTGAGCCACAACACTTGTTTTCATTATTAGTTCTGAGAAGACTCCAGAATTTGTTCCATAACTAATATTTGAAAGTTTTCACAAGTAATGGATTTTAAAATTTCACATAAGTGTTTCTCTGCTAAATCAATAAGATTTTCATTGCTGTCCAATATCAGATTTCTATATGCTGTGGATGACAGTCCTTAAGGATGCTAATCTACTTTCACTTACCTGGGGCCCCACGTAGACTGCCATAAAATGAAATCTGAGAAGGCAGTTTAAGTATTTAAAACTGGATGAGATAAGTATACACTGCCATGTAATCCAGTTTAATAGAATAACTTTATTGTCATCATATAACAAAATTAAATGCTTTCCCTAGCACACATCACAACAACAGTTAATTAATTAATTAATTAATTAATTAATGCAGTTAAACTGGATTCTGAAACTGCATTATATGGCAGTCTTCATGGGGCCTGGGGAAAAAAAATCTCATTTAAGTGAAGGCACTTACTGATACATTCTGGTTTGGGTACCCATCCATCTAGAAGACATGTTGTCTCTCCTCTGGGTAGTCCTTGTGGAGTTGTGAAGCCAGTCTGGCAGCCATAGGTTGTTGTATTACTAATATTAAAACTTCCAGTTGATTCAATAAAAAAACCATTAGGTATGTCAAAGAGGACACAGATGGTTGTTTCTGAAGAAGAAAAAATGGGATATTATATATATTACAAAGATGCTCTGTTGGATGTTTGAAATCAATATTATTATACCATTCTTAGTTTGGTAGTACTGACTGATGATCTTGAATCCACCTCTAGAGAATGCATAAGTACGGGCAGTCCTTGAGTTACAAACATCCAAATGATTCCTAGTTAAATGTATTGTCGAAGGCTTTCATGGCTGGAATCACTGGGTTGTTGTGGGTTTTTCATGCTATATGGCCATGTTCTAGAAGCATTCTCTCCTGACGTTTCTCCTGCATCTATGGCAAGCATCCTCAGAGGTTGTGCATCTATGGCAAGCATCCTCATAACCTCTGAGGATGCTTACCATAAACACAGGCAAAATGCTTCTAGAACATGGCCATATAGCCCGAAAAACCTACAGCAACCCAGATATTAAGGACTGGGGTGAGATAACAGGACACAAGAGGAAATCTACCACTCAGAAGGGAAATTCACTCCTGGAAGGGGTGAGACAACAGAAAGGAAGAGGAAATCTACCACTCAGAAGGGAAATTCACTCCTGGAAGAGCGATCGTGGGGAAAAGGCATCTCCAATGAAGCTTTATCACCAACTCCAATTACCACAGAGACAGAAAGTGAGGTGACATCTTCTGAATAGGAGCAAAGATAGCAAAACAAAACAAAAAACACAGGGGTGTAAACCCTTCCTTATGCTATCCAAAGCTAAAATAGATATACATCTGGCTGGAGTTACACTTAAAAATGCACCATTCAGACTTACATACAAATTCAACTTAAGAGCAAACCTATAGAACCTATCTTGTTCATAACTTGGGGACTGCCTGTACGTTGAAACATATCCATTCACATGATCAGCGTAAGATATAAAAGTGAAGATTGAATTGCACACATTATTTAACATTCAAGCAGGACCAAGAAATATGAACAAAAATGTACGAAATAGTGTTATTGCGTACGGATGTTTAACAACAGCAACAACAACTGCAACAACAACAGCAACAGCAAAAATGATTTATTTGTATTGTTGAAGGCTTTCATGACCAGAATCACTGAGTTGTTGTAGTTTTTTGGGCTATATGACCATGTTCTAGAAGCATTCTCTCCTGACGTTTCACCTGCATCTATGACAAGCATCCTTAAAGGTTGTGAGGTCACATTAATTACAAGAGTGTTACATAAAGTAAAAGTGTCATATTATACTGTCATAATATATGCCTGCATTTTTCTACACTGAATGTTTGCTGCTGTTTGTTGTAAACCACCCGGAGTCCCCAAGAGGAGAAAGGAGAGACAGAAATACAATTTTATTTATTTTATATTATTATATCATGATCTAAGAGAATAAAATAATAAGGGATAAAATTGTCCCATTGTTTAATTGCACATTTCTTAATAAAGCTTGTGTGAGTAGGTCTATGTAGATGTGTGTTTTCTTTGTGTACATGTATTCTGATTTAGTTTTGGAGTTTGTTGTAATAGCTAGAAAGTTAGCTGTGTAGTGTCAACATTATAATAAAATGCTTTCTGTATTATAACTTTTACTACTTTGTCTTTTCTTTTGAATAAAATATTACTTAAAAATAAAATTATCATTCTAAACAGAAATGTTCTGTAATCCAACTTTTCTTTAATTTTCAGGAAAGAAAACGTTGGAAAAAAATAGGACACTTTTTTTGTAACAGCCTCTCCTTTGTATACACACATTGTGCTGGTACGGCTGTACCAGGAGCTCCAACTTTATTTTCTTTCTGTTATCTGTTTTGCAGTCATAGGGCAGGCCTCCTGTCCATCATAATTAAGCTTTGGTTCTGCCCCTTGTTCTGGGCTCTGGGAGGGAAAGGAGCCATTTTTGGGCAGTCTCACACAAGGTAGCTAAGCTATAGGATGTAGACCAGCTCGTCCCCCATAGAAAAACTTCCTTTCTCAATAACCATCCAGGGAAAAATAACATCCGGGGAAAACAGAAACAGAAATTCCAGGAGAAAGGTCCGAAAAGCTCTGGCTGAGAGCTCACAGCCTCTGAGCCTCACAGCATCAGAGGAAACAGCCCTGAAGTTAAGAATTCTCAAAGGGAGAACAGCATTACAGATCCACGGAACTCCAGCTAAAATATCTTCAAGCCTCGGCTGGTAGGTCTACTCAATACCCAGATGCATTTGGAGTTGGTAGTAGGTCCCACACTGATGAGGCATAGATAGAAAGCAGCCTGGGAGAGGTTAAAAAGGATTTTTCCTACAGAGAAAGTTTAGTTAATCAAAGTCAGGTACCAGTCCATTGAGGACTAGACTAAGAAAGCCTTGAAGTGTTGTTTGAACCATTGAAGATTTGTTGTTTGTTCCATAATAAAGACTTTGTTGCATCATTAAAAACTCTAAAGACCATCACTTCAGAAAAATCCCTGAGAACCTCTCTTTGAGGCGCCCCTGGCTTCCCGCTGGGCTTAAAGTATATGTCATATAGAAAAGTACAGCTGTTACAGGCCCAGCGCGCGACAGAACACACATACAAACACACATAATATTTCTAGAAGTAACCATTTCCTCTTGGAAAAAAATATCTTACCATCTTGTGAGAGACAGCATCCCGACAGCAGAAATGCAATGGAACAGACCAACCAGCACTTCATAGTGATCCAGACAACTTACAACTGGTCTGTACAGAAGAATCTGTACTACCAGTTAGTAATGACTTCAGAGGATGATTCTACATGGTACTTTCATTTGGTTTTTTTAATCAATTCTTCCTTCTATTTGTGTTCTGCTGCAGTTTGCCTAATAGTCTAACCAAAGAGGGGGGAGGCTTATGGGAATGGGTACATAAACTCAAGGCTATTTACAGAAGGTCTGGGAAGTTCTGTGTTGTAATTTTGACCTGAACGATTAAAGCTGATTACCCATCAGTGAAGATCAGACAAATATTTCCCCATACCCTTCTGGTTAGGCAGCTTTTTGTGGTTTGTTTTTTTCAATCCAACAGATTTTTGTGCAATATCAGAAGCATTTATAGGGACCATCTACATGTGCAAATGAGGCAGGATGAGGGTCAGTGGACTATGAGCTGTCCACATGATGGAGAGGGCTAATTTTCCCGAATGTCCCACACTTTTAAAAAGTCAGGGATGCCATAGAGCAGTGTTTCTCAACCTGGGGGTCAGGACCCCTGAGGGGGTCGCGAAGGGGTGTCAGAGGGGTCGCCAAAGACCATCAGAAAACACAGTATTTTCTGATGGTCATGGGGATTCCATGTGGGAAGTTTGAGCCAACTCTATCGTTGGTGGAGTTCAGAATGTTCTTTGATTGTAATGAACTATAAATCCCAGCAACCACAACTCCCAAAAGTCAAGGTCTATTTTCCCCAAGCTCCACCAGTGTTCACATTTGTGCATATTGAGTATTTGTGCCAAGTTTGGTCCAGATCCATCATTGTTTGAGTCCACAGTGCTCTCTGGATATAGGTGAACTACAACTCCCAAACTCAAGGTCAATACTCACCAAACCCTTCCAGTGTTTTCCATTGGTCATGGGAGCTCTGAGTGGCAAATTAGGTTCAAATCCATTGCTGGTGGAGTTCAGAATGCTCTTTGATTATAGGTGAACTATAAATCCCAGCAACTACAACTCCCAAATTACAAAATCAATCCTCTCCCAACCCCACTAGCATTTACACGTGGTTGCATTGGGTATTTGTGCCCAGTTTGGTCCAGTGAATGAAAATACATCTTGCATATCTGATATTTACATTATGATTTATAACAGTAGTAAAACGACTGTTATGAAGTAGCAACGAAAACAATATTATGGTTGGGGGTCACCACAACATGAGGGACTGTATTAAGGGGTCACGGCATTAGGAAGGTTGAGAACCACTGCCATAGAGCTTCCCCAAAGCTCCAGAACCCTCCCATATTTTGTGGCAGTGCAAACAGTTGGGTCAGTTCAGAATCTTTTTTAAAGGATTTTTGCTATGTCACCAGCCAGAAGAAGTTCCAGGAAGCATCCCAGCAGAGTCTTGCTGTGGCCATTGCTTCTGATAATCACAGGCCTTGGCACACTGTTGCGCCTTCATCAGAAGCAATGTCACCAGCATGGCATCTGCAGATGAGCTGCTTACAGGTGCTTATACTGGCAAAACAGTTGTGTCGGGCCCACCAGGAGGACAGAACATCACTTGGCAGGACTCCTAAAGGACTGAAAACTCTGCATGCTGGATATGAGATAGCTCTGGAGCAAGATAGTTCTGAGTTTTTTGGCTGGTGTAGTAACAGTCTTTGTTGGAATGCATCCAACTAGACATAACTAGATTCTTCCCAGCTTCTACCCAGCCACCCCAAATTTCTCCTGGTCACTCTAAATCTCTCTTGATCTCCCTGGCATTGTCTCTCTGATGGCAATGTCAGGGAGATCAGACAGAAAATGAGTCTTGTGAGAAAGGGAAGGGAGAGCAGAGTTCCACCTTTGTCCTTCATCTCGCAATACGGGATTTCAGCTGAGAAGATCCAACATACCTTTATATTTAAGCAGGTCTTTGGTTTTTAATTTCTTTCAGCAGATGGAGATTTTTAAAAGGGTGTGTTATGTCTGTTGTTTTCAATGCATTTAAAAAAAACATTTTGGTACTATTCCATTATCCGGACAGAGGCCACAAGGGGGCACTAGAGAGAGAAGGATTGTCCATTTTATTGGGTGGAGGGTGGGTTGAAGGAGTTAAAACAGTTTCCCCCTGTTTTTCTGTCATTCCCCCCACCATCATCCCCATCGTGGAACAACCCTCACTTAGGACATGGGAAGCGAGGAGGGGGAAAAACCAGTGAAAATGTGAAAATGAGGGGAATGGTTTTCTACCCTCAACACTCCCCCCCCCCCATAAAGTGGGCTATCCTTCTCACTCTCTCTAGTGCCCCCTTGTGGACTCTGCTCAGATTATAGACAATTATTTTTACTTGTTTTTTAAACAACAGAATGATGGTGATTTTAAAAAAAAATATGTTAATACTGTTGTGTTTGTTAATTTCTTGGTTAATTGTCTTGTGTTTTAACTAGTTGTAGGTTGTTTTTGCTCCTTGCTGGGAAAAAGGTGAGATATAAATTAACTAATTAAACAATGATGAAATACATGTAAAATGCAAAATGTGTCAAGCTAAGGCACAACTTGACAGAAGCAATGCTAGATATACCAGATACAGCTCCGTAAAATCATGGACAAGGAAAACTCAGTTTACTAAGCACATCTAAAACACGTCCACCTGCAGCGAGCGACACAAAGGATATCACACAGGAAACTGAAAGTCAAAACAGTTCTTTGCAGCTGCTGAGCTCTTCTGCTCAAAACGGTTAACTCCCTAAATTTTCTCAGCAGCCGAGAGTTTATCTTAAGGTCACTCAATCACAGCCTCAACATAAACATTTCAGCTTAGCATTACACTCTAAAGTGGCATCCATATGGCAATACAAGAATTACATTTAAAACACACAATATACCTCAATAAATCCTGACAAAATGTGTGTTGTCTCATGCATTATTTATTTATTTATTTATTTATATCCCGCTTTTCTACAGTGGGTGGGATTCAAAGCGACATACAATGGTTAAAAGCAGCAAAATTACATAACATAAAAAAATCATATAACCAAATAAATAGAGTACACACTACATAAACCATATATAAAAATAATAAATTAAGACATCATACCATTAAAAATTCCCTGACCTTCTGGCCACTGAGGTTATCCATTAATACAGTTCTACTAGGATCCTAAATACAAGTTAGCATTTAATGGACAAAATGTATGCCCCACTTTCAAAAAATAAGCATCATCTCGAATAATTTAATTCCCTGTTACTGAAACTTAGAGATTCTTCCCTACTGAATCTATTTTTAAATAGTCTTTATTAGTTTTAAACCCCCCACTTCATATCATTATAGAATCATAGAGTTGGAAGGGACCTCATGGACCATCCAGTCCAACCCCCTGTCAAGAAGCAGGAATATTACATTCAAAGCACCCCCAACAGATGGCCATCCAGCCTCTGTTTAAAAGCTTGCAAAGAAGGAAGCAAAGTTTTATAAACAAAGTTTTAGCTGAATGGTAAAAGAAGAATGTCGAAAGCTTTCCCCACATATCCAGATTGATATTAGGTATGGCAGCATGTCAAAACAAAACCATTGCAACATAAAGTTCACAAACCATCAGTAAATAAATCAAAGAGGGTTTTAAAGTTCATGCCTCCCTTTTCCAGTAATTACTTTCCTTCTCGGTTTGCTATTAACAGACCAAAAAGAACAACAAGAAAAAAAGCGAAAGCAAATATGGCACGAAAAATGGTGGTAGAAACTGAAGCACGATAAAGATATATGGAGCATTTGTTGATTTAATCCACATTTTAAAATTATAAAGCTGCACATCATGAAGATAATTGACTACCTCAACACATCCAAAGAGTTATAGGAATAGCATTCCAAGGCTATAGGTCTGACGTATATGTATATGCCTTTAAATCACCCATCAACTTATCTTAACTCCACATATTTCATAGGATTTTCTCTTACAATCTATATAAATAAAAATGTAATGTTAGTTCATGCTACCATCAGAACTCAAAAACCACTGAGGGAATTGACACCAAATTTGGACACAAGACACCTAACAGTCCAATTTATGTCCTCCACTCAAAAAAATTGATTTTGTCATTTGGGAATTGTTGTTGCTGGGATTTATAGTTTACCTACAATCAAAGAGCATTCTGAACTCCACCAATGATGGAATTCAACCAAACATGGCATACAGGACTTCCATGACCAACAGAACACACTGGAAGGGTTTGGTGGGCATTGACCTTGAGTTTGGGAGTTGTAGTTCACCTACATCCAGAGAACACTGTGGACTCAAACAATGATGGATCTGGACCAAACTTGGCACAAATATTCCATATGCCCAAATATGAACACAGATGGAGTTTGGGGAAATAGACCTTGACATTTGGGATTGTAGTTACTGGGATTTATAGTTCACTACAATCAAAGAGCATTCTGAAACCCATAAATGACAGAAATGGGGCAAACTTCCCACACAGAACCCCCATGACCAACAGAAAATACTTAAGGCCATTCCGTCCAACTCTCTTTGCCAGGGCAAGAAAATGTAATCAGAGCCCTCCTGACAAAGAGCCATCCAGTCATAAATATAGATAGATAGATATGATTCTCTCTCACAAACACATATATAGTATCATAGATTTGAAAGAGATCCTTAAAGAAGGACTATGATATGTTGCATATTCCAGAGTAGGCAAACCAGGCACTCTCCACATCAACACTGACAAAGAAACAACAAGAAATACTGTTTACTCACAAGCATAAAGGAATTACATATATTAGAAACCAACACTTTCTCATTATTTTATTTTCCAGACAACCAGACTGGGCCACAGCAACGCATGGCAGGGAACAGCTAATATATATATATATATATATATATATATATATATATATATTTGCTGGGGAATGGAGTGATCCGGCAAGTTACTATTAAAAGAGGTTAGTTTGAGAGTGACTACACAGAAAATGGAGTGAGATTTTTCTCTAGGGTGAGTAAAGCCATACTATGTATTTGTTCCATGAAGTCATGCTGGCCACATGACCTTGGAGGTGTCTACGACAACGCTGGCTCTTCAGCTTAGAAATGGAGATGAGCACCAACCCCCAGAGTCAGATACGACTGGACTTAATGTCAGGGGAAAACCTTTACCTATGTATTTGCAGTTGGAGATCAGAGGCTGATCTACATTGGTCAGTGAAGCCCTGATGGACCCATCCACACCAGTGCAGTCCTGGGTGCCCCCTTTGTATATCAGAAGAGAAAGGAAATGGGGATATCAATAGGTAACACAGGCACTTCTGCCAAGAGGAATTTCCCTCCTCTTCTTCCTGCCAGGATCTATCCCTTTTCTGTGCTCATAAAAGCAGGGAAAGAGCAATGATACCATCTACCATTTGGATGGTATATTGAACCCAATTAAGCCTGATCCAGATATCCAGACTGTCCCAAAGTCACATGATACTCCAGAGTTTCTGGAATTTCAACTATCCTCCCTCTTTTTTTTTAAAAAAACAAAAAAACCCACATTTCTTTATTTTCCTCTGAAATATGCTGGGGGGGGGGGGGCATTCTCTGGTAAATTCTCAGAGCAAGTTTACTGCTTCTCAGATTTCTTGAAGCCCTTAGAAGCCTCCGGCTTTGGTAACTACCTTAAAAACTGTTTTGGGGTTTTTTAAATATATTTTTTTATGTATGAGATTACAGCAGACGTAGACTGCAGCCAGGAAATCAGAAGACATCACACTGGCGATGAGGATCCGCATAGTTAAAGCAATGGTATTCCCCATAGTAACCTATGGATGTGAGAGCTGGACCATAAGGAAGGCTGAGCGAAGGAAGATAGATGCTTTTGAACTGTGGTGCTGGAGGAAAATTCTGAGAGTGCCTTGGACTCCAAGAAGATCAAAACAGTCCATACTTCAGGAAATAAAGCCCGACTGCTTACTGGAAGGAAAGATATTAGAGGCAAAGATGAAGTACTTTGGCCACATCATGAGAAGACAGGAAAGCTTAGAGAAGACAATGATGCTGGGGAAAATGGAAGGAAAAAGGAAGAGGGGCCAACCAAGGACAAGATGGATGGGTGGTATCCTTGAAGTGACTGACTTGACTTCGAAGGATCTGGGAGTGGCCACAGCTGGCAGGGAGCTCTGGCACGGGCTGGTCCATGAGTTCACAAAGAGTTGGAAGCGACTGAATGAATGAATAAACAACAACAAATGAGAAACAATGTATTTTCGAAGGCTTTCATGGCTGGAATCACTAGGTTGTTGTAGGTTTTTTCGGGCTATATGGCCATGGTCTAGAGGCATTCTCTCCTGACGTTTCGCCTGCCATAGATGCAGTCGAAACGTCAGGAGAGAATGCCTCTAGACCATGGCTATATAGCCCGAAAAAACCTACAACAACCCAAATGAGAAACAAACAACAGCAACAACATATAATCTTCAAGATTCAACAATCAAAATATAAGTGTTATTTTCCTATCCCACCACCTCCCCATTCCCATCTGTGAACCACCACCCATGACTTCTGACACCACACCAAATGGAACTATTACAGGCATGGGCAAGCTTGGACCCTCTAGGTGTTTTGGACTTCAACTCCCACTATTCCTAACAGCCAGTAGGCTGTTAGGAATTGTGGGAGCTGAAGTCCAAAACACCTTGAGGACCCAAGTTTGCCAATGCCTGAACTAGTATCTAACAAAAATCTGTCCTTATCATTACACTAAAGAATTCTCCATTCAACTATTTCAAAATCTATTTTTGTCTTCTTTTTTAAAATATCCAAAGCCAGTTTCCCTTTTCTAGTAAATTTATCTTTGGTTCCTCCCCTTATGCCATTGGAGATCTTGGCCATTTGGATATATTCTACTAGTTGACTTCTTCAATCCCTAATAAGTATTTCTTTTTCCCCCTTTCAAGATTTTGCCAAAATGATTCTCGCTGCCACATAACTATATTGGCAAATTTCTTCATCATCTTTGCTAATTCTCTCCTGAAACAAACCCAACAAGCCTAATAGGGATATTTCTGGGTTTTGTTAATCTTTTTGGTAATAATTTTTGGTTTTTCAAATCAACTTTTTCCAAAACCCTTTTACCACCATACAGGTCCACCAAACATGACAAGGTGGCATTTTGCATATTCAACATTCCCCCCTGTTGTTGTCCGTCCCCCCCCCAATTTAGCCATTAATTCAGGAGTTATAGAACTATAGAACATTTTATACATATGTACTCTGATAGAACCCACAATTGAAATTTTAAATCCTTTCCCCCCATAAGTATTCCCATTTATCCGAATCTATATTTTTCTCTAAGTATCTGGGTCAGGAAATCATTACTATTTTTATTTGTCTTCCAGGTTATACTCTAGAATATATCTGGAAATCAATCCTTTGTTTTCTTTCCCCAAAATATTTTCCAACTCTGATTTCGTTTTAGCAAACCCAATTTTGTTGGCTTTCCCAAATATATCCTGTAATTGATGATAATGAAACCAGTAATTTATCCCCAACTCTTCTTTCCCTTTTAGTTTCCATTGTCCTTTTTCTTGAAGTAGATATTCCTTAGAAGTTATCAGTTCCTTATTGTATGTTGGCTTTAACACTGCTTCCATTGAACACAGCCACAAAGGGAGTGGGTTGCTGTGAGTTTTCCAGGCTGTATGGCCATGTTCCAGAAGCATTCTGAAGTGTCCTATGGTGGAGAAACTTCTCAATGTGATGAGGTCAATTGCCAGAGTCACCTTCTTTCAGGACACTTCTGTCTATTTCCAAACACGGAAGGCTATTCATTACTTCCAGAAGTATTTTACCTCATGTGATAAGCTCAGCACCTCTCCAAGCTTGAAAAGAGGCTGAAGTGTCCTACGACTGGGAAATTTCTCAATGTAATAAGGTGATTAGTCAATAATCACAGCAACCATTCCCCATTTTGCTTGGGGATCAGTTGTGAATTGGTATTGCTAATTTCAGGTCGAATATGTTCCCAGCAAAGAATGCAAAAGGAGACTCAGGATTATTACTGAAACAAATGTAATGGTTTATTGAAATGCAATGTTGATTACAGAAAAGATAAGGTAGATTTTGATGTCCATGTGAGAATACTGGAACTCTGTCGTCATTTAGCAAAACCGAAGGAATGTAATGCGCATAATTAAGACAATGTACTGTAATTCGAAGATCAATGATCCAGATTCCTAGCTGCTCTTACTGCAAACAGCCTTACGATTAAGTTGAAGAGAAACTCATAGCTACAAATTATATGTAAAGAGCCCATATAATCACTGATTTCTCCATATCCAACAAGAAAGAAGAAGGAAAGAAAAAAAGAAGGTAATTGAACAAGGGTAATTGAACAATGATGCAGGGAAGAAAAGGAAGAAAACAATAAGGAAGAAACAATAGGAGGGGACGAACACAGTACTGGTAGATAGGCTCAAGCAAGGAAGCCATGGTCCCGAGTTTCCAAGACCTGAGTAGGGCTCTTGATAACAGGGTGACTGATATGTCTCTCATTCATAGTGCTGTCATAAGATGAGGTTAATCCGAAGGTAGATAACCATAAATAAAGGTCAAATTCCATAATGATTAGAAAGGGAGAAAAAAGTGAGAGCAGCAAATTTTTATCTTTATTGAATGAGCCAGACTGTTCTACTACAGGAGAGCCTAACTTATAAACAGGCCGACAGAACAATGGATAAGTCAAGATGTCAGATAATAAGGAGGGATTAAGGGAAAGCCAGTTAATGTCCAATTACATTATAATTTTAAAATTTATTTATTATTTTAATTTATTTTCTGTACCCTTCTCAGCCCACAAGCGATTCAAGGCAGTTTACAAAGGCTCAACAACACAATAAAATGCATTTTAAAACAGTAACATACAATATAAAACCAAAACAAGATCAATAAAAGCACCAATCGTTAGCGTCTCCTAGTTAAAACATTGTCCAGTCTCATCATCCAGTTGTTCCATTTTCCTATGTCTGTTACACTGTATTTCCTAATGCTTGCTCAAACAGCCAAGTCTCGACATTTTTCCGGAATGTTAAAAGGGAGGGGGCCAATCTAATGTCCCTAGGAAGGGCGATCCATAGCCAAGGGGCACCACTGAGAAGGCCCTGTATCTCATCCCCACCAAACGTACTTGTGACAAAGGTGGGATCAAGAGCAGAGTCTCCCCAGATGATCTTAAGGTCCTAGACATTGTGTTTCACAACAAAATGACAGAAAAAGCATTTCAGTACATGGTAACATTATGTAGTAATTGCTGTATTTACAAATTTATTACTAAAACATCGCAATGTATTGAAACAGCTGTAGATCTGGGTAGGAGACAGACTGCGTGGGTAAATACAGAACATTGGATGAGCGAAGGTTGGATAAGCGAGACTCTACTGTGTTTTGGAACTGAGCCCATAAATAGATAGCAGAATCTGGGGAGAGGGTTACCGTTATCTTTCCCTATCCTATTGGTCTCAGAAGTGTTCATTTAATATAGAACATTGCAGTATTCTATTTCAAAGTAATCCGCTTATATTATGGTTTCAGCATCCACTTCATCTGATTATCCCCTTGGCTGGTTTAATGATTTTTGTCCATATATATATTTGCAAAAGCATGATGATTTGATGTGATCAAAACCAAGTTATCAGTGACTCTGAAAGACCAAATCCATGACAAAAATTGTGTGTTCTGCTCGTCTTTTCATTAAGTTTCCTGTTAAATACATAGAAATAACAAGAAAAAGTTGCATGAGTTGATTTATTACACTACTGCTTTTAAACACATATCAAAATATAATCAAAATATAGAATCATATAATATAATATAATCAAAATATAGAAGGCATTGTTTCTATATACAAAGTATATATCCTACTATAATGATTCTGAACACAAGAATTAACATGAAGCAGTGAAAACAATGAGATGCCTTTACTAAATGCTGAAAAGAAGCTGAAAATGCTATCAGTTATTTTAGTCCCATTGCTATAATTCTATGTTTTGAACTTTAGAAGAGCAGTTCTCAAAGTGTGCTCTGCGGAGCTCTTGGAGTTGGAGTGAATGGCCTCTGGGGTTACTCTTCTGTTGTTGTTACTATTGTTGTTGTTGTTGTTGTTGTTGTTGTTATTATTATTATTATTATTATTATTATTAATATTTTTGCTAAAACTGGGTGGCCATCAGTTGGGAGTGCTTTCATTGGAGTTGGACTGGATGGCCCCTGGGGTATTCCACTGAAATACAGTTAAGTTTATGTTGGTTAAAATGGTTCTTTATTTGAAATCTTGTATTCTTTCTTTCTTTCTTTCTTTTTTTTGTACTACAAATGAGATATCTGAAGTGTGCATAGGAATTTATGCATTTTTTTCAATTAGTTCACACAATTGAACTATTGTTCAATTGAACCATTGGCCTGGCCTGTCTGTCAAATTTTTAAATGCAATGTGTCCAATAGTTTGCCCATGCCTATATACATACATTATATATTACATAACAAAATATAACAATATAATATACAATATATAATCATTTCTTGGGGTTCCATGATAAAGTTTTGCTTCAAAAAGGGCTCTGCAGCTGAAAATGTTTGAGGACCCCTGACTCAGGGAGAAAGAAAGCCATAGGGTCACTGGATGGTGGGTGAAAAGGGACTAATCTGCAATATGTGTAATAAGAAATTCAATGTGCAAATTAAATGTGAATTGAATATGATGTGTGGGAATGAATGGAAGGATGGAAGTTGTATGAATGGAGTTAATAATTTTGGAAACACCAGTATAATATTACGGCCCGCAATGACTAACTACCTGCTTGCTGCTTTGTGATTGAAACCTGCTAATGATCTGAAGAGTAAACTGTGATAAGAACTGGGACAGTGATAAAGGAAATGTTTGCAACCTTCCTTATGTTAAGAAGGAAGTCAACATAAGATCAACACCAATCAAGAAGATCAACATCTGGCCAGGAAACTGAGATGGATCCAGGATGGAAGACATCTGTCATTAATTTACAACTTTGGGACAACATCAACAGATTATTCCTATAAAAGACTCAGACTAATAATGCTCAAATCGTGGCAGACTGAGGAGTCTGTTCCACCCGCCATGCTCTGCTCCATGGGAAGGACAGAGGTGGTGTATTCAGATAGTGGCAGATCTGCACGGGAGCAGTCTGGTCACTTTGGGGCTTCTTTCTCAAGGGAAGAGGAAGAAGTGTGCTTTTGGAGTCTTAGATTTTGTGCAGGGAGTCAGGTTCTGCTGTATGGAAAACAGAGATCTGGTCCTTGGCATTGTTCTTAGGGAAAGAAGTTTTGGCATCTCAGCGTTTTGAAGTTTTGGCGTTATGGAAGTTTTGGAACTATGTGTTGGCAGGCTGCAGGAAAGCAGGGTCTGGCCTAACAGGTGCTTCTCCAAGGAGGGAGAAAACAATGTGGTAATATTTGGATGCATGTGGATGAATGCGTGTACATGTGGTGTGAATGTTGAGTGAAAAGGTAATCCCCCTTTGTTTGTTTGTTAACCAATGTAATTGTGAATCCAATGTAGTTGCATAGAATCTGTATATCTGTATGTCAATGTCATTCTTTGTCTAAATGTTTTCTGTAATCTGATATACCTTCTCACACTGGAAATTGCAATAAAAAGAACCTATGCTTTTAAATAATTGAAAAGTCATTCATGACATATGAACATATGCGGAGTGCCTCCATTGCCAGATGCCTATCAGACTTCTGTTGCTTAATGCATGCTTGAGCATGAGTTGATCTGGAAACCCCTTTTCCTACATGCCAAGATAATGTATCCAACTTATATTGGTTACTAGGCCTGTTTGATCAAGAAAAAATTTGTTTCTAAAATCGATTTGTAATTGGGGTGTTTTTTTGTTTCGATATTTAAAATAATTACAAAACTTTCCCAAAAAAAGTTTTGGTATTTACGAAATTTCGTAAATATTTACAAAACATTTTGTAAAGATGGCGGACCCCCGCGCATGCGTAGACATTGACATTTGGGAGTTGTAGTTACTGGGATTTATAGTTCACCATTCTGAACCCCACCAACGATGGAATTGAACCAAACTTGGCACACAGTTCTCCCCTGACTAACAGAAAATACTGGAAGGGTTTGGTGGGCAGTGTCCTTTGGTTTTGGAGTTGTAGTTTACCTACATCCAGAGATCACTGTGGACTCAAACAATGTTGGATCTGGACCAAACTTTGCCGGACCAGGCTTCCCCTCTTTCCTTCTTTCCTTCCCCTGGCCCCTTTCTCTTCCCTTCCCCTTCCTTCCTTCCCTTTCTTCTCCTTTCCCCTCCCTCCTTCCCTACCTTCCTTTCCTTTCCTTCCTTCTTCTTTCTCTCCGTGGTACACCGGGCCAGGCGCTGCCTCCGCTTGTTCTCCTGGCACGGCTGGGAGGGAAGCAGGTGGCGTCTCGTGGCCACGGAGAACAAGAGAGCACAGCAGAAGAAGATCTGCGGCCATGAAGCACCTCCTGTTCCCCTCCCAGCTGTGCCAGGAGAACAAGCGGAGGCGGCGCCGGGTGGGCGTGGCCAGGCAACGCTGGCTTCCCCGGGCCGGCATCTGGGGCAAGGGAAGGAAGGAAGGAAGGAAGAAGGAAAGGAAGGGAGGGAAGGAGGGAGGGAGAGAAAGGGGGAAGGGGAAGGAAGGAAGCATTCTCTCCTGACGTTTTGCCTGCATGTATGGCAGGCATCCTCAGAAATAACGAAGCTTCGCGCCCAACAGGCAGGGGCGGGGCTTGGCTCACTGGGTGCGCGCTCGCGCCGCCCCCTCGCCCCGCTCGCCCCATTTACGAAACGGGCGAAAGCTCCTTAAAACTGTGGGGGCTGCCGTTTCGATATTTAAAAACCCTTCCGGGTTTGAAAATATGTTTTGTTATCGTTTCGTATATGCAAAAATTAACGAATGTTTAACGAATTAACGAATTAACGAACGAAACCGCACAGGCCTATTGGTTACCTAAAGTTCTAGTTATACCATGTAACCCAAAATATGGTATCAGACCATGCTATCATGGCAGAAAAGACATACCGGTATGCATTTTGGATAGACCAAACGTCCTTCAATACAACGTTGCCTGAACATGTAAGACAATGGATGTGGCTCAAAACCATCTTTGCAGGAAAATTCAACCATGTCCCTGGATTTCATATATAGTTTTTCGGTTTCTATCCATCTCAGCCGGATGTTATTGAGATTCATTTCTTCTACAGTTACTATACAAGGATCTAGAGGGGGGGGGGAGCACACATATTTTTAATAGATTGATTGAACAGTGGAAGTTTCAGTTTCATGAAAGTATGTTATCAGAAATACGAACAACTTCTCATACAACAAACACTACATTTACAGAACACTTGCAAAGACTGTTTGAAATAAACAAAAAAAGTCAGTTCTCTACATTCACTAACATTAGAAACATGGGATGTCCGTGAAATACAAATGCGTCATTCAGCAGCATTCTCATACCATGAAATCCATGTACTTTCACTTATATAACAGCCTGCAAAAAAAAAAAATAAGTGGAAGAGTAATGTATTTCCCCATACCTATACATACTGGCAATTCTGTCCAATTACCATTCACACAATGTACTTCCGGTGATCCTCTCAAAACATAGAAACTTTGGCATTTGTATGTCACAATTTCTCCTGCTGAATAATCTGTTTTAAGAAGCTCCAAAATATCTCCGTGTGGAATGGCAGGTGGGCGACCACATTGCATTTCAAGATCTACAATGATATATTTGATTATGGAATAAGTGTATTATAGTATTCCTATATATCCTGATAAAGTAGTACAATGTCTAAACAGGGGATCAAAAGAAATGATATACCAGAAAGCAAATATTTATCCATTAAGAACCGCCAAACTGTCATTTTCTGCTCTCCTTTTTTCATACAAAGAAATGGAAAGAACAGATCCTAGGTTATACACCTGGAAACTTTAAAAAAGATGAATAGCAGCTAATAAATAGTGAGGACATCTTGACCTCTCTACCCCATTATGTGGATAATGGGAGGTGGAGTCCAATCAATTCAATATACATACTTATACTGGTAATATAAACAGATGCAAGCATATTTGATTTTGAAACCAATATATTTAAAAGGAGAATTGAAACATTGCAGGGCCATATAGAAGACATCATGGGTGAAGACTAGGGCTGGGCGGTTTCGTTTCGTTAATTCGTAATTCGTTAAAAATTCGTTATTTTTTTATTAACGAAGCGATAACGAACCATTCTGGGGCAACTTAAAAACGAAACGAATTTTTCAATTTGTTTTGTGAATGCTTCGTATTTTGTTATGTATTCATTTCGTTATTGGTTTGAGGTCGTTTCGTTATTATTTCCGCATGTCTGGGGCAAGTTTTATAGTTGTTTTTTCTTAATTAGTGAAAAAAAATTATAATATCACACTAACAGTCAACAACAGAGGGAGAGGGAAGCTTCAGAAGTTTTTTTAGCGTATTGCGCGATCGCGGCCACCAATAACGAATCGATTCGTTATTGTTTCGTTATTGTTTTGTAATTTTTTTACCATTTACGAAATTTCATAAATATCGAACTTTTTTTAAGGAAAATTTTGGAATTCTTTTAAATATCGAAATGCAAAAAACCCCAAAAAATGAATCGATTTTAGAAACAAATTTTTCCGTTGTTACCCAGGCCTAGTGAAGACTACTGGAGCAGAATATTACAGTTGATTGAGGATGTAATAGGCTTACAAGTCAATGCTTCTAAAAGGAAAAAAAAACTCTCTGAAAAAAATTCAGAAAGCTCTGAAAGAATGTGTGCTTTGCTCCTTAAATGGCCATAACACCCATTTAGCCATCAAATCTATTCACCTTTGCTAAAATAAACGTGGTTGATTTGCATAGATAATAGCATTTTTGTGCATAAAACAGCATTTTCTGCACAGAAATTAGTGTTCTTGCATTCAGGCCCGTAGCCAGGATTTTGTTTCGGAGAGGGGGTGAGTTTATGGGGGGGGGGGCTGAGTCTGAGTGAAAGAGGGTCTAGCCTAGCAAACCTTTTGTATCATTACCCCAATACCCCCATGCATATGGGATATATTGAGTATGGTGATAAGATCATGATATGAATAAACATAACAGTTTAAATAATGCACCAGTAAGGCCTTTTCGCGAACCACCATGAGAATTTGGGGAGGGGGGCTGAAGCCCCTCAAGCCTCCCCCCCCCCCCGGCTACATGCCTGCTTGCATTGAAATAATATTTTCCAGCATAAAATACTTTTTTCTTGTGCAAATAAACAGAAATGCACTGTGAATAGTCTTAAAAAACAGTATGGTTTTGAATTCTTCCTTGACATCATTCATTGCAAACTTTGAGAAGAATTACCATCTTTGCTATTCAGATCGGCATTGCTTGCACATCAGTGGAGCTTTCCCTTCTTTCACTAGAACATGGGATTTGCTATTTTTAACTTCTAACTTTTAACTTTTTAAAGTATCCCTCTTTTTCACCACTTTTTCATTGTCAGAAAAGGGATAAGTTGCTGTGAGTTTTCCGGGCTTTAAGGCCATGTTCCAGAAACATTATCTCCTCACGTTTCACCCACACCTATGGCAGGCATACTCAGAGGTTGTGAGGTCTGTTGAAAACTAGGGAAATGAGGTTTATATATTTGTGGAAAGTTTAGGGTAGGAGAAAGAACTCTTGTCTGCCCGAAGCAAGTCTGAATGTATTGTCGAAGGCATTCATGGCAGGAATCACTGGGTTGTTGTAGGTTTTTTTGGGGGCTATATTGCCATGTTCTAGAGGCATTTCTCCTGACGTTTCGCCTGCATCTATGGCAAGCATTCTCAGAGGTAGTGAGGTCTGTTGGAACTAGGAAAAAGGGTTTATATATCTGTGGAATAACCAGGGTGGGACAAAGGACTTTTGTCTGCTGGAGCTAGGTGTGAATGTTTCAACTGACCACCTTGATTAGCATTTGATTGCCTGGCAGTGTCTGGAGCAATCTTTTGTTGAGAGGTGATTAGATGTCCTTGTTTGTTTCCTCTCTGTTGTTGTGCTGTTCTAATTTTAGAGTTTTTTTTAATTCTGGTAGCCAGATTTTGTTCATTTTCATGGTTTCCTTTCTATTGAAATTGTCCACATACTTGTGGATTTCAATGGCTTCTCTGTGTAGTCTGACATGGTGGTTGTTGGAGTGATCCAGCATTTCTGTGTTCTCAGATAATATGCTGTGTCCAGGTTGGTTCATCAGGTGCTCTGCTATGGCTGATTTCTCTGGTTGAAGTAGTCTGCAGTGCCTTTCATGTTCCTTGATTCCTGTTTGGGCAAAGCTGCATTTGGTGGTCCCTATGTAGACTTGTCCACAGCTGCATGGTACACGGTAGACTCCTGCAGACGTGAGAGGATCCCTCTTGTCCTTTGCTGAACGTAGCATTTGTTGGATTTTCTTGGTGGGTCTGTAGATAGTTTGTATGTTGTGTTTCCTCATCAGCTTCCCTATGCGGTCAGTGGTTCCCTTGATGTATGGCAAGAACACTTTTCCTCTGGGTGGATCTTGGTCTTTATTCTCGTGGCTTATTCTTGGTCTTGCAGCTCTTCTGATGTCTGAGGTGGAGTATCCATTGGCCTGCAGAGCCCAGTTTAGGTGGTTCAGTTCATCTTGGAGAAGGTGGGGTTCGCAGATTCTTTTTACACGGTCTGCCAAGGCTTTAATTGTGCTTCTTTTTTGACTTGGGTGATGGTTGGAGTTTTTATGTAGATATCTATCTGTGTGTGTGGGTTTTTTTGTAAACGGTGTCACCCAATTGTTGATCTGGTTTATGGATGACTAGGACATCTAGAAAAGGCAATCTTCCTTCATTTTCTTTTTCCATGGTGAATTGGATGTTTGGGTGGATGCTGTTGAGATGGTCCAGGAACCTGTTTAGTTCTTCCCCATGGCTCCAAATGGTGAAAGTGTCATCCACATATCTGAACCATATAGTGGGCTTTTTTGTGGCTGTTTCCAGGGCTTGTTTTTCAAAGTGTTCCATGTAGAAATTAGCTGTGACTGGGCTGAGAGGGCTCCCCATAGCTACTCCATCTTTCTGTTCATAGAACTCATTGTCCCACTGAAAGTAGCTGGTGGTGAGGCAATGGTGAAACAGAGCTGTGATGTCTTCTGGGAACCTCTGGTTGATTAGTGCAATGGTGTCTGCTACCGGGACCATGGTAAATAGAGACACCACATCGAAGCTGATCAGTTGTCGTTGGTATTTAGCTTGAGATTGCTGATTTTTTCTATGAAGTGGGCTGAGTCCTTGATGTAATGTATAGGTAAAGGTAGTCCCCTGATATTAAGTCCAGTCATGTCTGACTCTGGGGTGTGGTGCTCATCTCCATTTCTAAGCCGAAGAGCCAGCGTTGTCCGTAGACACCTCCAAGGTCATGTGGCCGGCATGACCGCATGGAGCGCCGTTACCTTCCCGCCGGAGCGGTACCTATTGATCTACTCACATTTGCATGTTTTCGAACTGCTAGGTTGGCAGAAGCTAGGGCTGACAGCGGAAGCTCACGCTGCTCCCCGGATCGAACCTGTGACCTTTTGATCAACAAGCTCAGCAGCTCAGTGCTTTAACCCACTGCGCCACCGGGGAGTCCTTGATGTAATGTATAGTGAGCCCAATATGGCTTTGTAACTGTGCAGCAAGAAATTTTGCTAATGTCCAGCATTTCTGTGTTCTCAGATAATATGTTATGTCCACATTGGTTCATCAGGTGCTCTGCTGTGGCTGATTTCTGTGGTTGAGTTAGTCTCCAGTGCCTTTCATATTTCTTGATTCGTGTCTGGATGCTGTGTTTGATGGTCCCTATGTAGACTTGTCCACAGCTGCATGGTATATGGTAGACTCCTGCAGAGGTGAAAGGATCCCTCTTGTCCTTTGCTGACATCTCCCAACAAAGAATTCCCTCAGGCAGGAAGCAACCAGGCTTTGAAGCTGTAAGTCTATTCAATGCAAATCAAGCTGGCCAATTGCAAGATTCACATTTGTCTCAAACAGACAAGAGTTCTTTCTCCCACCCTGGACATTCCACAGCTATATAAATCCCACTTGCCTAGTTTCCAACAGATTTCACAACCTCTGAGGATGCCTGCCATAGATGTGGGTGAAACATCAGGAGAGAATGCTTCTGGAACATGGCCATACAGCCTAGAAAACTCACAACAACCCAGTGATTCTGGCCACTAAAGCCTTCAACAACACAAAAGAAGACTAATAAGGAAATATTAGAATAGTACATAACATTTTTTATCAGCAGTGCTGAGAATTCTCCATTTTGAAGCACCCTGACACAAATGTTTTATGTCACCTCTCCCAATGTTGTCAGGATACATTTTGACAAATATATATATATATACACACACACACTATTCTACTAGATAAGATGGTATTTAGAAATCTTGTTAGACTCATGGTCACATTTCAACAGGTAACCCCTGGGATTCAAAGGAGCTAATCTGGGTGAATTAGCTTGTAATAGAGTTTCATTTTGACCTGGCAGTTCAAGGCTTCAACTTCCTCTTTAAATGGAATATTCCCGTTTCTCTTCATATCTTACCATCTTGGGAAATGCAGCATATCAACAGAAGACACAGGACAATACAGAGCAGCCAGTTCCTCATAGTCCTGAAGGACGTTCCCAGATCTGCCAAACAAGATCTTCTCTTTCAAGTACACATACACCCCAAAGGTCTTTTATTTTATTATATTTTCTAACCTGATGTAATTGGTTATCTGCTGTTGTTTTTGGCAACCTGACCATGACGTTACTGGAATTGTGACCACAAACTTGATATGGGATGATGAAACTTTCAGTAAAGTTGCTGAGTTTTGTGGTGCAGTTCTGGAATCAGTGATCAAAGTGCTTTTCCAGCAATTGATATTATATTGCCACCTGAAAAGAATAAAGCTTGCCTATCAAATATACTAACTTAAGGTTGAACATGAATGTCTTCAACCCAAAGGACAGGAGGTCACTGCAATGGGAGGGGGTAAAGAGGGGAAAAGGTGTGATGGGGAGCAATTATTGTAGGCATTGTTCTGAAGTAAATATGTTTTATGTATACAGAGAGAGTGAGAGTGATAGAGAGAGAGATGGATGGATGGATAGACAGATAAACAGACAGACAGACAGACAGACAGACAGATAGATAGATAGATAGATAGATAGATAGATAGATAGATAGATAGAGATGGATGGATGGATGGATGGATGGATGGTAGGCTTGTTTGATTAAAAAACGGTTCAAAACTCATTTTGGATGTAGGGGGCACCAGTGGTTCGATTCTAAAGTTAATTCCGATTTTCACAGAAAAAAAAGTTCTAAACTTTTAGAACCTTCTGAGACTTCCGAATCCTTTCGTTAATAGTTTGACAATGTTATTTCCTGTTTCATTGCATGGTCTTTACTTTGAAAGTAGTTGTTTTACTCCAGGAGCAGGGAAAAGCAAGCAGAGGAAATTTGCAAATTCATGCTTCTCCCATTTCTAACTCACTTCTCTAGGTTTAAAACCAGCTGGCTCTTCTGGCTTGAGACAGAAGCGGAGCAAATTCATGCTTCTCCCATTTATAACTCGCTTCTCTGGCTTGAGCAGAGGCCAAGAGAGATGTTGAAGAGAGATGTTGACAAGCTGGAATGTGTCCGGAGGAGAGTGACTAAAACGATCAAGGGTCTGGAGAACAAGCTCTATGAGGAGTGGCTTAAAGAGTTTGGCATGTTTAGCCTGAAGAAGAGAAGGCTGAGTGGAGACATGATGGCCATGCAGAAAGATGTGAGGGGAAGTCATAGGTAGGAGTAAGCAAGTTTGTTTTCTGCTACCCTGGAGACTAGTACGCAGAACAATGGCTTCAAGTTACAGAAAGAGAGATTCCACCTGAATATGAGGAAGAACGTCCTAACTGTGAGAGCTCTTCAGCAATGGAACTCTCTGCCCCAGACTGTGGTCCTTCTCAGGAGGCTTTTAAACAGATGCTGGATGACCATCTATTGGGGGTGCTTTGAATGTGATTTTCCTGCTTCTTAGCAGAGGGTTGGACTGGATGGCCCACGAGGTCTCTTCTAATGCTATGATTGTATGATTCTATAAATGGCTCTCTGTACAGTATGTTTAGGACTCTGCGGGACTCTGTCTCGGATCTCCAGGATGCTTCTACTTCTCACCTCATCTCTGCTAGTTGCGTTGATAAGTTTTGTATCATATGTTCCATCGCTAGTACTTTCTCCTCTAAGTACGGGGCTTTTGGGGAGGGGAGGTCTCTAACCACTTTTCTGTCTTGTCTTCGGGGTGTCTTCCTCCTCATGGTGATTCTGCTCCTCATTGGGAGCTGGGTAGGGCTCAACGGTCTCCCTGGCAGAGTTGGTCCTCGGCATTGCCCTCCACTTTTGATAAGTACAGCTCCAGTGGAGCCACCATCATCCCTCCAGGGGAGATGGTTTCTCTTTTCTCCTCTCCTTCCTTTGATCTCTGCATTTTCCCTCTCACCAGGTGCCTGGGAAAGGTTTTTTTAAGAGAACTAGCTTAATGTATGCTTATAAAGAAGTTGTGAAACAAAGGATAGGCTCACAGTGATTTCTGGATACACTAAGTCTTTATTTCATTCCTTTACTGAAGCAAAATAAAGCTTTTTTTTTTGACATGTCAGGAGCAACTTGACAAACTGCAAGTCACTTCTGCTGTGAGAGAATTGGCCATTTGCAAGGACGTTGCCCAGGGTATGCCCGGATGTTTTGATGTGTTACCATCCTTGTGGGAGGCTTCTCTCACATCCCCACATGAGGAGCTGGAGCCGATAGAGGGAGCTCATTCATGCTCTCTCCGGATTCGAACCTGCAACCTGTCGGTCTTCAGTCCTGCTGGCACAGGGGTTTAACCCACTGTGCCACCGGGGGCTCAAAAAAAAAAGAAAAGTCAAAAGAAAGCTAGTTCTGACATTCTCCTGATTGCCCTTGGATTTATAGAATGCTTCTCTTTGAAGAACTTTCTTTACTATCTCACATCCCAATGTCAATTAATTCCAAAAGCAATCAATTTCCTATCCCCTATCTCCACCCCTTCTGATTTGCTCTTCCAAGTTCTCATATACTTATGTCTCCATTTCTCTAAACAAATCCCCTCCATACCTGTTGTCCATAAACATGCCAGACAGACATTTCTGGTTCTTCTGAAGCTGAATTGGAGGGCCTTACAGTTTTGCAGCAGTAAAGAAAACAACTTTTGCAAATAGGTGCTTTTTATTTTATTTTTCAAAATACACAAACATTTTACAAACAAAAAGTAACTACTGAAATTATATACAGCTACTGTATTCTTTAGTCTGTTAAACCCCATTATGAGTTCACACTCACAGTACGTGCATTTATTTTTTCCCCTTTCAATACATTTGCTTGTTTGGAAATTTACAATGGGCTTCCTATAACTTCACCCTTTACAAATACTGGAGTTCTGTTTTCTAAAAACAACATGTCTGTTAAAATGTTCACAGTCCATTCAAAGTAGCTGTGTATAATCTTTGAAAAATGTGTTTGCGAAAATCTAGAGTAATTTTAAGCTATTGAAGATAATTAAGCTATCTTTTCTGAAGATGGCATGCTCATTAAAAATCTTCCTTGTACACTCCTCCCCATTCCTTATATTCACACCTGTAAAATACAAAGTGAACAGGTAAGATTACAAGTACAGATAACTATTTGTTAAGTGGATAATTCTTAATATAAAACAGGACAGTGTTTAATGTGATTCACAAATTGTTTCAAAATAATGCTGTAGACACAAATGATAGTATAGAGTACTGTTGTAGTACAGCATGATAGTAACGTTACTACTACTGGTAGAAGGGAGAAGAGGGCTGCGCAGGTGTTGGAGGAGGAGCAGCAGCGAAAGCGGATTAGAAACATATTCATGGCTCCAACTGCTTCCGAGTCCTTTGAGGGTTTCTCAGATTGTGAAATGGGGGAAGGAGATGAAAGCAGGGGAGTTAAGCGGGCTACTCGAGAACAAGAATCAGATGAGGAGATCCAAAGGAAGTGTATCCGTGATATACTTAGCTCTCCAACAGAAGATGAAGACTTTGTGGGTTTTGAAAGGAGTGATGGGACGGGGAGTGATGATGGGGAGGAGGATGCTTTAGACTGGACCCCTGTGCAGGAGATTAGGGACATCTGTACTCAGCCTACATCCAGTGATGACTTTGAGGGGTTTGCAGAGGACTGGATATCTGGGAACACTTGGGAAGACCTAAGTCTTGAAAGACGCTGGCAAAGGTGGAGAAATGGGCGTCAGTGCTCAGCTGCAGGGAATGGGGCAGCTGAAAGTGATGATGAAAGGGTGGGGAGCAGTTCATCCTCTGATGAGGAGTTATTGGATATAAGTTGGTTTGAAATCAATGGGTCTTTGCAGAAGGCAAAGTGTTTTGTCGGGTTTGGATCTTTGTTACTGCCATTACTCTCAAGTTTGGGTCCTTCGAACTGTTTTTGGACTTTGATTTTGCATGCTCCCACCTTGTTTTCTTGTGCTTTTTGCATCTTTTGAATTTCAAGCAGATTGCTGTAACGTTTTGTTATCCCAGATTATACTCCGGTATAATCCAGATTATATTTAAATTGGGTTTTTTGCTTAGTGGTTGCTATAGACTCTTAGTTTGTGCTAGAGGCACTGAGTTAAGTGTCTCTAAGCCTTTTTGTGTTTAATAAACCTTTGTTTGGACCTTTTTTTTTTACTGTCTTTGGCATTCTTGAGGCTTCTGGGTCTTGACAGAGTACTATAAGTTGGTTTCAATATCTAGGCATGTTATGGCAACTATATTAGGCCTCTCTTTTTATTAACAAGAAATAGCCTTTGAAAGAAAGCCATCCATTTTTTAATGGGTGGGGCAGAATCTTAGAAATGGAAGCGACTTTAAGGGCCATCCAGTCTACTCCCCAGCCACACAAGCATCCTGTATGAATCACTGCTGACATTAAATGTTTTCAAATTTTGATATCTTTCTATGTATTTTGATGAACAATTAATTTAGATCAGTGGTGCATACTATCCCCTAATCATCAAATTAAGTGTAGCATGCAAAATCAGATGCCTGTAGTTTTAAACTGTAGCATAGGTAAATGCTACTAGAGGTGTGTAAATGTCAATTTCCCTTAATTTAATTCATTTTCACAAAAATTAAATATTTCAGAAGTGTTCTCTTTCCTGGGGAACATTATATAAGTTTTTGTTTCATGTTCAAGTTTTAATATTGAGGCTCTTTTAATAAAAACATTGCTGAACAATGTTTTGTACAAATTCCCTGAATTTTGAGCAAAAACAAACAAGATTAACTTGTGCAAAACTATAATCTCTATGCCAAAAACCTCCTGTGTCTTTTTCCTATTACTGTTATTGATTTTCTAAAAAAAAACAACCAATAAATCTGTTTACTTTCCTAAAGGAGGAAATAAATAAATAAATAAATAAATAAATAAATAAATATTGCAAGGCAACTGAGTCTTTTTTGTGAAGTGTTTTATATAAATCATCATTTTTACTGAGGATAAACACTTTAATATTCTTTTTTACTTTATTTTTTATTAATTATTTAACACAAACAATCTCGTATATAATCAGAAAATATACATTCAAAAATAATGAAATGTGTCTAGGTCTGTATGCAGAAGGCAACTTGTACAAAATAAGTATAACATACTTTACCATTCACACGAGTTTAAGACATTTTGAAAGGAAAATCCATGCAAACTATTCCTAACTAGAACTGTTTTCATCTAGATAACAGCAATAATGCCATCAGCTACTTCTATCCCTCCCTCCCCATATCATATGCACCAAAAAAAAAAATATCCCAATGTATCTTTTTTTAAGGTAATTCCTTAATCTTCTTTACATTCCTATGGTAAATCTAAGATGCCAAAAGGATGGCCAAGTCAATCAACAAAAGATGTGCTGGCGAAACATATATCTATTCACAATGCTAAAGTAATAAGCATTGTTATTTATGTCTCTATTAGGGCTGAGCAATCAATTAAAAATATTTTAAAATTCATTACAAACTTAGGAATTCCAGTGTTTCATTTCTAAAGTGTTTCTAAAGTATCAATTTCATTACTATAAAGAGAGTAACGAAATTTTGTTACTTATTCATTATAATAATTTTGCAAGTGGGGAAACTTCAGGAGCTCTTTTCTCCCTCATTTTTACATCTATTGGGGTGAAACTTGCTACAATGGTAGAACACATTAACCACTATAAGCCCATAAAATTTCAGAATATTTCACTAATCTATGGATTTTGGGGGGAAATTTAAATTTTTTATAAACAATATCTTTAACAAAAACTACAAGAGCTATCTCCTTGAATTTTCTATACAATAACACAAAATGACAGGGTATCATTTCCCCCCAACTTTCAGAAATAGTCATACGTCTACTGATTTTAGGGAATTTCAGTTTTTTTTACAAAAACTTTTTTTTTTTAAAAAGTCAGAACAGCTATCTCATTGAACACCTTGTCTTTAACAGCAATATACTTACATATCATTCGCATCGTGGGTATTCAAATGTGCCATTGACACAGTGTACTCTGAATAGGTTAACATGCACAACTGGACTATAGCCCCATTTACAGGCAAATTCTGCTATATCCCCATCTTTGGAATATAGTTTTTCAGCCCATGACCACTTCAGCTTTATATTGTTACGTTCCATGTCTTCCTCACTTGCTGTACATGGGACTGCAGAAAAACACAGTTTATTAAAGTTTTTATAAATAGTAAAAGCAAAGGACTGAAATATTCAGAGCATATAGCCAGAAATACACAATAAAAGCACAGTTCTTTTATGAAAAAAAATCACCAAAAAGTAGAAAGAGATGTAGTGATATCTAAGATTGGTCAAAAATGATTGCTTCAAGAGATTAGAAAAATCGTGTTACTATAAGCTTGACACCTGTTAAAATAAATACATTTTGGCCTCCCAAAAATGTCGGAAAAATTAACATTTCTGTATTTTCCAAAAAGGATGACAAGCAGGGTATGGACTCCCCTGTGAATGTGTCATGTTCTGCAGTTGATGGTGGTTGATAATGTGCCATACCTAGCAATTAGTGGTGGTTAGTATATATAATGCTTGGTGACAGGTAATATATGATCATGATTAGTGGGGTGGTGATGCTGCAAGTTATGGAAGGGGTTAATATCCCCTCAGGTTTTGTAGGTCAGGGTATTCTGTCTGTAAGGTGGCAGCAATCAGGGTATAGGATACAGCTGTGATCTGCTACATAAAAAGAGCCTGGCTAGAGGATGCCTTTTGAGGAGAAAAGTATCTGATACTTGGCTGTGGGTGCTGGTAGTTTTTTCCCCAGATTGGTGGATGGTGTTATTCCTGACCTGTATTCTGAACTCTTGTGCTATAACTTGAACTGTGGTGATAATCTTATTGTGAATTCTGTTGCTGTTATATCTTGTCATGGACCTTGAGGTAACTTGAATCCTCAGACTGACTCTTGATTATGACTTTTGGCTCTCCCTTGAACTCTGGATTATCTGGTTTGATCTTTGGAACTACCACTACTTTGCTTTGTACTCTTGAACCTTAGATCATTACTCTGCGAATGCTTGGAGTTTGACTCTTGGACTGCAACTTGACTACTATTTCTTCTTGCTCCTGAACTAGCATTTATAGTACTCTCAATGTGACTTCAGCTGTGTGACTTCAGCTGTGTGCTATCCTTATGTTTGAATGTAGACCTGGAAATGGAAAAGTGTTTAATTTACTGTTGTAAGTAAAATATTTCTGATACAAGTCTGGTGTTGTTTGATTAACCTCTGCCTGCATACCGACAGAGACCTGGATCCGTACAGAATGAATTACAGGATCACATACCCAAGAGAAATCAACCTTTTCCACCCCAGCTGAAACCCAAGTTGGTATGCTCAACCATAAATCAAATGACAGCTGTTTTATAGTTCTGAAACTGACTAGCAGAACTTTCATGCCAAATGAAACAAAGGCTATCTTGGTTGAGCTGGGAAGAGAGGGAGGAATTGCATAAATACCAGCACTCTCTTTGCATCTCAATCCTATGATAGCATAATTTTCTCCATGTTCATTCATCTTCCTCTGTGAACAACTTGCAAGTGTATTCTGGACAAGGGAACATACTGTGCACCCAAACCTGCAATTCTAACTTGCAGGCATTCAGTTGTCAACCAACAGATAAACCATACTAAAGAATTTTCTTTTTAGCCAAATCAGTAAAAGAAAGGATAGAGATTAATACAGTACTAGAACCTGATCAGCCTTACACAAAGAGGTAGTAGTGTTATGCACGTTGGTGATTACACACTATTTCTGTGATGCATAAATCATGAATAAAACCTGCTTTTGAACATGTGTACTGCTGATTCATTTATGGTATGTAACTGAATTTGGTCTTTCTCACCTTCCTCTTTTTCCTATTGAGAGAAAGGATACAGTAGCCACCAGGATTACAATGGGAGCTCAGGAAAATAAATGCTTTCTATTGATAGAATATACAGTGAATTGTTCAGAACCCTTAGTATATACTGACTGACCTCATTCCTCCAAGGCAAACCTTCTTTAGTTAGTGGCCAATGATGCAAATTAAGATAAGGAATTGATCTACAGTATATTCTGGCGTATAAGACTACTTTTTAACCCAAGAAAATCTTTTCAAAAGTCAGGGGTCGTCTTATACGCAGGTGTAGTCTTATGCATGGGAGTCGTCTTAACTCTATATTTTAACTGGAAAAGTTGGGGTTGTCTTATACGCCCAGTCATCTTATATGCCGGAATATACGGTACTTAACTTCAGATCTTTAGCATATTGCACATTAGACTAATTTTTGTCATGTATCATGTTCTGCAGTTGATGGTGGTTGGTGGTGGTAGGACTAGCATTTGATGATGGAAAGGTTAAGTCTTAGTTCTAAAGGGTTGAGTAATTTGTAAGTAAGAGTTCATGGGTGAAAGCAATTAAGGGTGGAGATAGGCAAGAGATAGGATTCAGCTGGGTATTTCTGGATATAAGGAGCTAGCTTTGGGACTGATCTTTGGGAGAAAAGTATTTGTTTTATTTTGATGGTAGATGCTGCTGATTTTCCCCCAGGTTTGTGGATTTTCGGTATTCTGACCTGTCTCCTGTACTCTTGGAACCCTGGAACCTTGAATCTTGGACTGGCTTTTGACTACGGTATAGAATCTTGATCCCTGGACCTTGTTTATTGAACTCTCGATGTTTAACCACTGGATTGGACCCCTTGACTACAGTGCAGCATTTCCTATCAGTTTTTCTTTATTTTGTGGCTGAGTACTATCTTTATGTTTTATATTTTGGACTATTAAAACAGCCAGAAAGTAAGTGCTGTTTTAATTAAACTGTTTAACACAAATTGGGTATTTGTTTGATTCACCTCTGCTGGAAATAATGGCAAAGCCCTGGCATTGTGACAATTTTCAATATAAACTCCATTCTTTCCTTTGCAGATTGTACTGAATAAAAATACAAAGAAGAGGAATGTGCTAGCCCTGCAAATCCATTTCAGTTTTGTCCCTTTCATCATCTAGATGAGAACCTTTACTAAAAGGAGAGCTTCCGCTATATTCCCAATAGTAGTAAACAAAAGCAGGTTTTTCCAATGGAACTAAGAGTGTCATCTGTAGGAGAAACTCTCTAGCTCAGTCACACTGAACTCCCAATGAGGATGGAAATGGAGACAGATTAAGAGAATCCCTTCTGGTAGGGGTTCAACATGCTTCATGAGAAAATACATAGGACTACAATTATGATAGTTCAGTGACATGGGGAACCCAAAAACACAAATCCCATAAATCCAAGAACTATTTAACAGAAAGTCCCGCATTGCTATTTATCTTTCTGTACAAATGAGAAATACAAACCTATGGTATAAATCCCACCTTCCCCAGGATTACAGAAGTAATGAAAACTCTTTGTGAGAAATATAGAAGGCATATGAAGGCAGTTTAATCTGTGTATGTCTTACACCAAGAAGGAAACTACTACTGGTATATGACCTGCAACAGCTTTTCCAACTCCATAATTCTGAATGCATTGGATTGAATACTTGTAACATGAAATAGTTATAAGTATATGCTTCTATTATGTAGAATTCATATTTTTTATTGACTAGATGAATCTATTAAAGCCACAACACAGACATGAATTTATTTTTTTCTATATTAAACAAGATCTATACCATTAAATTTTATGAAGTCTTGAGATTATTCTCATACCTATGCACTCTGGGGTGTCCGACCAAAGGCCATCTTGACAACGTACTACTGCATTTCCTTTCATGTTGTAGAAACGTTGGCATTTGTATGTCACCCAATCACCCGATTTATATTCTTCTTTTACAAGTTCAATAAAATCTCCATTTTCAATAGAAGGTGGATGACCACATTTTCCTGTATTAACTTTAGAAAAGAATTGAACAATGAATCAGAAAACAGCTTTTTTTTCCTCAGTATGTAATTTTTTCTGGTGTGAAAATTGTTTATAGTTTATAAACTGTATGGTTTCAGAAATGCATGGGTTAAAACAATAGAGATATGTAGAATTGGTAGAATGTCACTTTTGGAGTTTCCTGGGCAAACTGGAAAAGAAGCTTGCAATGTACTTCGTGCATTGTGCCGATATGTGAACGGACAGGATAAGAGTTTGCTGGGTATATATTTTGTAAATAAAAATAAAGTGCAGTTTTCATTGAAAGCTGAATAGATGAGTCTGGTGTTCTTCCCACTTTGTGCCTTCAAGAAGAGCTTGCAAGGTCGAGGCAGTTGAGGTAAGAATGGTGATTTATCTCAAATTTTCCTGACATCTTTCCTCATAACATTCATTATGGTTGCAAATACTATGAGAATGTATATCCTTTCCCACTGTTACAAATATGAAAATGGAAAATAAGGCAAAACACTTGCCCAAAGACATATTTTTCCTTTTTAAGAATGGAAACCGAACCATGTGTGTTTGCTAATGAATCATGAACAATCAATTATAACAACAACAACAAGTGATGATTTACATTATTATTAAGAGTTCAAATAGACCACACAGTTGCTTTTGTGTACATAGGATTTCAACAAGTCTGCGTTTTGTTCACTTGTTTACTCCCAGTGTGTATCTTATTCCTATCCAGTGTTGGAAGATTAGTTTTAGTACCTATTATATATTAGTTTTTAGTAATAGCAAAAACATAGAATAGTATCAGTGCTTGCAATACTTCTACTTCTTTTCTAGCCATTCTTTTATTTTGCTCAGAACACTTGGAATTCTTGCCCAGGACAATTAAGCTCTGCCATTTCATATATAACCACCACTTTCATAAAGCCGTTAAGGCTTACTGATAGGATTCAGTCTGATCCAATTTTCATAAAAATTTGTGTGTATTTGTAGGTCTCTAAGACTGGAAATGAAAGTGCAGCCAATCTTTATTCAATTTATAAATTTGATTTCTGACAAATACATTTTTGTGGGGGGAGGGGGAAGCAGAACAGGTTAGATGTAGGGAATATGAATTTCCCTAAATATCTAACTCAATATTTAATTTTTGAGCCATTGGATTACACCTACAGTTGCATCAATTGTTCATGCATGAGTGTTATAACAAACCAGGAAGTTTCTATTATCAATAGTCTCCAATTCTATGCACAAGAGAAAAGTCAAGCTAACTGTTTCAAAACACGATATGATGTCAAGCATCAGTAATGAAGTAGGCTTGACATCTTAGATTCTTCCAGATTCATTAATCATAGGTTTCCAACTTAAATGTTAGAATAATCCCGCCAAGATATAACCTCTCAAGCGTATTTGTTTAGGATATCCAAATTTAACCTTCAGTGCAATTTTTTCAATCGACACACACTCAATCTACGCACATTTATCAACCAAAAATAGGCCGACAACCTGTTAGCACTTTATACTAAGGCCTTCCCCCTATGAGTACTTTAAACAATTTTATAATACAGAAGGTAAGGCAAGATGTGGAGTTCCATGGGGTCAGTGTTTTCCATCCGTTTTCATTATAGTATTCAGAGATGTAGAAAAAGGGGGAGGTGTCTCAGGGGCCACGAGAGAATATTCCCAGCCCCTGGGTTGACTCCACCCACAAATAGTCTCTGTAACCAAGATGTCAGGCCCTCCAAGCTGAAAGTCCTGCTGCTTAATGCCAGGTTGGTGAATGGAAAAACATTCACCAAGATTTAATATTGGATGAGCATGCAGACCTAGCCTGCATTACTGATGGGGGGTGGGGTGCAAATCTCTCCCAACTTTGCCCATCAGGTTTCAGCGTGCAGCAGCCGGCCAGATCTGGGAGTGGGGAAAAGGGGTCGCAGTGGTCTATCAAGACTCCATTGGCCTGGTCAGGTGTCCAGTCCCACAGTCAACCACATTCCAGAGTGCCCATCTAAGGGTGAGTGGCCAGGACAGAACAGGGATTCTGTTGGTGTAGTGTTCACCCTGCTATTTATTTATTTATTTATTTATTTCATTTACTTATACCCCGCCCTTCTCACCCCGGGGGGGACTCAGGGCGGCTTACAGAGGAGGCACAATTAGATGCCTAAATCAATTGACAGCAATACAAAATACAAAGAAGCAATTCAACAGTTAAATTAAAACATCAGTGCATAAAAAATATTAAGACAATCTCATGCTCGGGTTCAGAGTCCATATATCCATTCCATTCCATTTGTCCTTGTTTATCGTCAGATCCTTAATTTAGTTGCCAGTGTGTCCAAAGGCTTGATCCCAAACCCTACACAGCAGTCTCCCTGCCTGAGCTATCTGGGGTGGTCTCAGGGCCTGGTGTTGGAGTCTCAATGGTAGTAGTGCTGAGGGAGTTCAACATCCACACCAAAACCTCCCTGTCAGGAGTGCCTCAGAACTTCATGGTTGCCATGACAACCATGGGTCTGTCCCAAGTGGTTTCTGGCCCAACCCATAGCACTGGACACACTCTAGACCTGGTTTTCTGTTCAGAGTGGGATGATGGTGATGATGGCAACAAACTGCCCAAGAGAGCTGTTTCAAGTGACCAAGGCACTCTTAAACCTTGCTCAGCCAGGGATCCCTGATCAATTGACCGTTCATTGTGAGGAATTTGTTAGGTCAGTGGTTCTCAACCTGTGGGTCCCGAGGTGTTTTGGCCTACAATTCCCAGAAAGCCCAGCCAGCTCACTAGTTGTTAGGATTTCTGGGAATTGAAGGCCAAAACATCTGGGGACCCACAGGTTGAGAACCACTGTGTTAGGTTCTTTGCAGATAAAGTCACTCGGATCCACTCCGACATTGACACCAGTATTAATGCAGTCTCAGTGGATGTAACTGACACATCTGTTTGTCATGGTTCTATGGATTGGTTCTATGCAGTTCTATGCAGACTGAGGTTCTATGCAGACTGAGGATGTAAACAAGATCATTGGAGGAATGAGACTGGCCACCTGTTCTCTGGATCCTTGACCATCCTGCTTGTTCTTTGTTTGTGTGTTTCATTTTATTGTTTTGTATTGCTGTTGTTGTTGTTTTTGCTGATGTATTGTTCAGCCTCATGTAAGCTGCACCGAGTCCCTTGGGGAGATGGTAGCGGGGTACAAATAAATTATTATTATTATTATTATTATTATTATTATTATTATTATTATTATTATCCTTACTCATTAAATTGGCAGCAGAGGGAGGGAGGGGGGACTGGCAGAGTGGACAAAGGTGCTGGTAAATGCTTCCCTGACCCAAGGTAGAATGCCTACTAATTTCAGGGACTCTTGTAGAAGAAACCAGCACTGAATTCCACTCAATTGAGTAATTACAGGCCACTATACAATCTCCTCTTCCTGGGCAAGGTTCTAGAGAAGGTAGTGGCCTCACAACTCCAAATGTTCTTGGATGAAACTGATTATCTAAATCCATCTCAATCAGGTTTCAGGCCTGGATAGAGGACAGGGATGATGTTGGTCACTTTGATGGATGATCTACAAAGAGAGCTAAATAGGGGGATCGTGTCTTTACCACTTCTTTTGGACCTAACAGCAGCTTACGATACCATTTTTGGAGGCACTATTCTACAGTGGCTCTGGCCCTTCTTGGAGGGTTGAACCCAGGAGGAGGTGCTAGGAGGTGTTCAACTCCCTGGCCGGTAGCCTGTGGGGTCCCTCAGTGTTCAATTCTGTCCCCCATGCTGTTTAACATTTACATGAAACCGCTGGGAGAGATAATATGGAGTTTTGGAGCAAACTCAAACCAACTCAACTCATATTTTCTTAATGAAGAAATGAAGTAGAATCCAAACTTCATGCTTGCCAAATGTAGTGGAAGAGTTTGCTGATTAAAAACAGTTTCGGCCCAGTTTACCTGTCCAAACGTATCTTCCTCTACGAATCAACAAGGATGTTAAGATCATCCAGGGAGGCCCTGCTTTTGGTCCCACCACTTTTACAGAAATGAGTGGTGGGGATGAGAGACAGGGCCTTCTCCGTGGTAGCTCCTTGGCTGTGGAATTCCCTCCCCAATGACATTAGGTCTGCCCCCTCCCTCCTGACCTTTCATAAAAAACTCAAAACCTGGCTATGGGATCAAGCATTTGAACAATAGATGGATTAACTGGGAAGAGAATGTTTTAGTTACTGCAATGAATTGACCTGGACTGTGATTTTGAACTGGTGAACTGTTTTAATATGGAATGTTTATCATTATGTTTAATTGTGCTAATTGTAACTATGATTTTAATGTACTGTGTTGGCATCTAATAGCTGCCTGTTGTAAGCTGTTCCGTAAACCTCTTCAGAGGTGAGAAGAATGGGATATAAATGCTCAAAATAAATAAATAAATACATAAAATGAAATCTGTACTAAAATACATATCTAATGTATTTAAAGAAATACAGACAGAAAGCATATATTAGGAGAAATATATGTGTACATTTATGCAAAGCTTTTAACCAAAAATTTTAAATCAGTAGTGATACAGAATGAATTTGTGCATCAACACAGTTTGAAAATTGTACAAACCAAATCACAGGATTCTTCATCTTTAGTTTGGCAAGAAAGAGCATTTACTCATAAATCAACAATATTGGAAAAGGCAAACAGTAATCTAACCCATATTGTGCTCTGAGGCATGGACTCCAAAATGAGCTTGTATCAATCCATGCAATTCAGACAAACTATAAATATATTATCACAAAGTACAGAATCACATTGATTTATCCAAGCCTTTCAAACACCTTCATGCTAGGAAAAATGAGAGATTATTGGGGAAAATGTTTCTCAAGTTATAACAAGCTTGGACTAGAAGAATCCTGGATTGATGTGAATTTTAATTTAGAGATTTATTCTCTACAAAAATTGCATGTGCAATTTGCCACACACAACACGCACAGAAAAACTGTACAAAAAGATCATTTTTGTGCAGGACTAGGCCTGGGTAACAACGCAAAAATTTGTTTCTAAAATTGATTCGTTTTTGGTTTTTTTTTTGCGTTTTGTTATTTAAAAGAATTACAAAATTTTCCTTTAAAAAAGTTCGGTATTTACGAAATTTCGTTATTATTAATGAATCAATTCGTTAAGATGGCGGACATGCGCAAATCACTTTTTTTTCTTTTTTTAGAATATTTTTTGAATTTTTTTAAGAATAAAAGAAATATATTTATCAGAAATATTTAAAAATGGAAAATTAACAAAATGCTTGCCCTGTTGTGGAGCAAACACACCCACAGGACAGGGACAAACACACACACAGGCACACAAGGTTTTTTTCTTTTTTTAGAATATTTTTTTCTTTTTTTTAAGAATAAAAGAAATATTTATCAGAAATATTTATGGAAAATTAACAAAATGCTTGCCCTGCCCTGTTGTGGGGCGAAAACAGGGCAAAGCCTCCCCGCTGCTCCCAGCAATGAATGAATGAATGAATGCAAGCACAAGCAATGAATGAATGAATGCAAGCAAGCAATGAATGAATGAATGAATGCAAGCAAGCAGCCAAGAGCCAACCAAGCCTCCCTCCCGCACCTCCCGTCTCCTTCGCAATGAGCAATGCGGCCACGCGGAGCCGCTTTTAAAGGGCAGCCCGCCCAATCACAATAAGCCACGGTGCTTGGGAGCGCCGGATTGGCTCCCGGCGCACCCAGCATCCTCCATCCCTAAAACGTCATTTCCGAAACGGGCGGAAGCTCGTAAAAAAGATGGAGGATGCCGTTTCGATATTTAAAAACACTTCCGGGTTTGAAAATAAGTTTTGTAATCGTTTTGTAATTGTTAAAAATAACGAATATTTAACGAATTACAAAATTAACGAACGAAACCGCCCAGGCCTATGCAGGACACATATTTTCTCTGTCAAAAATAACATTTCAACACAGAAATATTAATTTAGGTATTGAAAAATTTGTTTTCTGTGCAGGAATCAGAAGTAATTGGACACGAAATAATTTGCAAAAATGTGTTTTCCTGCATAGAAATATGAATGCTGACCTCAGCTATCGATTTCTGCAAACAAGACTTGAGCATTCTTGCAATCCTGGATAAGAGACAAAATGGAAAGCAGGTCATTCTATGCTACATCAGTTGAACTACATGTCGGATGAACTGACCTCAAGTTGGTAGGTCGTCTTTAGCCATTGCTAAAAATCATAGGAGACTTTTCCTATCACTTTTGAGAAGCTATTCAAGAGTCTACATAGATAAAAAAAAGAAAACTTCCATTTTATTTTGTACCTCACTTTCAAGATATATCAGAATGGAATCAAATACCTCTGCATTGGGGTGCTTCTGACCATTGCTTCTTCAAACACTTTACTATACGAGATCCAGAAATATAGTAGCCATTGCCACACTGATACTGCACGCTTTCATTAGGCGAATACTTTGGTTTTCTATTTCCTCGAAGCCAACCATGCAGAATGTCAGGTGGAGGCGGACAACTCATATCTAAAATGTTGGAGAAAACAATCCTTGAAAGATCATTTGAAAAACTAAAACAATATCTGTACATTTGTAATGTCTGTTTTTCTGAAGCCTTGCATCAGCAAACCTCCTCCTTCCTTTAACAGAATTGGATTTAATTTCCAGGCCTTTTAAACACATCTTTCAACTATCCCAATCTGAAAAGAACATTCCCTGTTAATCTTTTGCCAGCCCACTTTTTCAGTTGCTTTTGAAATGTGTTTCCCCCCCCCCCCCCCCCCGGTCCACTCATCTTCCACTTACTTCAATTGCTGCAAACTTAGCTTATAGTATAAAAGTAGTTTGCACTCAATTTGTTCAGCAAGGGTTTAATCTTGCCCTTTCCCTGAAGATTCAGCCAAAAGCAAACTGCAACGTTGTTGGACATGTAGGATGAGCTGACCTCATTCGACATGTCACATGTAACCTAGAGTCACAACTGTTTCATATGCAAAAGGGAACCTGTTTCTGCCTGTCATGTTAAAAGTTTTTCATGGAAGGGAGTAGAAAAGTTCTGGACAACATGGAACAGCCCCAGTATCCACATAAATTACATCAGCTGCTTTCTAGTAACTAGGAACTGGGAAGATTAGGAAGGAAGTCATCGCATAGCTGCATAATTATGATGCTTATACATTCATTATTTCCCAATGGAATGACCATGAATAGTTACTGAAATAGTAATCAGTTATGAGTATTGAGCATCGGGAGCTAGTCTGAAACTAAAAGAAATTGTTCAAGGACAGCAGCAGTCATGATATTAGCACAGTACTGGTCAATGAGTCTTGTACTAGCCATGTATGCCAACCAATACATCTCATCAATGGGAACAATGTTATTATCCGTCCCCTCCTAATACAGGAAGAAAGAATTGCCTGTGATGAGAGATGGCTCACTTAGAATAGGAATTCACATGGGAATTCAGTAAATGGATTCCTCTTAGGGTGGTTAGTTTTTGTCATTTGTCATTTCTATTTGTCCTTCAAATGTAATAGTGAGATGTGCCTCTACCTTCACATCAGAAATAGTTAAACATGAATTAGAAGGTTGGAGAACCCTGTGTCTCTTGTCAGAGTGCTGCAGAAGCTTTTGAAGCTCTGAAGAAATGGACGCTTGAGACTTCAGTATAAAACAGATATTCAGCTTTACTAAGCAGCTCAAATATACAGCATACACCATCAGTAGACAGACAGGAACAAGAACAAATTACTAACACACTCACTGAAACTATAAGGACTTATCTCTGTATCCTCCCTACTCCCTACTCACTGGAGGCAACGCTCAGGGTCGCATCTTCACAGCTTATTAACTCTACTGTTTAATCCTTTCTGTGTCAGAATTCTCTCTGGCAATACAATCCTGTTACAATCACAGCCATTGTACATAAAATTACATTTAAACACACACTATACATTAATTTTACACTGACATCTCTTTCCTTCCAATCCCTTCCATTTTCCTTTCTTTTTCTTCTCAATGCTTACCACTGAAACTTTGCAAGAGGATGTGGAAATATTCATCCATACCTTCACATGTTGGTGGTTTTGACCATTCCTGATTTTCACACCTTATAGTATCTCGTCCAGATATTTCAAAATCTTTATGGCATTCATAATGCAGTTCTTGACCAGGAAGATAAATGTTGTCTCTGTTCACCACAATGCTGTCTCTGTTCTCCACAATATCACCATTAGCAACCAGAGGAGGTTCTCCACAGGTTACATCTAAATGGGGAGATGACACAAATAAGAAAGACCTTTATGATAGTTTTATAAAAAATACTGTCTCATTATAATGAAGAAAAATAAAGATTCCAAAGTTGTTTGGCAAAAAAATGTCTACAGTGCCTGATTGTCAATATGTAGCAGTGCAAGTAGGATCCCAATGAATTGATTTTGCCATTCTTTGGTGCACATACATTTAAAGTTTGAAGTATGAACAGATGCAGATTGGTGGATGAGGAGCATAGGAATCTGCTCTATGTCCCATTTTAAAATTGCTTGGAAAGGGCTAATGTAACAATGACAGCACATGAAAGAGAAATAGAAAATATTTGTTTGAATTTGTATGCTGAATGCTATGTGAAAGATGGGTTGGTTATTATGGTTATTAAGCATCTTAGAGAGCTTCCAGACAGTGCCAAAAATCTGTGCCAAAGCAGGGTAAAAAACCCGTTTTGGTGCTAATTTCCATCCCCATCCCTAAAAATCTAGGCTTTCTGGGGGGTTTCTAGATGCCATCCCGGCAACTACCAGACTGGCATCCAGCCACCCTGAAGCCCCTGAACAAAACAAGCTTTAAAAATTTAAAAACTTATCGGGCTGCTATTAAGGTGGTCCTTGCATCCTCTTGGCATATAGGACCCAGGAGGAGGGGGATGAGAAGGAAAATTTCTCTTTGACCCTCCGCTCTCCTCGCACATAATTTCTATGGACCAAGAGTACTGAAGGATCTCCTTAATGACAGTCCAGTAAGTTTTTCTAATTTTAAGGCTTATTTGGGGGGGGGGGCTTGGCGGGAAGGGGGGGTGCCATCTCCAGGAGTCTGAAAGGTGTGAGATGGCAAATGAAAACTGATCCCCAGAGAGTTCCAGTTGGTTCTGGAACTACTCAGATGTGAGTCCCCATAAGCCCAATACCCCATTAGACCCATGCTTTTTAGAAAGGCCTGGATCTAATGGGGGTATCTAATAGGCTTGGGTAACCACGGAAAAATTTGGTTCTAAACTCGTTTCGTTTTTAGGGGGCCTTTGCGTTTCGTTTTTTTTAATAATTCTGAAATTTTCCTTTTAAAAATTTCGAAATATATGAAATTTTGTATAATTATGAATCGATTCGTTAATGGCGGACACGATTGCGCAATATGCTAAAAAAAAAAAACCTCCAAATGGGACAGGGGGAACTTCTGAAGCTTCCCTCTCCCTCTGTTGTTGACTGTTGGTGTGATAAAACAAACAACAACTATAAAACTTGCACCAGACATGCGAAAATAATTACAAAATAATTACGAAATAATTACAAACTAATTACGAAATAATTACAAAATAATTATGAAATAAATTGAAAAAATGTTTCGAATCTAATTTACTCCTCACACTATTCCTGCATGGCTCAATATTGGATCGTAAGCTAATTTAAATACGAATTAATAACGTATTACGAAATTAACGAACGAAACCGCCCAAGCCTAGTATCTAATTAATTTGGATGAAACCAGAGAAACCGTGTGGAAGGGTTCCAATCTGCCTATGATGCACTACATAAGACCTCTTCCAGTATACACACTTAGAACACACATTAGTTCATATCACCTCCTGAAATCACAGTGGTGTCTAGTATTCAACTGCAAAGATGAAAGGAACCACTGAGAGCAGGAAAACTGCAGAAAGCTCAGCAGATGTCATTCGTAACAATTTTGCAATCATTTTTGAATTTACCTCTGAGTAAGGGTTTCCCCAAGCTTTATGACTTGGATCCAAAGAATCATGCAGTTAGCAGGATATCGGGCAACACATGTTGTTTTGAACATGAACACTTACACAAAGGAACATAGAAGGGGCATTCATGAGCCCCCTACTTTTCACCTTAGCTATTCAACTTCAGTATGGCAGCACATAAGTAGTTTGAGAAGTGTCAGTGAGACCAAGAGAGAGAGAGAGAGAGAGAGACAGAGACATACCTTCACAGGTGGAAGATTCTGACCATTCACCTCTTTGGCATGTCAGAATCAGTGGTCCTTCAGCAGCAAAACCAGGATGGCACTCATAATTCACTGTTTCCCCAGATTGATATCTGTTTTTTACTTTTTTAGTGAATGAAGCATTGTCAATGAGAGGGGGCTGGCCACACATCTTTTCTGAGAGGATAGGAAAGTGAAAATACAACATTAAGAACAAGTTACTATACCTGTGACAAGATTTTCCCAAGACAACACAGATAGATTAATCTTTTTTAAAGAATATTTATAAATGTAATTCAACAGACACAATTAGTAATACAAAGAAAGCAAATGCAAATAAAATAGTATGACAATACATTAATAGTAAACAGAAAACAAATTCCATTCCTAGAAAAGATAAATTCTTAATATATATTTTAAAAGAAAAAGAGCATTTTAGAGAAGATATTTTACTTTTAGATCATAGATAAATGATAACCAACATATCCAGATGGCAGCACACATACATATTTTCCAGTAAAGTGGCAGGGTAGCAGTTTCTAAGTTCATCATGGTTTCCTCTCTAAAGGTATAGTAGCTGATTCCTCATACTGGTAAATCCAGTCTTTTTCCTTTTCCTTTTCCTTTTCCTTTTCCTTTTCCTTTCCTTTTCCTTTCCTTCCTTCCTTCCTTCCTTCCTTCCTTCCTTCCTTTCCTTCCTTTCCTTCCTTTCCTTCCTCCCTTCCTTTCCTTCCTCCCTTCCTTTCCTTCCTTTCCTTCCTTTCCTTCCCTTCCTTCCTTTCCTTCCCTTCCTTCCCTTCCTTCCTTTCTTCCCTTCCTTCCTTTCTTCCTTTCTTCCTTTCCTTCCTTCCTTTCCTTCCTTTCCTTCCTTTCCTTCCTTTCCTTTCCTTTCCTTCCTTTCCTTTCCTTCCTTTCCTTCCTTTCCTTTCCTTCCTTTCCTTCCTTTCCTTCCTTTCCTTCCCTTCCTTTCCTTTCTCTTCCTTTCACTTCCATTTCCTTCCTTCCGTCTTTCTTTCTCCTCTTCTATCTCCTTCCTTCTGTTAACTTTCCTTCCCTTCTCTTCACTTCCATTCCTTCCTTCCATCTTTCTTTCTTTCTTACATTCCTTCCTTTCCTGCTTCCACTCACACTTCTTTCCTTGTATCCTTCTACATTTCTTTCCTTCCCTTCTTCTTCCTTCCTTTCCTTTTTCCTTATTCCTTCCTTCCCTCCTTTTGTCTCCCTTCCCTCCTTCCTTCCCTCCTTCCTTCCCTCCTTCCCTTTCCTTCCTTTCCTTCCTTCCTTTCCTTCCTTTCCTTCCTTCCTTTCCTTCCTTCTTTTCCTTCCTTCCTTTCCTTCCTTTCCTTCCTTCCTTTCCTTCCTTCCTTCCTTTCCTTCCTTTCCTTTCCTTCCTTTCCTTTCCTTTCCTTCCTTTCCTTTCCTTCCTTTCTTTCCTTCCTTTCTTTCCTTCCTTTCCTTTCTTTCTTTCCTTTCTTTCTTTCCTTTCTTTCCTTTCTTTCTTTCCTTTCTTTCTTTCCTTTCTTTCTTTCCTTTCTTTCTTTCTTCTATTGGATAGCATAGGGAAGGGTTATCACCCCTGTAACATATATTTTGCTGTCTGTGCCCCTGTTCAGAATATCTGTTGAGACTCAGCGTCCTGACACCGTATCTACTACTGGGTGTAGGAGGAGAAGGAGTGATGCTGAGTCAGACCTGGATCAGCGCCAGCTGAAGCGCATTCGTGATATCTTTTTGGCTCCGACAGATACAGAAGACTTTGCAGGGTTCGGCCCTGAGGATGTAATGGAGACAGATTACCGGGGAGTAAAGCGGGTGGCCAGTGAGTCTGACAGTGATAGTGATACTCTGTCCAAAAGACTTAAAGACACAGCAGGCATTTCCAGTTCTAGTGAGGATGAAATGGAGGAGGAACTAGATTGGACTCTGGTTCAGAACATTAGGGACATATGCGCCCAACCTACATCCAGCGAGGAATTCGAAGGGTTCCAGGATGCTTGGGAGGAGGGTTCTTCTTGGCAGGATCAGGCCCTGGAACAAAGATGGCAACATTGGAGGGACCAACAGGATGCAGCTGCAGGACATGAGTCAGACACAGATGCGAGCGATGAAGCTCCATCAAGCGATAGCAGTGATGCATAAATTGAGGATGTTGGGAGATGTTACTTTGCAGAAGACAAAGTGTTGCTTATGTGCTTTGTGCCTGCCTAATTCTTGTTTGAGTTTCCTGGTATCCAGTTTTCCTGCCTTGTATATCCAGTTTTCCTGCCTTGCATATCTGGACCTTGGAATCATCTTTCGTGAGTGTCTTCATCGTGCTTTCGACCCTGGAATAATCTTGGACCATGCCTTTGCTTATTGGACTTCGTTTCTGTTTAGAACTCTGTTACATTAAGAGACTATTTTGAGTTAGCGTTTGCAATACGCTTCTGTTTACTTCGGTTTCCTTTTCGGCTGAGCTCAAGCCTGGAAGATCCGGATTACTGACTGTTTATTTACCTGCCTGAAGGTTCCTTTGAGTTGCTAATTTTCACTGCTGTTAAGTGCCTCTTTTGTTGTACCTCATTAAAAACTATTATTAGCATTTCAATTGCTGTGAAAGACATCTGTGCTCTAAGTCTCAATATCTCTTCCAGGATTGCCATACCCTTCTGAGGGGTAGATTTATCTCACTTCTTATGTCTCACACCCCATTTGTAAGTCAAATGCTTATAACTTGGGGACTGCCTGTACTCTGCTCTCTTTACCCCTACAGAATCCACATTTTTTTCCTGCCAGAGACATGAGGGTAGGTGCTAATGATATCCAGAGATTCAATAATATCAATTGCAAGGCAGAATCATGATGCTGCAGTGCTAGATGGGAAAGGGAGTATCCCAACAAAGTCATGTGAGAAACCTTATTTACACACAGTACTGAAAGGATGTGGTAGGATATATCATTGGACGTTATTAACTACGAATCATTTGTAAGTGGGATGTTTGTAATTCAGGAACTGTCTGTAAATACATCGCATTTCAGAAACTTCTGAAATGAGTGAACATGAACATAAGGTTTCAACCCAGATTGACATGATCATTCTGCACAATAAAGTTCCAAAGTCTTACAAAGAGGGTGTAAGAAATGCAATAGTTATGAAGATGACTCATTGCTGAATAAATATTTTCAGAATTACCTACAAGACATTTATTTTTAAAAAGCTTTCTCCTTGGGAAGTAGATTATGTGATTTTTTTTTTAATTGCAAATTTTTGGGGGTTGTTTTTACATTTGAGAAACCTTTGGCAGAAAAAAGTTGCACCATAAAAACAAACAGTAAAAATTTGTATTTTGTACAAATAGAATATATCTGCAAAACAAAAACATATTTTTTTAATAAAAATACTATGTTTTTGCATTTCTGCAAATATCTCAACATATCTCTGTGTATGAAGGAATCATGGGGAAAATGTGAAAAAAATCTTGAGCAAAGGGGGAATATTTCTTCTTGTCAAAAGCAAGATTTGCAAATATTCCTTATATATTTTTTATTCTTGGGGCACTACAGAGAATGTTTGAGCCTTTCAAAAGCTATAAATTATCAGTATTTTTATGAACTCCTTTTAGTTCCTTGCCTCATATCTTCCTGGCACAGGGACAACAAGACTTATGCAAAAGTATGCAGTATTTTTCATCTTTGAAGAGAAGCACATTTAATTACCTTTGCAAACTGGAAGTTTCTGCCACTTAGCATTTCCACATGTTGCAAACGAAGGTCCACTGATTTCAAAACCTTCAAGACAATGATATTCCACAGTTTCACCGGGAAGATATTTGTTCTGGGAAAGATTTTCTACTTCACCATTGTCAATTGAAGGGGGATGTTCACATCTTTGATCTGAAAAAAGTGAATTTATACCATACTGATTGCAACCACATAGTGAATGTAACCAGACAAAGAACACTTCCATTTATTAAGCCAGCTCTCACTTATTCGAATAGTAGGATGTTCAGAAGGGAACCTTTATGAAGCCAAAGTATTTTGGAGAAATGTGAAGACTTATACTATTTCTATGATATTTGTCTAATGGTAAATGTTCACGTTAAGGATAGTAGACCAGTGTGATGAAGCATTGATTTTTAACTGTAAGTTAAGCAAGGTTATGTATATGTGTCTCTACAGTTAAATATGATTGTACATATATGTATATGCTTAGATGGTTGAATATTATTATATGTATGTGTTCAGGAGGTAAAAGACAGTTATGGATGTACATAAAGGGTTAACCATTTAGAAATGGCAGGGGGATGGGACCAAGCTCAGCACTCTGAGTTAGGTTGCCATGGAGAAACCTACTGCACATACCAGAGGCAGACATTTTGAGGCTTCAGTCTTTTGGTCATCGAGCTAAAGGGAAGGTGGTTCAAACATGTGGTGAACAAAAATAAGGGAAAGCTTTTAGCCTGAGTGATTTAATTAAGTTAAGGGGACTTATTTAGGTTTGTGGTTTAGCTGTGTGCTAATAGGAGAAGAAATCCCACTGGGAATCTTTACTTCAGCAGGAAGCTGAAGGGAGACAAGGGCATTAGCTGACCTTAGTTAATCTGTCAAATAAGGAAACATATTAAGAAGTGTAACAACTAAAGTTCTAGTTGGTGAAGTAAAAGGCATCCTAAAATTATATTAAGATTTGTTGAAACTGTAACTCGTGGAGCTTTATACCAATCAGAGTCCTGGTTGACTGTTTCCATTCTCCTCCCCTCTTGTAACATGTGCATGTGACTTCAATTCCCAGAATCCCCTCTTGTGGTTGGTGAAATGTGCTGAAACTTGGTAGGCTTGCAGAAGTAAATCTAGCCTATAAGTGAGGTGTGTTTCATGCTGATAGGCTTAAAAATGGGGGGGGGGGGATGAGCATCTAAAGTTTCTTCTTTGATGGCAATGGACAAAATCTTTTTGGCATGAAAAAAGATTCCCTAAAAATGGAATGGGGCGGGGAAGGGTAGATGAAAACCAGGCACCTAAAACAGCATGGGTTTTTGCTGAATTACACATCCCTAGTACTGAGTTGATATATCCAAAAGCAAGTTCGAGTTACTTCAATAAGATTTGTTCCTATAAGAAAGTCTGCTCAGAATCAAAATATATTTTGCATTCCTTCGCTATTTCTAGATATGGCCATAATCCTAATTGTACTTAAATGAATTTTACACAGAAGGGACTAGTTGACAACCACGATACCTCATTCTCTCCCTTCACTCATTAAGACTTACTAAGGAAATAATTTGCTGTTGTACATTCCCTGCTTACAGGAGCAATAGCAAGTGAAATGGATGCTGAAGTAAAAACACCATTAAATAAATAATAACACAAGACACTCAGATTATTTATTCAATAACTTTGTGTGCATAGGAAACGAATTTTCTTCTGAGATCCTAAACCAAAACTGTGAATTCTGCAGCCCTCCAATTGCTTCTCCTCTACAACTGTAATTGTTTCTATTTGGTAATGTTAGCTGGCACTACTGTTGAACAATATCTGAAGCTGTACCACTGCCGTGCTTGACCTAGACAAAATCATGATGACATAATGGCAACAGTCTTGGACAGCAATGGCTCCCAAAGTGACCCATTTAAGGTAGAATCAAGTGTTAAACAGGGATGTGTTATTGCCCCAGCCTTATTTTCCATCTTCATCGCTATGATACTTCATCTTGTTGATGGGAAGCTTCCCACCGGAGTGGAAATTATCTATTGAACAGATGGAAAGCCATTTAACCTCAGCAGACTGAAAGTCAAAACCAAGGGCACAACAACATCTGTCATCAGCATACCAATATGCTGATGACAACTCTGCACATTCAGAAGAAGACTTACAAGCCACTCTAAACACCTTTGCAGAAGCAGAGAAGCTCAGCCTATCATTGAAAATTGAGAAAACCAAAGTGCTCTTCCAGCAGTCACTAACCAACCCATCTGCAATGCCTGAAATACAGCTTAATGGTGTAATGTTAGAAAATGTTGACCATTTCCACTACCTTAACAGCCTCCTCTCCACAACAGTCAACGTTGACACTGAAATACACTGTTGGGAAAAAAATGCTGGACTAGATAGTTATTCAGACTGATTAGCAGACCTTTTAAATGATTATCGTTAACTTTGTAGGAATAGAATACACAAGACCTATGGTAATTTTTTTTCAGGAAAGTTATTAAAATCCTCCCTTTGAGATAAAACTTTTACAAAAATGCATATTTGAAAATAATAATTGGCCAGAGTTGGATTGAGAGTAAGGAATCTGGCAGATGTGGTTTATACTTAGAAAAGGGAGATGGCAAAACAGTGGAGCCTAATGTAGAATCTAATGCTTTTACACACATTTCACAAAAGCACCACACAGGCATACAAACAGCAAGTAAAGGGCTAAAAGATATGCCATCAGATCCAAACTGGTTCAGGTGAACCTCTCTCAGATCTCTTTGGATAGACCTCATCATGTTTTTTTTCTTGGTTTTCCATCAGAAATCCCTATCTACTAGCAAACCTTGCCATGGGTAAAATGGGGGCAAAAACAACATTTTGTAACATTTCTATAAATATAATGTTGTACTATTTAGTTTTGAGCAGAAATGTTATGGCTAAGAAGAGGTAATTCACACATAGTTAGACATGGACATTATTAAAGAAATAATATAACACACACACACACATACATATGTATAACATATACATATACATATCTTACAGAGATAATATATTACTTTGCTACATTCTCTCTTATACTTTTTCTCTTGTCATTCAGTTTCTTTAAGCAAAGGCAAACATCAAAACATCAATACAAACCAATACAGCGTGGTGGAGTCTGCCAACGTCCATATTCACATGATATTTTTGGAGGTCCTTGAAGAAGAAAATGTTCCATGCAAGTGAAGCCAACCTCTTTGCCATTTTTATAGTTTCTTGTTTCTGATATATTGATAGCATTTGGAAGCTGTGGTGGTGGTGGGCAGAGTTCTTTAAAACAAATGAAATATTTTACATATAATTGAATGATTCAAAACTGGTGAGAAATTTCTTGTAATAGAAGAATATTTGATGATTCCATAAAAAGCGAAATAAGGAGGCTGTAAGGCCTAGGACTCTTTTGGTCCAGGTCTAGCAGAGAAACATGAAGTAGTGGTGCTTTCATTTTGCTGCGTTTATTTTATTACTCTTGATATCTCCTGCTTTGTGACTATTCTTTGTGTCTCAGAAAAGTATTATAAAAGATTTATTGTATTAAAGAACCAGTTGAAATATATGATAAAAGCCAAGAACTTATTAAAATCAATCAAAACATACCTGTGCATTCAGGTTCAGGAAACCATTTTCCATTAACACACTTTGTCTCATGCTGGCTAACACCACAGATGTAGCTTATAACCGTGTTGTTGTCAAAATACATTGAATGAGGAACTCGTGGTCCAAACTTTATACCTTCTGGCCTTTTACATTTTTCTGCAAAATGATATTGTCAAAAAATATTCAACCAGAGATTTTTCAAGTAACAAATATTGAATGTCAGCCATTTACAATGAAAAAAAATATGTAACTTGAAACTTTTAGTGGAACTCTTCATGTTTTGAAATGCTATATAATTCTGGTACCAAACAGTGCTGAGAGGAAGTCCAGAGATTTTTCAAGTAACAAATTTTGATTGTTATCCATTTACATTACAAAAGAAGTAAATTGAAAGTTTGATTGGAACTCTTCATGTTTTTGAATGATTTACAGGAGGCATCTTTCTGACACCAAATAGTACTGGGAGGGAGGCCAGAGGATGCATCAAAAGTAATACAAATGGAAGAGGTACCAAAGTATTATTCTCAATGCACACATTCATCCTGAAATAATCAATGTGTCAGGGAATGTCATAGAGTCTTGGTGGGAATGAGTATATGTACAGTCATTCCTCTGTGCTCTGCTTTCCAATACAGTCATGCCCTTGATGGCCCAGTGTGCAGGTGATTGGCATTTTATTAGAAACCTGATAGTGCTTAAAGGAAAGATATTTGGAGGTTGATCTCATGGGTCATCTTTCTGGGGGTTTTCTTTACTAAATTCATTTTTATATAAATAATTTTAGCATGTTTCTTTCTGCTACAGGAGAGCTATGAGAAACTTTGCAATTTTCAAAAGCTAATGTTCAGATTGCATTCTGTGCAAACTTTACAACTGAGGATTTGCATGGAAAATAGCATTTTCTTTGCAGAAATCAGTATTTCCTGAATAAACAAATAATGTGCTTTGATAATCTGGAATATATGGCAGTGTAGGAGCGTAAGGACTACATAAGTCATAGATAGCTTGAAAGCAAACAACAACAACAACAACAACAATTGTGCAGAAGCAGTATTTTAACTCATTCTGTACTCCAACTAAAGCTTTGACTTTAAGCTGCAAGTAGTAACAAATATTGCACATTGGGATTTCTGAGTGGCGAGATAGCTGTTTTAGTTTGTTGCAGTGAAAATAACAGAGACTGTTATGGTACTTTGCATAAGTTTTTATAGACTGTAGTGCACAGAATTTTGGCTCTAAGAAATCAATTAGTTTTTAAGATATTACAAGACTTTGTTTCTGCATATATTTACAATTTCAAGAAGTGTCTGTTTAAATGTTAAATAGTTTATTTGAAATGCTGTAGCTTACTACTGCACTCGGGTGTTTTCCACTTTCCATGAAGACATCTGGCAGGGTTGGTTCCAACAAGGAAGTAAGTTGGAGAACATTCATATTTTACTGTTTCATTATGTCCATATCTGTCTGAGTTTGAATCAACACCAACAGTTCTTCCATTTCTGATTTGTTGAGGTTTTCTACAGAATTTCACTTCCTCTGTGGAAATCAAGATAAAAGAATGTGAATGAGAACAGAAGTTCTTAGTTTCTTTTCAAACCAAGGTCTCCTTTATTTCTAATATCTACAGTAACTCCACTTTCCTCCTTCTTTTATATTATTGAGAAAACAAAAGGTACACCAAGTCACTGTTTTTATAATTCTGTTAATACTTTGAAAAGGCTAACAGATAATTAAAATATAAATTTGATTTAAAAAAATCCATCAGCAGAGCATTTGGACAGATGTTTAGAAAAACTGAAATGGAACAGTTATTTTTCCCTGCTTTCCAACATCACTGGCTGAAAAGAACTCTGCCAGTTTGCAAAACTGGGAGCATTGGTATAGAAGTCCACATTTGTATCATTCATGTTTGGCCATTTGCAGGTGTTGAAATGGGGCATATCAGAGCAGGGTGACGGCAGGTCAGAATTGATCTACTCTGCCATATAATGCCATTTCAGAATGCAGATTAACTACATTGAATTGAATTATATGAGTCTACCCTACCATATAATCCAGTTTAATGCAGTTAATCTGCATCCTGAAACTGAATTATAGACGGTGTGGATACAGCATCAAAATCAACTTTGGGTATTATGGTTTTAGACTGGGCCTCTGGAGTTTAGAAAGGTAGTTTCTCCCTTGCACTACATTAGTTTGAAAGAGAATATTTTAATAAGATTCACAATCTTTAAACGTTCAATGAACTTTGCCTTCATTTATCTTTTACTTCTGTTACAGCTTTAGTAAAATCAAGAGATTAACAATCATTCCCCTTTTGTACAAATCCCATAAAATTATGTAGTGAGGTATTTTTGTGTTACATTTCCTGTGTTATAGTTTCTGACCTCCAAGGGTTATCTTATGGCAACCAGCATTAAGTAGCCATTCACCAGAATACATAACATAGGAAAGACCATTTAATAGATGCCGTGCTTCAGCTGTTTTCTTATTTCTCACATTCTTTACATTTGTATATTACAGGGAGTTTCCAAGTTACAAATGAGATAGGTTCTGTAGGTTTGTTCTTAAGTTGAATTTGTATGTAAGTCAGAACAGGTACATTTTAAAGTATAACTCCAGCCGTGTGTGTGTGTGTGTGTGTGTATAGAGAGAGTAACTTGTATACTGAATGTATCACACATAAAGCTCGATTAGACTCCAAGAAAGGAAATCTAATTTGTTCAAAAAAATCTCCATACTATGGGTACAAAACACAAGAAAATATATAAAACATTCTTTCAAATGAAAACTTCTGGTGCAGAATGAGAAATAAGAAAAATAAAGTTTTTAAGCTTCAGATGTGACAAATTCATATGTGCAAAGTAAAACAACTTTAGTTTTTTTAAAAGTCTAGAAATGAGTGAGTTACAGAAACATGCAATTTTTTTTTACATTTTTACTATTCTATTTTATTAAATACTATCTTATTACAATAAAAATATTTTGAAAAAAGACATGCAGTATACCTGTGCAGGATGGCAGGGAGGTCCACTCTCCATCAACACATTCTACTGTATTTGATCCAGACATTACAAATCCAATATCACACTCATAAAACAGCTTCTCGCCATGCTGATATACCTCTAGAGGATCACCAACGACAGTGCCATTGGAAATACTAAGTGGTTGCTGACAACTCTTGACTGTTTCTAGAAAAAAGAGAGAGATGAACTTTGAACTTATCTGCTGAAAATAACTTCAAATAGAATCTATATCCATGCAGTCATCCTTACAATTGAGGGTCACGGACCATATAACAATCTTAGGCACTGTAACTATTGGATGCACTGCCATTCACACTGATCATATGTTGACATTTGATTAGAAAAGCCTTAAAAAATTGAACACTCTTCACTTGGTTGCTAATTTCATATATTACCAATAGTGCAGTGGATGAAGCCAGGGAACAATAAGTGTGAATGATCCCCAAATGGAAAACCATCTTGATGTGTTCTTACATTCTTGGTAAGTCAGTCAAACATGCTTACACATGGTTAAGAGAATTTATATCTTCTATCTGGGCAGAAGTTTGAGGATTATTTTCTTGAATGTAATACTACCAAGTTCTTTCTTGTAATGGTCTAGGAAGAGATTGTCACTTAGCATCAGCATTATTTGACTTTCATTTGTCCTCACAGTTGTACTGTGAGTATTTACATGTGAGCAGATTACAGGCAAGTTATGTTCTGTAGATAGGTTCTCTAGGTTTGTTCTTATGTTGAATTTGTATATAAGTCAGAATAGGTAGATTTTAAGTGTAACTCCAGCCAAAAATATATACATATTAGCTTTGGAAAGCATAGGGAAAGATTGACATCCCTGTTGCATTTCATTTGCTGTCTGTGCCTCTGTTCAGAAGATTTCACCTCACTTTCTGTCCCTATGACAACTGGATTTTGAAAACATTGGCCTGTTGTAGAAAAAGAGATTGGTGATAAAGCTTCAGTGGAGACATCTTTTCGCCATGATAACTGTTCCCTTTCCGATGAGTAGATTTCTCTTGCTTTCTGTTGTCTCACCTCCATTCTTAACTATGAGTCATTTGTATGTCAGATGTTTACAACCTGGAGACTGCCTATACTTACATAAAACCCAAGGAAATGTGGTTGTTTAGAAGGTAAAAGCAGCCAGGATTTTTAGGATAACTTGTTCTGAAATGTTGCCAATTTCATTTGCAAAGCCAGGTAGATGTGCAAATATAAGTGGGTATCAACAAGTGACTAAGCCGAGGGAGCAGGAAGGAAAAGTTTATTTATTTTTAGGCATTGTAGAATGGTGCTTCATATCAAAAAGGTAGCAGGTGACATTTTGATTCAATCCAAGGAAGGAGGGGAACAGAAACTAGAGATTTTTTAATGTATTCCAAAAAAACCATGTTTCTCATTATTCTATGAGGAATGGAGAGGAAAAAAGAAAGACATTGATATACAATGAAACCCAACAATCATGTCATGAATATGAAAGTCATGTCACAAAAATTCTTCATGTGCAATGTATATCTGGACAGAGATGCCATGCAAAGGCAAATGTATCAATGAATCTCTGGACACAAAGACTCCATCTACACCAAACATTGAAGTCAGTGTGGGGTTGAATCAAGCTGATCCAATTTAATCTGGGGAGAGCTGCTGAAAGTGGTTGTACACTGGATCAAACACATACAGACACAACCAGACTTAAAAATCTTCTATAAAGCCGCTTGCATGAACTGTCTTACAGAGTGGATACAACTGAAAATGTAAATCTACTTAATCTAGATGGATATGGACTAAGATTTGGGTGGTATGCATACCTACGACATGAAGGAGAGAGACTAAATAAGGATTTTAGCAAACATAGAGGGAAGCTTTTAGACTTCTATGCTAACATATCTGGAACAGATATGTTAGGCATGGAACCAAAGACACCCCTGTGGCTGAGACCTGTAGAAGCCATTGCAAGACCCAACTCCAAGGATGAAATAAGGACATATGGTGAATTTCTTATCATAATCAATGGCCAATGGGCACTGAGGGGGGAAGAAGAACTGGACATTAAAGGCTTTTAAGAACTGGGCATTAAATATCCCCAATTATATGAAAGGTTTAAAAAGGACGAAGGGGGAGGGGGTGGTTGCCTCAAAAGAAAAACTGAACTTGAAAGTATATTAGAAAAAGGGGAAGAAAGGTTTAATATCCAGATTGTATAAATATATCTTACACTATAATCTGGAAGACAACTGAGTAAAAACCTCCATGATTTCATGGGCAAAAGATCTTGGGAGAAATATAGATCTTGTTGAATGGTAATAACTCTGGAACAAAGGCTTCAAATTTTCAGTTGCGGTTTCAATTAGAGACAATTTATTTAAAATGTTCTATAGATGCTATACAATCCCAGCTCTCGTAGCCAAAATATATAATTTGTAATCAGGATTCTGTCAGAGGTGTAAAATAAAGAAAGGGACCTTCTTCCATGTGTGGTGGTCTTGCAAATTAGTGCAGCCACTGGCCACCACCACAATTTCCCTACCCAGGCATTAATAAAAGGCCAGAAGTGGTGCCACCTCAGAGGAATCAAAGAGGTTTTATGTTTTTAAAGATTCTCCCAACACAGATAAAGCTCCTGCCTTTCACCACTCTGTCAGAGAAAGGGAAGCTTCCTTTTTCAAATAAGAGTCACAAACAGTATACATATTGGCCCATGTTCAAGTCGATCCAGATATTTTTGGGGTTTTTAAAACTATAAATCCTAGCCTCATACATATGCATATATGTATAATAACCCAAAACTAGTGTTAGTAACATAGCTAAAGGTTTAGCTCAGAGCTAGGTTATCAAAAGCTAATACAAAGAGTTAGTCGACAAGCTGTCATCATGACTAGCAGATAATTTTATCCAAGTAGTCTTTAGGGCAGTTTAGAAAAGTCTGGAGTTTTTGAGGCAAGAGAATTGAGTAAAGAGCCAAGAAAATTTTGAGAATAGGTGGTGGGAGTTTTGGTTTTATGGTTTCTAGTATATTTAGTGCATCACATTTTGTCCAATTCCTTATGGAGGGAGAAGGCAAGACCTTGAAATATACTAATGGTGCATCTATGCTATAGGATTAAGGTTGTAACTTAAGATCATGACATCATGATCAAATGTGATCGTAATGGCAACCTACATTGGTTTCAAGCTGACAAATACCTGTATATTTGTATTTTATTTTAAGAGGACTAGGTGTATGTTGTATGTTGTGTTTGCACTGTCTGTTTTGATAAGGCCAACTGGCTAATCAATACAATTGTTCGTTCGATCGATTAAGGCAGTTTGACACCACTTTAACTGTCATGGCTCAATATTATGGAATAATGAGAGTTGAAGTTTGGTGAGGCAACAGCATTATTTTGCACAGAAGTCTAAAAACTTAAAAAAAAAACTACAACTGCTAGGATCTCATACACTGAGTCATGGCATTTAACTTGCTGTCAACCTGCATTCTACAGTGTGGGATTCCCTTTTCCCAGAACATCCCTTAACTACATCTTAAACAGTATTTTGCAAAATGCGTACCTTTACAAACAGGAGGCGGTGGAGACCATCCAAAATAATAACACTGGGAAGAGTCAGGCCCAACTCTGCTATATCCTTTCTTACAGGAAAATTTCACCACGTCTCGGTTGGCATATTGGTCTTTTCCTTCAATGCTTCCATTCCTCAGAATGGGGACATCACATTCTATGGCTAAAGAAAATATTGAACAAAATGTTAAATTTGGTGAAATACTTTTTATAAAAAAGAGCTAATGATAGGAAATTTTATTCCACAAATGTACAGCAAATAAACCTGTGAGATGAGGCAGCTATAATATATATTAAGAGTGACATATTGTGGTCATTTTCCTCAGCATTCATAATGTATATTGCAGATCTAATTTACATTGACTTCCACACCATCATTTTTTTTTTGCTGGGGTCTTGCTTCAGATAAATATTTTTGTCTTCTTTTGTTTTTTAAGCACTGTTGAAATCCTCTTAAGATCAAAAATACAGGTTATATTATAGTTTGAGCGCCCCTCATTCCGAAATCGTCTACAATGGTGTCTAAGACTGTGACACCTCTCCTTTCTGATGGCTCACCGTACTTGCACATTGGAAATTTAGACTCTGTGTGTAAGGTGCATATGAAATATCAATGCATTTTTATTATATTAGGACCCATCTTGAAGCTATCCCATTATATATGTACTTGCAAACACAAGAATTCCAAAATTCGAATGAATTTGAAAGTAAAATACTTTAGCATTTTAGGTAAGTGATACCCAACCTGTAATAACTCTCCGTAGGCATGGAGATTGCTTGATGGTGAGATAGGTGGTTTATTTGCAGAATACCTATTCTATCCCACTTTCCCAACAAATACTGTATATACTTGAATATAAGCCAAGTTTTTCAGCTCCTCGGCTTATATTCGGGTGAAGGGCAAAAAGCAGAGGAAAAAAGGCTCTGAGGCTGGCTGGCTGGCTGAGTCCCTAGCCTTGTCTCAGTTGATCTAGGGAGGGTCAGTTTACAACGCCAAAACTCCAACAAGTGGAGAAACTAGCTTCCCATTTTCCTCTTGTACAAGAGAAAGCAGTTCAAGCTCTGTCTCTTACATCTGAGAAATCAAAGGCTCTTCTGTCTCTTGCACCAGAGAAGCCCCATGTGTCTGCAGTTAACTCTGGGCTCCAACGAGAAGCCTCGATTTTGCCTCCTGAGCCATGTAAGTTTGAGACTCCTCAATCTCAAAAATGTATAAAGACTGACTTCAGGTTTTCAGTACCGGTGAAATCTACTGTGTGTTTACATGAGCAACAAAACCCTGCTGGTGCTACTGAACTTCCAGAAAAAAACATTTGAACAGTCTGTGCCTCAGTCTACCTGGAATTTCATGTGTTCTGCTGGTGCTTTGTTGGTGAGGCTGAGCCTGAGCCTGAAAAGGCTGCCTTAGAAATCAAGACTGGGATTTCTAGCAATCTTTACTCTGCACCTGAAAGGTCTAGTTCTCCTAGATTTTTGGTATCCTGACCTTGGAACCCTGGAACCTTGAATCTTTGGACTGGCTTTGGACTACGGTATAGACTCTTGATCCCTGGACTTTGTTCATTGAACTCCTGGCATTTACCCATTGGAATGGACCATTTGACTACAGTGTAGTGTTTGGTATCAGTTTTTGTTTTATATTCTGTGGCTGGGTGCTATCTTTATGTTTTATGTTTTGGACTATTAAAACAGCCAGAAAGTAAGTGCTGTTTTAATTAAACGGTTTGATACAAACTGGGCACTTGTTTAGTTCATCTCTTCCTGGGTATAGGCAGAGCCCTGGCAGTGTGACACTCTCACCAGAAGGGGAAGATGGAAGATGGCTTTATCAATCATTGATATTGAGGTTAGAAGGCCATCTGACAGGGTTGCTTTGGTTGTGCTTTCCCTGCTTAAAGGCACAATGAAGCCGGTTGGACTAGATGGGGTCTCTTCCAACTCTCTTTATTATTACCAATTATTGATATTGAGACTAGATGGCCATCTGACAGGGTTGTTTTGATTGTGCTTTCCCTGCATGAAGATGGAATGAAGGTGGTTGGACTAGATAGCCTTTAGAGGTCTCTTCCAACTCTAGGATTCTATGAAAGGCACCTTAGTCAACCACAAACTGAACATGAGGCAACAGTGTGATGCTGCAGCTGAAAAGGCCAATGCCATTCTAGGCTGTGTCAATAGGAGAAGCCTGAAAGAAGGCAAAAGGGAACTGATATGACACTTTACCTCTGCTGCTTTTTAAATTGCTTTTAATGATAATTATTTAATGCAATTGTTTATTTTAATTTGTTGTACAATGTTTAGTATTCTCTTTTGTTAAAAATATGTTGTTATTTTTTTGTTAATATAGGCATTGAATGTTTGCCTGTTACTATATTGGATACCACCCTTAGTCCCCATGGGGAGGTAAGGCAGGGTACAAATAAATACAGTATGTCACAGCAAACGAGTTATATGTGCTGGCTTTCGTATCACAAAATTACAAGTTGAACACTTCCCAAGTGTCTACGACTGTGTGATGTATTTTCGAATGATGTGCGCAGATCTAAGTAAGGTGGCCTTTTGCAGTTGACACTATTATTGTTTCCAAATGGTGGTTGAGATCTTTTGGCACGGCACCCAGTGTGCCGATTACTACTTGGATTACCTATACTTGTTTATGCCAGAGCCTTTGCAATTCAATTTTGAGGTCCTGATAACGGCTGAGTCTTTCCCGTTGTTTTTACTCAATGCGACTGTCACCTGGTATGGTGACATCATTAATCCAAAGTTTTTTTCTTTTACACAATCATGATGTCTGATGTATTGTGTTCCATCATCATCATCATCATCATCATCATCATCATCATCATCATCATTATTATTATTGTTAATACCATATTGTTTTTGTTGAACCTTCCTTATCCACCTACAGAGCTAGTTTACTGTGTTTCTTTGAAATGTGGTAAATATTCAAAAACATTTAACCTACTGATGCCCCAATTAATGTAATTTTATTGGTATCTGTTTTGAAATTTACCAGTGGCTGTAATACCTACACTCGGCTTATACTTGAGTCAATATGTTTTCCCCACTTTTTGTGGTAAAATTAGGTGCCTCGGCTTATATTCGGGTTGGCTTATACTTGAGTATATATGGTATACAGAATCTTTAAAATGGGTCTTAACTGATATGAAGGAAGGATAAAGTGGAAGAGAGGAAATTCCTATAAATCCTTATAAACATCTATAAACAACTACTGGGTTGCTGTGAGTTTTCCGGGCTGTATGGCCATGTTCCAGAACCATTCTCTCCTGAAGTTTTGCCCACATCTATGGCAGGCATAATCAGAGGTTGTGAGCTGTTGGGAATTAGGCAAATACGTTTTATCTATGGAATGTCCAGGGTGGGAGAAATAACTCTTTTCTGTTGGAGGCAAGTGTGAATGTTGCAATTGGCCAGCTTTATTAGCATTTAATAGCCTTGCAGTTTCAAAGCCTGGATGCTTCCTTACTGAGGGAATCTTTTGTAGAGAGGTGTTAGCTGGCCCTAATTCAATCACTGTTGTTGAGATTGTTTTGCTAGTGCAGCAAGGATCCAGCTGGGGATGACTGCAAGAGATAAATCTCTAGTTCTCTGCCTGCTTAAGTCTCAGTTACACACATTTAACATGGAATTGAAAAGTTAAAGCAGAACCCAGGCAGAAAAAATGTGGCTCAAAACCTGTAGGCAGCCTCCAGAGCCATTTCTGTAGGTCTTGTATTCATTTTGGATATATTTGGCAATGTCCTGCTTTTAAAAAAGAAGAAAATATCATTATTCACCACTACTAAATTCTCAAGGAACAGTGGTTTCTACAATGCTAAAAATTATAAAAATTAGAACTCCGGTGAAAGCCAGATACAATCTGTGGTCTTTTTAATGTTTTCTGTATTGATGTACCCCAAGAAAGTGAAACTGGTCCTCATATGTGCCAGATTTGCCCAGTATTGTCCTAAGGCTAATTTCCCACTGATGAAAGCCACTATTGGCACATACATTGTAAATATCTGGAATACCATGGACAGGTCAAAAAGCAGAACTGAAAGAACTGGTTGCCCATGAAAAACCAAAGTATCTCTTGTGCTGGTCTTAGATGCAGAGAGTAGGGATGAGCATGTGGTTAGCTTCTACAGGAGATAAGGAATAATTTAATCAATTATCACCCTGTAGAAGGGATATCTTCAAACACTGTCTCTCTCCCCCCTAGCATCACATTTTCCCTGCCCACCTCAACATGGTCATGTAATGGCTGAGGGAAGAGAGAAGATAACCAAGGATCATTGCTGACTATGTTGCAATAGGCCATGTCGTAACATGATAACAAATCATCTAGAACAGTGGTTCTCAATCTTTGAGTCCCCAGATGTTTTGGCCTTCAACTCCCAGAAATCCTAACAGCTGTTTAACTGGCTGGGATTTCTGGGAGTTGTAGGCCAAAACATCTGGGGACCCACAGGTTGAGAACCACTGCTCTAGAATCTCTAGAGCAGTAGTTCTCAACCTGTGGATCCCCAGATGTTTTGGCCTTCAACTCCCAGAAATCCTAACAACTGGTAAACTGGCTGGGAGTTCTGGGAGTTGTAGGCCAAAACACCTGGGGTTGGGAACCACTGCTTTAGAGGACCCCAGAGATAGTAGTGAGTAGTCAGTGAAGAGCTGGGCAGTCAAATCAGTATCATCACTGGCTATATTCTGGTAACTGGTGCAGATGTCCTCTGGGATTCCAATATTTAAGAAGCCTCCTTTCCAAATTTTACTCTTATATCGGTATGGAAGTAAGCATTTCTGGAAACATTTTTCTGTCCCATATATGAGGATTGTTATTAGAAAGTGTGACCCTTTGGACCTTCTTGGTATGACCAACGGGTGAACTGCTATGCTGGGTCTGTGGGCAAATTCCCAGTCCAAAAACTCTCTAAGAGAATATAAACTAAAAGGAAAATATCCAATAAGACAATTCATGGGTGGCAGAAGTCCACTTGTGATTTGGAAAAACTGGGTTCTAAAAAAATATTATATAGTTCAACTGGGCAGGAAATCTCCAATATCAGAATATCCCTTAGGGGATCCAGGCTTGAAATTATTTTTCTCCCAAATTCCCTATACTCTGAAAAAGGGAAATAAATACTTGGCTGTTTGAAGTCTCTCTTTTTTAAAGAAAGACCTACCCTGGCACCAAAGTGGTCTGAGGCACCTAAAAACATGACAAATAACGTCTTCTATACCCTCTAGAAGGAATGTTGAGACCTTTTCTGTGGGAGGAGACAGATTTGAAGAAATCCACTTGAAACCACAAGGGCCATCCAGTCCAATTGTCTACCATGCAGGAAAATACAAACTAAGCACTCCTGACAAATGGTCATCCAACCTCTGTTTAAAAACTTTAAGACTCCACTATGTTTCAAGACAGAATCTTTCACTACCAAACAGGTCCATCCCTTAGGAAGATCTTCCTAATGTTTAGGAGAAATCTTTTCCTGCAATTTGATTCCATTCATAGTCTCCTGAGCAACAACAACAACAAAAAATCTGTCCCCCCCCCCCCGATTCGATATGACATTCTTTCAAACCTGGTCATTATGTCCCCTCTCTGCCTTCTTTTCTCCAGTCTCCTCATAGGACCTGTCTTCCAAACCTTTGATCATTTCAGTTGCCCTCCGCCTTCATGTCTTGCTGATGTAGATTTAAAAATTTACAAAAACAATATTGCATTAACTTACCAACGCATGCAGGCCTTGAATCCCATCCATTTTCTGTGCATTGTATGTGGCCACCAACAGCTGTTTTGCTCACTTGAGAGCCTTCTTTACATTTGTAGTGAAGTATCTCTTGGGACAAGAAAAATGATTCTTTTTCAACAAAATCCACATTTGCTCCATATGGCTTTGGGCATGTCTCTGAAGAAACAGAGAATAAGTATTATTTATTATCAACTGTTCTATTCTAAATCATATGTTCTAAAAGGCACTACAAAGAGTGGCTTCCTATTTGGAGGATGTAGAAAAAAGATATCAGCTGCCAAACATCTAAAATGGTATATATAATTTCCAAATTTTAGTTTCATGAGCATGGTTTCTTAGGTTTGAGCCTTATCTTGAAGTAGTTCTTACCAACATGGTGTACTTCTCATACAGTATATCCCTTCTTCTATGAAGCCCATGCAGTAGGACTTTCCAGCTTCTTAATAGGAATAGCTGTCATAGGATGTATCTGCACTGTAAAATGAATACAGTTTGATACCACTTTAACTGCCATAGCTCAGTTCTATGGAATCCTGAATTTTATAGAACTCTTTCACAGAGAAGCCCAAAGACATTGTAAAATGAAAACTTCCATAATTTCACAGGATTAAGCCATGGCAATTAAAGTGAAGCAAAACTGAATTAATTCTACAGTGTAGATCAGGCACGGACAAACCCAGGCACACAGCCAGACATGGCTCATTGGGCTCTTTCCTCCATCTCTCATCTGCCTCAGTTCTTCTCTCAGCATGGCATGTTCCAAGACTGAGAGAAAGGCTGAGACAGGGACATGCAGCTGCTGAGAGCTCTCCAGAGCTCTTGCCAACTGAATGTCTTCTTCTCCTCTCAGGCTGAGGACACGGTGGGCCACCACATCCCCAACCTGAGAGAAGGACCCTACTCCCGCAACAACCACCTCCACACAAACTGCCCTTGGTCTCCTCCCCCATGAACTGCCCATGCACCAATACCAACTGCCCCCATGTGCCAACTATCCCCCGGCCTCCCTCCATGCCAACTGCCCTCAGCCTACCCTCCTCCTTCCCAGCCAGGCCCAGCCCACCTGCGTGCAATGCCACCCCCACCAAAAAAACTTTTGCCCATGTCTGGTATACATGCACCCATAGAAGAACAAGTTTCACTCCCTCATTTTCACATGTTTTCTTAAAACATGAAGTAGTGGAATATACACAGAATGATATTAGAGACACTATTACAAAAAGGATAGTAAATTTATGTGAGCAGAAAGATAGTACCTATGTTTATAACCACTTGTCTCATTACTTGCCATCTTTCTACAGATAATCAGATTTGAGTTTAAGTAAAGCAGAAGAATGAGTGTTTGATTCCTGTTTAAGCTACTTAAGCCAGAAGACGAACTCAAGTGGCAGTTGAGTTCCAACAGAAGTTGAGGAAGCAAGAAGCCACCTTAGCTTCCTTGCTTCAGGTAAGTCTTGCCTTAGTTTCCACTGGAAAGCTGAGTGTGCACTTGAATCCCGTAGTTAAAGGCTAGCTGATCTGCTGGAGGTACCAGAAAGCTGTGTGAGTTTTGTTTTGAAGTTGAGACTAGGTAGTTCCGATGATTGACAGTTTCAGGCCAGCAGTTAAGTGAGTGATTGTTCCCTGTTCTACCTTCTTGGTGCAAATCATACTTTCACTAACTTTACAGTACATACAGAAATCAAAACAATGTAAAACAAACACACAAAGGGGAGTTGGTTAGCAGTCTGCACGTAACATGCACATGCATTTACTAACACTATAAGGATCCTGCTTGGTAACCTCACTCAACTAACAAAATTAAGTTCAACAGTGACAAATGCAAGATACTCCACTTAGGCAGAAAAAATGGACAGCAATATGTGTGAAAAAGATCTTGGGGTCCTTGTGGACAACAAGTTAAACATGAGCTAACAATGTGATGCGATGGCTAAAAAAGCCATAGGATTTTTGTCCTGCATAAATAGAACTATAGTGTCAAGATCCAGGGAAGTCATGCTACTCCTCTATTCCGCCTTGGTCAGACCACATCTGGAATACTGTGTCCCATTCTGGGCACCACAGCTTAAGGGAGATGTTGATAAGCTGGAATGTGTCCAGAAGAGGACAGCTAAAATGATTAAGGTCTGGAGAACAAGCCTTAAGAAGAGTGGCTTAAAGAGCTGGGCATGTTTAGCCTGAAGAAGAGAAGGCTAAGAAGAGACATGATGGTCATGTATAAATATGTGAAGGGAAGTCATAGGGAGGAGGGATCAAGTTTTTTTTTCTGCTGCCCAGGAGACTAGGACACAGGACAATGGTTTCAAACTATAGGAAAGGAGATTCCACCTGAACGTCAGGAAGAAGTTCTTAACTGTGAGAGCTGTTCAGCAGGGGAACTCTCTGCCCTGGAGTGTGGTGAAGGCTCCTTCTTTGGAGGCATTAAAACAGAGGCTGGATGGTCATCTATCAGGGTGCTTTCAATGTGATTTTTCTGCTTCTTGGCAGGGGGTTGGACTTGATGTCCCATAAGGTCTCTTTCAACTCAATGATTATATGATTCTATCAATCAAAAGGCAGGAGAAGAAGAAAAAAACCCACTTATCACATACTAAGCGTCCCAGAAGATGGGCTTGCATCTCCTCAGATTTATATTTGACTCATCCTCATGTCATTTTGGAGACACTTTGTTCTAGGATCTTAAGCACTAGTTTCCCTTTTGCCATCACTGGGATTCTATACTAATTTCATCTCCTTTCTCACAAATATGCGTTTTTAGTATGTTGTGAGCTAAAGGACATTTTTGTGAAAAATACGCAAATAACTGCAAAATTATTAGAATAAGTTAAGTTAGGAAAAGAGAAAGACACTTTGCAGATGGTTTGATTCAATAAAGGAAACTGTGGCCTAGACTTTGGAAAATCTAAATAAGACTGCTAATGATAAGTAATATTGGAGATTTCTCACACATAAGAATGCAGAAAACTGAAGCCACCTTGACAGCAAATGGAAACAACAAACATACAGATATATTTAAAAAACTGCTTACTGATGCACTTGGGCTCTCGATTCCATCCTGTTTGAAGACACTGTATCTCTTCCTCCTCAACCCTGTTAGGGGTTGTATAACCAGGAAGACACTGATAGCGTACTTTCTCAGAGACAGAAAACACCTCCTTACGTGCAGTGAAAAAGCCACTAGGCAGAGGAGTTTTTTGACATCCACGTGGAATTTCTAAAACTAAAAAAAAGATATTGTTTTTTTAAAAACAAGACCTGGATTTTATATGTAATGAAATCCAGTTTTATCAGAACAGATCAAAAATGTATCATATGAAATTATCAACAAAGGAGATAACCCAAACGTCTAATCTGAAATAAATCAAATCTGAGAATGAAACACAACAGGAAAGGCTTGCTAAAATATTTGTGTGCCCTATTTTTCATAGCTTGAATCATGTAGAAGAAAAGTGTAATTGACTGGAAATATTGGAAATGCTGTTCTGCTGGCATTCTACTTTCTTGCGTATTCTGTGGGGAAGAGAGAAGAAGTTCAAGGCTAGCTGTCCTCAGGCTAATAATTGTAAACATTGCCTGAAAGCATGTCTCTCCTCCCATGCCTCAGATTGAAAGGAAGAAAGAGGAAGAGCAAAACTAGCCATTATGAGTTTATGAGTGATACAGCTTGGCTCCAGCCTTGAGACTCAGGTGATCTGTACTCATCATCATGCCTCTCTCCTTCCTTCCTTCCTTCCTTCCTTCCTTCCTTCCTTCCTTCCTTCCTTCCTTCCTTCCTTCCTTCCTCAAATTTAATTTTCAGGTGCCTTTTCCCAAGAAGGACAATTGAAACTCCAGGTTTGGAAAACTATATGAGAAAAAAACCCCATGTTTTTGGAAAAAAATCAGGTCGCCTTTTCTAATGAAGATTCATAAGAGCCCATGGCTACAACTTAGAAAAACAGCTTCATTCCTTATCATGTATCTGTGTGTCTCCCATAGGATATCAGCAATGATGTTTCTGTGAAAATATGGTGCACGTAAAAGTGCCAGCCAATAATAGCTCCTGTGAAGTCCTTCCCTATCATTCTTCTTGGCGAATTACCATGGGTTTCCAGATGTATGCGCAATGCATCCAACTACTACTTCAACTGTGTAGATAAAGTCAAAAAAGTATACTCTGCAAACAGGGGAAAGAAATAATCTCAGATTGGATATTTTCAACAACATGAACTAAAACCTGCTTACCTTGTTCAATGCAACTTGGAGTTGGAAACCAGCCATTTTTTGTGCATGTGGTTGTTGCTTGCTGATTTGCAGGACTGTATCCTCTATCACATCCATATGAAATCACATTGCCCTCTATGAGTGGCCACTGATAATAATTTAAAAAACCATGTGGAATTCGTCGAGGAGGATCACATTTTTCTAAAAGCAAAGGAACAATTATGTTGCATCACCTATGCAAGATTATTATAAGGATTCAAAGTGTATTCTTACACCAAGTATACAGACAGATGACATGAATTAAAATCTGTATACATTTTAAAATGTTAAAAAATGGGATGGGGAAAAATTATCCCTTTCCCTTTCAACTTCTTCATTCTGTAATGGGGTGGTAGGCATGCTGCAAAGTTAAGCACTGGGTGAATCTCCATAGATCTAGCATTTCTAACCTGATATCAACCTGAGTACTATACAACCTATAATGGATTTTAATTATCTAAGAATGCTTGTTTACTACTAGATAATTTGAACATGACCACAAAATATATCAACATGTATCCCTGTTGTCATACTTAATACAACATGCATTCTTCTTATCAACATAACATGATTTTGATGGAATAGGAGACTTTTGAAGTAATCTCCTATACATTAGTAGTTAAAAAGTGACGGGAGATAAATCCATACTTCCCAATTCCTTCTTTCTTCTCCTTCCTTTGCCTGTATTATTACTTAGCTACTTGTTGCTAGTCCCTACATGACAAAGAAGGGGAGCAGCATTTGCATTTACTAAGATCACTCCAGATCCATTGTAACGAATGACAGAAGTAACATCTGGGATAAAATGTGGGCCTGTGATTCAAACACCATCACTTCAGGATGATACTCTACATCTTTCTGGCAAAGCCAACGACACTTTTAAAACTTGCATAATGTTTTTTGCAGAATTTCGTTGGCCAATAAACGTATCATTCTTTCGTGGATTTTTAACGTTGTTATATTTTGTTCTTAAAATATTTCATAGTAATGTTATAGCCCAGATTTTGTATGGTGCTGCTGTCTAGGGATGGGATGAGTCTCAGATAGTGAAGCTGGAGGCTCTTCAGAATACATTTCTTAAGAAACAATTGAAACTCCCACTGGGCACTCTGGCAGCCTTGGCCCGGGCTGAGGTTGGTCTCCCCTCTATTAGATCCCATGTTCACTTTATCATATTTAGGTATTAGAGAAGTGTACAAGGTTCATCAGTTAGGGATCTCCCAAAGGAATGTTTTGAACAACTAGAAAAATGCAAAGTCTGTAATACAAGTTATCAGAAACTGTATGAATTTAACCTCTATCTTGAATTCAAGAGAATCTCAATGAATCTAGTTTTAATCATTGTGTTCACCAGGATAGGCAGGCTATTAATAACTCCAAATTTTCCGACTGGTTTAGACTTTACAAACCTGACCGTGATAGGGCTATCTACCTGACTAGCTCACATTTCCAAAACTTAGGCAAGCCTTCACAGCCCTTCATTTTCAAAGTATGGTCACAGTGGTGATTGATGGATAGATACACAGGCACCCCTCTGGCTCTTCATATAAGTTTTTTTGGGGGGAGGGGCTGAAATTGAGGATTTCTCTCACTGTTTGTTTTCCTGTCTTCTGTATTCTGCATCAAGAATGAATGTCACAAGAAATTTAATGTGCAGATTTGATAAATGTGGATTTAATTATATGTGTGGGTATGAATGGAACTGAATAAAAGGGGCCTAATTTGGCTGAAAGCACAATTCTAATATTAAGGCCTGCAATGACCTGCTTGCGGGGACTGTAATTAGAAAGTTGCTAAAAAGAACTGAATAGTAAACTGCGATAAGAACTGGGACAGTAATAAGGAAATGTTTACAATGTTAAAAATGTTAAGAAGGAAATCAGCACAAGGCTAACATCAATCAAGAAGAATCAACATCTGGCCAGGAAACCGAGATGGAGCCAAGATGGAAAATGTCTATTATTAATTTACAACCTCGGGATTGCATCAGCAGAATATTCCTATAAAAGACCCAATCTAATAATTCTCAAATTGTGGCAGAACACAGGAATCTGTTTCACCTGCTATGCTCTGGTCCATGGGAAGGACAGAGATAGTGTACATATGGAGAGTGGTGGTTTTGCAAGGGAGCAGTCAGGTCATTTTGGCCTTCTTTCTCAAGGGAAGAGGAAGAGGTGCATTTTGGAGTCTTAGATTTTGTGCAGGGAGTTAGGTTCTGCTGTATGAAAAACAAAGTTCTGGCCCTTGGCATTGTTTTTTAGGGAAGAAGTTTGACATTTTGGCATTTTGAAGTTTTGAAGTTATGGAAGTTTTGGAACTGTATGTTGGCAGGCTGCAGGAAAGCAGGGTCTGGCCTAAAATCTTTGAAAACCTAAAGAATTTCCATAAGAAGTATGGATATTTCTTTCTGGTACTTTCAAGAGTGGATGGCATGCCCTGCAACCCATTTAAGCAAACACACAATAGCGACATATGATTACATTATGAACAGTGCTGCAATTTTTTTTTCAAAATATTGCATTAATTTTCCATTGTAACAGGGTTACTCTCTTTAAATGGTAAGTGTGACACTCTATGTTACAGGCTTAAATAAGCCAATCAGATTTAGGAGTTCAACATTATCTTCATAATATATGTAAGGGTTCTTGTGCTTAGTTCCAAATATATAATGAAAATATTCAAACTGAATATTTCCTTCACTAGGGACCTCATCACACTAGAGAATGAATCCACTTTAAATCTGGTTGCTGCCTCCTGCAGAATTCTGGGGTTTGTAGTTCAGGGAGGAGCCTTTAACAGCCTCACTAACTGCAAACCCCAGAATTCTGGGAAGGCAGAAACTGAATTTAAAGTGGATTCATTCTCTAGTGTGATTAAGTTATCAGTTCAGAAACACAGTATACTCCCTTCTGACTCCCAAGATTGTCAACAGTCAGAGATCTCTGTGCTTCTCCAAGTAATTTGAACATTGCTTAACAACGATGCAGTCCCATTTTGGCAAGGTTTTCTCAGCAACAAAGGGCACAACTACTTTGCTAAATAATGTTGCTCATGCCCACATATGCATATTTACTGAAATCCTGATGCATGTATATGACCCAAGGAGATTCATAAGAGTGAAAATGACAAATTTGTAAAATTACAATAAAATTCTGTATCCTATTAGAAAGTTATGATGATATAAACAAATATTACAACCTTGTAGTTTTTAAAGGCATAGCTGTGTTAGTCTTGTTTGGTATCTAAAGAAATCTTACAGCATAATTAAGCCTAAGGTTGGATTTACATTGCCTTGTATCTCAGATTCTGAACCCAGATTATCTTCTTTGAACTGAATTATATGAATCTACAATGCCAGATAATCTGGGACAAGCAGATAATCTGGGATCAGCTCCTGGGACACAGGACAGTGTAGAGCCTAAGTGAAAGAAATAAACTTGTAACACAAGCATCATAGACTTCACTCTACTTCCTGAGACGAAAGGAGTGAATTGCTGAGAAACAGACATTTATGAGAAGGCTATATGTGGGAATAGCGACAGAAATGCATACAAGATTATGTTGACAAGTTTACTTTTAAGTATGGTCTCCTCAGTAGGGAAGATGTTGCAACCTCATAGCCATTTTTGCATTTATATTTACAATCCTGGCACCATTGCCATAATCACAACCCCCCTCCTCAAACCCACCATGAGAAAGGTAGCTGCCTTATTAAAGGAAATTCTATGGCCTTGGAGAGTGAGGCTCTGAAGGATGAGAGGTTGCTGTTTCTTGGTGTGAGGGACTGGATCTAACATCCTTCAGCAGCCTACTCACCAGTGAACATCAAATCATAGAATAATACAGTTGGATGAGACATGAGCCATCTAGTCCAACCCCCTGCAATGCAGAAAAAGCACAATCAAAGCACCCTCTAAAAGATGGCCATCCAGCCTCTGTTTAAAAGACTCCATAGAAGCCTACCATCCTTTTGCAGCTGCCCTTAGGACTAATAATAAATAACAAAATTTTATTTGTACCCCGCTACCATCTCCCCAAGGGACTCGGTGCGGCTTACATGAGGCCGAGCCCACAATACAACAGTAAAAACAATAACAACAGTAATACAAAACAATAAATAAAACTCATAAGCAGAAAATAAGCAATAAACATTAACAATAACACAATGACGTTTAAAAACCTATGGCTGGGCCAAATGTAATAATTAAAATTTTAAAAATAATGCTGAGCATGACCAGGTGAAATATAACTAGGATAGAATTTTCGGAGAGGGATAGGGTGTGCAGACAATCCTAGATAACTAATAAAATGCATTTAGGGACATATTGCTAGAAGTTTCCTTATTCTGGGAAAGCACGCTGGATTAACTGATTTTTACTATCTAAACTGGATGAAGCAATGGGAATTTGGAACAAATGTCTGGGCTCAGTTAGTGACTGCACATGGATTAATACACTGAGGATCAATACAGATGTGACAAAGATGGTTCTGTGAATGGTGAATGCTGCTTCTTCTGCTCTACACATTGCTGTTAAACCTAATCAGCAGGACAGAGTTGCATTCTCAGGTCCCTTCCACATAGCTGAATAATATTCCACATTATCTGCTTTGAACTGGAATATATGGCAGTGTGAAGTCAGATAACCAAGTTCAAAGCAGATATTGTGAGATTTTCTGCCTTGATATTCTGGGTTATATGGCTGTGTGGAAGAGCCCACACTAAAAGGTCAGAGGAGTTCATTGATCCTGCCTTCTTCTCGGAAGCCCATGATAATCAAAGTGGCCTTAACTTTGTTTGGTATGTTGGCTAAGCCTGTTCTGCAAAGAAATAGCCTTGCCAATCCTGTAATAAATGGTAGATAAAGATGCCTTTGAAGATTGTTAACTGTAGTGGTTCTTGGGATTGTGTCTGGACAGAATTCAAAATGGCAATGCTTTCTCTGACCCTGTGTATGCTGGCTGCAAATGTTGAATAGGACCAGAGATAGCAACATGATGTTCACACAAAATCCCAGGACTTCCAGCCTGTAACATGGGCCAAACTTTTACCACCATGTTAGCAAAAATTGGGGAATGCCCCAAACTTTTGCTGAAACTCAGGAGTTGCCTTGAGTTTGGACTTCCACTACCTTGTGCACATCTACACTGATTACTTAGGTCAGTGTAAGGTCAGATCAGCCCCATGATGACTAAACATGACTGTGTCCCCCCAGGTTACATTAACTAAGGGGACAACCTGAATCTTGAGTAAGGAATTGAGTTGTCTTCCAAGTCAAGGGCATTCAAGACAGTTGGGACATTCCCTAACCAGAACTGGTGGCAGCTGTCTTGACAGCCATCTCACACTTCCAAGGCTCAAGGAGCCTGGGATATGGAATAGCAGTCCCCTCCCCATGTGTCAGGCATGTAGCCGGGGGGGGGGGGGGGTTGGGAGGCTTCCCCCCCCCCCAAAATTCTCATAGTGGTCCGCGAAAAGGCCTTACTGGTACATTATGTAAACTGTTATGTTTATTCATATCATGATCTGATCACCATGCTCAATATATCTCATATGCATGGGGGTATTGGGATAACAATACAAAAGGTTTGCTAGGGTAGACCCTCTTTCACTCAGACTCAGCCCCAAACAAACCCCGCCCCCCCCCCCCCCCCCGAAGCGAAATCCTGGCTACGGGCCTGCCATGTGTCAGGGCTGTTGACAACTATAACACAGACATCTACCTTGGTTTAGCAGGTTGGAAGGAGGAAACGGGATGTTCAGCATGGCTGGGCAATGGGACTACCTGTTGCCTCCAAGTTAGCTGAGGGAGTGTCTCTCAGGTCACCAAGCAGACCTGAACTAGTTTCTGGACAGTGGATCAAGCCCACTTCGTGGATGTTCCCTTTGCATATGATATTAACAGAAACCCGACATCTTTTTTTCGTTCTTACATTACAACCTTTCCCTCCTTATGATCATTTGAACATTTCACAGCAGAACATTTGGAACTGGAAATGAATCCATTTTCTCTGGGGAGTTTACTTCCTTATGAAACTTTTGTAAGAGCAAACATTGGGTATATTCACACTATTAAATTATTCTAGCTTGAAACTACTTTAACTGCTACGGTTTAATACGATGGACTCAATGGAGTCTTTAGTCTTCTCTGCCTAAGAATGCTGGTGCCTCACTAAACTACAATATTGAACCACAGCAGTTAAAGTACTGTCAAACAGCATTAATTCTACATTACAGCTGCACTCATCAATAATTTTGCATTTTACAGCTAGAAATGAAACATGTGAATTGACTAAGACAAATGGTCGCATTTCTCATCCCTCTGTCAGTGCTTTTCTGAAAATGAACTTTTCACAAAATTGATTTGAATGCAACATGTTATGTCTAGTCATGATTACTTCTCTCCTTGTTAAGGAAGGAGAATGCAAGGAAATTTTTACTTACTGAAGCATTTGGGTTTTGGTTCCCAGCCACGAATAGTGCAGTATGATAAATACCAATCCGGGATAGTTTTATCTTCTGGTAGAAAACCATTATCACATCTAAAGTAAAGTGTGGAACCTGGTCTCTTTGGAAAGGATGATTGCTGTTCATACACTCTTCCATTCTGAACACGGGGATATTCACAATGCTTTGCTTTAGAAAAGAACAGAGAGGGAAAAATTAAGCATCAACAAAATTTAATATTACAGTAACGTGTTGTTTTCTTTCAATGTGCTTATTTCTTTTGTGCTAGCATTCCCAGGCCAAGAGTAGGGCTAGAGGAATAGCTGATATATTTCTTGCATTTTGAAACAAGATAATAGATTTCATCTAAGCTGAGATGAAAATTAGCCAGTCCTTGCTTACTGACCCAATTTTTATTCATTAGGAAAACAATATCATGCAAGAAATCAATGGTGGAACAAGCAAATGTTAATGTATTTATTTATTTATACCCTGCTTTATCTCTCCTGAAGCAGACTCAAAGTGGCTTAACATAAAAGCATTAGCATATAATTTAAAATATATATGCAAACATTTAAACAAATTTAAATATATATGGCATTTTAAAATTCCCAGTTAAAACCATTAAAACCATTCCCAGTTAAAACCAAAATTAAAAGCCACAGCACCCCCTGAATTTATCTTAAAAGCCTTCTTCTTTTAAAAAACAGCCTTAATGAAAAGGGTTTAGCCTGCTGCTGGAAGGACAGCAGGGAGGGGGCCATTCTGGCTTCATTGGGGGAAAAGGAGTTCAAGAGTCAAGGGGCAGCTACTGAGAAGGCTCTCTCCCTTGTTCCCACAAACTAGGCTAGAGATGGGTGTGGGACTGAGAGATGGGCCTGGACTGGTTTCTACAAAAGGATGTGGTCGGTACCACTTTCTGAGTATGGCCCTCCAAGAAGGACCGGGGCCACTATAAGACAGTTCCTCCCAGTCTTTTCCCAGCGACCCTGAAGGATTCCATGGCAAATGGTACTGAAAGCCACTGAGAGTAGGCCTGGGTAACAAAGGAAAAATTTGTTTCTAAAATCGATTCGTTTTTTGGGGGGTTTTGCGTTTCGTTATTTAAAATAACTACAAAATTTTCATTTAAAAAAGTTTGATATTTACGAAATTTTGTTATTATTAACGAATCGATTCGTTAAAATGGCGGATGCGATTGCGCAATGCTAAATGCTCTATAAACAAAATCATTTCATAAAATAAATCAAATATTTTTTGGAATATTTTTTTATTTTTTTAATAATAAAAGAAATATTTAGCAGAAAAAGAAAATTAACAAAATGCTAGCCCTGAAGTGAGGCAAAAACAGCCACAACAACTGGGTGAAACAGCTTGTGTTTCACCACCAAAGAGAAATGTTTTTTTTCTTTTTTTTGAATATTTTTTTTAATTTTTTTAATAATAAAAGAAATATTTAGCAGAAAAAGAAAATTTACAAAATGCTAGCCAAAAACAGCCACAGGCACACACACAACAACTGGGTGAAACAGAGCTTTTGTTTCACCAAAGACAAACAGTCAAACAGTCAAACAYTGTWGTGGGGCAAAAACAGCCACAGGCAGGCACACAACAACTGGGTGAAACACACACACACACAYCAAGCAATGRCTCCTGCTCTCTCCCACCCTCCTCYCTCTCCCTAGTCCCAAGCAGCAGCCAGCAACGCTTTAAAGCCTCCCAACCCGCTCCTCCCGGCTCCTCGCCTCAGCCCAGAATGAGAAATGCGGCCACATGGAGCCGCTTTTAAAGGGCAGCCTGCCCAATCAGAATGAGCCACGGTGCTTGGGAACGCCGGATTGGCTCCCGGCGCACCCAGCATCCTCCATCCTTAAACGTCATTTCCGAAACGGGCGGAAGCTCGTAAAAAAAATGGAGGATGCCGTTTCGCTATTTAAAAACACTTCCGGGTTTGAAAATAAGTTTTTAAATCATTTTGTAATTGTTAAAAATAATGAATAATTAACGAATTACAAAATTAACGAACGAAACCGCCCAGCCCTGAGAGATTGAGGAGAATCCCCCTGTCTAGCTTTCTGCATAGGCCATCCACCAAGGCAATCAAAGCTGTCTCTGTTCCATAGGCCTGAAACCAGATTGAAATGGATCTAGATAATCCATTTCATCCAGAAATCCCTGGAGTTGGGAGGCCATCACACACTCAAAAACTTGCTCAGAAAGGGAAGGTTGGATTCTGGCTAATAGTTGCCCATTATAAAAGGGTTTAGAGATGGCTTTTTTTTTACTATACGTCTCACAACTGCCTCCTTTAGGCAAGTTAGACCTTTGCCTTGTTCCAAGGAGGTATTGATCACCACCTTCACCCACTCTGCCAGTCTCCCTCTGGCAGATGTTACAATGGCTCTGATGGCAGATGAAAACTGCAACAGATAAGAGGCAACTAGTCATGCATTTGGATCAAAACTTTTTCTGTGAAGATTGTATGTTGGTCGCTCTGCACTGGTCTCCACACACAAACATCTTTCAAGATAAACCAATCTTTCAAGTTAAACCAAAACCAAGAAAAGTTCTAGAGAGATTGGCGAGTGGCCACGGGTAGTAGAACTGTGAAATCTGGAAGCCCCTAGCTATGGACTGGCACATGGACAGATTCAGCCAGTCTAACTCAAGGTCCGAGGCAGTTGAGCTATATCCATGACTGAGTAGCCCTGTTTAGGATTCACTCTGCTCACCCCACATGGAGAGAGACTAGAAAAGGTGCCCTAAACATAGAATGCCACTCTTATTTAATCCTGACTGGACACATGCAGAAGGGTCACCAATTTGTGATTTCAAAAGACAAGAGGTATTGTGTCCTTCAGGAAAGCTGCTGTAAAAAGAAGCACTGTTTCTAGGATGGTATTAAGCAGGATCAGACCACCCTACTTATTGTTTACTTCAGGTTAGCAATGTTCTCATTGATCCTAAAAGTCACTGTCCACACCTATTTCCCCCTTATAAAGGTCAAAATCATAACTTGGGCCATGGTAAAGAAACAGGAGAAGCATCTTTTCCTTAGAGTTGAATTGGTTCTACTGAAGATGGTGCTAGATAAAAACATTCCATATGGCTTCCAAAATGCTTTATCTCATTTGGTTCCAAATAATCTTCTAATCTTGAAGCAAAGGAAGGAGACAGTAGAACTCCTTTCCTGCCCTCAGCATGAGAGCGGGAAAGCATTTTGCTTCCTTTCAGTGAAGGGAGAGCAAAGTAGTTCTACAAGGACTCCTTGTGGGCATGTATATAAATGCGCTCCTCCTCATTCCCTTATCATCGCTGACCCACCCACCGCTCTGACAGTGTATTTTTACAAGGGTCGCCATTAATGAGCTGGGTAGGAATCTCCCCCCCCCCCCATGCTCTAAGGGTTTTTTTTTCCCGCCTATCCTACACTGTTTAATCCATGACATACTGGGTGTGTGGCTGCTAAATAGGTTTTCATGCAAGTAAGGATAAAGATAGGTACATTTATTTACAGTATTTCTATACTGCTTTTCTCACCCCTAGGGGGACCATGGCACACCCTCTCTGGTAGAGGCTATGAAGGGGAAACGTCATCCATTATTAAAGGAATTGAGGTGAGGATGAGCAGAAGTGGCTTTGACCAGAGATAGTCATGGAATGACATCACTCATTTCCTTGAAGGATCACCTTGGGAACAACATTGGGTGGCATAGGGGGACCGTGGTGTCTAGCCATTGTTGGAGGTAGAGGTGGCCTCTGATGGTCACTGCCTCATATTATTGCACACCAAATTCAAATGTAAGTTCAAGTTCAAGGTAATGTTCAAGGTCATGTTCAAGTACATGTTTTCTGCCCTGAATTGGCTGGTAGATCATACAGAGATTGATTGATAACATATAATAAAATTTTAACCCACACAATTGTGTCATCTCCTGATTTCACTGGTGGGAGAGTAAATAATTTTCAAAGAGTCCACTAAACAGATCAAATGGGCTGAAAAAAATTCAAGCCTTCTGAAATCACAAGCTAGATTCAGATATATTTTCTCAAACTCTCACTTTTTCTCTCAAGAGAAGTGAATGTTTGTCCATAGGTATAGTGAACATAACTGAATATAATAAAATGATGTATAGTTTGTGGGGAGTACAACTGCATTTCTCCCAGGAAAGTGGAAAAAACATGACTATTTCATACCACTAGTAACACTATCTGATGTGCTCCCATAGGGAAGGTGACCTAGACCTGTGCAGTGTTTCATTTGCTCTGTGTATCTCTCCCATTTATGATGAGTACTCCTATTACTACTACTACTAGTAGTAAGAATAGTAATAATAATTACTACTACTACTACTACTACTTTATTTGTATCCTGCCACCATCTCCCAAAATGGACTCAAGGTGGTTTACAAAAGCACATAGTTGTGCAGAAGGTACAATAAAATACACAAACATTTATAAAACAATAACAATGTCAAGAACACAAAACAGATATACATAAAACAGAATATAAACCCCCTACTAATTTAAACAAAATATTCAATAAAATGCAGCAAAAGCCACAGATTAAAATTGGCCATAACAATTTCAGTCACATAAAGTGCTGCAGTCAAACAATTCACTTGGTCCTCAAGTTTTAACAGATGTTTAACCATGTTCAAAGACCTGCTTGAAGAGCCATGTTTTCAAGTTTTTCTGCAAACATTAGAGTGTGGGGTCTAGCCTAATTTATCTGGAGAGGGTGTTCCAAAGCTGAGGGGGCTCCACTGAGAAGGTCCTCTCCCTTATCCCCACCAACTGCACTTGAGATGGAGGTGGGACTGAGAGGAAGGCCTTCCTGACAGATCTTAGAGCCCCTGCCAATTCATAGGGGAGTATGTGGTCTCGAAAATAGGTTGGACCTGAACCATCTAGGGCTTTGTAGGTAATAACCTGCACTTTGGATTGGGAAACTTGTCGGCAGCCAGTGGAGTGCTTTTATTGGGGCGTGGTATGCTCCACTTCCTGCATGATGCAAGTGTCTGTTTTACCTAGGCAAATGAAAGAAGATACTGGATGGAATAGAAAAGGGAAACAAGAGGGAGTTAAAGAATTGGCCTTGACCTTATGCATGCTTGAAACATCATTCCTCTGGAAAATACAGTTATCTATGTTCTAAAACTGCAAAGAGAAAGATACTTACCTATACATGCTGGAGGAGGTTGCCAGCCACGAGCAGTGCAGAAAGAGGTTTCAGTGTTACGATATCCTTCCTCACAGGATGCATCAATTGAGTCTTGATATTGGTACAGCAATTGCTCTGGTCTAATGTTCCCATGATCAATTTGTGGTTGTCGGCATACAATAGCTTTATAATGAAACATAAATTCAGTTGACACTTGACCAATAAACAAGTTAGGGCGTTATTTCTCTATTAATCATCACTTATTAGAGACCATATTGTTACTGTTCCTCTTGTGGGAAATTAAAATATTTCATTTTATGGTTCTTGGAATAGAATAGATAAAAATATTTAGTCGTTAAGAATGCAAACAGGACTTAAGAGAAACTGAAATCACAAGCTAGATTCAGTCTAAATCAGAGTTAGTCAGCTTTGAGTCTGTGCTGTATTCCTTTCTCAAAACAAAGTTTGGTGTTACCTTGTGGAACTATCAATGCTTGTACACCCTTTCCTCCCATGATTTCCAAATGTTTAGATTCAGATAGTGAATTCTATAGAGTTAAGGATCACATACCTACCAGGTTGAAGGAGTTGTTATGTGGCATCACATTATTACAAGTTCTGACTACACATGATAGGCAAGACATTTGTGATCCTAAAAAAAATCTGATTATGCTCCCTTCCTCCAAAAAATATAGAATGTGAGAATTCTAATGATGACAATTTAATATTAGAGAAAGGGGCTTTGCTGTTAATGTTCAATTATTAAAATGTTGTCAGAGTCAAAAGGAGCCCCCAGTGGTACAGTGGGTTAAACTCTTGTGCCAGCAGGACTGAAGATTGATAGGTTGGACCAGTGATTCCCAAGGTGGGCGTTACCGCCCCATAGTGGGTGCTGCAGCGATCGGGGGCGGTAATGGCCATAAGTGTGTTTGGGGGTGATTAATAACTGTAAGGGGGCAGTGAAAGAAAGAAGAGAAGATTTAGAAAAAATGATTTCCAGGGGGTAGGCCAAATAAGTTTGGGAATCACTGGGTAGGAGATTTGAATCTGAGGAGAGCATGGATGAGCTTGCTCTGTCAGGTCCAGCTCCCCATTCAGGGACATGACAGAAGCCTCCAACAAGGATGATAAAACATCAAAACATCTGGGCATCCCCTGGGCAACATCCTTGCAGACAGCCAATTCTCTCACACCAGAAGCGACTTGCAGTTTCTCAAGTCACTCCTGACACACAAAAATGTCTAAAAGCAGTTTCTCCAAAACAAAATTTTAACAGTGTAAGATCCTGAGCAATAAATTAATTGGGAGCTATTCTAACCCTGAAATAAAGAACTATGGAATTTGTGGGGCTTTTTAAAGGAGCCAATAGCTGTTTAAAAATTAATCATTCAATTGAACATACATATAAAAAAAGACTAAGGGGATGTCTACACTATATAATTAAAACAGTTTGATATCCCTGTAACTGCCAGGTCTTAGAGATGTGGAAACCAGGAATCTGAGGTTTGGTGAAGTATTAAAACTCTTTGGCAGAGAAGTTAAAAGACCTTGTAAAACTACAATTTCAATGATTCCATAGCACTAAGGTGTGACAGTTAAAAGGGTGTCTGCATTAATTCCATGGTGTAGTGTAGAGGCACCATAAGAAGAAGAAAAATGTTTTAGACCATTAAGCAATTTTCTTAACAATAAAACAAACATAATGCTGAACAAATTTGATTTTATCTTACAAGAGAATTTTACCTTTGTCTTAATTCAGTTTCTTTTACTAAAAATGCATCCTGTGGAGGCATTAAGTAAGAAATTCCCACTGTATACAGTGGAACCTTCTTACAATGAAATGTGTACAAGTGTGAACTGTAACCATAGATGTCCTTTGCTTTAGAAACATACAGACCTGTACATTCAACTCTTGTGTTCCATCCATCCCGTGTGCATGTTGCGTCCTCTCTATCTACAGGTTTATATCCATCATCACAGGAAATTTGTATCCGTTCACCATTCCGGTAAATGGTCTTTGAGTTTCTTACACTCCCATGGGCAATATTAGGTGGTTCGCATGTTATTTCTATTGCAAAATATAAACAAACATTATTTAGTAAAACCTTCTGTTATTAGAACCCAAGAGTTGGAAGAGACCACAAGGGACATCCAGCCCCTGCTTAAAATCCTACAGGGAAGGAGATTGCAACACACTCCGAGGTAGCTCATTCCACTGTCAAACAGCTCTTAACATCACAAAGTTCTTCCTAAGGTTTAAATTGAATACTTATTCCTCAATTTGAATCCATTGCTCCATTGTGCTCTAGTCTCCAGAGCACCATAAAACAAGCTCACCTCCTCTTCAATGTGACATAATTTCAAATATTTAGACATAACTATCATGTTAACTCTCACTCAGACCACTTTTCTCCAAGCTAAACTTACCCAACCTCTTCAGCCATTCCCCAAAGTCTTGATTTCCAAACCTTTGATCACTTTGGTGGCCATTTTATTATCTGAAGAGAAATTAGTCCAGTCCTAGCTCTCCCACAAAGTTTTTCCACTTCCAAAGGTTATTGTTTGGTAAATCCGCTTAGTTTTGTTAACCCCATGTCAGGAAATGTCAGGAGAGTATTCCAGGATTTTGGGGTAGTGTGGACTGCAGGACTGAATTTGAATCAGAGCTCTCCACTATTCAACTGGGGCCTGCCTTCCACCTCTTTTTTTGCCGGTGCTCATCAGTATAGGGAAAAGAAGGTATATAATCAAGTATTGACTCCATCGTTACTCACGTGACCTCATCACACTTACCAAGTGTCCTAGGACCCTTGCCAGCTAGTTGAGGGATGCATGGGCATGCAGCCCATCACACAACGTTCCTCAACTTCTGGCAGAAGCCGCATCCCCAACTGGCATGAAAGTATCCTAGGATACTTCTTTATTAACATGGGAATGCTCCGGTTCTTCATTAACATGGGAATGCACCATGTGATGGGGAAAGTGCTGGACACTTTCCCCATCACATGGTGATGGGGAAAGCACACAAATAGCACAGGGTGTGTGTGTGATAAAGTCCCTAGATAACCACAGAGCTCCATGCAACCTCCTGGTTATCGTGGACATCCCATACTGACACCCACACGACCAGCAGATACCGACACAACCAGGAAGAAGGAGTCAGAGATCATCCCCATCTTCCTGGTCACATGAGCACTTTTGTGGATATCAACATGGGTTGCTTGCAATGTCCAGGAGCTCCTATGAAACTCACAATCATTTGGGAGAAGCAACAGTAATACAGACAGTAAGGCGACAGTCCAGTGTGGCCAGTGTAATCTTAGTCCAGCTGAATGACTGAACTCAGACTCATTTGGAAGAGGGCATGTGGTGACCTCCAGGGCCTGCCAGAGGCATTTCTGCTCTAGATTGGCCCAGATTATCTAGCCAGTGCAGGCATGGTCTATCTCTAGTTTTATGCTCTCCTAATCTAATATGATTCACATAAGTATAATGGTGGTGAAGGGCTTCTTATCATTCTAATTTAAAATGGACCATATCCTAGGCTAGCAAAATAAAGTATTCTAAATAACTTCCAATCAATAATTTTGAAGATGCATCAAACTCCCACTTCAGTCACCCCCTCAAATCCAAAAAAGGAATTGATTGAATTAAATTCAAATTATATCTATTCGAACATTTAAATATGACTTTCTTTTATCCAATTAGCAGTATTAAAGAATGAAACAAATCTTTAATCTAGGATCTGGATAGCTGATTATCTTTGTTTCATATTCTGCACACCCCACTAACCGACACATGTTGGTACTTCTGCACTCCAAGTTCCATCAGAAGTACAAACTATTTGATTGGAGCCTTTGATTTTGAAGGGATCATTACATTCAAATTGTAGTAGGTGGCCATAAGGAAAATCTTGGTTCAGATCCATTATGCCAGTCATAAGGATTCTTCCATTTTTTGGTTCTCTTACAGGGAAACACTTTGTTACTGGAAAAAAAGTAATATTATCATTTAAGGTTTAGCAAGTTATTTGTCAGATATAAATATGGCAGGTATGATAGACAAGAAAAACAATGAAAGTAATTTAAAAGATTATTACTAAAACTATAATATAGTTTTTATAAAAAAAATCACATGACATTCTTAACCCTCTTTCTTAGAATCATATCATCAGTAAATATTCTAAAGATATCAGATCCCCTCTGTTCTTAGAAAATAAGAAGGCTCAGTCCTGGTTAATACTTGGATGGGAAACTGCCAAAAAAGATTTAGCTATATTTTTCAGGAGGGAACTGGTTTAAATCCATTGTTTTCCATAAATTGAGAAGCAGTGTGAAGGCAGATAGACAACTTGAAAAGCAATGTCTTATCAAGTTTTCTTTAATTTTAAGATTTCCATTTTAGTTGCTTCTCACATTCCTAATCAAGAAAAATGTTGTCCAGGGATTTATACTGTTTATTAATCCAGAGATGGGAAATGGTCACAGAGGACACATTGGCCCAACATAGCAAATTGGAAAATCCCACCTGCTTTATTGTATATGCTGGAGTTACACTTAAAAATCATAGTAGGTGGCTAAAAGGAAAATCTTGGTCCAGATCCATTATTCTGACTTACGCACAAATTCAGTTGAAGAATAAACCTATAAAACCTATCTTGTTCATAACCTGGGGACTGCCTGTAGTGATAGATGACCAGGACTATATTGTAGTTAATATTGAGTATTGGAAGTCTTGCATAAAAGAATCACTGTACCTTAAGCTTTAATTAAAATAATTCTACATTTTACCTTTTAATTGATTCATCTGAGTTTTGTCCTTTTTGGTTTCCATTAACCCACCTATTCTGAAGCCCAGCAAATAGAAAAAGATCTTATTTTTAAATTCTAGTGAACAGGAATATTCATGTTTCTCCCAGCGCCCCCAAAACAAACTGGCAGAATCTTGAGCTCTATGGAGGATTTTCAGGGGATAGGCCTTTTTAAAAGTAAAGACAACAAACAGTAAAGTTTGTTCAACTCTTGTGTAAACCGACAGTATATTGGAAAGGATACTTACTTTCACAGTGAGGAACATCATTACTCCATCCATCTGCCCGGCATTCTCGGTAATTTGTATGACTGAGCATTTTATAACTGTAAGATCAAAAAAGGCCCTCATAACATTGAGATCCTGAAGCTGGGGAACAGGAGGTGCATTCATTGGGCAGTGGGGCAAATTTGGCAGGCAGAGTGGGAACCTCTCATCCCATGACCACATTGCCCCCTTCTCCATCCCTTGGGGGGGAAAGTCTCGCCACCTGGCTTCCCCCCATGTTTTACCCATTCTACTTTATGAGAACATGAGAAAACTCCCATGTTTTCAGGGTTCCATTATAGGATTATTTCAACATGGAGCCAAGATGTAGCCCCACTGGAGGCAGCCCTGCATGTTATGATGGGTTCCACCTGTCTGCGTCCTGGTACCCTTTTCAAATAGAGCCCAGATCTCATATGAAGAGGTCAAAAGAGAGTGTGGAATAAGTATAAGAATAAATTTTATGCAAAGAGGTCATTATGATGCTCCCCACTTAAGCTGTTTAGAAGGGAAATTGCCTTGAAAGCCAAATGATTGTCCTATAAAAACCTTCTGTTATTGAACAATGAGAAACACAGTTTGAACACGCGAGAGTCGTTATTGCTAGCGGGTTTCAAAATACAATGGCTCGCTTAAAGACAAATTACAGAATGGTTTAAGATGGAAAAAAATCGATTTGAATTTTCCATTGACAAGCCTGAACTTGAAACTGTTCTATATACTGAAGATGATCATTTGATTGCCAAGCTATGCAAAATATTGTTAAAATATTAAATGGAGGAGGACAGGTGAAGGATGTTATAGTTAAGTGGGCACAAACCATTGGTAAACAAATGCAGATGGAATAACAGGAAAGGACCAGGACAAAGAGTTTGAAATTTTCATTAATGGTCTAAAATAAAACTTTTGTAAGATGATGCAAATATTTATGGTATACAATACCACAAAGACATTCTAAGATTGCTGGAAAAGTGTGGAAAATGCTGGTGCATTTTATCATATGTAGTGGTTGTATAAAAAGGTTCAGAAATACTAGATGTAAATATATCTGATTCCAGAAGAAATTGTTAAAAGTTAAATCTGAGATCAAACTTGAACTCTATTTGTTAGGGATGTTACACAATCAACTTGAGAGAAAATGTGGAAGAATCATGTTATATATGACTATGACAGTTTTTTCAACAAATACTGTGTCAATTTGTCTTAACATTCTAAAGGGTATTTCTTAATCTGTTTTAATATAATTGTAGTACTTGGTCTCTACTCTTTTTGTGATAAAATATACATATCCCATGATAAATATTGCAGCCTGAAAATTAATTCAAGAAGTATGTTCTACTTCCAGTTCTATCGCCTTACTTTGCTTCTCTATAAAAATGAGTAGACCTTTTATAACAGTGCTTCTCAACTTGGGGGTTGGGACCCCTGTGGGGGTCACAAGGGAGTGTCAGGGGGGGCTGCCAAAGAGCATCAGAAAACATAATATTTTTTGTTGGTCATGGGGGTTCTGTGTGGGAAGTTTGGTCCAATTCTATCATTGGTGGGGTTCAGAATGTTATTTCATTGTGGGTGAACTATAAATCCAAGAAACTACAACTCCGAAATATGAAGGTCTATTTTCCCCAAACTCTTCCAGTGTTCACATTTGGGCATATTGAGTATTTTTGCCAAGTTTGGTCCAGATCCATCATTGTTTGAGTCCACAGTGCTCTCTGTAGGCGAATGGCAACTCCCAAACTCAAGGTCAATGTCCACCAGACCCTCCCAGTTCTGTGTGCCAAGCTTGGTTCAATTCCATCATTGGTGGTGTTCAGAATGCTCTTTGGCTGTAGGTGAACTTTAAATCCCAGCAACTACAACTCCCAAATGACAAATCGGAATCCACAAAAGCCCTTAACTGAAAAGCTTGTCATTTTTACATTTATTATTCTATTTTTTCTTTTGATAACTCAGTTAAGATTTCCAGAGTTAGTATAAAAAGAAAAGGTGACAAAGGGTGTCTCTGGTTATCACAAATTCTAGTGACACATCCATTGGCTTTTGGGGTATTTGGAATGGTTTATATCCATGAAATAAAATTAATCATTTCCAGCACAGCCATTGTAAATTACAAATTCACATTAACACTTTTTCTGTACTTCCATCCAAATCAATGTCTCTGGTCTCTCATTATGACTATTTAGGCATTCCAAAATGTCCAACATATTTATATTTTCAGATGGAAATCTCCCAAGTTTTTTTTAAACTCTCACATTGGTCATCATATATTAAGACCTGAATAACTGTTTTCACCTCTGTTAAAATTTAGACGTATATTGTACAGTTATTATTCAGGAAAGAAATGTTGAAAAATCTTGGGATTTTTTTTCATATCACAGTATTTTTTCTGTATAAAGCATCTAGCATCTTCTCAGATCTTTAACTTGAATTTATTGTCTGTTGTAATTGCACAATAACTCATCTTCCAGTATTATAGCTGTTAACCCACCCAGTTCTGCTGCCTTCCTTATCATTTCAACAGCATTCACCATTTTACCATTCACAATCATCTATCCTTATTTTTTCTTTTGTCAAGTTACCCAATAAATCTTTTCTTTTGCTTAATGTTTTGATTTGCTTTATAATGTTATGTGTATTATTATGTTGTTGTTTTATTGAGGCCTTGGCCTTTGTAAGCTGCATCGAGTCCTTCGGGAGATGCTAGCGGGGTACAAATAAAGTTAATAAATAATAATAATAATCTTTCTGTTTGGCAACTGATAAGACTTTTTACATTAGATACCGATAATATCCTTTGTTCCAAAATTGTAAGTTCATTACAAGGGTTTTAATAAAACTAATGACTGATATACATTATTATGATCTAGATCTCCATAATGAACACCCATTCAACAAAAGTAGGGACGGGGTAGAGAAAAAAATGGATTTACCCTTCCTCGCATCGGTACTCAACACGAGCACCAAAAGAAAAATCTTCTCCTTCAACAAGTTCAAAAGAGCCGGACTGGATATCCCCAGGATGTCCACAAGGTTTTTCTGAAATTTAAAAAATGAAGCACATAAGTCAACATAAAATGTATTGCTAGAAAATAAGGCATTTTAGAGCCAAGCAAAATATTGGGAGAAGTATAGGAATGATGCAAGAGGACACTTTGTTAGTGCAATACTAAAATATGTAAATAATTGGAGGGCTAAGGTTTCATCCTAATAATAATAATAATAATAATAATAATAATAATAATAATAATAATAATAGCATGCTGTTTAAGATCCTAAAGTTTTTTAATTCTCATTTATTTCAGGCTTTTATATCCCGCCCTATCTCAACGTCCGCAGAGGGACTCAGGACGGCTAAATAAATACATATATATATGGCCCTCCACATTCATATGAGTTGGGGTTTAGGCAATTGAGAATATAATGGAAATGTAACGTGGCTACCTTGCAGATCTGGGGGAATCCTCAAAAGTTGGAGAATGTGCCCTACAGCCACCCACCAAAATTTTGATGCCACTACATACACATTCACACATGGCAACCCATGCCTTGAGAGTAAGGTGGAATGAGTGATCATAAGTGCTGCTCCCCTCCTGTAGCCTGGAGTCACTGCAAACACATCCGAATAGCGCTTCCCTGCCTCAGAAGAGAAGAGTGGGTGAATCATGGCAGCTACCACCCCTTCCTAAAGCTAGAGCTACTTGTTACATGCACATTCACATAGCAGAAATACTATCACTAACCAACTCTTGATGTCTACACAACGGGTATCTTCCTGAGTTGATTGGCAAAAGAGATTGCTGTGCCCCCTCCCCCCACAGTGCTAAACCCCAGGAAGAATGGGACAGCAGCAATGTCTATTAGATAGAGATCATTGGTACTCTGCTCACATGAAGCCGAAGGTCACTGTTCCTATATTCATTCAGCAGCCCAAAACCTCTGGATGGACTTGGCAGCAGTCATGGCAATCACTGGTGCCCCTCTCCTGAAACCCAAGCTGAATGTGTATGTGGCAGCTTCAGATTTGGGGGATGGGATTGAAGGGCCAGTGGCAAACTCAAAAAATGTGGAGGGGCAATTTTATATAAGGCCTTCCCATTTGAGAAGGGAAGATCCATCTGGCTTATTCTGCTCATCTGGAGGGACTGAGTAAGGCTGCTTATGTCATATAGAAAATGTACAAATCAAGTAGCAAGAAGGGTTACCATCAATCAGTAAGTCACGTTAGTAGCATCTTAGTTTTTTCCAAAAGTAGGACTTAAGAATGAAATAGAAAAATGCAAAAAGTAACAGTGAACATATACAAATCTTGTGTTACTTTAGTTGAATATGTTGGTCAGTTGTTGTAAGTTATCTTGAAAGCCATGTTTGGTCTCATATTCAGAGAAAATCAAGATATAAATTAAATCAACAAATAAACAAATTACAGATTAAAAATGTTACAAAAATGGACTTCCTGGTGCTGATCCCATAGTGCTTGCTTATCCCTATAACTAAATTCTTCAGTTACGTTGAAGGCTTACTTTTGCATTGAATGTATGGTGGTGTTTCATCCCATCTTCCATTATTGCATTTCAATCGAAAGCGTCCAACTTTTATGTACCCAGGTCGGCAGTTGTACAGAACATATTCATTATGTGAATATGACTCTTTGACTGTCAGATCTGCAAGTTCTTCCCTTTCTCTTCTAGGTGGTGGCCCACAGTCAATCTGAGCTATAAACAAATGAAAAGTCAGAAATATAGATAACAAATCAGTTCTTGTTCTTTCCTCATTCATTACAAAGACAGTAGCACTCCAAGGAATCAATAATAAAAGGAAAATGGAGGTGAAGGTACGGTACCTGATGCAGCACTAGCACTTTCCATTCTCTGTGAATGATCCACAACTCATATAAAAATCTCTAATTTGAGCACTCAAAGGTGCCCTCAACTTATATGTTTGGTCAACTTATACATGATTATATATGTTAATTTATATGCCATTGTTCTCTTGGAGTGGGGTCTAAGGCAGAAATGTATGAAATAAAAAATAAATAAAAATAACTCCAAAAGCAATAAATTAAATTTAAAACATTTTATGCACAATTAAAACAATTTAAAATTGTATCAGCCTAACCATGCCTACATAATACTATGAAAAACTCTTTTACTCTGCTTCATACAGCTACTTAAAATCAATTTCTGTTATACTGTGCTAGCCAAAGCAGGAAACACTATAAAAGACTCCTTCTAAGGGGCCATCTACACTGACCATTTAACTGCATTAAATGGTCAGTGTAGATGGGGCCTTGATTGTTTCTTTTCTCCTGCCTTTTAATAAAGAAAAAAAGAAGGAAGAGGGGATAGGTAAGAGAAGGAGATAAATAGAAATTAGTCCCAACAAAGCTAATGGAATTGACTGTAACAGTTCTGAGAAATGATATATCGTATCAAAAGCATTGCATAAATTAGTTTGAACTGATAAAAATAGAAGGTGTGCAGGTGACTAAATATCTTTTGACCAAAAGCGGGCAACATAAATGGCACTGTCTGTAGCCTCCAACAATTCCTTCTCTGTACATGAGGCAGGGCACAATGGACAAGCATACAGTTGCAGAGTTGTCTGTTCTGCTCCACAGTCACACAAGGTATGGGATTCTTTTAGGTAGTGCCATTTTGCCGAGTTGTCTTTTGATCTGCCCACACTGCTTCTGAGTCTATTCAGGGACTTCCAGGTTGCCTATTCTTGGTTTTCCCCTGGAGGAAGACCCTTGTGGGGGGCCATCCAGTTGGGATTTCCTGTTTTGGATGCCCAGAGGGATACCCTTGCTGTTGCTGGAGTGACGCCAAGAGGAGCGATTGTTCTCATAAAGCTTTTCCTTGATTTGAGTCTAATGGGAGGAGGCTGGTAGCCATGTAGTGATGTATATTGTGATTCTTATAGTAAGTCTGCAATTGTATATATAGAAAGGATATACAGACTTACTATAAGAATCACAATTCATATCCATAGCTGTACACAAATAAAAGGAAGTAGCTGTATACACATAAAAGAAAGAATACTTTTCAAATGTTAATCAAGGACAAATATCAATTTCAGAATAATATTTGCCTTTCCAAAATATCAGAAGACACTCTGTTCAATATTTACTATGTTGTTGTCTTCTGTCTACAGTACAGAGCAGAGTTCTGTAGGATTTCATTTCAGGGAATACACACAGAACTGCCATCCTAATCTCAGTATTTTGGTTGGAGTAAATGTCATACTTTACTTATCCAAATTCTACAGCAAGGGTGGAAAAGCTGTTTTGCCAAGGGGTATGAACCAGCTCCAGGCAACCATGCAAAAAGCCACCTTTCAGCTCTCAGAAGCCAGAGCTCCAAATAGGTGTTATCGAGAAATCTACCCCAGCCCTCCTCTAATAATAATATCTATAAATTTATAACATTTTTGTACAGATATTAGCTGGGTTTGAAGCTCCAGCCCAGCCCCAAACATGGATTAATATAATAATTTACCAAGTCTAAAACTGGTTTGGCAGGAGACTCCCTGCAGGCCAGAGGCAATGCCCATCCAAGGGAGACAATGGACTCACACCCCTTATAATGGTTTACCTTGACAAAATATTTTGTAGCTCTTGAGTCTAGATTCAGGTTTATGCTTTATTAATAAACAGGGGAGAGAGAAAGAAGACTCATATATACATACACAAAACTGGGGTGCAACCATAGACATACATTTCTGGGCACCCAAAGAAACCTGATATGATATATGAGCTTGTGAAAGTCTTTGGGGAGGGAGGGGGGTGTTGAACATCCAGGAAGCCAGTCTGATATCCGGCTGAGTGAGAATCCCCTTGGGGAAACATGGCCTTTTTAGAGATGAAATTAAGGGTTTTATTTATTTCGTGTCAAAAGCATTGCATAAATAAGTACAATAAACTGATAAATAGAGAAAGCACAGGTGGCTAAATAATTTTTGACCAAAAATTGGCAACAGTGATCACATTTTCAGTAGTTTTAAACAATTCTTCTTCTGTATATGGGCATTGTGGACAAATATACAGGTGTGATGTTTGTTCGGCTCCACAGTTGGACAAGATGGAGAATTCTTTTAGGTACTGTTGGGACTCAGCCTGTGATTGAACCTGAGCCTGTGCTTGAACCTGTGAATGTGTTTCAGTCTCCTATGTTTCTGTGTCTGATGTGGGTAATGCTTCTGATGTGGTGGATGCTGGGACTGACTTTGAGGTGCAAGATGGAGACACTTTGGTCAATGGGTTTCATGCAGACACTGACAGAGAGGTTTGGGGGCAAAGAGCAGATTCTCATGAGCATGGTTCTGTCCGGCCTCAGGAGAAAGGTTTACTCCCTCCGTCTGTGAGCCCTTCAGATTCTAGTTTGGAAAACAGTCTGACACCTGCTAAAGTTAATGAGGAATCAGATAAACAGAGTCAGTGGCTGGAGATTATCCAGAATCGACAAGAGGCCCAATGTTTACGTAGATCCGAAAGAATTCGTCAATTAAAGTCAAAGACTAGGGAAAACCGAAATCAGTTCTTGGGATTTAAGGTTTGCCGGTAGAAAATCTTGTCAGATCAGGCATCATTTAGAAACCTACCACAAGTCTCATGGAATTCCTGTTCAAGTGATCTCGTCTTCAAGGTTTTTTCTAGCCTTTCAACTTGACTAGCAGGGTCTGGTTTGTTCTTGCTTCTTGGTTGATTCCTGCCTGGATTATCAGTGCCTTGGAATATTATTTTATGCTTTTTGAACATTACTTTTGAATGCTATGTTTGGATGCTGTGTCTTCTTCCTGCCTTTAAATGCCTTATTGCTTTTTGGAATCTTATCTATCTTTACAAGCATTTATTTTTACTGGCTTTTTTTGCTAAGCCTTAATAAAAAGGATTGTTCCTTCACTCAACGTGTCAGAGGGGCCATTTCCTGCTCTGGACATTTTGCCAGGTTGTCTTTTGACTTGCCCACTGCACTTCTGAGTCTGTTCAGGGACTTCCAAGTTGCCTGTTCTTGGTTTGGCCCTGGAGGCAGACCCTTGGAGAGGGAGCATCCAATTGGGATTTCCTGGTTTAGCTGCCAAAGGGATACTCTTGCTTTTACTGGGGGAACATTAAGATGAGTGGTGATTCTCATGAAGCTTTTCCTTGATTTGAGTCTACTGGGAGAAGGCTGATAGCCATGCAGTGGATGCCTTTCACAGTGTTCACAGAGTTCAACCTTATTTCTCTCACAGTTAGCAGCAACTTTCTGTCAGACACAGAGGCGGCCCTAGGTAATTTTCAACAGTAAGCAAACAGTATTTTGCCCCCCCCCCCCAACCAATCACTGATATATATTTTCTGTTCATCGTGGGAGTTCTGTGTGCCATATTTGGTTCAATTCCATCATTGGTGGAGTTCAGAATACTCTTTGATTGTAGGTGAACTATACATCCCAGTAACTACAACTCGCATATGTCAAGGTCCATTTTCTCCCAAGAGCACCTCAAGAGCACCCCTGGGCAAAATCAACTATACTGCAAATGCTTACGTTACGTAATGGGTTGAGCCGCCCCTGGTCAGACATCATACTGTCTAACTTTATCAGGTGAAGAACATGATATAGGTGGCCAAGCAACATCACAATGATCAAGGTGGTCAGTTATTATTGAGGAAAAGAACACAAGCTAGGAGAGGCTGCAACAGTTTACTTTTGCCTAAGACAACTGAGAAGGGGAAGATGCTGCCATTTGTCTTCTTTGCTCTCTGATGAGTTAACTGGGTGCAAATTACTTTTGCATTTTGCTCCCTGTTTGCATCAATTCAAATAATTTAAGGGCAGTGGGTTGAAGATAAAGAAACCAGGACGTCAAAAGTAAAAAAAATTAGGGTGCGTTGGGATTGTCCCTACCAAATTGGTGGAGTGGGGCAGGCCCGCAGCCAGGATTTTGTTTCGGGGGGGGGGGGGGGCTAAATTTTTTTCAGGGGGGGTTTCGGGGGGGGGGGGGGGGGCTGAGTTTGAGTGAAAGAGCGTCTAGCCTAGCGAACCTTTTGTATCATTAACCCAATATCCCCATGCATATGGGATATATTGAGTATGGTGATCAGATCATGATATGAATAAACATAACAGTTTAAATAATGCACCAGTAAGGCCTTTTCATGAACCACCATGAGAATTTCGGGGGGGGGGGGGCTAAAGCCCCTCAAGCCCCTCAAGCCCCCCCCCGACTACATGCCTGGAGTGGGGGGAATGGAAGAGGAGTCACTCATTTCTGGGCCTATAGAAAAAAGAGCTTCCTTTGCTCCAGGCAGCAGCTAGCCAAAGTTATCTAAGCACAGAGAAAGAAAGCACTGTCCTTCTTTGTACCTAAATGTCTGGCTTTCTGTTTGGCATGAAAAAGATACATGACCCCCCACCTACCCACCCAGTAACACTGAAGCATTATAATCTTAGTAGACTCTCTACTTATTTTTCAAATGAGGAAGCATGCTGGGGAAATCCCCATATTACCTCCATTGAAAGATAAAAGATAAGGTAGATTTACCCTACTTGCCTTCCCAATGGAAAAGAGAGACAATCCTCGTACTCTCTCCAATCAGAGGAGCCCCCTTTGTTTTCACTACAACCAGTTTATAATTCATTAGTCAGAGACCGCAGAGCAGCCAGACTTAAACACATAGCTCTAAATAGCATAGCTGGTGACACAGTAGGTTAAACTGCTGAGCTGCTAAACTTGTTGACGGAAAGGTTACAGTTTCGAATCCGGGTAGCAGCATGAGCTTCCGCTGTCAGCCCCAGCTTCTGCCAACCTAGCAGTTTGAAAACATGCAAAATGTGAGTAGATCAATAGGTACCGCTCTGGCGGGAAGGTAATGGCGCTCCATGCAGTCATACTGGCCACATGACCTTGGAGGTGTCTACAGACAACGCCCGCTCTTCGGCTTAGAAATGGAGATGAGCACCAACCCATAGAGTCGGATATGACTCGACTTAATGTCAGGGGGAAACCTTTACCTTTACCTAAATATAGTCCACAGTAAGGATTTAAATCCTCAGTAATTTCTTCCTTGTATGGGAGAACTACTAAAGGATTCCACCCACATGGAAAATGTAATTAACAAGGCTTCTGGAAAAGAAGCTCATTTTTGAAAAGTATTTTTTTACCTGGCCACCCCTATTTTTATGTTTTGTTCTGACTAGCTAGCTAGATATTTTCAGCAGCATTCGTACTGGGAGTAAGGTGAAGGAGAGCTAGAGAAATATGCAATCACAATGTTGAGTTGCAGTAGTGTGCTTGCAAGAAACAACGCCATGACGTTTGAGCTGGGAAAGCATGGGCTTTTACTTGCTTACAGTAGACAAATGAAACAACAAGTACCACCAGAATTTCTCATTCAGCATACATGAACAGCAACCCCACTACCATCTCCCCAAGGGACTTGGTACGGCTTACATGAGGCCAAGCCCACAGTACATCAGTAAACAGAAACTGTGCTGATACATCTGTACCAGGAGCTCCAACTTTATTTTCTTTCTATTAAGTGTTTGCATGCATTCCAAAGTTTCAGGGATTCTGCAAAAAGGTGGCTTCCTTTGGTTTGCAGTCATAGGGCAAGCCACCTGTCTATATTGTTAAGTTTGGATCCGCCCCTTCTCCCAGGGACATTTTAGTTAGTCTTACAGAAGGAAACCAAGTTATAGGACGTGGAGTAGCTTCTCCACAGAAAAGCTTAACTTCTTAGGAATTCCAGGGACATTCCTGGGGAAAACAGTCCCAAAGCTCTGGCAGGGTGCTCTCAGCCTTACAGCATCTGAGGGAAACAGCCCTGAAAGTTCTTGAGAAATTCCGGAGGGAAAACAGCCTTACAGACCCAAAGAACTCCAGCTGGAGAATATCCAGGCCTTTGCTGGTAGGTCTACCAGCTGGTAGGTCTACCGTCCAAGATGCGGTTTGGATCGGGTTGTAGTTCCAACATCAGTAAAGCTTAGATAATAGACAGCCTGGGAGAGGTTAAAAAAGGGTTTTCCTCTAACATAAAGGAACAGTTAACAAAGTCAGTTGCCTGTCCCTTGTGGACAAGATTAAGGAAGCCACCAGTTGATTCAAAGTCTTGAAGCATTTGTTTGATTCATTGAAGATTTGAGAAATATCTGTTTAATTTGTTCAATAATAAAGGACTTTGTTTAACCTTTCAAGCCATCTAAAGACCATTTCTTCAGGAAAATCCATGAGGGCCTCTTTCGAGGCGCCCTGGCTTTCCACTGGGCACAAAGTGCACATCCTATTCAAAGTCAATTGTTACAGGCCCAGCGCATGACAGAACAGAAACAATTAACAAAAGCAATCAATACAATACAATTAATAAAAATCACATAAACAAAAAATAAGCCATAAACAATAAACAGTAACACACAGCGTATTGTCGAAGGCTTTCATGGCTGGAATCACTAGGTTCTTGTGGGTTTTTTCGGGCTATAGGGCCATGTTCTAGAGGCATTTCTCCTGACGTTTCGCCTGCATCTATGGCAAGCATCCTCAGAGGTAGTGAGGTCTGTTGGAATTAGGACAATGGGTTTATATATCTGTGGAATGGCTGGGGTGGGGCTAAGGAGCTCTTCCCTGCTGGAGCTAGGTGTGAATGTTTCAACTGACCACCTTCATTAGCATTTGAAGGCCTGGCTGAGCCTGGGAAAATCCCCTGTTGAGAGGTGTTAAGGTGTGCCTGGTTGTTTCCTCTCTGTTGTTTTGCTGTTGTAATTTTAGAGTTTTTTAATACTGGTAGCCAGATTTTGTTCATTTTCATGGTCTCTTCCTTTCTGTTGAAATTGTCCACATGCTTGTGGATTTCAATGGCTTCTCTGTGTAGTCTGACATGGTGGTTGTTGGTGTGGTCCAGCATTTGTGTGTTCTCAAATAATATGTTGTGTCCAGGCTGGTTCATCAAGTGCCATAGCAGAGCACAATTTCAACAGAAAGGAAGAGACCATGAAAATGAACAAAATCTGGCTACCAGTATTAAAAAACTCTAAAATTACAACAGCAAAACAGCAGAGAGGAAACAACCAGGCACAGCTTAACACCTCTCAACGGGGATTTTCCCAGGCTCAAGCAGGCCTTCAAATGCTAATGAAGGTGGTCAGTTGAAACATTCACACCTAGCTCCATCAAGGAAGAGCTCCTTGCCCCACCCCAGCCATTCCACAGATATATAAACCCATTGTCCTAATTCCACAGACCTCACTACCTCTGAGGATGCTTGCCATAGATGCAGGCGAAACGTCAGGAGAAATACCTCTAGAACATGGCCCTACAGCCCGAAAAAACCCACAAGAACCTAGTAACACACAGCATTTAAAAAACCTATGGCCAGGCCAAATGTAATAATTTAAAATTTAAAAAAATAATACTGGGCATGAACATGGTAGAATATAACTGGGATAGAGTTTTCAAAAAGAGATGAGGGAACACAGTCAGTCCTGAATCAATGGTAAAGTGCATTTTGAGGGCATATTGCTGAGGTTAGCCTGTCTCATGATGTAATAGGACCGATGTCCAAAGATCCTCAAGCACAGAAAATTACGTATTAAAGAGACTCAAATATTCATCTGAAAACTATGGTGCTTTTACAAAGCTGCCCTTTTGCTAGTAGAACTGGCAGTGATACAAATCTATGCAGAGAAATAATGTCTAATGACAACTTTTTGAGGAAAGGGGAGCATGTTTGCAATTGCATTACTCCAGTTCATCCTGAAACATAACAAATATATGTTTCAAGTTCATCCTGAAACATAACAAACATAACAGACCTCACAACCTCTGGGGATGCTTGCCACAGATGCAGGTGAAACATCAAGAGAAAATGCTTCTAGAACATGGCCATATAGCCCAAAAAACCCACAACAACCCAATAAATAAAAATGTAATGTTCGTTTGTGATACCATCAGAACTCAAAAACCACTGGGGGAATTGACACCAAATTTGGACACAAGACACCTAACAACCCAATGTATGTCCTCCACTCAAAAAAAATTGATTTTGTCATTTGGGAATTGTTGTTGCTGGGATTTATAGTTTACCTACAATCAAAGAGCATTCTGAACTCCACCAATGATGGAATTGGGCCAAACTTAGCACACAGGGCTCCCATGACCAACAGAAAAAACTGGAAGGGTTTGGTGGACATTGACCTTGAGTTTGGGAATTGTAGTTCACCCACATCCAGAGAGCACTGTGGACTCAAACAATGATGGATCTGGACCAAACTTGGCACGAATATTCCATATGCCCAAATATGAACACAGATGGAGTTTAAGGGAAATAGACCTTGACATTTGGGAGTTGTAGTTGCTGGGATTTATAGTTCGCCTACAATCAAAGAGCATTCTGAACTCCATCAATGATGGAATTGCACCAAACTTGGCACACAGAACTCCCATGACCAACAGAAAACACTGGAAGGGTTTGGTGGGCATTGACCTTGATTTTGGGAGTTGTAGTTCACCTATATCCACAGAGCACTGTGGACTCAAACAATGATGGATCTGGACCAAACTTGGCATGAATATTCCATATGCCTAAATATGAACACAGATGGACTTTGGAGGAAATAGACCTTGACATTTGGGATTTGTAGTTACTGGGATTTATAGTTCACTACAATTAAAGAGCATTCTGAAACCCACAGACGACAGAAATGGGGCAAACTTCCCACACAGAACCCCCATGACCAACAGAAAATACTCAAGGCCATCCAGTCCAACTCTCTTCACCAGGGCAAGAAAATGTAATCAGAGCCCTTCTGACAAAGAGCCATCCAGTCATAAAGATAGATAGATAGATAGATAGATAATGATTCTCTCTCACACACACAGATATTCTGTGTGTATCACAGATTTAAAGAGACCCTTAAAGAAGGACTATGATATGTTGCATATTCCAGAGTAGGCAAACCAGACACTCTCCACATCACCACTGACAAAGAAACAACAAGAAATACTGTTTACTCACAAGCATAAAGGAATTACATATATTAGAAACCAACACTTTCTCATTACTTTATTTTCCAGATCACCAGACTGGGCCACAGCAACACGTGGCAGGGGACAGCTAGTAACAAATATTATTTCTGATTCAATTACAGCATGGAAATCTAATAGGTTGTAATCTAGTGTTACTATGTGGATGGTTTCAAGCATCACCAACCTGAAGCATCACCTATTCCATCTTTCCATCAATAGAGGGTATCAGGAAAAAAGACAGAAGAAAGATAAAGTGTTAATGGTAAGATTATTTCCCCTGCAATCCAATACTTGTGGCAAGGTGACTGCATATTAAAAGCCTCATCTGATAACAGTCCTTTTGAATTAGTGGGGTTTTGGATTGGGGTTTTAATGAAGTCAACCATTGCTAATTTGCTATATATTACTTCAACATTATAACATATAACTTATTTAGCATTCAAAGACTACTTACCATTCAGAGGAGAACAAAGTACACATAGGAAAAGCAGAGCAGAGGAGCCCAACAAGGAGCCTGCCATCACAAAGCCTGGACAAGGGCTCCTACTCTTTCCCAATATTTTCTTCCCACTTCTCCCCCAGCCTTTTCAAAGTACACTTTGCCTTTTCTGAATGTTGCAATGAATGACCTCGCTTAAGCTTTTTTTCTTCAACAGCCACTCCCCTTTTAATCCTATTGCAACACACAAACAGACAACCTTTTCTTTTTTGGCAGGGAAATATGCAAACTATGTAAAAAAGGACTTCCCCAATTTCTCCATTGGCTCTGATCTTCCTGTTTGCTCTCAAGCTCTGGCACTGAGCACCAATGAATAATCTCATTTAGCAAACCCTAACATTGTTGTGTTTGTCTTTTGGTACTAAATACAAGTTGCTTAAAGGAATTCACTTTTTCTTTGGCAAGAATATGTAGTTTCATGCCCTATTATTAACAAATCAAAGGATAGTATTACAGTGGCTATTGACAGCTCCAAGTTCCTCATCTCAATAACCTGCACATCAAAGTTGCCACAATTTTTTCAGCTTTTGCTTCTATGTTTTTAACAGCTGCTTGATCTGCAAATATTAATGAATAGCAGTTAAAACAGAGAATAATGCCTGGATGTGTTTCTTCCCCTGCTCAGATGGCAAACCTACATTTTGGCTTTGAGCATGCCACATGTCTAATGCAATATGTATATGTTTCCAGTGTAAATGGGATTACCCAAACAACCCTTATCAGAAAGAGCAGTATAAGATATCACATGTCTGAATAGATACATTTCAATGCCTCTGAAAAAGTTTGATTTTATATTAAAAATTCAAAATGGCATACATTCTTAATACATAGGGTAAAAAGATCTTAATTCAACCTCACAACTGATATCTAAAAATCTCTCTATATCAGAAACTCACTGGCTAGTGCATTTACTTATATGAGAGGCTGCTGATAAGTATTTGGCTTTACCCAGAGAGAAACGGGATAGGAAGATGAAACTTTATATTTAGTCCACATACTCTCCACTGATATCAACACACTTCTTACATCGGTATTCCAAGTTCTGCATGCCTTGCAAAAAAGAAGGATTTCGGTTGTGCCTCAAACCAGTCATCCATAGCAGCCATGGCATCAGAAAAGGTGTGAAATTTTGTATCCTTGAGGTGTTTCTTCAGGTTTGGGAACAGATGATAGTTGGGGGGAGCTAGTCCCAGTGAATAAGGTGGGTGGTCAACCAGCTGGAAGCCTACCTCCACCAGTTTTGCCATGGTTGCTTGTGCAGTGTGAGCAGAGGCATTATCTTGTGGGAACAAGATCCCTTTGGACAGCTTGCCGCACCTTTTGGCCTTCAGAATGCCTTCAATTGATCCAAAAGTTCAGTGTAATACCTTAATTGATGGTGGAACCATTTTGAAGGTAGTCCACTAACCGCACACCCTCCTTATCCCAGAACACAGACACCATCACCTTAGTGGCTGATTTTTGCACCCTGAACTTCTTTGGAACCACTGTGCCTCCACTCTTTTGACTGCTCCTTGGTTTCAGGGTCATACAAATAAATCCAGGTCTCATCCATAGTGACCAGTCAATCCAGGAAGTTCTTATCAGTCCGGAAACACTGACAAATGGACCGGGAAGTTTTCACTCACAAGCTTTTCTGATCTGTTGTCAAACATTTGGGGACCCACTTTGCAGAGAGCTTCTTCATGTTCAAATGTTCATGGATAATGACACAAACATGTTCACAAGAAATCCCCATGATGTCTGCTATTCCTTTAGCTGAAATTTGCCGATTCTCCAGTATGAGCTTGTGCATAGCATTGACGATCTCCGGAACAACAACCACTCTCGGTCGTCCAGGATGTTCCTCATCATTGGTGCTGATGTGGCCCATTTTAAATTTGGCAACCCAGTTCTTAACTGTATAATATGAAGAGCATTGATCCCCCAATGTTTGCAACACATCACCATGAATATCCTTAGTGGACTTTCTTTGCAGAAACAGGAATTTTATCACTCCTCTGCTCTCATTTGTTGTGAATATCGCCTTAGACTCCACCATTTTGTTTTCCCACATGCCTAGATCACTGTTGCCATAAGCTACAAACAATTTTTTTTGAAAACATATATTAGACACATAAGGCTTTCATGTAATGTAACATTAATTACCATTGAAGCAAAACAAGAACACAAAACCAAAGACTTATCAGCAGCCTCTCGTATACCTCCAGTTTCCACCTGAACACATTAGCATGTCCTTAGTTTTTACAGCTAGGTCTTGCAATACAATCACATTTGCTCAAAAAGAGATGCTAAAGCCATGGAGTTAAAACAAGTATCCCTCCAGCTAGTTACCTACCACATGATTCTCTTAAAAAAAAATAAACAAGGAAAGACTTGTACCCAGGACCAATCTTATTATAGAACAGACTAAACACGGGAAAGCAGAGAATTTCAATTGCATACCTTTTAAAAATTGACTATCAGTCACAAAGCTTTAAATCATGTTTGTGGTCTGGATTTAGGGTTGCCACATTTTCTGTATGGCAAAATTTTCCTTCCACATAAAGCAGGTAGGTGCATAATAGTCTCCTTAGGTTAGGAATAACTTTGCCAGTTAAAATTTGGTTTGTGTAAAATTGGATGAGATACTTGTTTCATTCATTTCTTTAAACAAAATCATCAATTAGTACATAAAATTAGATGGGATGAACAAGTTGAGAGCAAACCTGACTAATTATCTCTAGTCTTAATAGGTTTAGCTCATGCCCCATACCCGCACCATCCAGGCTTCTCCCTCAACTTCCTCATCACACAAAGGGAAGCCTTAGCCTCAGTAAGCCAGCTGGGTTCAGACTTTAAAAAGGGAAACCCGGCTATTTCTCCTTTACTCATCCTTCTCCTTTAGAATAATAGAGTCATAGAATCAAAGAGTTGGAGGAGACCTCATGGGCCATCCAGTCCAACCCCCTGCCAAGAAGCAGGAATATTGCATTCAAATCACCCCTGACAAATGGCCATCCAGCCTCTGTTTAAAAGCTTCCAAAGAAGGAGCCTCCATCACACTCCGGGGTAGAGAGTTCCACTGCTGAACGGCTCTCTCACAGTCAGGACGTTCTTCCTCATGTTCAGATGGAATCTCCTTTTTTGTAGTTTGAAGCCATTGTTTCGCATCCTAGTCTCTAGGGAAGCAGAAAACAAGCTTGCTCCCTCCTCCCTGTGGCTTCCTCTCACATATTTATACATGGCTATCATATCTCCTCCCAGCCTTCTTTCCTAAGCTGTTTCAAGTCCCAAGCTTGCTGGGTTCAGGTTTTAAGGGAGTCCTGGGTACTTCTCCCTTCAAACGTAAAGCTGGCTGTGTTCAGGTTTTATGGGAGACTTGGCTATTTCTCCTTCCATTTTCCCTTATTTTCTCAGTCTGGGTTTCACGTTGCCATCCTGGCTGCCCACTCATCACGTGTGTGGAAGTCTCTTTCAGACATCTCAACACATCTTTCCTTATGAATAGATGGGAAGCCTCCCATCCTTTCTGGGATCCTTTCTCCTTATATCCTTCAATAAGACCTGGTTAAAGGCATCAGACTTAAGAAACCACCCTTTCTGGGATCGTTTGCCCTCAACATCTTTTCAATGAAGCTGAGTTATGGGAGGCACCCCTTTTAAACACATTTCAGTGGGAGCCACACCACCAGAATGAGCATTAGCCATTCTTTTTAAAAGATCTAAATTACCTTCTCATTTTATGGTGGCTTTAGAAATGGTTAGATACATCCTATACCCCACATTTGAAGCTTGCCTCATGTGAAGGGCACCATCGCTGGCAGTTTCTTAAGTGTGTAGAAAGTAAACTGCTTATTTATTGCTATTTGAGGCAAAAAGCAAGCCAAGCCATGCAAACCTGCAAGTGTCACTGAGAATTTACATTACTGACCTGTCTTTCTCAGAAGCCTGCTTGCAACAGAAAAATGGAAGTCCAGCTTGGCTAAAAGACATGTCATGACTTTCTTCTGTTTTGATTGGCTCAACAGGCAGGGTTCATAGGAAATCCCTGTGCGGGTTGCCTCTCTGCACTCCACGTGTAGCCAAAAGAAACAGGAAGCAGTTTTTCGACAGCCACGTGGTCTATTGCAGCTTGGAAAAACATGGTGGCACAGCCTGTGCCATTTCAAGTGGCTAGAAGGGTTGAAATAGCCAAAACAGCCAGAGCCCATTTTGGAAAATGGATTGATGCACAACTCTAGAGACTAACATGGCTGAAATCCATTTGTTAAGGTTTAAGATGACACGTGAACGGGCTTTATGAGAGTGGAGGCCAGGGTGTGGGTGGCCATACTCAACCTCTGGCTCAGACTATGCTGTGCACGCTTTGGTCTTGCCCCACTAACCATGAAGGATGACTTCCAATCCACATGGAAGCAGGCGGTAGCATCAAAAATCTCCTCATTGGGATTTTCTCCAGGTCTACTACTCGCTATGGATTACAATCAAGTCAAAGCACTTATTAAGCAACGTATCACAGACACAGAGCGACAACTAGATCTAGCCTCGGTTCCAACCTTCTTTATCAATGAAGACAGGAGATATCTTGCCTCCCCTATGGCATATTTAACAAACTTAGAGGTTCCCATTTATCGAAGGGCTTTCACCCTGGCTCGATGCCATGCTCTCCCATCAGCTGTACTCAAAGGCCGCTACCGGAAGATCCCTTTCCCAGAGAGACTCTGCCCCTGTAACTTGGGTAATGTAGAAACAATAGAGCATGTGCTCCTTCAGTGCTTGTTCTACAGGGATATCCGTGCCAGGCTTATCTTACCTCTGATATACAAGCACACAGGCCATTCAGGACAATTTTATACCTCCATGCTACTTGCAGATATTAATTCAGCTACAACCTACAATGCTGCAAAGTTCTGTGCAGCAGCATACAAAATCCGTCAAGGATTGACTAGTTCCAAAAGTTAACTGTGTGTCCAGTAATCTTCTTCCCTGAATCTACAATTTGGTGATGGATCTGGGCATTGTATGTTTTTACCCTGTTTTCCCTTCCGCTCCCTCACCTAAATTGTGCTTCAGTAGTTATTATTTATATTTTAATGTACCAAACATACCAAGTTTGTATGAAAATGTGACTCTATTTCCTATGCT